AGACAGATGAGGAGCTGGTGGGTTGTGTTAACGATGAGCCCGAATCGCGTCAGGTCGAGTCCCGGAGATCGGAAAATAGTATCCGGACCGGCAGTGGCCGCATATCCACGCGTCTCTGCGGTGCTCGGGCCTAAACTTGGGCTGCAAACAGGCGGCGATGGGGTGCGCGACTGCGGTAGAGGGAAATGTGTTACGGCGGTAGGAGAGTGCGTTCGGGGGGAGGGGGAAGTCATTGAGATTGACGAGGGGGCTGGTGATGGACATTCGGGGGAGGTGTTTGCTTCTCTCTGGCTCGCTGCCAGGATGTTGGTCCCGGTGTTGATGCCGTCTGCCTCAGGATCCTCCATCGCGACATCCTCCCTCACAGCGGTGTCTGGCTCGCTCTCCTCCACCCGCGCGTCTTCCAGTGTGATGACCCTCAGCATTGTCTGAGCTGCCTGCACCGCATTGCATTCTTCTCTCCGTGTTTCGTTTTCCCCTTCGCTCTCGCATCCCCGCGGACAGTTTTTTCTGCGGTAATGACCCTGCAACAGTCAGATCCACCCTAGTCTTCATTTGGAAGCTCACGAGGAACAACTGCGAGTTTACTGTGGCATATTCGCAGCCAACATAAGGACAGACAAATTTCCCTGTCGAATCGCGGCGATGCACCCTCTTCGTCCCATCATCGAGTCTTTGTGTCGCTTCCTGCTGATGGACCTCTCTCCGATGCGCACTCTCAGTTCCTTCCACAACCCGGTCGCACTTGCTGCACACGAACGATTCACCCATTTTGAGATTGAGCGGGGCGTCTGGGCTACGAATAAAGGGTGGAAGAGGATGGGCAGTGGAAGAGGATGGGCTAACTTCTTTGACGCCTGACCCTTTAGGCTGCTTTTGCCTTCGATCGGTTTTTACGTCCGTGAGATGATCGTGCAATATCCAATCCTCAGCTTCCAGGCTCTGAATGGGACTCTTATAACCCATGGTATATTATCATGGAGGGAGACTCATCCTATTCTGTAAATTCTACATATGTTGACGAGCATTAGCATGCCTGTAAGCGATCAGTAGTGTGGCAGTGTAGCACTAAGGTGCACAGCATTTGGTGGATGGGACGGGAATACCTATTAGAATCTGAATTGGATTCATGTGACTAGTACCTGGGCTATTGCCTCTCAATAATACGTGATTCAAATTGGAGTCATTATAGTGATTGTCTAGTTTCCAACTAGAACTAGTTCTGCAACAGCAGGATCTCGATGAACCCAGAAAACCCTAGTGACGAGGAGGAAAGTGAGTAACTAGAATGTCTGAGGAATGTCTAGGTGGGTGCGGCGCTGCTGCAGGTGCACGCCGCAGACCTGCTTGGTCGCAATATCGTCGGGGACATAGTTCGGATCCATCTACATGCGTGTCAGATGAGATCGCTCTGTGGGAGTTTCGGAACCCAGACGCGCGCCTCACCTCAAGAATGCAATACTTTCCGGCCGTTGTCTGCGCCAGAACTTCAAGAGCCTGGGCGTGTATCCGGGAGCGATGATGCCGTCTGACACCTCTTGCAAGATGATCTTCGCTGTCGCCAGATTGCACAGCGCACTGGGCCAATAAACCAGTCAGCACCCTGCACACGGGCGTGGCCACTGGAATGGAGTTTGTGGCGGTCGTTAGATACTGGTGCAGAGCGATACGGAAGAGTGGGAGGCAGTTGCGTGGTTATATCGGGGTGGGCAGTGTCGGGGACGTCGTTCTTGAGCTCTGCACTTCTTCCGCGCGCGTGTTTCGTGTCATGGTGGTTCCTAAGAGTTCAGGTGAGCTGCATGTAACGTCTTCCCACCGTGCGATGATACTTACCCGTGCTGGTCCTTACCTTCACCATTAAGGCCGGATAGCGTGGGTTAGGCGTATTCTATGCAGATGCGGCTGCAGGGCCCGTGATTCACTGCTTCGAGTGATGATGTTGACGGGTCGGATGAAGGGATTATGGGCACTGGTCGTCGAGATCCAGATGTTGACCTCGGGGACTAGTGTCCCATTAAGGAAGTCGTTCCCCATTGGCGCTGGCAGCTCAGAGAGAACGATGCAATGGTGAGGAGTCGGTATTAGCGGCTACAGATGAGGCGCATGTACCTAGCGAGGTAATACCGTCAGCTCCGGGACCGCGACGACGGCTTACATGTTCCGCTATGGCTTGGCTAGCCCAGACGCTAACCCATTCCGTTTTTGACCGCTGCCGTCCGATCCCACCTTCCTTCGACCTTTATGCTGCCGTTTTCCTATTTCGTGTGTTCTAGTGCCCGTCTTGCATGAGTTCCGTGAGGCGCAAGATAAGGTCTGTGAGGTGCAAGATGAGGATGTGGGAGGGTGTGACAATAGCGTCACACCCTCCGTGGGCTGTCCTAGTGCGTGGAATCGGGCCTCTGGGCGCACTTTGCGGCAAATTTGAGTCGCCAGAAGTGTTCTGCTTGTGCCGACCTTCAATTTGAGTGGCAAGGATTTTCCATTGTCCGGGAGTTGACTCTGGGATCCACGATTCTCGCCGTGTCCTCCCAGACTTCATTGACAGCTCCCATCATTTCTTGTCTCCTTGCCTTGCTCTGGCTCCCCATCCCTCCACAACGCAGGGACAGCTCTTTCGTGAGGACCAATGCGTAGTAAATGTGTTTTAGTACATACTTTGTCAAATGAGCAAATAAATTCGAGGAGGTTTGCCTCTGGGATCCATCGTCTAATCAGCATCAGTGATTCTGATGGTGCTGGGGGAAGATGTTGATATTCCACCACAACGGCTGGTTGAATAAATATGAAACTTGGCATGTGGAATCTTCCATATGTCCATGTGAGAATGCGCAAAAAAAATCGTGAGTGTTGAGTCAACTGCGGTTGGGATCCATCCTCTGATCATCGCGCCAGTTTTCCAGGGTGCCAAAAAAGACGCCTTCCTGGTGGGGCTGCTGCGCAGCCCCACCCCCTCAGACCCATGGATCCATGTGGATCCCGGGTCCAGGGGACCTTAAGCTACATGTGGATATAATTTTCGTAAAATTTCGTGGAGAAATGAGGTCAGGATCCACGTTTGCAACGGGATCGCATCTGGGAGGGGAAATATGTATAGGAAACAAGGATGTGCAAGGGTGTGATACGGCGTCACACCCTCTGTGGGCTGTTCTTGTGCATGGATTCTGGCCTCTGGGCGCACTTTAAGGCTAATTTGAGTCACCAGGAGTGTTCTGCTTGTGCTGACCTTCAATTTAAGTGGCTTGGATTTTCCATTGTACAGGAGTTGACTCTGGGATCCACGATTCTTGCCGTGTTCTCCCAGACTTTGTTGACAGCTCCCATCATTTCTTGTCTCCTCGCCTTGCTCTGACTCCCCATTCCTCCAAAACGCAGGGACAGCTGTTTCGTATGGACAGATGCATAGTACATATGTTTTAGTACATAACTTCTCAAATGAGCAAATAGATTTGAGGAGGTTTGCCTCTGGGATCCATCATCTAATCAGCATCAGTGATTCTGATGGTGCTGGAGGAAGATGTCGATATTGCACCACAACGGCTGGTTGAATAAATATGAAACTTGGCATGTGGAATCTTCCATATGTCCATGTAAGAATGCGCAAAAAAAATCGTGAGTGTTGAGTCAACTGCGGTTGGGATCCATCCTCTGATCATCGCACCAGTTTTTTAGGGTGCCAAAAAAGATGCCTTCATAGTCGGGCTGCTGCGCAGCCCCACCCCCTCAGACCCATGGATCCATGTGGATCCCGGGTCCAGGGGACCTTAAGCTACATGTGGATATAATTTTTGTAAAATTTCATGGAGAAATGAGGTCAGGATCCACGTTTGCAACGGGATCACATCTGGGAGGGGAAATATACATAGTAAAGGACCCAAATGCTATGTAGACAAGAAGTATGAAATCCGGAAATCAAGAATTATGACACCTCCATGGAATATGCTGCAAATGGAGAGGAAAATTTGAGCGCAGACAGACTACCTGAAGCAAACAGACAGAGAAAAGAAACATTATCCATTTCTTGTTGATGATGTTGGCTGTCCCTGGAGCATGTACTTGGGAGATTTGCCTAATAAATCAAGTTGCGCATTTTTCAAATTTTTAGTTTGACCTGACAGCTTGAGCAGACCATGCCAAAATGAACCAAGTCATATATATCAGTGCCCCAAGCCAAGCCAAAATATTTAGGTAATATTGCACAGTTTTGATATCCCAGCCCCTGCCGAAGCATCAGGGAGTCACACGGCTGTAGGTGCAGACCACCCCCAGACACAGCCTCCAAACTCCTGGCAAAATGAAGGATAATTATGCTGCATGCTATGACCACAACGAGAATAGATAGATCAAAATATAATGCAATGCACCCCTCACCCTGCTCCTGTGGTTGACCCCACAGCGGGCCCCGCGGCACCCCCTGTGGCACCCCCTGCGGCACCCCCCGCAGCACCCCCCGTGGCACCCCCCGCAGCAGACCCCGCCAAATGATGGGATCAAGTGCATCACCAGTCCCATTGTGCAGGGTGCATTTTGGGCTTTCCAAGCTCAAATTCATGCTTAAGTAGTGTATTTACCTATAGAAATGATACCCGGATGATTTGGGAAGGCTTCCATTTTTTGGGCGGAAAATCACGTGATTATGCGCCCATTGTCTGCCACAGCATGCAATGGATCAAGCAACACCTTTGAAATCATGCCGAATGGTGCACAAAAGGTGCCCCAAAAGTCACGTGATCATGCGCCCACTGCCCGCCATGGTGTGCGGGGGGACAGTAGCGCCCCCCGCCAACCCCCGCCAACCCCTGCTAGCCATCTTTGATAATTTTCATGCGGTGCATCACGTGATTTTTTTACCCCGCCATCAGCCGCCATCCTGCCCATTGGATGTGTCATGTGATTCATTTTTTTTTCGCGCCCACCTGCCCGCTCCCAATGATAAATCACATGATATGTACAGACCCCCCCCCCTGCACCCCCCCTGCTGATCCCCGCATATGCCCCTGCCCCAAATGGACCAAATCCCCCCCGCGGGCCCCGCAGGGGGGTACCCAGTAGGACCCCCGCGGGGGTGCAACCGGGTGATGGCGGTGGTAACTGAGGTGCTTGGCTCCGTTGGCGACGTTGCCAGCCTCGGGCTGAACAGCAATAGCGTTGATCTCGACCTCTTTGAGGGTGCTGCTGCTGCCACCGCTCTTGACCTGCAACCCAACTTCGAAGAGCGCGGCCGAAGCTCGAGCGTTGACATCCGAAAGCTGTGCCTGTGGTTTTTTGGCGCCCCAGGGCGGAGCGAAGGACGGAGCTGAGTTCCAGTGCGTATCGATGCGGCGTAAGCAGCGTTACGATTGCCACCGAGTGACAGAGGCAAAGAGTACCTGAAAGAGCTCGATGCCGATTACATTAGAGCCGGGTGGTGCGATGCACATGCAAGCAGAGTGTGACCCCGTCACATGCAAGTTACATGGGATATGTTGGACGCATATCTGTTCTCCCGTCTTCCACAGCACCGTAAATGAATTGTTTCGAGGTCGATTCCGAGCATACTGGAATTCACTCAAATAAATCCCCGCCTTTTCTTGAGTCCTACCGGCCTCCCGCCCGATCTCAGAGCAATACACCAGGACATGCTGCCGCAGCGCATGTTACTGACTTGAAGAGCTCCCTAGAGCAAGTCGCGTCACGTCTCTGACAGCTTTTCGTTTATTAGCGTTCTAGCCTTGCAGTGAACCTCGGAATCGCCGTCTCTTTTTTCCTCGCCCGTTCTCTGCGAGTCTAGGCTTTCCCCGTTCAATGGCTTCTCTGCCAATCTGTGCTGTCAACATCATGCTGCTTCTCTTCTCTATGCGCTCGTGGTCTTCGGGGTTGCGGTGCCCCGCCTTCCCTCTGCTTCTGTGGGCCATCGTCCCGTTCACCCGACCAATTTCATCTCTGTTTCACATGAGGCTGACCTCTAGGCAGTGCTGTTGCACGTTTTATTCACGTGGGTAACGCATCGACTGCTACACACTCAGATGCCATGACATCAAACCAATACAAACTCTGCAAACTGTCGGCTAAGACTCAAGTTCCTGAGTGTTCATTGGAATCGGCGCGGCACGACCAGGGTTCTCTCGGTTTCATTCTTTCTCTGTTTTCACTCTGCCAATATCTTACATCCGAGTCTTTGCTTGTCCCCCAGACGACTTTGACAGAGCATCCTTCGAAGCTGAAAATGGTCGGCGGTCAGTTATAAGGGATGGTAGACTGCGGCGGCCGAGGCCATCAGGTCGACGTTTACTTCCGGCTGCGTTCCCGCTTAATTGTTATGAGCTCACGTACATCGAGCATTAATGATCTTGCTGGTGTAACAGCCATTTATGTGAATAGGTTTTGGGACTAGTTCTCTCTCCAACGTGCGGGAGACTGAGCAACCCATTCGAAATCCGGCTCGTAGCGATCACCTTAGCGACAGCGCGGGGCCGAGAAGCCGATGATCAATCATCCCACCTAGGCTCCACCTTGCCCTTGGACAGTTTTTGATCACTATTGTCTCGACCGTGCGCTCTGTCGCGCACTTTTCTTCGCTACCGTACTTCCCTTCCTTCCTCCATACCCTCGCCTCAACTGCGGCGCGATCAGCCGTACCCATCACCTCATCGCTGTTGAAGGCACTCCTCCGCGAGTATACGCAAATCCGCATCCGAAGGACGGACGAAGGAAGCCCGCGGGAATTCTAGATTATCCCCTCATCCGGCGTCGCACAATACCACTCCCGCTTCTCCCCTCCGCCTCGGACGCGCACACCAGCTTCCCTCTCTCACCCAGATTCTCACCTCTGCTTCACTACCTTGGCTGACATGGGCGGCTGCCTCTCGTCCCCTGTTCCTGGCGGCATAGAAGTGACGGACCGCGAGCGCGCACTGCACCGGGCAGCGGAGAAGCAAATGAAGGAAGCCAAGGCGCGGATGGAGGCGCAGGTAAAGGTGTGTTTCCATCTCTAGGCCCTCCTCCTCCGGTTCTTGCCTATGCATCCTGTTCTCGTTCGCGTCTTTCTCCGATATAGATCATGACGGCGGTCTTCTCGCTCACCCATGTTTTCGTACCGTGCGTGCCCAACGTCAAGTGTCGTTCGGATCCTGCATGATCTGTCAGAGCCTTGAGCACCTGGAAGAAAGGGCGCTGGGTCTCAAATCCCGTTCATTCTCTCTGCTGAGCATAGAATATGCACGATCCTCACTAACGCCTGTTGGCGCAGGTCCTTCTCCTCGGGTCTGGCGATAGCGGCAAATCGACCATCTTGAAGCAAATGCGGCTGATTCACAAGGTTCCATTCTCACCCCAGGTATGCTTTAGATCTTTTGACCCCCGCCATCTCGCTAATCAGGTGCTTGTGCAATAGGAGAAAGAACACTTTCGGCAATTGGTCTTCGACAATCTCACCCGTGGTCTCAAGTATCTTCTCGACGCGTTGCCGGACATGGATCTCGAGCTCCCTGCAGTGTATACGGATGTCGATGAAGAAGGCTTCGTGCGTGGGTGGGCCCCACGGCGGAAGAGTGCAGAGAAGCATGACGGAGATGCCGATCCAGACGAGGAGGGTGTCCTACCTACACAGCTGGCAGAAGACATTGCTTTGGTCGAGAGCGCTGAAGATTTGGGGGATGGGGAGGTCTTCCCTTCTCGGTTCTACGGGGTGCGCAGGGTCACTGGTTCACGCTGGGTCTCAGGAGGCTAACAAACCGATGCCAGGCGTTGTCAAGACTATGGGGTGAAGAGGTCGTGCGAACGGGTTGGAAGCGTGGAAACGAGGCCGCCGTGCCCGAGAAGTGCGTTCCCGATTTATCATTCCGCTGCGCCCCATGAACGAATTCCCAGCTTGTACTACTATTTCTCTCACCTCGACCGACTCTTTGATCCCAACTACCTCCCCAACGAACAAGATATTGTGCGTGCACGAGCGAGGACGATCGGGATCACAGAGACGACGTTCTCACTGAGAGATCACGAGATGCTCATGGTCGATGTATGTGTCCATCTTCATATGTGACGGCGCCCCGTTGATGAATGTGCTCGCAAGGTCGGCGGCCAGAAGTCTGAGCGCCGAAAGTGGATACACTGCTTCCAGGACGTTACCTCCATTCTGTTTCTTGTCAGCTTGAGCGGATATGACCAGTGTCTGATAGAGGACCGGGATGCCGTTCGTTAATCTCAGCTCATTCTACATCAACGCTGACTAGGATGACAGAACCAAATGCAAGATGCCATGACGATTTGGGACTCGATATGCCACTCGCAGTGGTTCAAGCAAACATCCATCGTGAGTCGCTTCGTTCCGTGCCTTTCGCTTCATGCTGACATATCACCCAGATCTTGTTCCTCAACAAGGACGACCTGTTTGAGAGAAAGATCCAAACTTCCGACATCAAGACATATTTCCCGGTCCGTGGTCGTATTCCGCTGTCCGAATCTTGTCTCACATCGGCATCGCATCAGGACTTCGATGGTAGGCCCGGCGACGCCAGTCAAGGGCGAGACTATTTCAAGAAGCGCTTCGGGCGATTAGCTCAGAAGGCTGGCCGTGCTAAGGAGCGGGAAGTATACATGCAGTGAGTGGGGTTATCCTAAAAAGGAAACTTCCGCTTGGGGGTGGCCAACGCCTCCCCTGTACTCATCTACAATGCACAGCGTGACGACAGCGACAGATACGGAGTTGCTAAGAGTGGTGATGGCTGCAGTTGAAGGTGCGTGTCTGACCAGTTTTCTATCATTGATTTGTGCTGACTGGTCGGTTGTAGAGTGAGTGTTTCCGATTCTATGTCCACCTCCGCCCCTGCTCCGTTTTCTCTCGACTTCTGGCTGCATCCTTGAATGCTCAATACCACACTGCAGCATCGTCCTGCGATCAAACCTCGCTGGAGCCGCGTTGATCTGAGGCCTCGTCCCTCGTTTCCTTTCCTTTCTATCATTTCTTTTTTGCTGTGTCTATGTCTTCCTCTGTTTATGCGTTATTTACGTGCTTTTCCGCTCCTTTGTTTCTCTCCGCGCGCCCTGCTGTACCATCATCCTCCCACCCTCCATCGTAACCTATCGCGTGGCGACCGCTCGTAATCATCCGTCAAAACTGTATCGTTCCTTGGCATCATCCCACCGTGCACCCTTGGCCCGCATTCTATGTATATATCCAATGGCGATTCGCTTTCAATGCCCTTCTCCGAAACAGCTCCATAGTCACCAAAAATGTGCGTTCCTTGAACCCAGCGGTGATCCGCGTCGTGCTGACCATTTGATTATCGCCATGCTTAGATCCGCACTATCATGCTTTGATCTGCGCGTAGTTCTCAGATTATCATCAAGGACAGTGACGACCGTCAACCCGCTTTGTCCAGGAATATTGATGAGATGCTTTGACCTTTGGGCTCGCGCTCAGCATCGTCGTCCTCGGATGTCATATTGTAAATTATATCGACCTAAACTATGCACGCTTTCTGCACTTGGAATTCGCATTAGGAGAACAGATTTGGAAAATAGATCGGACCCAGAGACTTTTGGACACATGTCTCGTTCTCGTGCCGAACGGTCATCGCATCGGAAGAGGGGATAGCCACCTATCGAGAACGAGTATCGCCTAACCGCAATTGGTCAGCATGGCCCGAGCGCGAGAATTGGGGCGGTCGCTCATTGCCGCTGTTTCTGGATAATCCACGAGGAGAAACGCATGACAGGATCATGAAATACGGTAGCTGTTCTGAAATGCTTCGCCTGAATGAGCCGGAGATGTTGTCTTTGCATAGGCCCGCAGTGCGAAAGGACTGATGTATGCCCTCTCTAGTTGTACGCGGGATAGCCCGGGAAGCAGAAGCATTCGAGGTGGATAGAACTGGGCGACGTACAGCAGAGAGTTTCAAGGGCGGTCTTAGCAGTGAAAAGCCCGAATCATTGCTGCGCGAAAAAGAAAGAAACGAGATTACATGCACCAGGCAGTAAATCCCATCGGCGGACCAGTGTGCGAATATACAGGAGCCGTTCGACATCGCACTTCACACGAATCGAAAAAGAAGAGGTATGGTGGCTCAAGAAGAGTCTCATTACTCCGGGAAAACGTTGAAGAATCAATCCACGCCGAGAATATCCTCGTCCTGCCGAGGGAGAAACCAGAACTTGCACAGGTAAGCTACTTCTCTGTGATCATCAGCTATACTTCCTCCAATTGTCGCGGCTGCTTGAAGCCCTGCACCCTAACCTCCGGGAGATGTAATCGAATACGTCCCTATCTTCGCACACTTTGTGACACAAGAAGAACGGTCCTGCGAGGACTCGAACCTCAAGTTTCACATTCCCCCGTATTTGACCCCTTTTCCTGCTGGATTTGCGCAGCCCACTGCCTCATTGAAGTCACTCATCGTGACAGATCAACATGGTTAGATCTGTGTGACACTTCATCGCAGGCTGTGCCGCCTCCATTGCGCTTATCCTTGACCACGGCCACTCACGCACATATGGATATCGCCCCGATCACTGACCACCTCAATGAAGACATCTTAATCTTAATACTGATTTTCTGCGATGCCCACGCCGTGCTCCAACTGTCATCTGTGCGTCCAATAACTATACATATTTATCGACCAATTTTCATCTTGCAGGTCAACAAACTCTTCCACACCCTTGCTCGCTCGAAGCAAGTGTGGATGACGCTTAACGCGGACATCATAGCGCGCAATCTGACGGACGTCGTTCCGCCCTTGGCTCTTGAACAGCTCTCCGTTCCAGAGCTCATCGCTGAGGCGCGCCGCGTTGCGCGTGGACCCTCATCATGGGCTGTGGGTTCATTGCCTCAGGCTCGCTGTGTTCCTGCAAGATCTATAAGCCTCCCATCGATTTCTCTTGCCGAAGCCGAGCACACGCAGGTCCGACTTGTTCCAGGCGGCAACTATGCGTTCCTGACCAGCGTACACGAGTTCCGATGCATCGATGCACTCTCTGGTGAGGTCCTGTGGACATGGAGCGGAGACTTGGTTTATTACACGGAGAAGATGGAGATCGGTGGTAGGGTAATTAATCTGGTAATATTGTCGAGGGTGGACGATAGAAGGACGTGAGTTTTATGTCCACCTGTGCGAGTTTCGCTTCAGCTCACTATCTATTAAGAGGCCTTGAGATGTGGAGGCTGGACTTCTCTAGTTCCGTCTTGCAGCAGCAGAAGATTCTCAACGTGGTGCTTGTGATCGGACCCCGACAATGCTCGTACCCTGTACTTCATCAGGATCTAATCGGCGTCGCTTTCAACGACGCGGCCAAGGAAGCGATCTTGGTCGTAAACTGGAGGCTTGCGTTGTGCGTAATTATCAAAACTCAGCCATCAAGCTATGTATGTCTCTGACTCGTCACCCTCAATCCACCCTCTGACAAACTCAGGCCCAAGACGTTAGCTTTGTTCCTAGACACATGATCTTGCTGATGGCTTCTCCGGTCAAGCCACATCACGCGACGCTCTTCATCTTCTCCGTCGACGTTCTCGATGGCCACTGGAGACCGTTCAATCCTCTCTCCAGCGAAGATATCGCACTAGCTTCCATGACTAGTCTCGAGCTTGATGTCGACCAGGCAGTCTGCCGCAAAACGCTTGACGACTTCGATCATGCTGAGCAGTTGCTGCTGCATATGCGAATGAACCCCCTCCGCCATAACGCCTACACGATCTTGATTTACGGCTCGTTGTCTAACAATGCTGCCGAGTCACATGCTGCAGTGTTCACATTCTACGTGTCGGTCACGGATGGGATACTGAAATATCGAACGGCATCGGTCAAAACGGTTGCAATGGTCGAGGATCCGGCGCTGTCTTATTCTTCATACGCCCTGGACCCGGAGAGCGAATGCCCGAGGCTGCTAGATGTGTCCACTCTGGGCCGCGACGATCTGGATATCGCATCTTTCCGCCCAGGGGCTTTCCCGGAGCGGGTGAGCGATGCGCGGCTATCGTCGTTCGGCGGGACGATCACCATTCTTCATGGCCAGACTATGTTCATCGAAACATTTGTGTAGCTCGATCTGTCCGAGTGAGAATGTCTCAATTTTACGATTTTTTATCTGGAATATTCGTCTCAGAACTTGAGCGGAAGAATTCACGAGTCGTTACCCAGAAACTGACCTGATGTTGCATTTAATTGACTCCTCCCGGTCCGAAAATCTCAGTCGTTTGTTCCTCGCAGGCATGAATTCCATTCACTAGACTTTCATTGGTTTCTGCTATGCGAGTTTCTGCTCTTAGTAATGATAATCGGCATCACCATCCGGCCGGAGTACATTCACTCCCGGAAGCCGTAATGTTTCCCCCCAAATGAATATTTCGTCTTCCTATTGAGAGCAGTGCACAATACATTTAGACATTCTAGAGCAATCAAGTGTTACATCCGATTCACCCCGCTTGGTGTATCGATCCATCTTCCCCACCATCCTGCGCGCTCCTCCGGAATGCGCTACAGGACATCAAATCTACTCAATTTGGAGGTGCCAGAACGCACTTTGCCTCCCTCATCCTCAATGAAAGGCGAACTGCATCTTTCTTCGGTTGGGATGTGTGTTGCACTGTACTTACAAAGCTGTGCGTCTCCGCGCGGTCAACATGGTGTACGACCGAAACCTGTGCGGATTAATTCGTGTGGTGAATTTCGATGCATCGGGGGCGCATACCTCAGTAGTAGAAAGCGGACCTGTACCGGGTTCAGAAAGGTCGGTAGTTCTATCGTCCACTGTGTCTGTCGTACTGCTGGACCGAAACGCCACGTTTCGAAGTTGCTGGAAGCCTGGCAGGCTGTAAGGCAAATAATTGACGACGCTACGAAGTAGGTGTACTTTGAAGCTCAGTCCTCAGTCTCGGGCATTCAGTTCTTGTACACCATCAATAGAAGGATATGGTCCATGGCAAATAACAAATTACGTCAGTCTGATGGCCTACATTCAACGCTGTCACGCTCTCCTCGATCATGTCGCTATCTGTTCCACGTTGGCTTCTCCTGGCCCTGCCCGCTTTAGTTCTACCACTCCTGGTAGTCCGAAGACGCAACTCCAAGCGTTCGAAGAAAATTCCTAGTCATATTGAACGCGTACTCATCATTGGCGCGACGTCCGGTATCGGGCGCACCCTTGCACGGCAATACGCTGGACTTGGTGTACGCAACCTGTGTATTGTCGGGCGCCGAGAAGGGCTTGTTGCAGAAGTCGTAGATGAGTGCTCTAGCATGCGCACGGTGACAGAGGTTATCGGGGTACCGGGTGATTTTGTGGATCCAAAGGCGATGGTGCGGGTGCGGGACGAGATCGTGCGAGGTGCGTTATACTCACTCCATCGGACGCTTGAGCACTCAAGCTAAGCTTCCAACTGCAAGCTTGGGGTGGTCTCGATACAATCATTGTGGCTGCCGGTGTTTCGGCATTGCGTCCACTTATGGAGGTCGGAGGAGATTCCGCCGACGGCGATTTCGACGTCGAGCGCATACAACGTATCGTAGACATCGCGAAACGGGCGGCAGACGGCAACTTCGTCGGCCCACTCGTCGCCGCGGTGACTTTCGTGCGTCATTTCGTTATTCAAGCCGTCCTTCATCCACTGACACCCCGCCGACAGATCCCACTACTCGAATCCACTTCGCCTTCCCCGTCAATCCTCCTCGTCAACTCGCTTGCCTCAGTGATACCCGCACCGACCCGGTCATTGTACGCCTCTACGAAGTCCGCCTCGTTGCTCTTGTATCAAGCCCTCTCAATCGAGCACCCACATATCGCATTCACTGGGCTCCTCCCGAGCACTGTCGAAGGCGACTTCCGCGCTTCAGCAGTCGATGGCGGACACACGCGCGAAGCAGAACCGAACAAGAGCGGGCTCAGGCGAGAGGCTGTTGCCCGACGCTGTATGACTGCGATTGAGCGTGGCGAAAAGAACGTGTTTATGCCCTGGTCTATGGGCTTGGCGCATTTGGCGTACTGGATGGTGCCAGGTCTTGTAGAGGCTCAGGCGAGGAAGAAATACCGGTTCAAGGCTGCGTGATTCTACCTGTGTGTAAATGATACATAACCACTCGCTTTGGGCGATCGAGAAATCACTAAGCGATGAAGAGTACAACGACAGACAGGGCCATGACTATCATCTCCACACCGAGCACAACCTTGTCTGCGGCCCCAGAGGCTGAGGCCGATGGAGCTGATGGCGACACAGAGACCGAGGGAAGAACGTTCGTGGGTGTGGGGGAGAGAAAGAGGCTAGAACTCGGTAGCGATGAGAGTGCAATCGTGCTGCTGCCGATGCTGTTGCTGGTGGGAATCACTGCAGCAGTGGTTGGCACGAGGGTCGTCAGCGTAACTGTTTGCGGAGGCGATGCGGTGGTGACCGTCGTGGTGAGCAGGGACTGTGTGAAAACTGTCGTCAGTTGAGTCGTGCTCGATGCGCCGAGTGTTGTCGAAGGGACGCTGGTAACACCTGCAGTCCAAGTCAGCGACGTTCAATCAGCTGCTTGTGTAAACGGTCACTTTTACTGCCAGAGGCTGACAAGGCAGAAGACGATGGAGATCCTGAGATGGATGTGGATTGGGCAGCAGACGCTGACACTGGTATGGTGATAATGAATAGGTCGACGCATACGGCAAGAGCGCACACACACCTGCAGCACATAGGACTTGGAGTGCCGTGCTGAGCTGGGCCTTGTCGCTGGCCGAGCACGACGTTGCGTCTGCGCACTGCTGTGCAGCTGACGCGAACGATCCAGTTTTGCAGAGGCAGGCGACGTCAGATCTGTACTTCAGATTGAGACAGGTGTGGAAAAACCACGAGATTAGCAAGGCGTACAGATTACATCCTGCGTGCGTCGCTTGGGTCTTGACACATCCTTGAGCACACTGAGGGTACGGCGAATCTTGGGAAACAGCCAAGTGCACAAAGGAGACCAGAGCCAGAGTGAGAGCAACGGAGATGGGCATGGTCGTCGACGCAAAGTGAGTGGAGTAAAAAAAAGCTGGCGTCTACATTAAGGTCCGCGTCGGGGACAAGTCATGCGAGCGAGGAACACAGCTGTCATTCAGAGGATTTCGGTTTGGGGTTCCCCATGACCAGGGCTTTTACGTGTGCGATGGGGCTAAGTCACAAGAGGAGAAAAGAAGATGCCGTTGCGCAGCAGAGGAATCTCATGATCACGGGTTTCTTGCCCCACGGTCACGAGTGATGCGCTATGATGACCGTGATCTGGGATGGCCCTCGCGTCGAATATGGGGTTTCATTAGCGGCACACCGGAAGATAGGCGCGTTGAGACTTTTAGCACACAATAAGCGTACTTGTGAGAACGCTAAATGACGCGACTGAGTAACCAGGCAGGAATGGCTCCCACTCGCAACGAGAACCCTTGATATCTAGGACCCGGGTACCTGCGGCCTCGTTGTCGATGAAATCTTGGCGAGGAACTGGTCTGAACACAACATGAACAGGGTTGCTCTTATCTTCTGTTTAGAACAACAACTCACCGATACCCTCGAATCGATTTTTCCCCACCCTCGTCGTCTGGGTGTGCCACTCATATAGACATGTCGCCAAGGTGTACATCATTACGAATCCTAATATTATGAAGAGGCAGATCAGTTGCGATTCCCAGCTCTGATAACGGTATCGATGAAGTTCTGCGGTCGATGCGGACTGTTGCGCGGCGGCGGCGGCGATGGAGGGTGTATTGAACAATGCTGGCATTGGGTAGGGTTGCGGATGGCAGAAGGAAAGCGGGAATAGCGTCTTGGAAACGACTGAACCCTGTCTCACAACTCGGATCCTTGTTTGTCTCACACTTCTCTTTGTGTAGGCATCACAAGCAACCCGATGAGTCCCCTAGGAAATCTATTTAAATGGACTTATCGATTCGAAGACGAACAGGTGCACTCCACGTGCCTGCTATGACGCCAGATTTTGTGCATGCGGAGTTGAGCTGACTGATGCGGGATTGCATCCGAAAACTTGTAGAAGCCCGGAAGCCCGCCGCGAGAAGCGATAGGACCCTGAGCCTCATTGATATCATATCCAGCTACGTTCATTTTGTTTTGACCTTCGCGTGGAGTAACACATTGTTATCTGAACCATGAGGAGTACAAAAACAAGACCTATTCTAGCGGGCCCTTTCAATAACATCACAAGTCTCTTCTCACAGCTCAAAGCCTGACGATTGAATTTCCGATTGAAGCCTGAGTGGGCGGCGAGCTTATCGTTCGATGTCCTAGCTTTGACACGGAGCGAATGATCTCCTGTCTTGTGAGATCCCTCGTGTGTGGGTCGCAAAGGCTGGTCAGAGGCGATCTCGTCCTCGATCTTGCACGGGAGAAGACACCGTGGGATCTTCAGTTCCCTCCTTCGCAAGCACGACACTTCATTTGCGATATGAATCAGAATTCGGTTAATCTGCGACCCAGTCTGGTATAAATTCTCAGCCCGAGAGATACTCTATTGTTCACAGTCATGGCTACGAAATCCCAACTCAGAACGCTCGCCGACCTTCTGCTCAACTCCGTGAACAGCATAGAGACCCGTCTCGCATCGAGAAACCTGGCGTTTCCCAGTCTCGCGACCCCATTCGACCCGCACACAGAGGCAGAATCCGTCCTTCGTGAAACGGACATGCTCTCCGCGGTGTCACAAATCGTGGCGGCGGCCTCGCAGATGATAGCGATGGTCCGGACGCCGGTAGAGACTGTCATGGAGTACAGCATGCTAGTGAGTATCCAGATTGATATTTGACACAGGAAAAAGACACTGACATATATCACAAGTACCACCTTCCATCGTGTTTGCGTGCAGCAATCGAGAGCAACGTCGTCGAGATTGTGGGAAGAGCTGGGCCCAAGGTATGTGTGTACGAACAGTCTTTCCAGTGAGCATATATGAATACGGATATCAGGGCATCCATATACATGACATCGCAAGGATCAATGGGACTTCCCCGCAGAAACTGGGTCCGTGATTCTCATAGCAGGGAGATGACGAATTTACATGCTCAAAGGCCGCATTCTCCGCCTCCTTGCAAATCACCACATTTTTCGGGAAATTCGACGGGATGTTTTCTGTGCGAATCGATTATCGTCAGTGCTTGATTCCGGCAAGTCCTTGGAAAAGTTGGATGCCAAGTCAGTTCGCGTTGAGTTCGAGCACGTACGTATTAGACTCACTCCAAATTCCAGTCCGCAGGCCCGGTACGAAAACTCATCTGGAGTCGCCGCACTAGTAGTTATGCAGTCAGTTCCCTACGTTAGTCTTGTGGCGAGGGGCACTCACACTTTGCAGCGCGGACGAAGGGCTCAAGTCCTCCGCGTTCCTTACCGAAGCATTCCTGTCTCCATGCACCGCGCATTCAACTCAAGCGACCGATTCTCCATGGAACATTGCGTTCCAGACAAACATGTTCATCTTCGACTACTATGACAAGCCGAAGAAGGCGCACCTCAAGGTCCGGTTTTCCTCGGCGATGGCATGCAGCACCCGTCTGGAGCCCCCCGCTGCGATACTCGCTGGGTTTGACTGGACGAAGCTGCCCGTGAGCGCAACAGTCGTCGACGTCGGCGGCGGAGTCGGCGCGACTTCTCTCATCATCGCGAAGAACGTCCCCCACCTGAATCTCGTGGTGCAGGACCGCACCTCCGTCATCTCCGTCGCGCACAAGGTTCGCTCGCTTGTGTTAATCCGTGATTGCAGCGTGCTGAAGAGCGTCCTGTAGTACTGGCCTTACGAGATGATCGCAAGCGGCCGCGTGAGGCTGCAGGAGCACGACTTCTTCTCCGCCCAGCCCATTCGCGACGCAGACGTGTTCTTGTTGCGCTGGATCATGCACGATTACGACGACACTAAAGCGTGGGAGATCCTCCAGAACTTGCGCGAGGCAGCGACAAGTAGCACGAAACTCGTCACCGTTGATATCCTCATGCCTCATACCTGCATCGATGATGAGCAGGATTCGCACTACGACATACCAGGGGCATTCACTCCATCTGCACCGGGCCCGCTGCTGCCGAACATGGGAGCAGCAAATAACATGAAGTACTGGCTGGACATGCAGGTGAGAGATGACGGAGCAGACGTCGGGACCAGGGGAATGACGCGTCTCGCAGATGTTCGTACTTGGAAACAGTCAGGAACGAACATTGCCGCAGTTCGTTGCGTTGGCCGCATGCGCAGGATGGAAAGTTGTGCAGGTGCATCACATTCCTGGCTCTGCGCTCGGTCAGTGTGTCTCGATACCCATATGAGCGAAAAAGAAGCAAGCAGAAAAATGGCACAGCCCTCGGCCCGTTGATCGGAATAGATTAGATAATGTACCCTCGCGTAATCTTTATGAAAGCTCGCTCGACTACTTACTTTACTTCGTCTTACCGGGCCAAACGCAAAACGATCTGTTGAAGTCAAGACTGAAGCACTTATGAAATCGGCTTCGCGCTATACACGGGTTCGAAAGCAAACCAACTCGTCTTGAAATGCATTTCATCAAGCGGCAGGTCAGCACTGCTGGAGCGCGTCTTGGATATGAAACAATTTCTCAGTTGGAACTCTAAACTCTGTGCGGGAGGTGGACTCGTTCTGAAATTGCCGTGGTGAGCGGTGTTCCCTGATCGTCATTTTGCGATTCGGCCACAACGACCCCCGCACGGTGCAGGTCACATGGCTGACTGCCCGGTACGGGTTCGAGTCCGAGTCAGTGTAATTTCAAATTTGTAAAATTCTCTGTAGTTACTTGCGTACAGGCTGGGAGACGTGATAATCTCAGAAATGAAACTTGAAAGTCACTGGGCCTTTTGGTTGCTCTCATGTTTTGAAATTCCACCGTGAGGACCCGTGTTCGAATCCCAGCAAGTCCTTTTTATGGCTTATTACAGCTTTGCGCCGTGCGGAGGCCGTTGTGGATTTGTCGTGATTTTGCCCCTCGAAGACTTGTCCGTCCGATCAAGCGACATTTCCAAATGACGTCAAGCAGTCAGACCCCACGGAATTTCCCGAGAAGAAAAATCACTGCGAAAACTATTGTTGTCAGGGTTGTACACGCTTGTCATCAGTGCGCACGTCTAGTTGTCGGTCCGTGGATGTCCGTCGGTGTATAAGCGGATGTTTCTACGGAAAATTCTGTCCCACTAGATAATCTTTGCGCTGATTGAGACGTCAGGAAAGCTGAAACGTAGCGAAGTAGTTGCCCAGGCTGCAAGTCATTTGCAGCGCAGTCGGGAATTCGGGACATTGAACTTGCACGGCTGCATAGCCGCCGCAATTTTATGAGAGGATTGATCTCTCAATCCAGAGACTTCTTCGTTCTCACAGGGCGTCTTAATACAACTCACTCACTTAGCAATTACACTCTCTGCTCAAGCGCATCTCAAGCAATGAATAGCGAGGTCTCACTGTCACAGATGGTGAGCTGTTCGACGATGATGTAGACGTCTGGACGTACTTGGGCGTTGCTCAAAGAGTCTCTACCCACAGTGAGGGTTGAATATTGTGCGTTCAGACATGGCGATTGCGTAATTCAGTGCCTCAGAAGCAGCTCTGGCGGTAGGAGAGGTTGAAAGAACCACGAGAACAGGCAGTCTATCTGTGACTCTGCGTACCTCGAGAGAGGAATCCCGATGAGTTGCAAAGAGCTGAAAAGGTCTCTATTCGGGTTCAAACGAGCGCTGGCGTCTTATCCGACTGCAACTCAAGACGGTCTATCTCTCAGGCCGGTTTGAAAAGGACTAGGGTTCTTCAACGCGGTCCCTAGACTTCGTCCTTTACTAGAGAGCCAATTTTAACGTACTTACCACGGTGTGCTCTTGCCTAGCCTCGCAGCAGTTGCCACCCTAGTATCCTGCAGAAGGTTTCACCGCGTTGTTTGGCTGCAATCCGGGCCAGCCAATCTCCCCATAGGATCCACGTACTCAGAGCCCTTCCCTCCCTAACCAGCGTTTGCCGATGCGCATTTTGGATTGTAAACAAATGAATGGCCTAATATCTCGATATCTGCCACATACCGCGAACCAAAATACCGAAACCATTGCAAATCACGATACCTCGTCAGAACACCCACGCCGATTCATACCCGTGACCAATGGTCCGATGAAGACACCCCGTATGTAAATTTCTTCCCGGCAATTATATACTTTGAAATTCTGCTAATTAGAGTTTTACGTGGGTCCAAGTCATCAAGCCAAACCTTGATCGCCCCTCTTCGTTTTGCACATTTGATCGGCGAGGTGTGGACAGCGCGGACGTCCCTCGTCCAGATAATTGACGTGAGTGGCAATAGATTGAAAGTAAAAGTCAGTCGAAGCACCCGTGTGTCCAGGCTTGGTCCATACTTGAAGTCAAACGCCGTCCGCATGATTCCTTCACCATTCTTACTCAGTCGTACACAAGGCTCCCAACCTACACAATGTCATCGTATTGGCTTTGCTTCCCCGATTTCGAACACGATCCATTCGTTCCGCTCCGGCAGGAATTCGAACGTCTGGCACGCGAGGAGGGTTGGGGCAAAAAGAGTCGCATGTTCAAAGATCAATGGGGGCTCTGCGGGATCCAGGAGTTCGGGTATCAGTTTGGGAAGGATGAGAACCGGTTGGCGGGGTGGCAGGCTTTGTGCGCGACCGTCGGTGTCAAAAAGACGCCAGATTCAATCGCGAAATGCAAAACTGTGCGCTACATCCTTCCAGGCTAACGTCTCACTGACCCCTGCTCCAGATTATGAGAAACACTTGGGTCAACATCTACGACCTCCTGGATGCTAAGCGTACGGGGAAAACTGTGCTCAAGCATCCCTCGAAGGATGCGCTTCGCAGCTATTCGATCAACTCAAAACCGCCGAAGATATTCTCCAAGGCACAGGCGAAGAAGAACCGGTTTCTCAAAATTTTGCTAATCGAGATGTTCATGGCGAACTATTAGGGATTCCTCAAAGCTTGATAATTTGAATCTTTACCCTGAAATGCATTATTATTTCCTCAAGGCTCCAGACTATCCACATGAATGAGAGGGGCAACTCCCCTGCCGGCCGCGATTGTCCATTTGGACAATATTTTTTACTCACTCCAAGGGCGTAGGGGGCAGTGTTACATTTCTCTCCGCTTAGATCATTTCCGCGCGGAGGCCAACCGAAACTTGACAGTTGCAATCACGGTCTGCCTTATCGATAGATCGTTCGGGGAGCACGCCCGCATTGCTTCTTCCTACGCAGTAGCCGTAATCGTGCGCAGGGGCCTTACAAATGCAACTGGTTTGCGGCCGGAACTTGAACCGCGCTCGGCAGAACCAAGTCAACTTGAACCAGTTCGGGCATCACAAGCCCCGAAAAGTGCTCTCAACTCTCTTTCGATCAATTAGTGATTGTCACTGAATTTACGGCAAAATTAGGCACATCTTCACACACAAAATGGGATTCGATCACAGAATTAGGGGCACAAAGAAACCTGAGCCGAGTGCTGCTAATAAGTTCTTGGAGTTGTGGTGAATGGGAATGATAATGATCGATCAGGGGCTGTCTATTAGGTCCACTAGGACCTCGTTGCTTTGCTGGTTACCACATCCGAGTGCTCGCAAGGCACATGCAGCTTCTCCGATCACGCTACGCGTCGGAAAATTGACCTCCGGGGAGAGAACAGCATGCATAGGCCGTGACCCTGCTGAATGAACCAGGTGCATTCTAATCACATCTCATTGCCCCAACTACTTCCCCTCATATCTCTGATTCGCCTGGGATGGATTGATTCTTCGTGATCTTCCGACCCCAGACCGGTTGAATCCACCGAGCTGACTGATTGAATCAGTTCCACAAAGCCTAGTGCGCGGAGTGAAGAACTCCTTCGATCACGCCACAAACCCATTAAGAGCGAGTATGTTGTTGCCATTTCAGGACAGTGTCCTGGTCGAGAGGTTGCGTTCTAGTGGAACATGGAAGAAACATTCTCAACAGAAGAACGCGACGCCAACGCATCGTAACAGCTACTCGTGACTTACATCAAGTATGTACGCTAACAATAGTGCTGCAAGAGCAAAAGAGTATTATGGAATGTAGTAAGGACTTTATGTAGGTAAGACAGTAGGCATGCAATAGGCAATGATGGACAAGGCAGAAGCGTCAAGGTTATAAGGATAATAGCATTCAATAGGCGTAAGCATAACCAGACACACCCGGCGGACCAGCATTCGCAAACACAGCCCTGCGAGGCTGATGTTGGAGGTGCGAGTTCGGCTCGGGTAAAACTGGCCGCGGGGCGTGGCACGACCAGCGCTCGAGCTCAGCGAAGCGGGGAAGAGCAACCCGCGGCGGAGTCCACTGTCCGTGTCCGTGTCCACCATGGTCAGCATAGATGGCTCGTGGCGGCGTTGCTGCTGTCATGGGCGACGTCCGAGCACTGTGTGTGACAGCGAACAACCGGTGCGGGTGCAACTCAGCCACCGGGGTCACTTGCCGCTGCTGCTGCCGAGGAAGAACACAGCGAAGTCGCGAACGCTTTGTTTCGTCCCGCATACGGTCCCGCTGCAATTCACGCGCGCGCTGTTCTTCTCGTTCACGAGCGTCAGACAGAGCACGAGACCGGGATCGCGGCGGGGGAGAACGATAGTCGTCCGTCATCATGTCTACATCATCCTCGTCAGACCAGTCGCTCCGTCCATCGTCCGAGCAGCCAGAAGAGTTGCTGCCGTCGTCGTCGTGGTCGTCGTCCTGAAGGGATCCGACAGTTGACATGGGTGACGCAGCAAGCGCGTAAAAGTACAAGTCCTGCAATATGTCAGAAATCTAGCAGCTCGAGACCCATCATCTACGCACCTGCTCAACACCACTACCGGCTGCCGCATAGTCATATTCATATCGAGCAGCAAGTGTAGGCACTGGTCCACGCCCGGATCCAAAGCTCGGCTGTCTTGCATGCGAGTGCGATTGTGCCATAGGGACCGCGAGGGTTGGTCCTACAGAAGACGGCACAGCATACTGGGGCGGGTATTGCACAACCGTGCTCGGCGCAGGCGGCACATACGTGAACCCAGAACTGCGCCCTCGATCTCTTTCGGGTGGAAGGTGATATGAGACAGGGCGCGCACGCTTCCGTCCATCGTCGTCTTCATGCTGGAGAGACAACGATCCGAAATGTTCCAACGGTGTAACGCCGCCTGTCCCCAACGCCGGGGAGTGTTGCTGATGAGGATAGTGGTACGATGGCTGCCCTTCAACGGGGGAATACGAGTGCGCTCCGGCGCTCCGCGTTACGGCAAACGCCGCGGAATCCAGCGCCGAGGTCGACCCGAAAGACGAGGGAATGAGCACCGTCGGGGCAGGTCGTTGGGAATGCGAAGGTGGATGAGAGTGGTGGTACGAAGGCGGACTGAACGCAGCGGCCGCTGATCGTTTCGATCCAATCTCCATTTCAGCCTCCGCCCATTCCGCTCGTTCACGCGCAAATGTTTCGTCACCCTTCGATCGTCGCATCGCGGGGCTAGGACTTGGAGCACGGCGAGTCCTGCGGTGTGGGGTAGCATATACTGCATGCGGGTGCGTGTGCCGGACCCCGCGTCTCGAGGCAGACGCTCTGGCGCCGACGAGGCCCCGCAGCAGCCGGCCCCAGTCCTCGTACGTCTTTTTGCTGACGTACAAAGAGTACGCGCAGCCTGCGAGAAACTCGCGCTCCATCGTGTTGATTTGCGAAAGTGGAATCAACGAGATTGACGCCCAGGTCGCATTCGTATACGTATTGCTATTGACGCCCCATTAGAAGAGATGAGTGGCAATAGCACACATGACACGCACTCGTCCAGGAACTTGTTCGCCATCATCAACCCAGCGACGGCAACGCGAAATTCCGACCCCGGCTGAGCTTGAGCTTGGTTCGCGTCCCCGGCCGAGGCGACGCGGAGACGGTGGATGTAATGTAGCGCGAGCACAATCACCGACTGCGACACCTACACATATCAATCACATGAGCCTTCTTTCACTATCCGACTCCACATAACAACACACACCTGAGTCGTCTCGAGCAACTTTTGCACGAACCGCACAAACGTCGCGCTGGCGGCGAGCTGCAGCCCATTCGTTTTCGACCCCGTTAGCCGATCCCTGTCCGCATCCTCGGGGTTTTCTTCGGCCGCCTTGCGCTTCGGCGGGGCGAACCATAGATAGCAGATCATCTCGCAAGTGCGTTCCGCAACGACACGCGCCGTGTCGCGCGCGGAGCTCGATTGCGCCAGCCAATCACGCGTCCACGCGAGCGGTTCCGGCTCTTGTTCGGGCTCTGGGGGTGGTGGCGGCGGGGTTGGATGTCGCACCCCGGACTGGCGGTGTGGATCGGGATGCGAAAGCGCGTAATCCGACGCGTTGCGGTGCCCATCCGTAGAATACCGGTATCTGGGCTCAGAATCCATTGGGGAGGTATCGTCTGGGGGTGTCACTGCACGAAGGCGGAGTCAGTCGGGGTACGATGTTACAAGACAAAGAGGATGTAACAGTGAAGGGTGCAGATGCAATTGAAAAAAGGACAGGAAACAATGAAAGAAAAGGATTGACGTACAGAGCTGACTGTGTCCCTGGTACGAATGCCTCGTCTGCGATCCAGGAGACGTGCGCGGCTCCATGCCCATCTCAGTGTGCGTATACTGGTGGTGATAGCCTTCGTGATCCTGGTCGGCCTGCGTCGAATGCGGATGGAGATGCGGGTGGGATGGCAGGAGACTTCGCGCCCAAAGGCCCCGCTCGCTCGCAGGCGGCGTCATGAGCGCATGCGTAGACAGAGTGTAGCTCGCCAACTCGCGGGGAAGCGCGTTGAAGCCTATGGCTGGTGCAGTGGCGGCCATCCCCTGTACCAACTCGGGGTGGAGGAGGGAGGGGAGGAGGGAGAGCTGTTAAGTGATAGCACGGAAGAATAGTGGTAGAGGAGGGTGTGTGGTGCGGGCAATTGGGTGTGATCAAAGTAGGCGAGGTGAGTGACAGAAAGGGCTGGCCAGTCGCGTCGTCGTCAACGGCGGCAGAGCACAAAAGCACGCGGCACGTTTGCGCTTGTCTTGTCGCCCTTGTCGGAAAGGTCGTGCGTCGTCCATCCGGATCGTATATGTATGAATACAGTAACGTGCGCTTGCGTTTTTCGTTTGTCCGTGTCCGTCTAAATCCTGACTGGATTCGTTCGGGCCTCGGCAAGCAACGACAACAGCCACACAAGGACAAAAAAAAATTACTGCGTAACGATATTCGAAGCAGGACAGATCATCAAGGAGGCCGAATCCAGCCTGGCGCGCAAAAGCAAAAGCAAATTGCAAAAATAGGGACCACACGCTGCCGGATCCTTATCCCCATTGGGCTTCTCGTCTGGCCCGTGACTGCCATCCGGCGGTATGATTTCATCACGTGCTGGGGATTCCCCATAGCCTATCCCTTAGCAGCGCGTGACTTGCTCCCATATCGAGGCAAATGATTTTACTTGACAGCGTGGCAAAAATGAATTTCACCCTTTTTGGAGTAGAGTTCATCAACATGTGGGTCCGAAACTTCCCAGCCGACGCCTCTGGCGGCGAGGAGCTACTGTGTCTGTGTGCTTGCTCTACGAATCGTGTATGTATATGGACCTGTTCTTCCGTGTCCTTATCCCAGTGCTTACTTGTCTGGCTCTACTCGAACACGGCTATGGCCCTTCTGAGGCCATTCAATCCACTCCATTCCTGACTATCACCCCTCGGAACACTCCGCACGCGAATGATTGACCGGTAGCCACCGTGAACTGAGGTAGAATGGTAGTGCCTCGCCGGCCCCAGAACGAACATGTGCGTCTGAAAACATGCGATCCTACCCCTCTCTGCGTTCATCTATCTGTGGAGATCACCCGCAACAAGCAGACCACTCGCTTCCTGATTCGGACGGATTATGGTGCGACGGAGACTGCCGACCGTAGCCACCAGATTGCAGTACTTACCTCCCCCCGAGTTTACGGAATCCGAATGGAAGACTCGGTGGGGCTAACACGGAGTGAATTGTATCGAGCACGGTCTCACCGACACCACCGAACGCACGTCGCGAGTTCCCGGACCCAAGTACCACGGAAGGCCCTAATCATCATACTAGTCGACAGTGACGTCTGTCTGTGAATACGAGATCCGCGTAGTTATTGTTCAATCTGATCATCTGCATAAGGGTAGCGGCACGCCGGAACCAAGTTACCCTTCCAACCCGCACAGAGAAGGCATAACATAATGCCTAGCTAACGCCTGCCCGACTGACGGGAATCATTCAACAGCAATTGCGCAGAGCTGCAGATGGCACTGATTCATTCTTCTTGCTTAGCCCTGGCGAACCACACGCGAACGACAGCGATCCGCTGAGACTGTATTCCACACATATCGGCCGAATGTACCACCAGGATCTCCGACCGCGAGATACGGACCTGTTTGGGCTCACGTTTTTACGCGCGGGTAAGTACTTGCTTTGCAGTGGGACACGGATCAATCGCGAGAGCCTGGCATCAGACTCTGACCAGGAACGACTCGCTTCGCGGGAAGGCTAGTTCGTCGTCACGATCTAGGCAGGCAGTGGCGAACCGTCGAATTCATTCATAATCACAAGTCTGGGCGCTCCGAACAACGAAGTAAAAACGAGCCTCCCAATCTCCATCCGGTCCAACACGTATGCGAGCGAGCACACAGCTCCGACGGATCGAGCTGTGATGCATCGCAGGAGCAAAGGCGTCCGAGATGTCCGGGACAGTTGTACATTTAGACTTGGAACACTACTTGTGCCTACCAACTTACCAGTGACCCAAGACGGAGATGGGCGGCGCACGTTAGTTATCTAATCAACCCAAATCATGCCACCCATCTCACACGCCCGGGCGAGCCGAAAAACCCGATCCGCACGCGAGGCGGAGATGCGTGGAGATGCCTATTCCAACGCATCTTCGCCGTGTGTGACAGAATGGACCCACGCAACCTACCGCCAGGCGTGACGATTCTCTGTGATGTGATGTGATGACATCCCATCCATCCATCCACGCATGCTTGTTGTTCAAGGACGGCTACATTGCAGCAGGGTTATCTGGGGCTCAGAGATGCATCCAGGCCCACACATGCAGGACGAGATGCGATGAAGATGAGGTGCCGTTTCGCCGCCAAGGCCGGAGTGAGACCGCCCCATCGGAACTCTGCTTACACGAAACGAAACATCTGCGCAGTGGTTACAGGGTCCCCAAGAATCTTAACAAGAAACGTTGGAGCTTGGCTGGTCGGGTGCGTGAAAGGGGCTCACTTTATATATAATGCACGGGATGGGCTCGTATGTAATTTCGGTAAAATGGATCGATCAAGCCGGCCGTCGACAGGAAAGCAGCAGAGCGTTGTGCATCATCCGATCGATCCCTGATACGCATGGTTTGTTTCTTGCTCGCCAAGGCAGGGCTCGTCAAATGTATCATCCATAAAACCAGCCGCCGCCTACAGCAGTTCCCTAGAAGCTTTGCATTCATAGCATGTGACCGGTTGGCCAATCATCGCACATCGGCGTAAGGGAGGGGGATGGGATCTCACGTAGCCCCTTCATTTACGCCGACCGTCTCATACCGACCGAGAGTACATAAAAGGTCCTGATCCGAAGTTTGCCGGAAGGTTACGGCTGCTTTGGGACTACTGCACGTTACCTAATTCGGTCATCTGACTGGGTTCTCATTGATCCACAGAGTTGCATTTATGTTTGATCGTCTAAAAGATCGCATCGGAGAACCTTTCCATCGGCACGCGGCTCCAATGGATACATCGCTGTCTCCAACTGACTGAATTCCCGATGATCAGTGCAGTCAACCCAACCGGATATCAACCGACGTTGGATTCTCACCGCTTCATCAGGATGCAATCATCTCGGTGAAGTTGCGGATATATGTGCGACATCTCTGAGCGACGAATTCCATCAAGGTATTTAGCGTAACGGAAGGGTTGCTAGGCTCTCGCATACAACATATGTGTCTGGCGTGGACAGGGACACATTGTTTTCGATTCGCGACGAATACCTAGACCGACACGGATTAACGGAGTAACGATAAGAAGGCATAGCGCTAGTTAAGATCCCGTGATTTCTGCAGCTCAAGTGAAGAGCGAACGCGCATGAGTCCACCTTCCAATCATACCAAATTCCAAGAACTTCTGCCCCGAACGACACACCACCCTCCTTGTTCTAGGACGTATGGAGAAATCAACATACCAGGTATGGCGCGGAGATCTCGGTCGCTGAGAGACTCATGAGTATCAATACCAGAACCCAACTCTCACGTGGGAGAGGGACATACGCGGCGGGAAGGCCGGTCGGCGGATAGCACCGATCGGCACGCGCAGAGCCTGAGCGGACTTTCGCCGCGGGTGGGATTACCGGACCACGAACTTTCTCACGGACTAACACTTAGCGTTGGTGCGTGCAAAGCATCTCAATTCCAGCATTGCTCCGGGGGGTCTGGACCACAGCACGGCCGGTGACGCTCGGTACGATTCGCTACGCTGCAGCATCACGGCCGAGGGTTTAACGTACACGCAGACACGTCGCATCGGAAGACATCCAGGGAACATCTGTCTGTCCGTCTGCGCCAGGCCATGGTAGAAGCAGTCTAGAGAGATTAAGATGCCGGGAGCACACTGCAGCCGTATACAATCGACAACCCCATAGCGCCAACTTGATGCTGATTCAGAATCAATCTTCTGAACCAAGCACCGTTCCCTCGCAGCGCAGATTCACACAGAACCAATTTCCTGAATGCGATGACCGACAAAGGGAGCTGTGCACACCGGCTTTGTCCTGACGCACGCATCACAGGCTCTGTCCCTCCCTCTCTCTGGCTTCCTTTTCCGTTCCCCCAGTCTGGGCGTGACACGCGGAATCAGTGCACTGGCAGTTGTCCTCCTCTTCTCCGCCTGCGAGCATTGCACTGTGTGACCGACCGCACTTCTCCCGTCCCTGTTCTCCCATCTGTCTTCTCCTGGACCTGACCTGTCGCATGCAAAGCCCAGAGCACCTGTAGCCGATGCGCTGCAGGCTGTATGTACGTCACAGAACAAAGCAGCATCAAAAACGGACATGACTCCCTCCGTTCCCCGAATCGTTCTGGGGGGAGAGCCACCATGTCGGAGAATTCACACCGCATGCGCTCTTCCATGAGCGTGAACAGCATGCTCGTTCGTGATGGGAGTGAAGGAACGAACTTTGACTAGTACATGCTGTAGTGCTGAGTCCCAACTTTCGTCCTTTTAGATCATGATTTCGACCGAAACTCAATGCTCTCACGGACTAATATGGGTATTCGACAAGGCATGTGGCATCGGCCAACTAAGTAGTTTCTGACCGCAATAACTGCATGTTTGCACGAAGACATCTCAGTGAGCCGTAGTAGCGCCCATCTCGCAACAACTCTTCTAAACCACGCAAGGCATAGACAAGGATCGACGCGCAAGGCATCAGGCAGAGGGTGTATCACCGCTCCTAGCTGCCCGCAATCACACTGAACTCACATTATCACAGTCAAGTCACTCCAATGTGGCGATGGACAATCACTGTGATCAGCGCGGGAGGTCGAAAATTTCCGATTGGCACGCGCCGTCGGACGCTCAAATTGTGTGCGAGTAACCGCGGGTGGCCGACTGAGCGATTGAAGCAGTCCTGGACCCACGCAACGCTCCACCAACAGGAAGTGCCGATGGATCATCAAGATGGGTCTGGGCCAGTGAGCTTCATTCCACATGCCCGGGTCGCAGAAGACAAAGTAGTCGTTCAAAATCTGTTGCCGCAGGCGGTTCGGGGAAGGGATCTGATAGTCAGTCGGCTGCCCGATTGCGCCGAGGATTTAGCACTTTCAACAGCCCGCCTTACATATGCATGTCGATTGGAAACCCGTCTTTGAGAATATCTGTCGTGTGTCAGCATGTTCAGTTTGCGGTGAAACCAACGTGGGAGCTAGACCGGGCGGGCAGTGCAGGACTTGTAATGATCCGGGAGAGAAGCACCAAATCCGGTCCAAGTTTCGTAGCGGGGACAGTGCGAGAGAGAACCTCTGTTGTCTCAGATAGCAAGATGACGGCCATGGACAGTCAAAGAGGCACCTGATTGTTCACTCCGCCGGCAGAGTCCGTCTGCGGCCCTGCGGACCGATGACAGCCCAGCCTCTGTTTCCGCGTCTTTTCCCACCGACACAAATGTACAACTCTCTGTGCTTCATTTCCTGTGTGTCGAGTATGAGCTTGACGCGCACAATCAGTTGTGGCGCAACTTCGCCTTCTATGCATTGCCCGCGCAGCCAACTCGGCAGGGCAACGGCACTGCTGGCACCGCTTCCTGCTTGTGCTGCACCTGGCCGACGTCCGGTGGGCGGTGCCACACGTCTAGAAACCAGATTACACATGCTGACTGACCTGTGGCACTTCGTGCGGCTGTCTCGAATGGACGGCGGAGGAGTGAGTGTGGCTCGTTGACATACCCACCGCCTCTTGTTCGGGTGTTCGTTCGGTTCTGTGCTCTCGTCGACCGCAACCTGCGCAGTTCCCTCTGATGTTCTGTCATCCGCTTACGAACCGGCTCGCTTCTCGAAACGGACGCCGGGTCCTGTCAACGAATCCGGGCCGGTGTCAAGACGACCTGTGCCACGTGGTCGCCGAGCATATGAGCTGACCTAGTTGGATCAGGTCTGACATTTGTAAATCTCACTCGGATTTGTGGCTGACAGATCAGGAGTGGTCATGCCTGTTTCTCGGGTCTTCAGTGCAATCTGTTCCTTCCTGCGCGCGGCCATCGGATTCTCTCCAGGGCTCCAGCTGGCTCCAGGAATGAAACACGTTTATGATCCTTGATCGACATCCTCTGCGATCGATGCACCTCATAGCCGAAGTTACTGTCGGACAAGCCCGGGGCGTGGCACCCGTCACATCCGCTTTTGCAGCCTTGATCGCACCGGCCTCTGGCTCCTTGATCCACATCCGCAGAGCATTCATTCATGAAATCTGGTCTGACTATACGCGGCACTCTTCTATCTATTCCCAGCAGTATCCGACCATCGCTGTGCTCTGCGCACGAGCCAACATGAAGAATCCTGACCAGTGGCGTGCTCAAACCCAGATCCACCGCACGTTCTCTATCCGGCCCACCCCCAGCGCCGCGAGCTTCCTGAATCCAGCCTCCGTGAAATCTAGATCGGCCGCACCCGCACAGCCTGCGCAACGGTCCTCCACGGTCACGGTGACTGATTTCCCGCGATCTGGGGGTTGTAGGCAGGCATGAGTGTTCCCAACAAGCCTAATGAAATTCGGACGGGAGAGGAGACGCACAGGTGGCTTTGAGGCGTTTACCGCAAATGGGGTTTCTGGTGAAGGGTCAGTAAAGTCAATAGAACTGCCCACCGCTTGGAACCACTGACAGATTGGGATTCGTGACCTTCGAAGCGCCGCTTCAACAATTTATCCGTTCAGTTGGCAAGTAGGAGCTACATGAACTCAACGGCACGTACGGGTAGGAATCGAACATGCCGTGTCCTACTGCCACAATCAGGTCCCCTCTCCGGTTAACTCGCCCGCAAGCACCCAGTCCAGGCACGTAGAACGTCCCTGCGATCGCAGCGAATCAGTGGTTGCGTGAATCTGCACAGAAACCATTCACCGTCCCCGCTATACGTCGCTAGCGGAGATGCATCGACACTCGCATCCACCGGTGCCGAATACGCCCTGCCCACCACGAGGAAGAGCAGCACGGCGATCCTCGAGAGCATTCTATCAGGGTCGGTGGAGCAGCAGCAGCAGCAGCAGGACACAACTGTTCTGATCGGCCTCTTCTCAACCCAGGGCTGCTTTTCAAGAATCCCACTAGCCGCATGCGCGCCGTTCTAGGCTCTCCCGTGTCCTTTCGCGGGCGGCGGCGGCAGTTTTGCATTTGAATTCGAATCGAACCCTAAGTGTTGGATAGCGCTGCTGCGATCAAACGGAGCGAGGCTGCGGCTGGTGCTGCTGCTGCCGAAGATGGCGGGAATTCAAGCAAGCAAGCGATGGCTTGAGCGCGGTGCGGACTTCGTCTAGTGTATTTTTTTCGGCGCCGCCCTACGATCATTTCGGATTCCGGGGTCATGAGTCAAGAGCATCCGAGATAGCCCGAAGATGAGGAGCTACAAGTATGCGATATGTCAGTCTTGTATCCATGTACATGGGTGTCCAGACCTTCTGTGCGAAAGATCGCCGCAGCTCTATCTAGGCGCTGATAAACCGCAACAGGATTCAATTCAATGTGTGTTACATACAACAAGTGATTCAAGGAGAGTATGATGTGCGAAATGCGACGTACGAGAGTGCGACCGCACGTAGAGTAACCTGTGTGTACAGTGAGGTACAACAAACAATAGCAGAGCAGAGCGAGCTCGCTCTTACAGCTGAGCGTCCTCTTATTAAGTTATTTTATAATGCAAGCTAACGGGGACGAAGAGGAGGGGGGAACGCGCCCAAGAGATGTGGAGAGTTGAGTTGATTTACACGCGAACGTGATTTCGCGATATGCCGCTGAAAACACAAGTCAGGCGCATGATCGACCAGCTGAGCTCGCCCCACTCACAAACTCACACTGAGTCCAGCCCTTCACACGCAGTATACCACGTTTCATCCGAAACACCCGACATGACGCTCCCCGCCGACGAAGCCAAGCGTGGGGGGGTCTTGAACGGAAACGGCGATGACGCGCGGTGGCGCCGCGGTGGCGTGACCGGGGGCGTGGGGAAGGCGTCCAGGGCAGAGAGTAGCGATCGCGCGTCTCCATCTGCGTCATCTTGCTCGTCTCCGGAAACGTCACCCTCTTTCTCGGGCAGCAGCGGCTCCGAGAGATCGTCGTCATCACCGCCGTCGTCGACAACCCCGTCGTCATGAAACCCGTAAACCGTCCCGGCGTAGCCAGCGGAATACGGGTGCGGCGGGACCGCACAGACCGGCGCGCATACATCCATGCACCGAGCACGGGGCGGCTCTGGGATCGGCCCGGCGGGCACGGGTCTGATCGGAGGAAGGTCCCGTGCACACTTGGGCGGTGGAGGCGGGGGCAAGGGCGAGGGTGCGGTGAACGACGCGGGGAGGGTGAATAGGGAGAGGGCTGAGATCGAGGGGACGGCCCGGAGGCTTCGTGCACGCTGGCGAGGAGAGGAGGTCGACGACCATCGCTTCACGGGTGGTTTCGGTAGCATGTATGCGGAGGATGAGAATGAGAAGGTCGAGGTGTCGGATGCGCACGCGGACGCGGATTCTGACGATGAGAAGGACAGTGCTGAGGATGAGGATGAGGTGGAAGATGATGAGGTGAAGGTGGAGGTGTCGCAGGACGACAGGGAGGCCCCAGGATGGACTCGCTCCGTTGCCACCACAAGCGGCACGTACGGCACGAAGCCCTCACTATCCGATTCCGGCTCCGGTGCTTTGAGAATCAGAGAGGCAGTGGACGCGGAAAAGAAGCCGAGCCGAAACGATGGGCGGGCAGCGAGCGTGAAGCGATGTTTCAGGCGCGTCAAGAGGGTGCGTGATTTACTGATGGGTGTCGCAGTGTGGGAGGAGGAGGAGGATGCGGATGCGGAGTAGCTGGAGGTGGAGAGAGTTGCGAGAAGCCCGACCGCAGAAGAAGAAGAAGAAGGAGGAGGGGACCCAAGCACGAGCGAAGGTCCCGGCGCGTCGAGGGCGAGTGCGCGTTCGACAAGGGACGCGAATTCTGGCAGCGACATTGGCTGCGAAGACGGCGGTGGAGAGAGAGAGGTGGGCGGACGCATCGCAGAGGCTCGGGGATAAAGGAGTGAGTGAGTGAAGGAGGGAAAGAAGGAAACGAATGTACGACTTGGATTCTACGAATCCGTCACATTCGGGCCCGCGTACGGGCTGCTTTATACTCAGACGTACACACATGCTCCATGCGGGTCGCATTGCGGGTGACAATTACTCACGTCGACGTCGCGCTCGGTCCAACCGCTAGGAAAGGGCTTATCGTTCCCTCATTCGGATGAAGTGGGCGAGGAGAAAGAGCGTGGGAAACCCATCAGCTGTCACCTGTCGCGCCTGTTCCTCGCCTGAGTCGCGTCTAGTTTCACCGGTGGGTGCATTCCACACGTCCGGTGGAGGGTCTGGATCCTCGACGCGTGCGGTGTGCCTTGCACTATGTGTCTGTGTGGGTGTGAATCTAGCTGCCTATGTCAGTCTCATTGTGACGCCACAGCAGTTTCATCCTCCAGCGGACACTTCTTTACAGCGGTCTCTGTGCGCTGCGACCGGGAGCCTTAGAGTTGTGTGGCATTCGGCAACCTATCCGTCGACGCGAACACTTGGCTTTCAGACGCTTCGAAGAGCCATGCACTCTGTGCTTACTTATAACCTTCCTCACCTTCCCTGCTCCACCCTTCGAGGCCGCTTTTCCTCCGGTCCGATAGTCCCCGACCCCGAGGAAACGAAACGAAACGCAACGAACCTGTCCGCTCGTGTCCTGCGGATGCGGAATCCACGAAAAAAAACTCCATGTCACTCACTGTTCCCGGCCGATGCTACTGCTACTGCTCTTTACTTCAGGCCGATTGACGCTTCCTCATCCGGAACGAATGTAGTCTAGGCAACTCCTGCGAAGGCCCTGCAGACCTGAAACCAGTTCTTGCTTCCCGGATCGCGTACATAATAACCACCGACGGGTCCGGAGCCCCAATCCAGCATGGAGCTGGACTGTCTTGGTGCGAAGTACTTTGCTGTGCTTGCCCAGTGACACTCGCGACCTCGAACCCAGCACATGAAGCCGATGCTTTATTTCTCAGATGTTCTGCTTGATCCCCGCGGGTGGTGCCATTGCGTCAAGCGTAACTTTGCAAGTAGCGGAAACCAGTCACTATCCGAACCACGGCGATATTTACCCACGGAGCATGCCCTTCTCTTTCTTTTCCTTGAGGACAATCACGTCCTAGTCTCACTCCTCTGCATGCCTAGCTTCCTCCAAAACGAAGTCAGCCCATCCGCATCACTCCAACGACTGACATTCGTTACGGACCCGATGCGCCGAACATCGAATCGATCAGGAAGCGACAGGCTATAATTGTGTTCCAGCAATCGAGGAACAGCTCTCGTTGCCTGGTATATGCGCGGTAGATGGGTTCCAACCAATCAACACACGCCATGCCGTTGATGCGCGCTACTACGCGGACAGGTGCGGACACGCCCCAGCAAACATTGTCTGCCCAGCTTTTCGCAGAAGCGGGGCTTGCTCTGCGCGTGGGCAGTTGCGGAAGAGAGTAGGGCTATCCAATATCGCTCAGAGACATATTCTGAATCTAGGCGGACATCCTGCCAGCACGCCATCCCCGCTCCCAGGTTGGCTCCCGGGCGTCTGAGTCTCCACGATTGACTTCAGTGGCGATAAATTGCAAGTCGAACTGAGCTCCAAGCGCCCGTGAGACAAACGCCGCCCGTATCCTGCGATGACTAACCTGCTGCGCGGTACATAAGTACTACAGAATCGCACCTACTCACCAAACAGCAAAACCGTCCCCCATGTCATCGTTCTGGACATCGCTCCGCGGCTTCGACCACGATCCCACTGCCCCGCTGCGGGAAGAGTTCGACCGCCTTGCGGAGCAGCGCGGCTGGAAGCTTAAGAGCGAAAATTACAAGCAAAACTGGGTGCGCTGCGCACTAGAGGAGTTCGGGTATCAGTTCGGGCGGGACGAGGACCGGCTGGCCGGATGGCAGGCCCTATGCGCAATAGTCGGCGTCACAGACGTCCCCGACACGATCGTCGGATGTCGGGCCGTTCGTATTCCCACTCACCGGCTATTTTGGGTGTTCACTCTCTCTTGCAGATCATGAAAAAGACCTGGGTGAACATCTACGACCTGTTGGACGCGCAGCGCACCGGGGGTCCGGTCGTCCAACACCGCACAAAACACGCGTTGCGGGTCTACTCCTTACAAAATGAGAAGATCTTCCCAAAGGAAACCGCCAAAGAGAACCGATTCCTTGCCGTCCTGCTGATAGACATGTTTGCACGAGCCCGGCCGTAGTGCGATGGAACATCAGGATCTGTAGTAAGACTCGTGTTGGGGCTATCTTCAATGTCGTTTCTGACAAGTCCGACCCCGTGACAAACTCTTCCACGTGTCTTTTACATGCCCCTCACATGGCCTCGCGTACAGGTTTGTTTACCAACAGTTGTACTTACAGGAATGGTGACCTAGGATATCATTCCGTCAGTCACGACAGACCACTAACAAAAGAAAATCCTTTAAATTAGTCTCATGATAGAATTCAGCCTTTTTGGCACCCTCTAAGCAGCTGTTGGGACTAGTGACCTGTGATGATCAACCCAACTTCGTCTTCCTCATCTAGGCTATATGTGGATGGTAATTTGAGCAGATGAGTAAATCATAGTTCCCAATCGATACAAAAGTGTCAACTCACAGGGAAAACGCATTCGTCCCAGTGCTAAAAATCGGTTGCGGAGCTTTGCAGGTCGAACTCGAATCTGGATACGAGTCCCGATGGTGTGTGGTTCGCTTTGCAAATTCGAGCATCACAGTCTGAGGATTTTGCTTGTGGATCTTGGAATCGGTAGTGCGTCATCGACCGCTTCTGTCCAGTGGACCCAATGCACGCGGGCATATCGGGTGCCTTCTTCGCTTCTGATGAATTTGACAGGGATCCGACAAGGCTAAACAAGTTCAGCGCGACTCAGCCACGACATATGTATTATGTGTCCATTTCACATATACTTGTGCGAGAGCAGGCAAGCATGAGGATCAACCAAAGTCGTGGCACGCAGACAATATGCACTTGGAAACTCCCAAAAAACCTCAACTGCCTGACGTTATACTCTAGTATCGCTCGCTATCAGAGCCAGGTGAACGAATACTGAGCTATTTGACCGATTGGCGTGTGTTCGCTACCGCTCAAGTCGTCATTCCGGCTGCTAATTCCACTTCAAATCTAAACTCCACCAGTGATTAGCCCCGATGCAGGAGCCATGTCACGGCTGATTGGCTCATGTCAGTCATATATAAAGCCTCCATGCCGGGTGAACAAATGGCATCTACTCGACTTGCCTTCTCCGACAATGAGCGACCCAATGAAACTTCGAATCTCCCGCTACATCAATATCTCTGAAGCGCGCAGCAGCACTATTGCTGAGTACGATCGCGCGCGGGCTGCGTACTTTCTTTCGGACTCGGCAAGCCAAGCGGGCTCGGCTGTGAAGGAGGAACTGATCAGTACATGCGTCGTAAGCTATCTTTCGCACAATCCCAGTACACTCCCTGTGCGGGCTGATGCTGCTCCAAAGGCTGCTATCGGCGTCGGCAGCCCTTCTATCACATGTGAGTGCTCTCGGTTAGATTCATATTCCCACCGAACCAAGGGCATCCACAGATAATCTGATCGTCGACACCGACACCATACGGACCTGGGTTGGAGCTTCGAGGGATTATGTGTCCACGAGCACCTCCAAGAATTCCGGTGCCAGCGTGGTGCGTCGGTCAGCTAGCCCAGTACCACTCATCCATTGATTGCATATCAGACCTTTTCACGGGGCCTTCTTTCGCTCTCTGGTGAGGATACCGAATTCGGCCCCCGATTGTTCCTCTCTCAAAGCATTGACGAAGGTACCGAGTGGACGGATCAAGTCACTCTTGCTCCGGAATTGGTCATTACAGGCCAATCTATCGGCGTGGCATCGAGTTCCAGTGGGTTCGGCGACAGTGAGTCCCGCTCTTCCATTTGATTATGCAAGCCCTGATATCCCTGATTGCAGTTGACGGTGTTTTAGGGTTCGTGCCACGCGCATGAACGCAGATCGATGCTGACAATCGTTTCCCCCCATCAAGCCTCGGACGAACCGCTCGGTATGAAATACTAATCCCCCGGACGACCCAAAGGACTGACCTGTCCATTGTCGACAGCAATGAAGAGACTGTCCCGACGATGATGGCTAGTCTTTTCTCCCAGGGTGCAATCTCGACCGAGGCTCTCGGGTTATCCCTCATGCCGCGCTCTGCCGATTCATACGGCGGCGAGATCTCATTCGGCGACGCGGACACCACAGCCATCACGGGCGACGTGACTTACGTGTTCGTCTCTTCTGCCATTGCAACGCTCGCCAGCTCAGACTGAGTGCACCGACCAACAGACCCATCACCTCGACCGCTCCCGCGTCAAGCTACTGGGGATTCGATGCCGCTGCAACATGTGCGCCCATTTCTCACGTGCAATTTTTCGATAACACTCAATGGAATCTGAAGATGGCGGGAAAGAGCTGCTGAACAGCGTTGGCATCGTCGACATAGGCACCACTCTCATCCTCCTCGCGTCAGACTCGTTCCAGGAGTACCAGCGCGTGACCGGCGGCGTCCTCGACACCGAGACTGGCCTGCTCAAGCTCACCTCCACAGAATTCGAGGCCCTTGAGACCCTCGAGTTCAACATCGGTGGGACAACGTTCTCGCTGATGCCGGGAGCGCAGATCTGGCCGCGCGCTCTGAATGCTTCGGTCGGTGGATCCGAAGATGCCATCTACCTCGTTGTTGCTGATTTGGGTACGTGTCCTGTCGGTACTTGAGGTGTAGGAGAGATTGATGATGATGCTTTGCGTCTGCGTAGGCTCTCCGAGCGGGCAGGGGTTGGATTTCATCCTCGGCCAGGCGTTCATGGAGCGATTCTATACTGTTCTGTACAGCACAAACGAGCAGGTCGGGTTTGCGACCACGCCCTTTACTGAAGCCGAGACCAATTAAGCTGTTCGCGTTGTGCAATCAGTAGCGATTGGGGGCTGGAGTTTTCTTGTAAAGCAATTACGTCTTGGGCCACTCTTCAAATTTTATGTATTTCAAATAAATCCATAATGCGTTTGGATATGATGAAATGAGTCCTTGCCGTTGGTTCTGTGAAAGAAACGGGTTAGATGATGAGAGATGCGATTCCAATCATTGCATCTTGCGCTCAACATGCCACAACAGAGTCCCGTGACCGTGACATGAGACGGGCGGGCACGTTCTTCGACTCGTTCCTCCCCAGCTGCTTTCCCGCCCATCTCCACGATAGTCGTATCACGAGCCACGGCGGTCACTGCTATCGAGTCTCGCCCTGCTCCTGATTTCCTCAAAAGAAGCGCATCCCACATCTCTGCCGTCGCCGTCTTCATACCATAGCGCGCGCTGACGCGTCTTTGCCTCAGGTGCTTCAAGCTACGACGCTGCAAATCCTCCAGGTGCGCTTCCACGGCGGCCGATGCGCTTTATTCACTGATACACGCGCCGGGTCGCGCATTTAGTTTGAAGATACGCTCGCGGGTGCTCCTGCAGCCAAACGCGCCCAGCACACCACCGCTGGTGCCGACACACCTTCTCCCGGTAGAGACACTGCCTCTCCGAGCAAGGCAGACGACAAGAAGCCCAAGATGCAGGACAATAGATCCTTGATCGGTATGCCGACAGAATTTGCCATGCAGCCGAAGTGACTGATTGGTCGTACCCGCAAAGCGTCAAGAAGGAGTGCAAGTCCGACAGCGTCAAGTTTCAGGGTTTGTTAAAGACCCCGAAAATCGACGGGGTGTTGCAGTCGTCGAGTTTGAAGCGCTGTTCCATGGCTAGGGCCATGCTGTTCCAGCCGACCAAGGATCACAAGCCGAAGAGCAGGTCCACTTGGCGCGGCTCTCGATGTTCCTAGCGACTGGCAGGTAGAAGCTGATCGATAGACGTCTAGACAAGCGCGGCACACGTCCGCGAGACTTCTTCAAGGAGAAGCCGCAATCCCTGAAGGGCAATATCGGGAGCCACAGCGGTGCACAACCGTCTTCCTCTGACTCTTCACTTTCCGCTCTACATCTTCAGCCTGACGGGAGAGCCCAGGTATCCCGCAGCGCACCGTCGGGACCTTCGGCGGCAGAGGCGGCCAGGGCAAGTCCGTCAAGCAGGGCAGCGGGGACGTCGAGATCGCCTCCGCCGAGGCCAACTGCTCGAAGACAGCCGTCAAGTGCTCGATCAGGCTCGAGGGTAGCAGGTTGGAAGGTACGGCTGCTATGATGACGATTGCCAGATTCAATCTGTTACCGCATGGGAGCGCTCATCTTATTCCCATGTGTCTTCGCAGTGGAGGCGCCCTCGCTTCTGTCCTCGCGCACGTATGGTCGACTACCCTATCTTCTATATCCTACACGCCTATATACATGTACATCGAGCGATATCTGTGCCTCGGGCCCGAACTACTCGAAAACGACCTCAGTAGATTGACTTCATATCGTTAGAACTTGTATTTTCTCGAATTGGTATTCTTTGCAATAGGACATACTTCACTCTTGCCATTCATCAATTAGATGTGGGCCCCGCTTCACCTCGTAAACCAATCCCTGAGTTTCCTGCAGAACTTTCAGCTGATACATGCTCTGCTCGCTCAGCGTCATGCTCCCAGCTGTGACCCAAATCTTGATAACTCCCAACTTTCGACATTTGGCGCCGTCCGATGTTGCCCGAGACTTGATCATACGCATCAACGAGCCCTGTCTGACGCTTCGTTCGTCGAAAACGAGCGTCAGATCCGTCACGTTCGGTCCCAGGCATTGCGTGCTATCTGCTCGGACAGTGAGCTGCGACACCATAGCTTCGGCCTCCTTATTTGAGCCACACTGCAGTCCGAGTGAAACGATCTGAGGCGCAGCGGCGAGAATGGCAGAAACACTCCGTGTTGTAGCCCACGCAAGCCGCAGAGTGCGGAGTTTGTGAGTCTGAGCCTGCGAGCGCTCGAGGAACTGGAGCAGGTGTGTCGGACCTGTGTCGATCGTATATACCTCTTCGAGGAGGGGTGCATTGAGTACGTCAAAGAAGATGATTTCCCGCGTGAACATTCGCCGCAGAGCAGGCAGCTCCACGTCGATTTGAACCGTGGATAAGATCGCCTCCGCCTCCGTTTGGAAGTCCACCGAAGCCCATTTAAGACCTGGCGTCGACTGCAGCAGAAGCAGGTGTTGCGGGCGATGAATGGCAAGATGGAGGCGAGTGAGCTGTCCCCAGGGCAGGGCAATGGGATTGGGGTGCCGGATGCTAGCAATGTTGTCTAAGGACACATCGCACAGTCGCGGAGCAAGCTCAAACGCATTGACCGTGTCTCGGTAGTCGACACCGTCGCCACTGTAGTCCGTCGCTGCCGGCAGACTGAGACCAAGGAAACGCAATTGAGGCAGCCGCCCCCTCAGGACCGATAGCCTATGTACGAGGCTAGGCCTCATATCCATGCTCACTGCAATCCAGCGCTCCGACACATCCATCAGCATGTCCAGCACGGCCAGCGCCTGCTCCTGTCGTTCCTTCCCCCCACCATATGGCATCCAAAACCTGACCCGAAGCGGCTCGGCGCCGGACCGCTCGATAAGCGTCTTGATCTTCTCGCAGGAGCGGCCGTGCGCGATGACAGACCAAAGCCCCGGCAGGGCGAGTGCCAGAGCGCGCCAGTGCTGACACACGTGTCCAAGGTACCACGGCGGGTACACGAATTCTGCTAGTGGGGCTTCTTCCAACACAGCGAGTAGAATCTTTGACAAGATCTCGTTCGGGATGCGCTGCAAGACATCTCGCACGGACGAGTCATTGGCGAGAAGCTTGAGTGCAGGCTCTTGGCCCTGGGCGAGATCCAGGATTTCGCCTTGCGAGGACGCAGTGAGTTGACGATGGGTTTGGGACTGCTCCTCAGTCAGTGAGGTGCTGCTGTATAAAGCTTTGTCCGCTGCTGACGCAATAGCTGTGGAGAACATTTGACCGAAGCTGTTCCGATCACCTATCTATCACACCAATTCGCGTGACAGGGGGGGAATTGCTTTGACTACGTACCGGCACCAGATCTGAAAGGATCGAGCATTACAGTCCTCACTTGAAAAATAAACTCACACAGCTCAATTTATCTATTCATGTCCCTTCGACGATCCTGTTCTCTGCATGATTATTACCCTCACCCAGTCTGGTTTAAAAGTCCATTCGCTATGCCAGCACATGGAGTTGTTCAGTAATCCTTATAGTCAGTCTTTTCTTTATTTTCAGCAATGATTGGCTGTGCTTGAAATGAGCTGCATAAGCTCACTCTTCACCCCACCGCTGAGTAGATTTGTCCAGCCTTCACCCACTCCCATTTCTTGGGCGTTGTGCTGCTTAGAATATGCTGGTAGATTTTTGTATCATGTTCCATTCAAGTCCTGCACCATACCTCGAAATCAACAGAGAGGGTCACTTGGGAGTAACAGCAGAGGCTCTTAGCATGGCCCTTCGTAGCTGCGACTGCGCCAACTTGCTCTGACTTGATAGAGATAGTACAGGAGCTACGCCACGGCGCAGAAGAAGGGATAGTATTTACATATTGCGCAATAGCTACTTGATGAGAACTGTGGCGTGAACGACTCCAGTACAAGATATTCGACCAAAACTATCCCCGTATCTAGATGTAAATTCACGAACGATCGCCTTCTTGGCTTCTTCGTGAAGGGCTTCCGGTATGTAATCGAGACGCCAGAAGTTTCCAAACGAACTAGCGCTGATCCAGGACAGCAAGGCGTCCACGTCGTCGAATGCCAAATGCATGCGCAAGAGGGTGATGGACGGATGAGCGAACCCTGCCCCAGCAAAGATCTCACGAAGTCGTTCCTCCGAGAACGACGTGGATAAGTAGGTCGGAGTGAACGCATTGAAAGGCGGCACGGAGAGCGCGTCAGCCTTCGGCGACGACAGGCTCGCTCCAGCGACTGGGGTGGTAATCCCAACCCGCCCTCCGACGCGCAAGCGTTTGTGCATGGCCTTGAGTACGACAACTGGGTCACTGAGCCAGTGGAGCACAGAACTCAACAAGAAGATGTCGACCTCGCATTCCACGCGGCTGTCAAGATCCTCGGCGCTGCAAACGTAAAATTCGACATTCGCACAGCCCTTCTCCTGCACGCGTTTTTTCGCGATCTCGATGCGCTTATCCTCGGGATCGATGCCAATGACTTTGCACCCGAAGCGCTCGGCGACGTGAAGTGCGAGTTCGCCCGTTCCGCAGCCGACGTCTACCACCACCATCCCGCTTTGAATGTCTAGCTGTTCGAGCATCTTGAGGCCGAATTTGAACTGGGGCTCGTTCATCGCGGCGTACGCCTCTGCCAGCTCGGGAGTATCGTTATCAGTAGACGCGGTAGCCATGCGAAAGTGGGGAGCCTGGAGGAATGATCAGTTCAGATAAGCCAGGGACTCGGGAGTGTTGCGAGCCCACAGAGAAGATGGTCAATCTGGAAGGTAATGGGTACCTCTCGAGCACGCTCAATCTGGTATTTATATCTTCTGAAATATCGGTGCGAACGCGAGGGGCGCGGAAGGCCGATGGACCGCTTGTCTTCTGTAACGATTCGTGGTCTAGAGCCGGCACTAACATGCCATGCGCGCAATAAGGCGCGATATTCCTCTATGTGCTTCCCGCATTTGCCCTGATACTCAACAAAGAATTTGAACACAGGAAGCTTGGGAATCGTGCGGTCACACGCGATTCGGGTAGGGTTCCGCTAGGTCCCCGGTCACTGAGGCATACGTTGCTAAGGAAGTCAGTAAAACTTGGTCGAAATGACCGTTTTGCCCTCCGCAAAATAGAGTACGAGATGATCGAGAACCTGTCAGTCGCTTCGAAAATAGAGTGAATTCGGTTTCCGGTGAGAGATTTTCATAAGGTATGCCCCGGATGTGGATCTGAAATTTTCAGCCAGGTCGCGGACGGACATATACCCAAGTGACCGGGGACCTGTTCCGTTCATTACTCGAGCCGGATCACTCGGAGTAATTTACACAGCAGCTTCCTTGACGGGTTTTAACACATGTTGATCCTCCTTACGCATCGACGCTGAACTCAAAATATCTTTTCTGACCCGGGATGGGCAAAGAGATATAAAAGCAGCGCAGACATTAATCTCCGGGATACTGAACAAATATTTTGGGATTTAGCTCTTTGAATATGTCCGCATTGGGTCTGAAACCCTGTCCCCAAATGCACCATGTTGCTAACATGTAATCAACGTCTTGATAACACGGGATAAAACTGGTAATGTTGACACGTGATATAACTCATGTTAAAAATACATTAGCTATTGGCGGAACCGCAGAGTGCGGGCGGACTCTGACGAGGCAGCGCTGACAATGCATGGGGCGAGGCTACAATGGAAGACAAGAACCCCGCCGGCTCGAGCACATGTTCTGCAACATCGCGGAGGCGGAACCGACCTGCGGGCGACCGACGCGCGGGCACTGGAAAGTGACCATCAAGTGGGGGGGGGGGATTGGAACATCGTCTTGTGACAGAAATGTGACAGAAGGTTGTTGTACTCATCTCTCCTTTTCTCTTGTTGCCGTTACTCAGCTTGAACAAATGCCTCATGCGATATTCTGTGTCACATCTTATCGATGTGCCAACTCAGAGGGAAATGACCTGAGATGAGTGCAATGTCCAAAAGTCGAGCAGAAAGCTAGCCGACACTCCAGGGCGAAGTTACCTCGCGGCCACTGTTCATTATCATGCGTCTTACGTCCTCTCGTGTGCTTCGAACCCCGGATGCTGGCATTGCGCAGACATCTGTAACAAAAACCGGACCACCGATCGCGCGTCCCTACCTCAATAAATACTTGAGGAAGTCGGCGCTCCAACACGCGCTGCCTCTTCACACAAGAACACCTCGATACATCGCAGCTGTTTACCAGGATTTCTCATCCGTGCCGAGACATCTACCTCCAATGTCCACAGTCATCCGCACAGCAGATGACGCCGGTAATCCAATCTAACACCGTCCCTCGAGTATTCTGAGGCTGACGTGCATTCCTAGCAAGATTACGCGTCGCCTATCTGGGCTGTGGGCCGGGGACGAGTGCCTGTGTCATTTACTCGATGGCACATGCAAAAATCAAGCCTCAGATCAAGATTTGGGCTGCACCCAACCACCGTAAAGACTACAACATATTCAAGGCCGCCGGGCGTATCAAATCGGTCGGATTATACAATTCCGAGGTCACGCCGATATTCTGCGATGATCTCAACGACACAGTCATCGACGCAAAGTACATCATTATCACCATTCCGGCCGATGGCGTTTCTTCATTGATCAACACGTTCTCTCGCTTGGACTGGGACGACAAGATCGTCATTCTGATCGACTGCTTTTACCTGTATCCAATACTGCGGGACGTCTTCGCAGGCGCTCGTGTTCTCATGGCGAACTCCCTCCCCTTTGGGACGCGGATGGACGGTTCAGTGGTGAATATCTTCTTCAAAAAGGCAGTATTACAAATCGGCGGACCACCGATTCCAACCAGCACACAGCAGGAGGTCGCATCTTTGTTTCTTCCGCGCCTGGAATGGTGCATGGACGCCCTGCATTGCGCGCTCTCCGCGAAGAACGATGTTGTTCATCCCGGCCCAAGTCTCCTCATATCCGGTAACATTGGGCGGCTCGGACCTGATTTCAGGTTCTACAAAGACGCGATCGGGTCAGCGGCGGGTGTGAAACTCGTTCTCAAGCTCGATGAAGAGAAGCGGCGGGTTGTGGAGGCGCTCGGATATCCAGCTGAAGACTTCATCGACTATGCGAACCGCCTGTACGACACAGATTATCCGGACCTCGAAACCTTCGCCCGAGAATCCCGGACTCATAACATGCACCCATTTGCCCCCACATCTCTCCACCATCGCTTCATTGCCTCGGATATCCCGCAGGGCATAGTGCCTTTAATCAAAATTGCGAAAATTGCTGGCATTGACGTTCCAGCATTCACGTTGGTTGCGGTTCTCGCGGGTTATATCGCAGGCGTGGATTATTTTGCGACCGAGGCGACTGATGCAGCTCTGGGATTGACCCCAGGGGCATCGACGGTGAACGACCTTTTGCGCGCGTTTGACGCAACCCACCGAGTTTGAAGATGATTTTTGGAGGGAGCCTGTTCTCTCTACTGTTTTGTGCTATTTATTCTATGTAGAAATCGAATTCTCCTGACTTGCGACCGCGCTTTCACTGATCGATTGATAAAAGCAGGGTCAAGAGGTCAGTGAGATTTTTACAGCGGGGAATGAAGCGCCACAACGGAGAGCGCACTGCGAGCAGCGGTCAATGGTGTTGTCAACAAGAGTGGTCACAGGCCAAGCCCGATCAGCCAAATTCAAACTCCGACATACAGGCACGCCACTTACACAAGCCAGTCGGCGGTATGTGGCCGTTGAAGTCTGTGATCAATATACCACAACACAATATCTTGAGATCAAACGCGCCGCGAACGTTTCTTCCTTCCCTCCAGCTCTGCCACACAGTCCCACGATGACTACCGTGCCCTTCCCCGCCTCTTCTCATGTATCTGTCAAAGAAAACGCGTATCCTATCTCCCCCGTCGCGACACCCTCCATTGGCGCGTTGAGCAAAGCTACCACCAAGGGCCGGAAGAGGTCCATCACGCTCGTGGATGGCGGTAGGTCGCGTCTCACCTCCCTTCAACTCTCTCTGCATATCCCCGATCTAGCAGAGCTCGACTTGAGTGCAGCGCTACCGGTCACCCCCGAGGTCAGTTCCTCCCTCGAGTCCCAGTGCTGCAGAGTGCGCTGACGCGTCTTACGCGCAGTTGCTTCAAGCTATGAGGCTGCGCATCATTCAGGTGCGTTTTCACGCAGGCTGGTCACTTTCTCTGCTCATACGCGCGTCCCACACTTAGCTCGAAGACGAGCTCGCGGGGCCACCGGCCGCTAAGCGCGTCAAGATTGCCTCTTCCGCTGTTGCCGCTGCTGCAGACGATCAACCTGCTAAATCATCGAGCAAGGCAGACGACAAGAAACGAAAGATGCAGGTGAAAAAGATCTTTGATCGGTGCGTCGACAGAATCTGCCACTCTGATTGATACCGACCTACTTGTGAAGTGTTAAAAAGGAGTGCAAGTCTGACAGCTTCAAGTTCCAAGGCTCGCCGAAGACACTCAAGATCGACGAGGTGCTCGAGGTCACCGAGTTTGAAGCGTTGTTTGGCGGTAAGGGCGTGCTGATCCAGCCGACGAAGGACAACAAGCCGAAGAACACGGTGACGATCATCCACCTAGTACGTTGGGTCCCTTCTTTCGTCTCTCTATCTCTGTCTGAGGAGCTGTGGGTGACGGCTGGCTGATCGTCGTGCAGACAAACGCAGCGCACGTCCGCGACTTCTTCGGAGACGAGCTGAAGCCCCTGAAAGGCAACACCTGGAGCCGCGGCGGTGCGTCTTCATCCTCCTCATCCCATTTCTGCCGTCTGACACGATAGCACAGGCATCCCACAGCGCGGCTTCGGGTTCTTTGGCGGCGGAGGCGGCCTGAGCAAATCCGTTAAGCAGGGAAGCTGCGACGTCGAGATCGCCTCCGCCGAGATCAACTACTCGAAGAACGGTATGAAGTGCTCTATCAAGTTCGAGGTGCAGCAGGTTGGAGGGTACGGCTACTTTGATGACGATTGGTAGATTCAGTTCGTTGACGACCTGAGAGCGAGCAGTGCGTCCTCCCGAGAGGATTCACACGTCTCTTCTTTGCAATCCCGGGATACCTGCTCTACAAGTCCCCCTGACCCTATTACTCTGATCAGATACTCGTTACCAAATAAAGTTTTGGACAGTGTCTCATGTGGAGCAATGCGCTCCAACAACATGGCCATGTGACCTGAGCTTCGTGTGCTCAATATCTTACCATCTCTACTTCATACCACCGTGCCCAAAATTTTATCTCACCCTCGACATTCTGAGGAGAAGAAGAATCAATTTATTGGGGCAATGTTGGTTCAACCCGATATCAAAAGCCATGCTGCTCGATTCGGAATCCCATATGAAACTGCTCGTAAAATCTGGAAGAAGTATCAGGATACCGGTTCCGCCAAGAACAGACCTCCGAGTGGTCGTCCAAAGAAGGTCACTGGAGAAATGGAAGCCAACATCATCCAGACCGCCCGCGAAAATCGGCGCATGCCATTCGGTGACATTGGCAACATGATGGATCCGCCCATCAGCAACACGGCAGTTGGGAAGGTCCTGGACAGTGTGGGAATGCATCGAAGGGTTGCCAGGCACGTCCCCTTCCTCACAGAGACGCACAAGGAGGACCGACTTGAGTGGGCAACTGCAAACAAGGGACGGAGCATGCGCGCTTGGGAAAAGATCATGTGGTCAGATGAGTGTTACGTTCATTTGAATGGGACAAGTGGGCGGGTGTGGGTGACACGGACATCGGATGAGGTTTATGAGGAGAGCTGTCTTGTCCCGGCTTTCAAGCAGTCACCTGTGCGGGTCATGGTTTGGGGGTGCATTGCACATGGATGGAAGGGCCCGCTTGTCATTCTCAAATACCCGGGTGGGAAAGGCGGCGGAATGACAGCCGAGCGGTACCAGGATCAGGTCCTCAAGCCACATTTGATGAATGCAATCAACGAATTGCGTCAACAACGCAGTCGCCGAATAAAAATCCAGTTCCAGCAGGATGGGGCATCATCCCACACCGCACACTCATCGATTGATTGGCTAGAGAATCACAAAATCCCCATCTTTCCCCATCCGGCCAACTCCCCCGATCTTTCCCCCATTGAACCTGTCTGGCACGAGCTCAAGAAGTGCATTCGAGCTCGGATTCTGCGCCCCACAACGTTCGAATCACTCAAAACTGCGATTTTGGAGGAGTGGGAGAAATTGCCAATTGAAGACATAAATAAGTACACGGGCACAATGGTCAACCGTGTTCAGGCTGTATTAGATGCCGAAGGAGGTCACACAAGATATTGAGCCAGAAAAAACTGTATTTCCGTCCATAATTAGTGTGAATAATATTGACCGTCCAAAACTTTATTGGGTAACGAGTATTTCCACTATCCTATGTTCCATATCTCATGCGAGGATATACTCATGCACTATTTTGACTCTTCACTGATGCCTTACTAGTACTAATCTTGTGTAATACCTATACCTGCCTTATATGACTACGATGCACTGAATCTTGCCTCCGATTCTACTTACTTTCTTCTCGACACCGAAACCGTCACCTCAGTTACTCGCGCGATCAGAATATAATGGTCACTGCATCATTTGGAGCTGTGCGCTCCACCAACGCCGTCATGTGGCCTGAGATTGATGTCACGTAGACTACACACCGTCTTCTACCTAACTACCATGCCAAAATCTAAATCTCATCCCTACCACTCTGATGAGAAGCGAAACCAGTTTGTTGGTGCCATGATAGCAGATTCCCAACTCGCAAAGCACTCAAGGACCTTCAACATTCCCTTCCACACTGCGCGAAAGATCTGGAAGAAGTATCGCGAGACCGGATCCGTGTCCGACAGACCCAAGAGTGGTCGTCCGAAAAAGGTTACACCAGAGATGGAGTCCGAGATGGTGGAAACAGCGCGAGAGAACCGGCGGCTACCATTTTGTGACATTGGCAACATGACAGATCCGCCTGTGGGCGCGACAATGGTTGCCAATGTCTTGGATGGTGTGGGGATGCACCGACGGGTTGCGCGGCATGTCCCATACCTTACGGAGAAGCACAAGGAGGATCGGATGGCTTGGGCACGTCGAAATGAGGGGATGCGGATGCGAGGGTGGGAGCGGATTCTGTGGTCGGACGAATGTTACATCCATTTGACAGAGAGCTCAGGCCGGATCTGGGTGACGCGCACAGTGGAGGAGGTTTATGATCAGGACTGTCTTGTCCCAGAGCTGAAGGACTCATCGGTGCGCGTTATGGTGTGGGGATGTATTGCTCATGCATGGAAAGGGCCGCTTGTGGTTTTGAAGTACCCAGGGAAGTTGGGCCCTTGCAGAAAATATATTTTGCGCAATATGCAAAGTGAACCATGTTGAAGTGTTCTCTATATAGGAACATTGAGTCACTATGAGCTGTTTCCATGTTTCGAATTTCGGGCTGACAGAGGACATGAAGTGGCATTATATTCAACAAGAACAGCATAAGGAGACATAATTCCGATGGTTTTTAGCTGCATATATGTAAAAACAGTCTCAGAAGAGCAAAACATAGTTAGGTACAACGTTTATACAGGTCCTGATTGGCTACTGACTTGATGTGTTCCGGGCTGTCACTTTACATAATATTACATATTCGGAGATGGCAGGGGCTGAGGCACCGGTGTGGCGGGGGTGATGGCGGGGGTCAATCAGTGGCAGGGTAGTTGCGGGGGTGCTGGCGGGGGGGCAGGGGTGAAGGCGGGGGTGCAGGCAGGTGGTCATGGCTGGGGTGGGTAGAGACTCATTGGTAAAAACAATCAGCCATGTGTTTGCAGTGGGTCTTCCAAAAGATACAAGCCAAGACACAAGTTGTTAAGAGTTTACATGTCAAATTTGCACTGATAACCAAGCTCTGACTATTGTGGGACAACTTGCCAGTAAATACATCCTCTCACATCACACCGAGTAATGAATATAGTTCACCTCAAATCCACTCTATTTAATGAATTCATGCTGAAACCCAAGCAGATTGCTTGCAAGGGAACACACAAGTTTCAAACCTCAAGTGCATTCAGCCAGGAAGGGGGGGATGAGATGTGTACCTAATATGTTCTATTACAAGCTCCAAAAATGGATACCACTGTGCTACACATATATATTAAATGGGTAAAGCAAACAATCAATGAGTGGAGTGTGGACCCTGGTCTGCCAATCTACTATGCCACCCATCCTGCCAGCCAAAAAATGAGAAAATCACATGTTCTGCTTGACTTCACATGCCATGGATTATATAGGTAACATCATCCATTAATCTCCTACCCCCCACCGAAACATCGGTAAATCACATGACTTGACCTGGAGACCCAGCCAAAACATGCGGGCAATGTTGTGTATCTTTATCCCCCATTCCCTGCCAAAATAGAGAAAAGTTACGTGATATTCTACAACCCTAGCCAGAGTAGATACATCAAAATTTTGTGTAATCCACCCCTGCCCCTGCTCCCCCACCAGACCCCGCATCAGACCCCGCACCAGACCCCGCACTGGGCCCTGCATCAATTGCAATATCCAGTTACACATCTTCACCTTCTTTATTGGCTTTGTCTACCTTGATAAGATATTTCATAAATGTTTGTATTCTTGCCCTGGTGGTCAGCAGCACTACTGCTATGGCTGAAGGAGGTCAAATATAGAATATGCCAGACTGACCCCGCGGCAGACCCCGCCAGATGATGGGATCAAGCGCATCAACAATCCTATTGTGCAGGGTGCATTTGGGGTTTTCTAAGCTCAAATGCATGGTCAATTAGTGTATTTACCTATGGAAATTATACTGGGATGATTTAGAGAGGCTTCGATTTTTTTTTTTGGCGGAAAATCACGTGATTTTGCGCCCACTATCTGCCACAACATGCAATCTATCAAGCAGCACCTCCAAAATCATGCCAAATGGTGCGAAAAGGGGCCCCCAAAAAGTCACGTCGTGATAATGCGCCCACTGCCCGCTGCAGTGTGCGGGAGGGGCGGTAGCGCCCCCGCCAACGCCCCTGCCAACCCCCGCCATTTTGAAATTTTTCCTGCAGCTCATCACGTGATTTTCCCGCCATCCCGCCATCCCACCCATTTGGTGCATCATGTGATTGATTTTTTTTTCCCGCCCAGCTGCCCGCTCTTATGGACAAGTCACATGGTATGTATGGGCACCCCCGTCCTGACCCCCGTCCTGACCCCCGCCCATCCCCCTGCCCCAAAATGGCCAGCTGCCCCCTGTACCCCCGCGGGGTCTATATGGGGGGTTGGCGGTGGTAACTGAGGTGGAAACCGTCCTGACGATCATGCTTTGCAATGAACCTACTGGCCGGAAACGCCCTATTGCGCTGTGCTGGCACCAATGATCCCTCCTCCCCTACCGTCTCTTGCTCTGACATACGCGATCAGCCTGTTCCAGACCAACGATTGCGGAATCTTGGTTCCTGCTGCTATCGCTGGCCACGGGAAACACTGGCATTGGACCACTTCCGTGGGCGCTCCCGACCGGCACATCGTGCTCTCCATCTACTATATGGGGGAACAGTTTCTGCTTAATCAGCGGCTAGTGGATCGCGCACGGGCTGCTCGTGTCAACAAGGCACCTTCCTATGCAAGTTGTGGATCGTACAAGATATATGGATGGCAGAGTAAGCTATTGCACGCACTCGTGATCGCCTTCAGCTGATGACTGAAGACTTGGTATGTTTCGCGCTTGTCAGATCCTATTCATTCCGTGCTCTCCATATGCTCACGTACAAGACGAACGCATGGGAATGAAACTGGAGGTCGATCGATAGATCACCAGACTCTGCCATAAGCACTCATGAACGAGATTTCTAATTCAGTTCGACACCCGTTCGCACAATCTCCATGTGGAGGACAGGCTTCAATCGTCCCAGTCATCTATGAGGTTTGGACCCCACTTCACCTCGTAAACCAATCCCTGTGTTTCCTGCAAAACTTTGAACCGATCCATCATCTGCTCGCTCACCGCCATCGTCTCAACCGTAATCCAGATCCTGGTATGTTCCAGCTTTCGACATTTGGCACCGTCCGATGCAGCCCGCGACTCTATCATACGCATCAGCGCGCCCGGTCCAACGATTTGTTCGTCGAAAACGAGCGTCATATCCGTTACGTTCGGCCCCATGCACGGTGTAGCATTAGCTTGGACGGTGAGCTGCGACACCAAAGCATCGGCCTCTTTATCGGAGCCGCAGTGCAGTCCGAGTGACGTGATCTGAGGTGCGGCCTCAAGAATAAGAGACACAGTTCGCGTTGTGGCCCACGCAAGCCGCAGCGTACGGAGTTTGCGAGTCTGAGCCTGCGAGCGCTCGAGGAAGTGGAGGAGGGGTGTCGGATCTGCGTTGACCGTATAGACCTCTTCAAGAAGGGGTGCGTTAAGCACGTCGAAGAAGATGATGTCCCGCGTGAATAGTCGCCGTAGAGCGGGCAGATCCACGTCAATCTGTGTTGTGAACAAGACCGCATGCGCTTCTGTGCGAAAGTCCACAGAGGCCCATTCAAGACCCGGCGTCGACTGCAGCAAGAGCAGGTGCTGTGGGCGATGGATAGACAGACGGAGATGAGTGAGCTGTTGCCAGGGTAGCGCGATGGGGTCGGGGTGTCGGATCCCAGCAAGGTTGTGCAGGGACACGTCATGCAGCCGCGGAGTAAGCTCAAACGCATTGACCGTGTCTCGGTAGTCGACGCCGTCGCCGCTGTACCGCGTCGTCGCCGACAGAACGAACCCGAGAAAACCCAAAACAGGCAGCCGCCCCCTCAGGACCGACAGCCTATGCACGAGGCTAGGCCTCAGATCCATGCTCACTGCCATCCAGCGCTCCGACACATCCATCAGCATGTCCAGCACGGCCAGCGCCTGGTCGTGGCGCTCCCTCCCTCCACCCGGCGGCATCCGAAACTTCACCCGCAGCAGTTCGTTGCTGGCGCGCTCGATAAGCGTCTTCGTCTTCTCGGGTAAGCCGTCGTAGGTGATGACAGTCCACAGCCCGGGCAAAGCGAGTGCCAGAGCGCGCCAGTGCTGGCACACGTGTCCGAGGTACCACGGCGGGCATATGAACTCCCCCAGCGGGGCATCCTCCAGTACAGCGAGCAGAATTTGCGACAGAATCTCGTTCGGAACGCGCCGGAGGACATGTGGTGCGGATTTGTCACCAGCGACGACCTTGAGCACTGTATGTCCGCGCTGCTCGGTATCCAGCGGCACACCCCGCGGAGGCACGACGAGCAAAAGATCGGTTTGGGCCTGCTCCTCGGAGAATGAGGCTCTGCCGTGTGACATGCTACTCGATGCTGATTTAATAGATGTGGAGGGATAGAGGCGAAATTGTTCCGATCACCCGTCATTCAAGAAGTTTCACGTGACGGGTCGTCGATTGCAGCATTGCACTTGCATTGCACGGAAGAACCGATGATTATGGGGCGCATTTATTTCACTCCCTGTACTCATCAGCCCTGAGGATATCGAGCGATATAATGATGTGTCCCATCATGTTTCCCGTCCTACCTTTGGTAGTTCAACTCTGGATATCTCTCGGCCCTTGCCCTTCGCGATGAGAGCCGAAAAGACCGAGTTCTCGATGAGCGATCCGGGACTGCACTGGTTGAATCGCTCGATCCTGGCCCCTTTGAGATAAAGCTCTCGCTGAATCATTATCGTGACGCACCCCATTGATGCACACTCACTCTGCCTTCAGTACATTCAAGTCGTTCCGTTCTGCATCTACTCAGCGGCTAAAAACACATTCCTCGGCTCAAACCATTCTTACCAACCTCCGCTACTAATTGTTCAAGCCACCGCAGAATGAGAGAGAGCAGAATGCTGAATGGCCGCTAACACTTATAAATTGATGAATCTATCCTGAGCTTGCCCTCAACTCTTCTCTGATCTCTCCTGGCTCGATTGCGTCGGAAATCTGGGCCCTTGGCTCTGTCATATAAGCACCTACAGGAACCAATCCACCCTGCCTCATCTCCAAGTACCCCGGGACCACGGCATCACGGCCGGCGCCCTCTCCGGCTTTCTCTCTTTCGACTGAACCTTTTGCCTTCCGATTCTGGAATCCCAAACGTTTTTTCCTGCACTGATAAACCATCCCGGCGAAGAAGGCGAGAATGAGCAACCCCCCAGCTGATGTATCATTCAGCAAAAGACAGAGTACGGTGGGGTCTCGGAGTCACGCACCGGCAATGATGGCATAGAGGTAAAGCTGTGAGCCTGTCGTCGCGCTCAGGTTTGGCCTTGCTGGGCCGCTTGGAAAGCTTGGGCTCGGTGTGTTTGTTGGAAGGTTCGGACTGGAGAAAGTGGGGCTGGGTTCGGATTCGGGCCAGGCGCTGGACGGTCGGACTAGGGAGGACGAACCCGCCCAAGAGGAGCGGAGGCTCATTCAGGTAGGGGGAGGAGCCCGAAGAGCACGCAAGGAACTCTGATACTCGACGGGACGGGAAGGCATCATGTCTGGACGACTATCAGAGGGGGGAAATCAACATGAGCGCTGAAGACTCCGGCCGGCCCGGCAGGCAAGTTGGGATCATTTTGATGGCATGCGCCGAGCATCAATATGCATAAGCGATATCACGAGTACTGCTCTCAGCTTGTCACTCTCAACTAAGCCTAACGCTAACCAGCGCGTGAAGAAGCTAGACATTCTCCCACTTTCAGCCGTGCATCGCGGCCGTGAAAACTGACCTCAATCGGCGGTAGTCCGCCGTCAAGGCTCAAATCCTCACCATGTCCGTACTCGAGATCCACGTGTCCATCCTCGGCTAGTGAGTGCGCACCGGCTGTAGCGAAGTATACGGCTAGACACGCATACTCTCAAGCAGAGAAAAGCAGTGCGACGTGCTCATCCGGAAACCCATTCCCGCCAACGTCGCGAACAATCTGCCGCTCCTCGACGCGTTCGCGCAGACGTCCACGATGGCGATCGGCTTCGACATGAAGCACTCGCAGCGGTGGGAGTGCGAGCAATGCGGTGCGTTGCATCCGCTCGAACTCTCTGACTGCCACGGTTGACTTTGACTAGGCAAGCCCGCATCTGAAACGTGGCTGGATCCGCGGCCGACGATCACTCCCGCTCAGTCGCTGGTGACTCTATACGTGAGGGTGGCCCACGTGAATCTGCGGCGCGTTTTATGTTTTCTAGATGCACCAGCTGTGCCCATCGTGTCATGCTGCGGTCGAGACAGGCATTCGAGACCGGCGCGCCAAAGCTAAATCCGAAGCAGAAAGCTCGTCCCAGCCCATTGACAGTCCCAGCAGCACCGCTCAAATTGAAGCGACCCCCGGAGGCGACTCCCATCCGTCCTCGAAACCTCCCGTTCCCCGGCCGATGGCTGCAGCGAGCACGTGCGTCTCATGCAAGTCAGCGGAAACCAGTTCTCCGGAGTATCCGATGTCGAGGTGCAGTAATTGCAAGCTGACACGGTATGTTTGAACAGTTCTTGTCTCGTGCCTTTTGATTGAATTTCTCGAACGCGCTTAGATATTGCAGGTGAGAGCACCATATGAGTCGTCTTCGTCCTTCGCTGGAATGAACTAGCGCTAAGTGTCAGACAGCGGACTGGACGCGGCACGGGAAGGTCTGTGCGCTCGCTGTGACACGAGCTATTTCATGTGATTTATTCTCGCTCTAGATCTGCAAAACGATCACGGAGGTGAAGTGGCTCAACTGGGAGGACTCTAGCGATCCCAGTTATCGAATGCCAGGGTCCTTTGATTGAAGAAGGGACATCGTTCCAGTAATGAAAACGGATGTCATAGGAGGGGGTATCTCTGGATGCCGGACAACATCTATTTACGACGAAATCAGCTTGTGTACGCTGTCAGCAAGTCTACAGGGGCTTCCAATCAGGGATCAATGACTATTTCGTCTCCGATAGAAGCAGCTACGCCGCAATTTTGCTTCGAGTAGTCAATGAAGCCCCCAATATTCTCATCATGTTCCTTGGATCTCTTCTAAAGCGCGCTCTCATAATGGCCACCGCCATCAATGTGGAAGATATCGGGATCCAGATTTTCGAATTGATTCACACATACACACCTACTTGCTCCCCGTACTTCGTTCTGTGACCTCTAGGACGGGGACTTAGTCGGACACCGCTGCTGAAAGCTCCAGTGAATCCCCAGGGATTGGCTCCAAGGCCCCGAGGTAAAGCCGCCCAGAAGTCTGATGCTGAGGTTCCCATTCAGCGAAGGCATTACTGGCAGCCATGGGGAGGTTCTCCCAAATTCTTGTGGCAGAATACTTACGACTCGATTCCGGGCTATGCAGATTTCCTGAGTGTCGTGTGCGTGGCTCCCAGTTCTCCGAGCATCAAGTTAGCTATCACGTTTGAACTATGGAGATGAATCTGGGATAGCTTGCCGCGCCATCCGAGCAGGGGGATCAGGAATCGGATTGAATTCATCTTCGCAGTGACAGAATCCTGTAGATCCATCCCACAGCCCCAAAATAGCTATCATGAATGCGACTCTATCTTTACAGTGACAGAATGCGGTATTATTCATCCCACAGCTTCAATCCACCCGTTTGGACGGTATTCATAACTCGCCGCGGGACTTCCGTAGAGCTGGTCCAATAGGATTACATCAATCCCCAAAGTCTCACTTTCGACAAAGAAATTGGTTTTCATTTTTCACACAGTCTGAAGTATTAGAAAGATACACCAACATATTACATTATTTGCTGTGTTGACAACGGCAAAGTCAAAATACGAGTCCTGCGAGAACCCACTTCAAGCAGGCAAGAATCACGTGGGATCCTAGCGGGAGCGTTGTTCCGGATCCCATACATCCACTCAAATGTGTATGAGCTCGGGTGTCATACTCGCCGATGCAAACCTTTCCCTCAGGAACCAAAATTTCTTGGTCAAGTGCCTCGCTTATCGGATCGATGGTGAACCAGGCATCCCGGGAGAACAGTGATCGAAGGAATTGAATGACTTATCAATACACGCGATTGAACAGCTCAGCTCGCTGGTGACCGCATCCAAAAACAAACGCGTATTCTTGTCGACACCCACAATCAGATACAGCCCAACTTTGAATGGAGATAAGGTGGCGTCCCACCCCATACATAACGCGGCACCTGGGTAACATCCCATCTAGCAACAAATCACACTCCTTCGACCCACCCAACCACTTGACATCGCATACCATGCAGTTCGAATTCAACCTGAAGGCAATCCTCGTCGCGCTCGTCGTTGCTGCCGTCGTCGTCGCAACTCCTACTCCCGAGCCCATAGGGGGTTGCACGTGCAAGACTATCGGCGGCACGGTCGAATGCTTCGGCACCGGCTGCCTTTGAGCTTGTGTGCGTTCACTCTCTTGCCCATTTCGATTGGGATTTCTGACTCGGTGGCGGTTGCAGAGAAAGTATTTGTTGCTGAACGGTGTAGTCGGACTTGGGCCCAGGGTGCTCCCTGGCGCAACAAATCAGATGTGATATATGCGGGAAAATGCCGTTGGTGTAATAAATGTGTCCTACACGATTGATTATTGAGGAAAAGAAATCCATTCCCCGTTCTCAATTCAGCGTAACGTGCAAGACAGTTCAAAAATATTTTTCAAAACTGCATGCTCTTCTGACGTCTCTACTGGCAATATCCACCGTTGGTTTTCAGGAGATTCAATCAGATGGACAACGTTTCAAAAACCATCAATGTGAGCGCCATGAACTACCGGTAAATTTGCCATGCTGAGGAATGCAATACATACGGGATGATAACATCTTCAGTGAGTCGATTGTGACGCCCTGTCACGGGAGCAATGCAGGCTGTTTGATTCGGCCCTGGTGTTCCTGTGGCGATTGCAGTATCTACGGGAGAAGCACGCTTAGGCCAGTCGCACCGGATCATCCTCTTTGACATCGGTGCACAGATAACACGGAACTGTCCATGGTATCCAAACGCACGGCTAGAATCCTGCATTGTGGGATCGAGCGCAGTCTCTTGTAGTGTTTGAGAGACAAAAGAGGGACGTGGCAACAGTTCCGTTTCTGAGAAGACTGTATTCGTCCGCGGAAGCTGAGCAACAGGGGGAACAGGACAGTCTTCTGCATCCGTCAGAGTAGAAATCGACGGGTCAAGCTGGCACTGGCACGCATGTGTATCTACACTGACTCGGAATTGAAATTGGATCAAGGGTTATTTTTTGAGAATCTGTTTCCTGTGCTGTAATCAAGCACATTTAGGTACAAGGCAGAATGCAGGTAGGGAGGGCTGAGCGACACTGTTGAAATATATCATGTTTGATCGGATCAATTGCCGTTGATGCTGAGCAATTGCGATGACATACAATGTGCGTGATCCAATTTCTTTTCCACAGTGCTGTCAGTCAACAAACTTACTCTCGATATCAACGACAAAACGCTCTCTCCACACGAAACGTTGCACATCTCATCTAAGACATCCTGGCTGATACCTCCGCATCCAAGAAGGCCGCCATCGTTGCTCTGAGGGAGGCAGGATGGACGACAAGGGCTGTGGCTGAAAAGGAGAATGTTGCACCCGCTACGGTCTCACGCATCACGACTCGATATGGCCCAATGCACGATTTCGAGGCTAAGGGTACTAGGCCTGGTCGCGCACCCCGCTTCACTGACCGCGACGCTCGTAGAGCCGAAAATCTGCTTAGTAGCGGCAGAGCCAAGAACGCGACTGACCTCCAGCGCCGATTCTTCCCCGACATTCATGCCGACACTGTTCGTTCGCGTCTTCGGAAGCTTGGGTTGAAGCCGTATGTTCGCCAGAACAAGCCTTTGCTCACCCGTCAGCACATGCAGGCGAGGACGGATTGGGCGGAGAAGCATCTGATGTGGTCAAAGGAAGAGTGGCTGGCTGTCATCTTCTCTGACGAGTCAAAATTCAACGTCCTGGGCTCAGATGGGCGGCAATGGTGCTGGAGGAAGCCAGGGGAGGCTCTGGACCCCAGGTACACGAAGAAGCGTGTCAAACACGGCAACGGAAGTGTGATGGTCTGGGGCTGCATCACTTCGCGTGGTGTTGGCAAACTTCATCGCATCAAGGGCATCATGGACCGCTTCGTGTATGTCGACATCCTTCGAGAATCGCTTCTTGGGACCTTCGACAAGTATGACCTCGACCGTGAGTCCCTCTACTTCCAGCAGGACGGCGATAGGAAGCACACAGCGCACTACACAATGGATTGGCTCCAGGAGGAACACATTGATGTACTCGACTGGGCCCCCAATTCACCGGATATGAGCATTATCGAGAATGTATGGGATCATCTGGACCGCAGGGTACGTGCTCGGAGCCCTCCGCCAAAGAATCGCGAAGAATTGTGGCTTGTGCTACAGGAGGAGTGGGAGAAGATTGACATGCACTTTATCAACCATTTATATAGCAGTATGACCACAAGAGCCCGTGATCTTTACAAAGCAAAGGGAGGGCATACTAGATATTAACATACAGTACTTTTTTACGTTTGAAAATCAAGCACGCAGCCCTCTTTGCGCATGTCTGCAGCGAGTTTCCTAAAATGGAAGAGAAATTGGATCACTTGATTTGGAAACTTTTAGTGTCTACAAGGAACCACAGACCCGTTTGTCTTCAAACCTGGTGTGTGTAATGTTCATACAGTCTACTTTCTAGCGGACAAGCATCAGAGCTTGGAATGGGATCCTTGGCGTAAGGCAGCATGAACATTCCAGAGACTGGCTTGATCCAATTTCATTTCCGAGTCAGTGTAAAGCAATTTTCAGAGAACGATTTGAAGCGTTGTGTGGATATTTTTCTCTGTGGAGACAGCCGCATAACGCGAACAGCACCGTTCGGAAGATATCGGGATCACGATTCCCGAACCGGTGTAGCTGACGAGTTGATCCGAGATCACCACGCCTGCACATCCAAACACACGTTTGCTTGTCCCGTATACTTAGCCTTTGCGGCCTCGTGGACGAGCGCTATGCGGTCCGACGCTGAAAGGCCGACTCCATCAACATAGACAAGCGCCAAATCTCCCCGACGCGACGACGCCCGGACATCTGATAGGAAGAGTCCCGTTCAGCCGAAGCGTTGCTGGCAGCCATGTGGAGTGTCCTGCAACTTTCTATGGCGTAACAATAGGCCTTTACCCCGGGCTGTACGGATTGCTCGGGAGTTGGGTTCGGGGCTCTGAGGTAGGCCGGGCGTAGGGCTTGCCCGCACCTTGGATACATGAACATAGATCAGTGATCGCTTGTCGCCACTCCCAACCAGGGCGCCCAAGAACGCGAATCTATCTATACAGTGACAGCATTCTGGATATCCATCCCAGCGCCTCGAACAAGCTATTTGAGCGCAAGTGCCTCCGTCCGTACTTCCCTGGCCCGGTCGCCTGTTTCTCCTCTTTCCCACTTCTCTCTCCATCTTTTCTCCCCATTTTTTTCGGGTCCTCAATCCATTGCCTGATTCCATGGCTTCCAACTACGTTCCAGAGCCTATTCAACGCTGGTCCGCTGGTACCGAGTCCGAATCTAGTATCGGAGAGAAGTTCGGAGACAAAGACGTCGAATCTGGGCGACAAGCCCGGGCTTTCCCGATGTGAGTGTTAGTATCATCCCATGATGTCGCCTGCTCACTCCGATCGAATTGCAGTCGGGTCCTGGCATGGCCCATCATCGTTATCGTGATGCAGTTCACGTTGCTGATGCTCACAGTGGGGCTTTTTGGGCATGTGCGCGCGCGCGGGCAGGTTCCGCTCCCCTTCGCCACCGCTGTCTTCTTCCGCGACGAGCATCAAGTCGCGACATACGTCGTCACATTCCTTTCTACAATCCTGTCTACCTTTTCTGGATTGTAAGTCTGGCTTTGCAGCTGACGTGCCGAAGATATCGACGATCCCCAGTCTGCTCTCCCAGGCAATCCGTGTGGCCATGGTCGTACACCTCTCGCATCAGCCGATCCAGATCTCCGCTCTCCAGTCTATGATTAAGCTGGCCGGGAAATCACTGATTATGAATGGGCGAGATCTGCGCTGGACGGCCTGCGCTGCAATCGTATTCCTCGCAGCCATGGAGCAAACGGCCAGGTGCGTCGGTACCTTACCGGGACAACGTGCCACTGATGATTCCACTGCACAGCTGGAACACGCTCTTCACGCCCACTACTATCACGTTGGACGTCCCGATGGTCGGCGCGGAAGTCGATATTGCGAATCCCTCGCTGCTGGCACAGTTCAACAATCTGTACCTGAATGAAATCAGGGGCACTCGTGAGTCTATTCCAATTGCTCTTGACGAAGTCACGATGACCTGACACCATCCAACTTCACTCAGTGAACACGACGGTGACTGCGGTTACCAACACCGCGGGGACCACCAACGCGCTTTCGGCCACGGGCTACTCAACCATCTTCAACTTTGGGAGCGAGGCATACGACGCAACAACGGGTGCGTCTAATAGGTTATCTACGGCCCCGAGCTTACATCGGAATATCAATTGGACAGGCGGTATCCTGCCCGTCAACATGGTTTTCGATGCCCCGGCCGGGAGTCCACCTCCAGTCAGTATCTACCCGCAATACTTCAACACGCGGAACACCGAGGCGCTCCCGCCCCTTGTGACGGACCTCAATGTCACGATGGTCCAGCAAGGCCTCACCGCCGCTGTGTCCTGCGCCGCGCAGAACCTCAACGCGCAGACCGATCCGTCTGTGACACCGCGGCAAGCGCCGGCGCAGGTGACGATCGCAGGCGTGAGCAGCACCGGCCTGACGAGTTATGAGATGGATACTTTCTGTCAGGGGAACCCGTTAAATCAAGGTGCGGGTTCGGAGCTTTAACCGACTGGTAGCGTGCTAAACGGGCGCATGGACGAGTAGCCAAGCTGTCGTTCACGGGGAATGTCTTGATCATCGCGGGGTGCCAAAGACCTAACTCGACCACTGATTATAGTATGTGCTGTTCACCTGAGCGCGGTGCTGCGAGCGGAAAGCCTGACTCCCCTTCAGCGATCGTGATCTATCCCTTTGGGATTTATCGAGACATGGGCTCCATCGTGTGCCGGGTGTCTCCGCAGATCGTGAACGTCACCACGACCTACACCCCACGCCTGATCTCTACCGTCTTCAACAACAGCGCGACGCCCATCCCCATCAACGGCGACGTCACATTCGCGGTGCTGGATATGCTGACGCAGGTCATTGGGCTAGGACAGAGCGAGTCCAGCAATGTCATCGGGGACGCCATCATGAACATATTCAGTGATCAGGTCTATGGGGACCTTCAGTACACTGATCTCTGGGTGAGTCCCATGCTGTCTAGGGAGAGAGCGCGAGAGCTGACCGACTTCTCAGGAACAATACTTTCTCGGCGCGCTCGGATTCATTTCCACGGTAAGAAGCTGTCGTTGTGCCATTTCTCTCCGGTTCTTCATCTGCTCCTGCCAGGCCATAAAAACCCAACTCGCCGTCCCCAAGACCGGCGTGTTCGCGCCAAACGGCCTCCCCGAGTCGATGTCCAAAGCAATCCGCGGGACAGCGACGGTCGCGACCATCGGGTGGCAGTACACCGTTGAGGGCGGGCTCCTGCTCATCCCCAGCATTTTCATCGCGCTGCTCTCCATCGCGGTGGCGTCCTATGCGATCTTCGAGGCGCTGCGCGTGCGCGTCGAGACGCGGGCCGCGTTCGATCCGTGCGATCCCATCGCGCTGATGGCGGCTGCGTCGGCGGGCGGGATGGAGCATGCTTTCGTTGGGCTGGGTGCGAATGAGGTCGAGGCTGGGAAGGAGAAGCGGATCCGGTTGGGCAGAACGCGCTCCGGGAGAGAGGGGCTTGTAGAGAGTATGGACTGAGGAGATAGGGCCACCCACTCGTTTTTTTTTGTTTGTATTGGGGAGGGCCCAGTTGATTTCCTAGGTTATCAGTAGCGCTCAATTGTAACAGATCCGCGATTTTGACACAGCACCGACGCGCGTGACAAAGTTCGCGTGCGACATCCGAGCCACAGGGTTTATTCTGAGTGCACCCTGGAATACTCTCAATTCAAAGATGAATCACCAGGACAGTCAATCATACGCAATCAGAAATCTGGGCGGTCGGGCTGCCGATCAGATAGGGTCCAGTACAAGATGCAGAAGTCATTCAAGTGTACAGAATATACAGTATATCGTTATTGCGTCCATTGCGTGAAACACCTCCAAACTAGCCTAATTGCTCACTCTTGCATTCTCCGTCTCGAATCTTCGCCCAAAAGCGTCCTCCCCCGCTCCCTCCACCTCGAAATCCGTCAAGAAAGCCGTGTAAGAATGCACGCGCACCCGAACCCCGATCGGCTCATTATTTGCATGCGCAGCCGACTCTAATGCGGGCGTCTGCCTCTCCGCCTTAGAGTCACGCCGTTTGGTGCGGAAGGCCTTGGTGAGAACGTTCAGAGTGTGGTAGCGTGGACGGGTCCTCGGGGGCAGCTTGGCCGGCGAGATGGGCGTCCGCACGAGACTCGCAGGGATAGGCGTATTGGGCGGTACACTGGGTGGGAGAGGCGTGATCGGGGAGGGTGGCGAGCTCAGGTCTGTGAAGGCTGTGTTGGGAGTGGATGGAATTGTGAAGAAACCCATTTCGTCGGTGGACTCCGATGCACCACTGGATTCTTCGCTGCTGCGGCTCGCGTCTGCCTCAGTGGCGGCGTCCGAAAACGTGCCCTGGCTGGCCGGGGCGGTGCGTTGGCGAGTGAACCGGCCGAGAGCACGCCGGATGCTCTCCGTCCTCCATCTCCCAACGCTCGTCTTGAGCTTCATGGAATGAGCACGTCGCATGCTATTGCCGTACTCCATCAACGCCCCCGTCCTGTCCGTCGGCGCCTCGCCAACGGGCACGATCGACCCCGATTCGTCTGCGTTGATGTGCAGCACGTACTCGTTGCTGAACGCGAGCGGGATCGGGACGAACGCGCGGCGCGTGTCGATTGGCGAGAGTCCTCTCGGGAGCTCCTGGCGCTCGAAGAGGATATCACCGCTGGGGGTGTGGCTGGGTGGGCGCGGGAATCCGTCGATGATGGGCGTGAGCGAGCGCGAGTCGGCTGCGGCGGGGAGCGCAAGGCCAAGCGACGCGATCAGGTGCTCCTGCTCCGGGGTAAACGACGTTTCCGGTGTGCAGGGTGAGGTTGGAAACTCGATGTATGAATCACGTCGGTGAGGCATGGTGGGCGGAATCGTGCTGTGATACGACGGGGCAAGTCGGCTCTTTATAGGACGGTGGCACGCAGCTCGAGTCAAAGAGTCGGCGCCAAAGCGTGAATGAGAAAGCCATCTATGAAGGCTTGAGGACGCTGCAAATGCTGCGCTTTGAGCTTTCTCTCCATTTGCGAAGCCTTTGCGACGGAGAATGGGACAGGACAAAGACAGACAGACTTGATCCGATCAGCTTGACTTTTCCCACGGTTGTTGCTCACTGGATAGACGATGAACCCCTTGAGCTAGCACTTATAACAGACTGCGACACCGATGAATGTTCAAAAGCAGGTCGGATTTACTTTGCCCTACAGCTCTAACCTTATCTTTTCAGGTGAGGCTTCGACAGGGGACCTGCACATAATCCAATGAAAGTCCTTCGTTTAGCTTTCATATTTCCTCGGTTGCGCTGAATCATGTCTGAGAGCACTGTTCCTGAAGATTCTGTGCTTTATGCACAAAATGTTCACGACGAGAGGATAGTGGACACTTAAGCGGGACTGATAACATACCCGGAAATAAGTACGAAGGCGATGGAATTGTTTGTTGATCGAGAAAGCGGATCGGTTCTTCCATCTTACATCAGCGTTTCTCTGCACCAAGTGAAGAGTTCCCCAAAATTAATAAGACGCCAGTGAATATCTCGATTGAGCTGATGGATAGCAGGGAAAATTAGGTTGCGAAGCCCTGGAGCCATTGCTAAACAGATCAGATGCGGCTGAGTTGAAAAAATGGGCTGGAGACTCGAGAGGAGCACTTCTGCAAGAGTACGGCTTCGCTTTCAAAGGAAATCCCAGAAGTGTTCGAAGGGAGAATGTTTGAAGGCAGTACGGGATCATAAAGCTCATCTCTTGAAGCACTTTCGGAAAAAAGAGATAGAGATGGAAGCAGAAGGACGGAGCACTGACGGATGACGTCAGCGAATCCATGCCAGAATCACTCACAGCCAAAGCACACCCACTGTGCCAGGGTCTCGCTTCGGGCACCACGTGCATCTTCTCTCCCTGGCCACCCTGATTCGAAAATTCCTGGTGAATTTAATTCTCCGGGTACCGGTATACACACTTCTTCGGGCGCACGAGCCGATCGCTGGGCTCCGGCGCATATCTTGCTTCGAGGGTGAAGGAAGTCGGGGAACGTATGGGGGGTAGCAGCGAAGCTCTGCCATTCCTGCAGAGGAGGATAGTAAAGAATAGAACGAAATAATCAAGTTCAACATATTGGCTTTTTTGCTGGACTGGTCGTTCTGGAACTGAATGCAGAGATGATGAAAGCCGGGATTCATCGGAGAATCGCTCCGATGGACAATACGTAAGGATGATGACGACAAGTCACGTGCAAACTCTCCGCTGGTGTCTACTCTTCTCAACGAAATGCGACCATCGGCACAGATAGGGCGACGCTGTCGAACTTCCCCTCCACGCAGATGGGCCTAGCTCGGGACCGTGTGCATAGTGGCTTGACCGCGGGCTTCGGGTCCACGGGCCGCCTACATTCTTCTCTCCTGCGCACGACTTATGACCGACTTCCGCTTCCTTGCGCTTCTACATGCGATATGCTTCTATCCAGCCCTGAAACACGGCTCGCGCTTTGCTGTTTCGCTATCCCACGCCAGATTTGTTTAGTGAGCAGACCCGGGTCGGAACGGGGAGAGTGTTGAGTGGGAATGGGATTCTGGCGCCTCCGAGAATGTGATTACGCAGATGTTGACAGCGTGTTTGTGAGATTCAGAACGATGGCGTGTGCCGATTTCCCCCTCACACACGCTGTACCACGACGTACAAGGCGCCCGGAAACCATTGTCCGATCAGTGAGCCTTGTCATGCAACGAAGATTCTCAGCCACACCGTTAGAGTTCTGTTCTTGTTATCAGAGTTTCTTTCCTATGATCACCCTGCGCGAGTGGATGTGTTTGTTTCAGGTGCGCGTCTGACTGCGGGGCCAACTTGAAGAGAGCGGGGCCGGATGGATCAAAGAGTGAGAGATGATTGTTTCTCCGTTTCTCTGTATTTGCTACTCATTGCACAGAGTGCTCAATTCCACCAACGTCCGGCATTCGATTGCAGCACAGTTGGTGGATACCGCATCTACTTTGTAGCGATAGACAGCACACTGCGCTTACTGCTTCTGGCGGCGATGATTATCTGCTTTCTTCTCTAAAATTTCGTTTCAAACGGAGCCTCCGGGCACATGACGCGCAGGAATCAGCAGTCACAGCGTAATTGGCAATTTCGTAATCGGTTACACGGACGCAACCAAACGTCAGATCGTGTGCAGACAGCATATGTAAACCAAGTACCCGGCATCCATGAAAGCTTGGCAATCCGTAACGGGCGCACGATGATCGTCATGCAGAAGTTGTCGAACGTTCATGCGTGATGATCATATGGAAGGATGCGGAAGAGGACTGGGCATAGCACCCAGGCATGTTACAGAGCCTGTGATAAGGCCAGCAACGACGGTCAGACTATTTCCGCCCGGCCGAGAAGCAGAAGGATGTGCTCACGAGACCCATCTTTGCGTCTCGACTAGGATTAGCTACTGACGAGAAAACTCTCAGACGTGGACTTGGCCGAAGGGGGATGTAGTGCGGTGGAGTGTGAGGGAACCGCTGATGCGCACGAGAAGCGGAGAAAGCCCGGGTGTGGTCGTAATATGGGCTAGGTCGTAAAATTAGGCCTCAAAAACGGCCGTAAAGGAGACCTGTCGGAGCCCTCCATTTCGCAGGACTCGACCAGTCCCACGCACGGATGCTCGTAGGCACACGACTGAGCGGATGTAAAGCGCTGCGGGTCGTCCCCGACAGAATGGAGTTGTTTGTGCATGTGATGTCGCCAAGGTGTCAGCTGCCCCTTCCCCAGACTGCGATGACTTGCTTCCTCCCGCGCAGATTCCACTAGATTCCCTCTCTGCGCCACGCCCCCCGATCTCTAGACCACACCAATACTAGAAACCCCGCTGTTCACGCTCGGTCTGTTCAAGAAAAAGACTCGATTGAACTGCGTGCGTCCTTTCCCAGCGCAGATGCCCGGACCTCCTTGACTTCTGAGACAGACTAGACCATAGAGCAACAGCATCATGCAATACGACGACCCGGATGACCGCAGAAACCGCTTCCTTGGGAGCTCCGACCATGCCGTCGCCGACCAAGCGCACCGCGCTGCTTCTCAACCTCCGCGCTACAGCGGCCACGGCCAGCCTTTCCTGTCCTCCCCGCAGTCCAAAAACGTTGTACCATCCAGCTTAGGTGCGTAGGGGTCACACGTCTCGTAATCGGCTTGGCATCGCTCATTGGGCTCAGGCGGCCCATGGGGTGGTGTGCTCTCCTCCTCGACTCGCAGCTCATCCTTCTCCTCTTCCCGCTTCGAATCGACTCTCGAGGACGACGAGCTGTTGGATGGTGATGACGACGATGACGATGGACTGTACCCGCAGTACCGTGGCCGCACCGCTGTTGCCCCGGATCTTACGCGGAGCCGTAGTCACAGTCTTGCGACACAGCCCGTTGGCAGCGGGCGATCGCTTTCACGTTCGTCTTCGGGGCATGGTGTTGGGATCAACATCGGAGGAGGAGGAGCTCAGTTCAATCCGAATGTGCTCAACAGTGCGGCCAATTCATACTCGAATGCGTATCTTTACGGCAACAACGCACATGGGCATCGTTATTCGGGGTACCAGAGTCGGTGCGTCGATTCTTTTCCTTCGCGTCTGTGTCTCTTACCTTTGTTCAGATACGGCAGTCTGGGTGCGGGCTCACCCTTGGCTCAGAGTGTGCTCCGAGGCGGCGGTGCGAACGACAATACGAACATGAGCCCTTTCATGCGTGATGTCAGCACCCTGTTGCTGGACGAGAGTTCTTCTTTCCGAGAGCTCTGGAACCACGAATCTTCCGGTGGGGCTGGCCGACACGCCGCACCCGACTACGACCTGCACGAGGAACCGGACAGCGGCGCCACGTCTCGACGCCATAGCGTGACCGGCGCTCAACCTCTTCGGTTCACGGCCGGTTTCAACGCACCCGAATCAAATGTCGCGCCCCCGGTCAAGTCGGGTGCGCCGAGCTCCGGTGCTTTGGGCTTGGGATTCGGGCGCGGTGGGCAGAGTCTGTTGCTGAGCGATGACGATCTAGAGATCGGGCTGGGCAACCTGTCACTCTCTGGAAACAACAACAACGGCGGAGGATACATGTCACCCACTTCACCGCGCGGTCGCTACTCTGACGAGGACTTTGGTGCGCCGCCACCTCCGATGGGGCGGGCTCCATCGATGGGCCGGAATGGCAATGGTAACGGGCGAGGGGTTGCGCCGGGACCTGTCGCTCGCAGCCCGTCGCTGACACGTGGCGGGGCCGGCGTCAGCAAGGACTGGGCGGATGCCTACTTCAGTCCGCCGCAGCAACATTTCGAGGCCCCGGTCGGAGGCCGTGCTCGTGCGACCAGCAATGGATCCAGCACAGGTCCTGTGTTTACTCAGGTATGTGCAGCAGTTGGTCGTCCTGCCTTATGTTCCTTGTTGACCGTCGCCAGTTTCAGCAGCAGTTCGCGCCGCACCCTCAGCAGGCCATTCTCGCGGACCTTGGTAAAGGGTTGCCGCTGCACGCGGTTCCGCCCGACTGGCCGCTGTATATCGTCGAGTTCAAGGCTGGGCGGACAGACCTCTTCTATCGGGCCAAGGACCGAGAGCGGGCTGCGCAAGGTGTGTGTGCGTTGAGACTCTTTGGGTGTGGTTCTCTAACCAAGTGTAGGCTACCGCAACGGTGTGGCTGACGACCCGGATCCCATTCGGGTAGACGACTTTGTAATCGTCGAGGCGGACCGGGGCAAGGATCTGGGCAAGGTCATCAACGACTCGATCACGCTTGAGGAGGTAGAGGCGTTCTGGGCTGGCAAGGACGGCAAGTTCGGTGTGTGCTTCGACGAGCTGATGACGTGTCGCACCATGCTCACTTCACCCGACAGGCTCGGGCTCTGGTCAGTCCCCGCCGACGAGCCCCGGCGGTGCTGGCGATGGCAAGAAAGAGATCTGTCCCAAGATGATCTACGGCAAGGCAGGACCCGCTGAGGCCCAGTGAGTTTGAGCACTGGCTCGTAAGTTCCGGCACTCACGCTCAAACAGGCTTCTCGTCGCCAAGATGCAAGATGAAGCGAAGGCTCTTGCCCTCTGCCAGTCTAAGGTCCGGGCGAAAAAGCTGCCTATGGAAGTAGTCGACGCCGAATATCAGTGGTGAGTGCGCTATGGGAACGGGATGTTTTGTCAGCATCCTCATGACATCACAGGGATCGACGCAAACTGACGTTCTACTTCGTGGCGGAGAAGCGCATCGACTTCCGGGAGCTTGTTCGTGAGCTGTTCCGGTGTGTTTTCCGCTGATTCGCTGCTGGCGTTTCTGACCCTGCTCAGGCTGTACAAAACACGAATCTGGATGGCCTCGCTCCAAGGCGCCGGCGGATTTGAGCAGTGATCTAAAGAGACAGAAGATACCAATCAGACGAAAATTGAACTGTCCTGCATCTGTATCCACCACACCCACAAGACTGCTAGATATGCATCTCAGTTTGTTCTGAACGACGAACTTTGGCCTCCGTCTGTACTTGTATGGTAGAATCTGCTGTCAATGTTTTTTGTATATATGTATGTACAATCGTCTTTTTTATTCACTCGGGCTCAACACGGCTCGATCGACAGCCAAACGTCCTTTGTGTCAGATGCCGCCTGGGTAGGTCGGGCCGGGCGCGTTTCTGGGTGGGCAAGCCGGTGGAACAGATCGAGACTGGAGGGAGGCTCACATGGATGGGGTGCAAATGCATGACTTTCTTTTCGATCCACAGGTGAACACCCTGGATCGAAAGCATAAGAGCATCCGAACAAGCTCGATTATCAGTTATATGTACGTGTATTGCAACATCTCTCTCGAGCGACGATCAAGATTATGAGACCGTCTATTCAGTTATGCAAAGACGAAGCCGTCAAGTTCCCGGGAAGCGCAATGAACTACGCAGGATGCAGTAAGTCACTATGGGAAGAAGAAGCAGAATAGATCTCGAGCTTACAGGCTGCTTGAATGGGTTCTGGATAAGTTGGGCGTACTAGACAGACCAAGCCTTGAGTATGAATTCTAGATCGAGCTATAAAGATGCCTCACAGAGTGCTCGAAACACATATCCCCTCCGGTCGGGCCGATATGTGGGCAATGGACCTCGGGCCGCAGCGGCAGCTAGTTGCGCCAATTACATGAGTGTCCAGCATAATCGGATGGTATGCATCAACGAGACACACCATCGGGGTGTGGATGTAGCGGCACCACGCCGTGTTCTGCCCGCCCTGCCACACCTCGCCGAATGGAATCGTGTCGCGCACGAACGCGAGGCAGGCCTTCATGGACTTGTACTGCTGGTTCTTTCCGAGGCAGTGCGTTTGGTGCTGCTGGCAGATGTCCAGCGCAGCGCGGGTCTGGAGGACAGTCGTGTTCGACGCGTGTTTAGGGTGCTTGAGGTGGTGGCCGAGCTCTTTGCGCAGCTGCGGGATCAGGAGCGTCCAGACCGTCTTGAAGAGCGCGTCGGCGCGGAAGAGGACGATGTCGTATTGCGTGGCCCGAACAGCATTCCCTTATCTTGCCGCCAGCGCGTGAGGCTGAGCAGAGGCGTTCTCGGGTAATGTGCTCCTTTTGGAGTTCCCCCACTGAGTGGCAGCTTGTATTTCATCACGTCTCGATATGTAAACGATACAGTCCCTAACATTACATGTACAATAGTCTAATCTATAATCCCTTTGGAAGAGTCTACAAAACATTATAGCGCTATAATGACCCACTCGATGCGTACGTGGACTTCTGCCGGAGAACATGTCCATATCGCAACAGCATATAGAATACCGGCATCAGCAGGAACGAGATGCCCGCAAGCAGAGCCGAGGCGGGACCCAGTCCCAGATTCGTAAAGAACGCCCGTCCGAAGAGCGGGAAGACACTGGCGATCGCCGACCGGAACAGGTCGTTCCCGGCCAAAACCGACGCCGCGTGATCGGGGTACGCCGACGTGATGTACATGAGCACGCTCTGGAAGTTGAGGAAGATCCCGGGCAGGTAGAGTGCGGCGCCGATCACGGGCACGATCCAGGGCACGCTAGCCTTGGAGGCGAATCCGAAGATGAGCACGCTGGTGGGGATGAAGATGCTCCCCATGAGACCTATTTCGAGCCGGATCTCGGGTGCGACTTGGCCGCGGGCCAGCCGAGGTGCGATGTGATATTTCTGGTACAGACAGTATCCGAAGTACTGAGCGACGGTAAGCACAATTCGGAGACACACACACAAGACAGGGAACTCACTACTAGTGTGCCTGAGACAATGAATGCCAGGAAAGGCAGACCGCTGACACCCAGATTGAAGTGGTAGATGTCGATGAAGACCAATGGGAAAGCCTCAAACCAGAGGTAAAAGATCGCATCTGGTGACAAATCTCAGTAACAGAATGAAAAGAGCTTGAGTATGGATTGCTTACAAATGAAGCCCAGATAGACATTGGCAAACGCCAGAGCCGGCTCCTTCGACAGCACCAGAGGGCGCACCAGAGCTTCATAGACAACGTCGCCCGCAGTCTGCGACTCCTGTGCGCGCTCCGCAGCAGTCCGCAGTTGGTCGTTCCCGGTGATCTTCCGCAGGCGCTCAGCGCGGCGGAGCAGGATCGTGGGCCCGTACGTCTCCAGAAGGAGCACAGACTGGAACACGGCCGCAAACGACGTGATCCACACGAGCTCGAGCATCGGCCAGCGCCACGACTCGGCCTGCGCCGCGAATCCACCGACGACGGGACCTGCAATGGGGCCGGCGCACGCACCGAGCGCCCAGACGCCCACGACGTACGCAAGCTGGCTGGCGGGGAAGATGTCCGCCATCGACGCACCGCCCGTGGCGAGCGCCGGGCTGCCGAAGAAGCCCGTCATGAACCGCAATGCGAGGACGGTGTGGATGTTCTTGGCGAAGACGAGCGGGATCTGGAAGACGATGAAGAGGAGCAGGGATCCGATGTAGACTGGATTGCGGCCAAAGATGGGGAGCTCCTGAAGCGGTGACAGAAACATAGGGCCAATCGCATATGCTGGTGAGTGTTGTCAGCGGGGAGGGTACAAACATGCGCCTCGGCAGACTCACCAAGCACGTAGAGCGTCAGACCCAGGGTAGCCATCGTCAAAGATACCCCGAATTCAGCCATGAGGCCGGGTATGGACGGTGTATAGACCGCGGAGCCGATGTAGATGCTGAATGTGAGGAAACTGATCTCGAAGGCGACGAATGCACGTTTGCCAAATGACCAGTTTCTGACGGGCCCTTCAGTTACTGTGGCAGGTATATCCATGTGACGGCCTGCTCACCTTGGGTTCTCCGGATCCGAGTCGCCGTACCACCCGACGAGGTATGGGTCCGGCACGACGGCGTTCTCGACGAAGCTTGATTGCTTCTGCTCCTCGACATCGCCCATCGTCTCATCGCTCTTCATCTCCGAATTCGGCGTCGTCGCTGCGAGTGTATCGTCCTCCGACTTCTCCGAGGGTCTGTCCTCGCAAAGTGTCGTTTCATCGCTGTCGCGGTTTTGAGGGAGCAGGAAGCGTCGTGGCACAACGAAGTCCGGACGTTGTTCGGGATACGGCAAGAGGCGGCCGTTCGTGAGGTAGTTGAGGACTTGTCCTGCGGTTGCGTCACGGAGGATATCGTAGACCATGTCTGAGGGAGGACGGGGTGGTCGCTTTTGGGATGGGCTCCACTCGTTCTCCGAGCCTCTTCTTAAGAGTCGCGGTGTTCGGGGTGAACTTAATCATCCTGCGTCCAGGCTTGAAATCGTCTTTGTGAGCAGCGAAGTCTCTGGGGTGGGTGCCAGACAGGAGGGGGGCTCGGTAAGCCAAAATCGATCGCTGACGAATCTGTCTGTATCCGTCATCAAACTCCGCGGGAATTGACTGAGAGGAACGTCAGCGGGGTTTGAATTTTGTGATGGCACGTGTCAGAATATCATCCTCCAACACTGCGAGTCGCAACTATTTTTTCCAAGATGCGTATGACAAATGTGAGGATTGTCTATTTTGAAATGTATGCAATAAATCTCGTTCTACCATGGATTGTAGAGATATCGAAGAGTGACCTATGTCGCCCTCACACAATGATCACATCCTATAGTTTGTGCGGCAACAGTCATATTTCACGCTCCGAGGCTGTTCTCCTGACGACCACATTCTCGGATTCCAGCTTCTCGAGCAGATGGCTCAGAAAATTTGGAGGGGGCTCAGCTGGAAATAATATAGGGGGTGGGAGCAAGTCTCCATCGAAGTAAGGGCGGTACAACGCGGTTTTGTCAAGCTGAACTATGCCAGCATGATTTTTTTCGTGAGGAAGTAGGTGCTGCTTGTAGATGCAACATGGGCTGCGTGGAACATCTATGCAACAAGTCGCGGTTATTTGCGCAGGGAAAGCGGAGAGCTTGCACGTGACGCGCTAGCACTGGTTATCCCTCAAGAGTCAATGACCAAGTGATGATACAGCAGGGAGGATACTACGAAAAAGGCGCAACGTCATCGAAGATGGATGGCCAACAAGGCAAAGAATAAATAACATCATATGTAGGCCGTGTTGTCCTTCAGGCAGTGTGAGTGAGTGAGGCGAAGCTACTGTGTAGCCTTCTCCAGGCTCGAGTCAAGCATCAACGACTTCTCAGCAACCTCCACCTGCTCCGCAGCAGCCAAAGGATCGGTAGTCCCCACAGTATCAGCAGCGACCTCCTCCGCCGGGGCGGCAGAAGCAGCAGCAGCAGGCTCGCGCAGGCCAAACAGTTTGCGGAACCCAGCGACTACAAGCGCAAAGCCGAAGAAAACGACGAAGAAGACCTCCCAGCCGCGCAGGATGTACAGGGCGCCGTCGGCGATGTTGGCGTACAGCGGCTTGTCGAGCGCGAGCGTGCCGATCTCTGTGGCGCACCGGAGGAACACCAGGGCGCAGAAAGCGGCGCAGAGGAGCTCGCCCGCGAGGGAGAGAATTGTGTTCTTCGCCGTCGTCATCGTGGGCGGCGGCGCCCCGCAATGAGACGCGTCGTCCGTGTCAGTGGCTGCAGCGGGGGACAGCAGACCGGCCTCGAGCTCTGAGGCAGGTTCTCCGCTGCGACGGGTGAGAGAACGCTTGATGAATCCAGCTCCGCGGAAGAGAAGGGAGCCGCAGATGGACACCGCCGACGTGAATGCGATCGCGGCGATGCACTGCGTGAAACGCTCCTGCACCCATTCCAGTGCGATGCCGAGCGCCTCAGTCTGGGGGTATGATTTGAGGAACTCTGGCGCGAAGGCGACTACGAAGAAGAAGACGAGGAAAAGAGGGTAGGCGCGGAAGCGCATCGTTCGAGCGCTGGTCATGATGGTCAGTGAAAGAGAAGGATAATCGTCACACGCACAGCTATCTATCGGCGCTCATCAAAGGATACGATGCGCATCAGCTTACAGTGTTTCAGTTCCGCTAGGGAAGCTTGTCACAGAGAGTCCGATGCATGACCGAGGACTCCGCCCTCCTTCATCCCGTCCCGAGGGTGGAAACATGAAATGCTCCCACAAGCTCTTTGGCCATGTGTAGTAGTGATCCGCGAGTGTCATTCTCTGATCCGAACTGCAATCAGACACGACCGCGGTCACCGACGTGACCTTGCAGCGACCATTCACACTTCATGCCCCGACAGCGGACAATCCAGTACCTCTGCCTATTCGCCGTCTTGCTTTTCTTTGCCCATTTCGTTCGCACTCCCGCTTCCCCTGCAGGACCCCATTGATTTCGAGCAGTACTTTTCGTCCAGCCCGAGTTCGCGCGAGCACCCCCAATGGGCGACGTTTGAGAAGGAGGATGGGGATTGGGATATGGACGTGGATTTGACTCCGGAGACTTTGAGCACGCACCACGACACCGGGTCCGGGAAGGTCCATGCGCCGGGGCTGCGTGCGGACCCGATTAAGAGAGCTGCCGTGGTCTCTGCCTTCCAAGTGAGCTCTGCAATGTCCCTTCTCCGCACGACACTCACACCCTCCAGTACGCCTGGTCTGCGTACGGTGAGTTGCCCACCATGTCTCCAAAGACCCCCGCTCATCACGGCACCTACTGCAGTCAGGGATGCTATGGGCTGGGACGAGTACCACCCGATCAGCCACCGCGGCCAGAACCTGTCGTCCTCGGGCGGTGTCGGGTACACGATCGTCGACGCGCTGGACACGATGCTGCTGATGGGGCTGACGCACGAGTACTCGCAGGCGAGCGACTGGGTCCGGACGCATCTGTCGTTCGACCGGGACGGGCGCAGCAGGTGCTTCAACACCTTCGAGGTGCGTGCCCTGCATCCATATCTCCGCGGCCCACCCACCCACTCACTCCCGACACCCGCGCTGCGCAGACGACGATCCGCATCCTCGGCGGGCTCCTGTCCGCGTACCACCTGACCGCGGACCGGATGTACATCGCGCACGCGACGGACCTCGCGGACCGCATCGTGCCCGTGTTTGACACGCCCACGGGGCTGCCCGACACCTCCGTCGACCTGCGGACGCGCACGGGGATCCCGGACCACGGGATCAGCACCGCGGAGGCGACGACGCTGCAGCTGGAGTTCCGGTACCTCGCGCAGCTGACGGGGAACGCGACATACTGGTACAAGGTGGAGAAGGTCATGCAGGTCGTGGACAAGGCGAGGCTTCCGAGCAATCTTGCGCCGATATCGATGAGCTCGGACGACGGGACGTACCAGTTCTCGGACATCCGGCTCGGGTCGAGAGGAGACTCGTATTACGAGTATCTTCTGCGAGTCTCTCCTCAACGTATGGATTGGTGAACGGGGACTCATCTGTGTGCAGGAAACAGTACTTGCAAACCGGCAAGACTGAGCCTGTCTACCTCAAGGTGCGCAACTGCGCTCGGCCCCACACTCTGACTCTGATTAAGTAACCAAGCACAGATGTACGAAGATGCGATGACGGGCATCCACGACAACCTCCTCAAAAAGACTCCCAAACGCGGGGTCACATTCACTGCTGAGCTGATCCCTCGCGGAGGCTCGAACTGGAAAACGTGAGACGTCGCCTGTGCGCAATCTCTGCGTCTCTGATGGCGCCCAGTTCTTTTCACGTCGACAACAAACAAGACCATCTCGTCTGCTTCCTCGCCGGATCGCTCATGCTCGGCGCGACGACCACCGGGGCACGCAATCCGAGCGTCCCGGTCTCCGTCCCGCCGCTGATGTCAGAGCTGACGAGCGTCGGGAAACGAGACTGGGAAGACGGGGTGGCTTTGCTGGAGGGGTGCATGGAGACGCACAAAACTGCGACGTGTGTGATGTTGATTCCTAGTCGTGTGCCTTGTCCTCACTCAACTAGCGGCCTCTCACCTGAAATAGCGATGTTCGATGCCGATCCGGATCAGCCAACGCGGGACTGGCATATCAAGGGATCCAAGCCCGGAGGGCCGGCGACGTATGATGCGAGATACATGCTACGGTGCGTGGTTCTAGTCACATTCCTTATCAGCAGTGCGTCTAGATATCAACGGCAGACCGGAGACGACCGAGTCGCTGTTCCTCGCCTGGCGGCTGACCGGAGACGAGCGGTACCGTGACTACGCCTGGGGCATCTTTCAGGCGATAGAGACGCACGCGAAGCTTCCTGGCGGTGGATACGCGACAATCGTGGACGTAGATACGGTGCCCGTGCGGCACGAAGATAAGCAGGAGACGTTCTACTTGAGCGAGACGCTTAAGTATCTCTTCCTGACATTTGCTGATGAGGAAGTGCTGTCGCTCCGAGGTGTGTTGTATGTTTCTCGTATGATTTTCGCAAGCTAAAACGGTCTTGATCAGACAATGTATTCAACACAGAGGTGAGCGACCTTTTTTGCTTGAGCAATTCAACGTCTGAGCTCGAACTCAGGCGCATCCGCTGCCGGTGTTCAAGCCTTCGATAAAGCCACTTTTCCATCTGTAGACAATCTGTGCTTATCTTACATGAAATCAGAGAACCTGCTATCAAGAAGGACGACTGACCCACTCTTAAGTAAGAAGTGACAAGGCTACCTACCACCCTCCTCCTCTCCGATGGACACTCTTCGCAGACTCCTACAATCCTGGTACGCCAAACCGGCCTTCCCAGATCCGCCTGTGTATGTCGCCCCTCCGACCACTCAAGAGCACCGTGAGTCTGCAGAAGATATTTCGTCGTCACGTGCTCGCTCTGATTGGGCACCCTAGTCGAATACGCGGACCTGGCGATCATCGATCTCGCCCAGGCTACGACTCTGGCGGGGAGGAAGGCGCTCGCGGGGCAGCTCGTCGCTGCGATGCGGGCTCAGGGATTCTTCTACGCCGTGAACCACGGGTACACAGCTGACCAGGTGCGTGGGAACCAACCCTTCCACGCTTTTGAGGGACAGGCTTCCGAGGAGCGGCTTCGCAGACCAATCGGATGTTCAGCATTGCGGATCTCACGCTCGACGAGGTGGGCGAGGAAGAGAAGCTGCGGTACTGCGCGCGGAGCGGACACACGTACGAAGGGTATAAGCCGCGCAAGACCTGGGTGCGTCGCTGCCACTCGACCCTCGCTCACTGATCCGATTGGTCTCAGCACATCGATGGGGTCGGGGATCAGATTGAGCAGTACACCGTCGGCCAGCACGTCCTCGCGCGCGAGCATCCGACCGCTCTGCGCCCGTATCTCCCTGAGCTCGATGCCTTCTCGCGGCACAACACGTTCAACATTCTGCACCCTGTTTTGCGGTCAGCTGACGTGGTTTGTCTTAGCCGCGGTCAGGAATTCACGCTTGTTTAAGGCTGATGGCACTCGGTCTGGAGCTGCCCGAGGAGACGCTGGTCCAGCAGCACTCGTACGATTCTCCCAGCGAATCGTCTGGTGAGAAGCTTTCAACGCAGCCTTTTTCGAGTTCTCACGTCTTTCGCAGTTCGATTCATGAAATAGTGAGTCGTCATGAAAGCTCACCCTCAGCGCGAACATTTTGCCAGTTATCCGTATTCCGAGGAGGAAGAAAAGCTGAAGAAGAATGTCTGGCTGAAAGGCCATACCGACATCGGCTCAGTCACGGTTTTGTGGTCCCAGCCAGTCGGCGGGCTGCAGATTCTCTCGCCCGACGGCAAATGGCGCTGGGTGCGACACATGGAGAATGCCGTCGTGAGTTCAAATGAGATTGCTCCCCAAATCCTCAAAACTCGTTCCTCTAGGTCATCAATGCCGGCGACGTGATGACGTTCCTCTGTGGAGGATTCTACCCCGCGACACGCCACCGGGTAAGTGGCGCGTGCCAAAAACATCTCGTAAATACAGCATTCACTCCAGGCAGGTCGTTCGCCCGCCCGAAGACCAGCTCACCCGCCCGCGTCTCGGCGTCTTCTTCTTCGCCCTCGCGAACGACGACGTCAAGCTCGTTCCGCATCAGACGCAGAGCCCCGTCCTGCAGCGCGTTGGCGTGCAGCGGCTGTGCGAGGACGGGGATGCGCCGACGATGGAGCAGTGGCGCAAGACGCGGGTGATGCAGTACGGTTCGAAGCAGGTCGAGCTCGTGAAGAGTGAGACGGAGGAGGGGGTCGAGGAGGAGATGGTCGGGAATGTTAAAGTCAAATATTTCAACTGAGCCAGTGTATACGACGGAATAAACAGAACAGAATTTGTATAGCTCGGGTAACAGGAAGCGGTTCGCATCCTGCCTACTGCAGAGAATACAGTTTCAACCGTCTGGCCATTTCCTCTTCTTTGGCCATCTCCCTGAACAAGCTGTACCTAAGGGTGGCAACACAGTCAGCGCATGGAAATACACAGCCGGATCCAGCGCACAATTCACGATTCATCTCTCTCAGTGTCTCTCTGCTCGACTTGGTCTCCCGAATCATCTGCACGTCCTCCCGCTCCTCGAACGCGCGCAACACGCGCAGGCGCTCCGGACCAGGTTCCCGACACATGTCGTTGCGCGCGACGTGCGCGAGGATGGTGGACTCGTACAGAACGGTAAGCGTGCAGCCGTCGCACCGGCGTATTTGCGCGACTGGGCGGGGGAAATGCGCTGGGGAGGGCGCGTCGCGAGACATTGAATAGGTTGGTTTCGTCGGTGCGTTGTGTTCGGGTCGGTGGCAGGAGGGTGCGTACTCACGAGTCTTTTTATACCTTCGCCGCGTGGACGGACAATGCGCGAGGCTTCCGTAGCATCGATTGGGGAGGCAGGACACTGCGACAATGGGATGATGACAAAAGCACGCGATCATCAATGTTGTGCGACAGCGCCCGACCAAGCCGTGACCATCATCGGGACGTCGGTGGTGGCGCCTGGTCAGGGTTTCTTGCATGAAAATGTTCTCCGTGAAATGTATAAATCCCAGATCATAAGGGGCAAAGGTCCGTAGCTCGATGCACTTTAATCGATAAGATAGAATAGAATGCTCGAGATAAGATAAAGTTATTGCAGGACATCATCGACTCGTGCTCATTTATTTTTATACCTCATCTAGGCTTGTGCCTGTGAACTGACCCTTTGATTTCACTGGCTCATCGCACAAGTAACCAGAGCTCAGCTCAGGCACCCCGGCGATCATCACCGCGGAACAACAACGCAGTCCGCTGTATGGGGCTGTTGTCCTGCACCCGCATCACGATCGAACCATAACTCAACCACCAACCACGACGATGAACGGCCGCACCCCCACCGCCGCCTCGCTCTTCTTCCACGAAGGTCCCCCCAGCCTTTCTCCGCGTCTCCCCAGGCAGCTGTGCTGAGATCGCCGCAGACAAGCCCTACGAGCCCCTCGTGGACGACGTCGACCCGCTGATCTCGAGTTTCCCGCTGGACGAATGGGATCGGGGACTGCATCCAGACGCGGGGACGTTCGGCTCCGACTCCTCATCTCTCTCCTTTTTCGAGCCTAGGTACGACTACGAATCGACCTATCCGTCCTATGTCGACTACTATCCTGCCGAGGAGAATACCACCACCTCCCCGGCAACTACTGTCGACCCCGACCTGCTCGTTCTCAAACGCAAACGTTCCTCGGCAGACGAACCATGGGAACCCGTCTGGGCCCAGATCAACACGAAGCGCCTGCGCGAAGATCCGGCCCCGTCCGGCGATCCGGAGAATGAAGTGGACTTGCTGGCCGACGCCGGCGACTACGACGGCGCGGTAGGCGTAATAGAGCTGGACTGGTTTCTCCCCGCGCTGGACGACACCGCGTCTCCTCCACTGAGCGAGTCTGGGTCCCCCATCCGCCCTGATCCGGGACCGGACCCGAGTGGAGACAGAGAAGCAGAGTGGGACTGGGATAGGCTGGACTTTTCGTGGGCCGAGGATGAGGATGGGGACGAGCTCGCGCGGAGCTGTGCGTTCTCTTCTCGCTCTCTCTCGTGCTGACACTGATTGGATATTGCAAGTCGGAGTGCTGAACATATACGAGGAGGGAGATGCCGCCGTTCAGCCAGTGCCAAGAGTCAGATCAGAACCTGTGGTGCTCGAAGACGACGATGACGACGGCGAGGCAAACGTGCTGGACATGAGGTAATCATGTTCTGTGTCCGGACACTCCCCTTTCGCGATTTGACGTCCCGAATTCAGTGATCAGGCCGTACTGGGCGATAACGAAGCACATTGCCCATGCGCTGCGTGTAGCGGGGGAACGAACTCAGGTGAATACCGACACGGACAACGGTATGACGCATCCGGAAGTTGACTTTCTACCTGCAGACCTGTCGCCCGAATCACAGCAGGAAATGCACGCGCTGTTCTCCACAGGGCTCTTCAGTTGATAATTCTCAAAAGATGTATCGTCTTCAGCCTCGTAGCTCCCAGCATATCTGATCCTCTATTCCGCCCAGCCATGATTGCATGGCCGGACCGCTGGCTCCGTGGTTGGATGGCCGAGCGGTCTAAGGCGTTAGACTAAGGTTGTGTTGTTACGGACATTTCGAGGTCGTTGCTCACTCTGCATCTAATCCTCCGGGGCGTGGGTTCGAATCCCACTCCAATCAAGTTTTGCTCCGTCGGTTGGCGGCCATGTCTAATCGACTCTGGCTGCCGCGCCATTGTGTGGACCTTGGCTCCTCGAAAGATATACATATCCACTTTCATGCACACGTGACAGCAAACTCATGTCCCTGCCACTGGATCTTCCCGAAATAAGCTCGTAGTGGGTCGCCGCAGTCCACTGCGACACGGCTTTACGAAGCGTCTGGAGTGGCCCTCCTGATGAGAGATGGACCATCTTCCGCCAAGTGCACGGGTCTATCCGGAGAGACTCGCCAGTGGTCTCAGCCACAACCCAAGTGCAGCGATACCATTTTTCTGTCCTTAGCGTGCTGGCCAAGAGTTTGGATAGTCACTGCTGGGATGAGAGCAGCACGAGTATTCTTTGACGCACTGTAAGCCAGTGTGACGATATTCTTCTTCTACTCCGGGCATTTTACGGCTTGCCAGATGCCAGACTAAGGTCAACTCACTCAGGAAGTTGCTGAGTGGCATGTGGTTGAGAACGGCATCTGATCTTCGTCTGGGGGGGGTGGAGTTGCGTGTGATGCAAGGAAGCCAACCGGTCTCTTGCTCAGGATTGTCTGACTCGTTGTTAGTAGGCTATCCCTCATTTCTCGGAATCATTCAAAAGACACGAAATCAAATCTATTTCATTATATTTCGACGCTTATGGCCGGCAGAAGGCTTAAAGTGTTCGATTAATACTGTACATTGACTTGGTCGAGGCAGGGCCATGCTCAGATCGGAGTGATCGGATCATTTCGTTCTTTGTCGCGTCCCATTCTTTATCTCGAAGGCTTCGCAAATGGAGAGAAAGCTCCAAGCGCAGCATTTACAGCGTCCTGAAGCCTTCATAGATGGCTTTTTCATTCACGCTTTGGCGCTGACTCTTTGACTCGAGCTGCGTGCCACAGTCCTATAAAGAGTCGACTTGCCTCGTCGTATCACAGTACGATTCCGCCCCCCATGCCTCACCGACGTGATTCATACATCGAGTTTCCAACCACACCCTGCACACCGGAAACTTCGTTTTCCCCGGAGCAGGAGGACCTGATCGCGTCGCTTGGCCTTGCGCTCCCCGACGCAGCCGACTCGCGCTCGCTCACGCCCATCATCGACGGATTCCCGCACCCTCCCAGCCACACCCCCAGTGGTAATATCCTCTTCGAGCGCCAGGAGCTCCCGAGAGGGCTCTCGCCAATCGACACGCGCCGCGGGTTCGTCCCGATTCCACTCGCGTTCAGCGACGAGTACGTGCTGCACATCAACGCAGACGAGTCGGGGTCGATCGTACCCGTCGGTGAGGCGCCGACGGACAGGACGGGGGCGTTGATGGAGTACGGCAATAGCGTGCGACGTGCTCATTCCATGAAGCTCAAGACGAGCGTTGGGAGATGGAGGACGGAGAGCATCCGGCGTGCTCTCGGCCGGTTCACTCGCCAACGCACCGCCCCGGCTAGCCAGGGCACATTTTCAGATGCCACCGCTGAGGCAGACGCGAGTCGCAGCAGCGAAGAATCCAGTGGTGCATCGGACTGCACTGATGAAATGGGTTTCCTCGCAGTCCCATCCACTCCCAACACAGCCTTCACAGACCTGAGCTCGCCACCCTCCCCGATCACGCCTCTCCCACCCAGTGTACCGCCCAATACGCCTGTCCCTGCGAGTCTCGTGCGGACACCGATCTCGCCGGCCAAGCTGCCCCCGAGGACCCGTCCACGCTACCACACTCTGAACGTTCTCACCAAGGCCTTCCGCCCCAAACGGCACGACTCGAAGGAGGAGAGTCAGACGCCCGCATCGGAGTCGGCTGCGCATGCAAACAATGAGCCGATCGGGGTTCGGGTGCGCGTGCATTCTTACACGGCTTTCTTGACGGATTTCGAGGTGGAGGGAGCGGGGGAGGACGCTTTTGGGCAAAGATTCGAGACGGAGAATGCAACAGTGAGCAATTACCAAGGCGTTCCGCACAAAACGACGTGACTCTAAGGCGGAGAGGCAGACGCCCGCATCGGAGTCGGCTGCTCATGTAGACAATGAACCGATCGGGGCTCGGGTGCGCGTGCACTCTTACACGGCTTTCTTGACGGATTTCGGGATACTGGGAGCCGAGGAAGACACTTTTGGGCGAAGACTCGAGACGGAGAATGCAACAGTGAGCGATTAGGCTAGTTTGGAGCTGTTTCGCGCAATGGACGCAAGAACGATATATATACTGCATATTCTGTCTACTTGAATGAATTCTGTCTACCTTATCTCAGCTCTATCTGATAGGCAGCCGGCCCTTCCAGAGACTGTCCTTGCTGATGCGTGGAATTGACTGTTGTAACGGTACATCATCCCGCTTCGGGTGCTCATCAAATTCTATGTGCCCAGCCAATGAGCCATCCTTGCAATCTGAATTGCAAGAGGACATTGAATAACGACTGTCGTGTTGTCCTCGCCTGATCTGTTCCGCACGCGGGACGCGCAGAGATAAGCCGCGCGAATAAAACGGAGAGCCGGCGCGTCGAGGTAGAGTCAGTACACCAATCCACCCATTCACCCGTACCCGATCCGACTACCATGCAGTTCAAACTCAACCTCTCTGCGTTGTTCATCGCGCTCGTCGCCGCCGTTGTTGTTGTCGCGGAGCCGCTTCCCATCCCCCCGCCGTGCAACTGTCATGTCATGGGCGGTGTCTCCGTGTGCACCGGCCCCGGATGCGCTTGATAGTCCACCGTGAGTCTCCCGCCAGATTCGTACCCCATTGATCGGTTGGGCATGCCAGACCAGGATGCAGGGATTCAGAATACATCAACCGGGATTCTTCCACTTGCTATGATTTCGAGGACCGATGTGTGCAAATGAAAGTCGGATCTCAAATGAGTTTCTCGGGGTGGTACTGACTTGAGTTATATTGCACTTAGTGGCAATCTTCGGCAAAGAAGATGGCTGTCTTCCGATGGAGGGAAGGATCGCCTCTTCTTCATTTCAGCACGAACATTCATGAGAGTTGACGGGGTCTCATCCAAGATCTTATCTTATCCTCATGACAACCGATCGAAGCGACGTTTGATTGGCATGTGTCATCCCCACCTTTGCTGCGCACTCCTCTGTCGTGTCAACAGTCAGCCTCTGCTGAACTCCTCAGGCCGGCCATGGGAGACACTCTGTGCAGCGGGATCCTGTACCTGATGACATGCTGCTGTGCGTCCTCCCCTCTCCGTCTCGAGGCGCAGGCCGCCAAACGCTCATCCACACGACAGGCTGTTGCTCTTCCTCAGACCCCGGCTCGGACGGCTCAGGCCTCTGCGCCTCGACATCCGTCTTCCCGTGCCTCAGCAGCAGCGCGAGGAACCGCGACCCGCGCGAGGCGGCGCTGGAGCGCGAGTTTTTGGAGCGCGGGTACAGAAAGGATCCGGGGTCGGGGCGCATCACGACTGCGCGAAAAGACTCCGATCAGGCGGAGAAGGCTGGTGGCACGGGCACGGTTTCGGATCCGCCGGGGAGGATAGAGGGTCTGCCGAGAGTCGGGGCCGGTGGCGTGGCGGGTGATGGGAATTCTGCTGGCATCAACTTTTGAATTTTGGGTGCGTCGTTGCTCACTCTAGTTGCTCCGTCGTGGTTCATCTGACTCTGTTAGACGTCTCTCATATTGGCTTGTCAGCTTGTGCGATAGGACGCACCAGAAACCCGGTTCCCCACATAGCCATCCGAATCAACGGTCATCGTCATCATCATGGACTGAGAATCTTGCGAGACTGAATCGGGTCGGTACTCCAGTTCTTGTATCTGATATGTACCTCTTCCACAGTAACTGCATTTGCTTTTGAACAAACCCCGTGGGCATCTTTCTGCACGGACCACTGCCAGATCAATTGAGTCTCGAGTCCACCTGATCACAGGCGACGTCTTCCTCGCGACTACTCTGGACCGATCCTGAACGGACTGCTCTCCTTGAATCGAATCAGGTGTTCTCTCTCAGCCGGCTTCGCAACCGCACGCATACTCCGCAGTGTCTTGAGAATGCGATCGTCGGGTTGTCCGATAATAGAGCACCTCTCCGCAGTCTCCCTCCGTCACTCGGAAAGTCCCGTGAATATCTTTTCCCGGACAAATTCGCTGCCGGTTTCCGGTTGGATTCGTCGAAATGGGATCGTAGGATGTTATACGGTTGCCATGGAATGCTTGATCAAGGGTAAGTGCAACCATTTGTTCCGTGCTCAATGCTCAGGTCTGTCGTGGGAATGTACATTGCGTTCTCCGAGCCCTGTGGGCGGGCGGCGATTGGAAAGAAAACGGGGAAATAGGCGGCTGCGTCCTGCGCTATCTCCACATCGATTCACAATTCCGGTTGCTTTACCCGCGGACTTTTCGCCTGTCTTTCTCTGATCAACGTCGGCATGCTCTCCGAGGGCGAGTACACCGACGTTGCCCATTTCGAACATCACCTCGTCCATGCATCGCATCCTTCTTGACACTGACTTCTGCAGCTTAGACGTTTCAAGTCAATCGCACTTCCCGCCGGCTTGGGCGAGTGTTTACACCCACGTTGTCCGTCACGCGCGTGTCCTTCGTGTTCTCGCACCTTTATTGCGCGCTTCCTGACATCTACAATCACTTCAATGAAGAATTCTTATATTGGAGAAACTGGACGCTCAGGTACAACTAGAAACGAGCAAACTTCCTAGCGCGTCTATCGAGTTAGCATGGCTCCTACAATGCTTGTGGGAGCACGGATGTCCTCTCTTTTGTTGGCTGATAGTTTGCCTGGCTCCTGCAGACCGAGACGGTGCGAGATTCCGGTTATCAACTACGCGATAAGCTGTTTCTAATAGCTGATGCGAGTGATCTGTCCCGCTCTCTGCTGTTGTTGGGACCTCTAGGCTCAATCCACGCGGTGGCGTGATCCCAAGCCTAGACCCTGGAGAATTGAGTATCGAACTCCCCACGGCTGAGGTGGGTCTAGGCTAGGATTCGGAATTAATACAGCTGAGCCCTGCGATGCCCTGACCCCGTCGGTGTCCGTACTGCCGATCTCAGTTCTCAATTGACGAATCTCAATTCTCAATTGACGGACTGACAAATACCCAGTCAAGAAAGTCACCTGACTCACAGGGGCGAATTTGCCAGGTGAGGTGACACTACGTGGGCCTCGCGCGGCCGTATTCGGGCTGAACTGGCTGGCTGGCTGGCTGTCCGGCGGATCGCCATCATCGGGAAGCCAGATCCTGAAACGAGCGGTCGTCGGGGCGCGCTAGTTTGAGGCTAGGAGACGACCATCTGTGATGCCAATCGCATGTGAGCCGTGAGGCGGCAGCGGACAGGAACGCATGGGGCTGCTCGCGCCGGAGCCAGTACGTATCCTCAAGCGTGGGCTGCGGAAGCACATCATATGGGCGCGCGACAGAGAGCCCGCGGAACGCGCGCACGAATGGGTTGACGGGGGATGCTCTGGTTACAGGCGGCAGAGGCGAACGCTCGAGAAGAAGCAGAAGCCTCTCTGTCTGCAGCAGCGATCTCGCGCAGAAGTGATGATGCAGTTCGATCAAATGATCGTTGTGACGCTGATCCTCCTGGAAAATCTCTGCCCTGCCCGATTAAGACCGTTCGAAAATAGCCCTGGATGAGTGATTGCGCGCTTCCGCCGAGCACGGGCTGAGATGGAGTCGTTGAGATGGAGTTGTTGGTTGGTTAGGCTAGGTAGGCATTGCGGCGGATCACCGTGGTGTGATCCCATCACCGATCAATTTGAGACTGGAGACATGCCGCCCATCGCCGGCCCGATGCAGCGAGTGTGTCTTGCTTACGGACGGACATGTACCCGGACGAAAGAACACCTCCAGGCTCCACAGCAGGCACGGCCCATTTTTGATCTACTGCTGACTATCGAGGCGCACATACTTCACTTGATGTCCAAATGGGAGAAGGCCCTTCAGGCCCTGTTTCACGCAAGGCAGATGCGTGCTCCGATGGTGGAGGGCGCCGACACCTCCACTTGTTTCTGTCATGAGAGCGGCTGATGCCCGCGCAACTGTGCGATGCGATATTGCGCCTTTGACAGTGACAGTGGTGCAGATCACTCTAGAGGCAGCATCACATGGGCTCGGGCATCTTGAAGACGGCCCGAATGTCAGCTTCGAACTTTGACTGATCGTTTCCGGGTGCCTAACCTCTCCTGACCTATACTCAACATGGCAGTCTGCCATATTGTGTGGTCGTTCGCGTCGTCAGGGAAGGCTGGCTGCCATCATCGGGGAGGACACTCTAGCGCTGCGACACGCGCGCCCTAAACGCCCTCGCCGATTTTCGAGGGGCATCATCCAGGAAGAAGCTAGCGCCCAAATTGAGAAAGGCACGTCGACTCGCGAACGAGCGAATTTATCTTTGTGGACCAACAAGCGAAGGAGCACACGCTGATCTCATCGTCTTCTCTTGATGGATGACCTGATAGATATCCATTCTGCCACTGTGAGACAGACAGTGGTCGCCATCGAACCTCCATTCGTTCGTCCGGGCACATGGGGTCTGCGAAGGACGATCTGGGATGCATCGGAGCCTTTTTTAAGGGCGGGTCAACTACGCAATTTCTCACACCGTTTCTCCCCCTCTCCTCCTCCCTTTCCCTTTCCTGTCGAGTCTATTTCCACTTCTTCGCACGAACGTCCGGCCATGGTTGCATTAAAGTTATCTATCGCAAGTGTTCTATCTATTCTGGCCGGCGTCAAGGCCGGCTTCGTCGCCGGGCCCGCGCAGCTCGCCGCGCTCAACCTGCAGCCGGATTACATCATCGTCGGAGGTGCGTGTGGTCGGCGTTGGGGCTGTTCGTGAGCTCATCAAGGACGTCCCGTCGCAGGTGGTACCGCCGGGAGTGTTGTGGCCAGCCGTCTGTCCGAGTGGTCGAACCTGACCATTCTGCTGCTCGAAGCTGGTGGCTCGTGCGTCTCATCCCCGTCCCCGTCCTTGGTATAATCATCTAAACTCTACCTGTAGAGATGCCGGTGTCTCTGATATCATCGTTCCGTTCCTCTGCTTCAGCGCCACGCCCGGGACGCCGCTCGACTGGAACTACACGACCACGGCCCAGCCTGGGCTCGGCGGGCGCTCAATCCCGTACCCGCGAGGCTATGTGCTCGGTGGCAGCAGCTCCGTCAGTGAGTGCTATATTCTGCTGTCCAAACAGACGCACTGGAGGCTGAACGATGCGATTCACAGACTACATGATGTACAACCGCGGATCGCAAGATGACTGGAACAACTACGCCAAGGTGGCAGGGGATAATGGATGGTCGTGGGGAAATGTATACCCCTATATGCTTAAGGTGCGTGGGAATGCTTGGCGCTGTGGTTCAAGATGGCTCAATTCTCCCAGTCGGAGAAGTGGACCGCACCGGCGGACGGACACAACACGACCGGAGAGTTCAACCCTGCCGTGCACAGCAACCAGGGCCTTCTCTCGGTGTCGCTCCCCGGCGCGCCCAGCGACATTGACACCCGGGTCGTAGCTGCGACTCAGCAGCTGTCCAGCGAGTTCCCTGCCAACGTTGACGTCAACTCCGGCAAGACTCTCGGTGTCGGTGAGTCGCTTCCTCGTTGGGCGTGAAGTGCGTTATTGATCACCGTTTCAGCATGGATGCAGGCCAGCATCAACGGCGCCGTGCGCAGCAGTTCCTCCACGGCCTACCTGTCTTCCGGCGTCACTGGCCGCTCCAACCTGAACGTCGCCCTCAACACGCGTGTCACACGCATTCTCCCTGTGACCGGCACCGATTTCCGCACGGTTGAGTACGTCGACGCTTCCGGTGAGTGAAGTTCGGCTGTCCGTCGATCCAGTCTAATGGATCTCCAGGCAAGAAGTACACCCTCACCGCCAAGAAGGAGGTCATCCTCTCGGCCGGAAGTATCGGCACCCCCAGCATCCTGATGCACTCCGGCATCGGTGATTCGGCCGCACTCAAGCCTCTCGGAATCACCCCGCTCGTCAACCTTCCGTCCGTCGGCAAGAACATGTCTGACCACGTGCTGCTCCCCACCCGGTACCTCGTCAACTCGACTAACACCCTCGAGACGATCGAGCGCAGCACCGCCGTGCAGCAGCAGCTCCTCAGCCTGTGGCAGAGCTCCGGCCAAGGCCCCTTCGTCAACTCTCCCGGGAACCACATCGGCTTCTTCCGTGTGCCCACCAGCCTGTCCAAGACCTTCGCCGGCTACAAGGACGCCAGCGCCGGCCCGACCTCCGGACACTACGAGTTCATCATCGCGGCCGGCTCGCTCCCGCCTGCGCCGCCCGCGGGCAACTTCATGGGTATCATCATCGGGCTCGTCTCGCCGACCGCGCGCGGGTCCGTGACGATCAGCTCCAGCAACCCGCTCGATGCGCCGCTCATCAACCCGAACCTCGTTGGCACGAGCCAGGACCAGTTCGTGCTGCGCGAGGCGATGCGCGCGTCGGCCCGCTTCGCAGCGGCGCCTGCGTTCGACGACTACGTGCTCGAGAACGGCTCGTTCAGCCCGAATGCGACGGACTCTGCGCTCAACTCGTACATCGCGGCCAACGCCCAGACTGTGTTCCACCCCGTCGGCACCGCGTCGATGAGCCCGTACGGCGCGCAGTGGGGTGTCGTCAACCCGGATCTGACCGTCAAGAAGACCACCGGGCTGCGTATTGTCGATCTGTCTGTCCTGGTGAGTGTTCCTCTTGAGGTTATCGACTGTATCTTCGGCGCTGACACTGCTTTTCTTTCTCAGCCCGTCGTCCCCGCTGGTCACCCTCAAGGCCCTGCCTACTTCCTCGCCGAGCGCGCCTCCGACCTTATCAAATACCAGCCGGTCCACAGCAGCTAAACACGCTCTCTTATTTCGCTGTAATATCTCATACATAATCTTCGGGATTGCTTCCATTCTTTGCATATTGTTTGCTGTACTTCATACTTACCTTTAATCTTATCTACGTACCGCGTTGTACACAAATAAAACTATTTATATGCACATTGGTGGGATCGAGGATGACGTTAGTGTGGCTGTTTCGGCGAAAAATCATGTTACTATTGTTCGCAACTGACAGGTGTTTCTGCACCATAGAGGTGTTTTCGGTCTGTAGAGCCAGCCAATGCATGTATCGCCTTCGGTTTTTTTTAGAATGAATCCTTATATACTCTGAAATGTCTGTGCAAAGTACGAGAGCGATCGGGCCAGTGCGAAGAATTGCTCGACGCTGCCGGCGCATCAAATGAGGTGATCTCAAGCTCATCTCTATAATTCCGAGCTTCCCGTTGGTCGTTTTAGGCCGGGTAAAGACGAGCCATGTATTATTGAGTATCTTAATCGTATTCAAAATGTTCCTCGCCGTTCCGGGCTTGCGATGTGTGTGAGCCAAGGGTGATCAGCCAAAGCGTGACATTTCAACACCTCAGTTACCACCGCCATCACGCGGTTCTCCCCCCGCGGGGTACCTACTGGGTACCCTCAGACGTCTTGCTGAGGGTACCCAGTAGGTACCCCCTGGCGGGGGGTGGGGGGGCCATTTAGTCGATTTAGTAGCGGGGGCATATGCGGGGGTCAGGAGGAGGGGGGGTGTATGTAGCATGTGACTTGTCCATAAGAGCGGGTAGCTGGGCGGGAAAAAAAAATCCAATCACATGACGCGCTGCATGGGCGGGATGGCGGGATAAAAAAATCACGTGATGCGCTGCACCAAATATTATCAAAATGCTGGCAGGGGTTGGCGGCGTCATTGGCGGGGTCACTACCACCCCCCCGCACACCATGGCGGGCAGTGGGCGCATTATCACGTGACTTTTTGGGCGCCTTTTTTGCAGCATTTGGCATGATTTTGGAAATGCTGCTTGATACATTGCATGCTGTGGCAGACAATGGGCGCAAAATCACGTGATTTTCCGCCAAAAAAATGGAAGACTCCCCAAATCATCCCAGTATAATTTCCATAGGTAAATAGGCTAGTTAAACATGAACTTGAGCTTAGAAAAACCAAAATGCACCCTGCACAATGGGATTGGTGACACACTTGATCCCATCATTTGGCAGGGCCTGCCGCAGGGGCTGCCGCGGGGGGTGCCGCGGGGGGTGCCGCAGGGGGTGCCGCGGGGGGTGATGCGGGGTCTGCCCCAGGGGGTGCTGCGGGGGGGTGCTGCAGGGGCTGCCCCAGGGTTGGTCTGTTATGATCCATTTTTGTTCATTGAAGATCTTGTAGAGGTGAGCAGGGCAACAGGCCAACTGGGAATTTATAGGAAGACATTGAAATTGATGCAGGGGTCAGATGCGGGGCCCACTGCAAGGTCTACTGCAGGGGCAGGGGTGCATTATATCAAATTTCGATGTATCTATTCTGGCCATGGCCATAGAATGTCACATAATTATCCTTCAATTTGGCAGGGGTTTCTTGGTATGGTCTGCAGCTAAAGATATTTGATTCCCTTGTGCTTTAGCAGAGCCTGGGATATTGAAAACATGCAATAGCACCTGTATAATCTGTTTATGTAGGGTCAAATACAAGTTATGATTTGTTCATGTGTTGACCGGCAGGGTGGGTAGGTTGGCTGCACTGGGTCCACTGTCATCTCATTGATTTTTTGGTGCGCTCATTCTACATACATGGCTATTAGTCAATTGTTCACACTGTTAGCACAGTGTAATCTTACCCTGCGGCACATTGTACCACATGTCAAGTACACATTGAATGTCTCACTTCCTGACTGGGACTCATTGAAAATCAGAAGTTCTGTGATGCTTTGCAAATGATTTTCTCAAGCTGCAACATGAACAGATGGAACATAGCAGATTTGACATGCCCTCAATTCATTCCTGGGTCGTATATAAGAGGATGAACTAACTCACTAATAAGTTGTCTCACAATAGCCAGAGATTGAGCATGAATTCAGATTTCATATACAAAATTCTTTCCACTTAGAGCTTGGATACTTGCAAGACAAACTGCAGAAACATACATGATTGCTTTTGCTACTGGGACTGTATACGTTCTTGCCATAACTCACTGCCTGCAACTCTACCTGCACCCCCACTGGCACCCCTGCAGGCACCCCCCGCCAAACTGGCACCCCCCACTGCACCCCCGCATGCACCCCCGCCAGGCTGACACCCCCTGCCACACCCCCCGCTGCACCGGTGCCTTGCCCCTGCCATCTTCTCATATGTAAGATTACATAATCTGACAGCTCGGAACACGTCAAGTCACCAGCCAATCAGAACCTGTATAAACGTCGTACCTAAGTGTTTCCTGCTCTTCTGACACTGTTTCTACAGTTATGCAGCTGAAAACCATCGGAATAAGGTCTCCCTATGCTGTTCTTGTTGAATATGTAGGTATTTCATATTGCTTGTCCATCCAAAATTCGAAACATGAAAACAGTTCACAGTTGCTCAAGGTTCCTACATAGATAATGGTTCAACATAGTTCACTTTGGGTATTGCAAAAAATATATTTTCTACAAATGAACAACTCAATACAGCTGAATGATATACCCCTTGGCAGTGTCTGAAACAAATTCTGAGAGCCCTGGACCCTGGAACCATTCAAAAACTTGAAATGGGTCCGAAAAATAGGGTCTTGATAAACATGAGATAGGGGCCAGTTTGAAGAGATGTAAGCCACTGGTCATGTTCAATGTGGTATTTGACAATGTTTTGGTGCCCTGCCCCTCACCAAATGGCCTCCTTTCCCACCAAAAAGTGCACATACACACTCAAGCTTATAAAATCAATTGTCGGCCAGAAACAAGAGCAGGCAAGTTGTGTCACTGGAATTGGGTAAAGGTAACCTGGAAGTCACTCGGGTTGCAGTACAGAAGCTTTGGAAAGTGATCCTGTAGTTGATCCACATTGGGTAGGCTGGCAGAGGCTTGGGCACCCCCCGCAGCAGCCCCCGCGGCAGCCCCCACCATCAACCCTGCCCCAGCCCCTGCAAGGATTGGATGGACAAAAGTGCTGCCTAATCAATTGTTAGTGTTCACAGTATTATCACATCCATTAAAGTGTCTAAATGGTGTGTAGACAAGGAATATGAAATCCATCAATCAACAATCCTAACACCTGTATCAGATATCCTGAAAATGGAGAGGAAGATTTGGGAGCAGACAGACTATTGGAAGCAAACAGACAGGGACAAGGAGCAGTAGCTATTCCTGGCGATCAATTTGGCTGCACATGGAAAACTCCCTTGGGGGATTTGCCAAACAAATCAAGTTGCGCATTTTTCAAACATTAAATTCGACCTAATAGCTTGAGCAGACCATGCCCAAATGTACCAAGTTATAACTTGTATTTGACCCTACATAGACAGATTATACAGGTGCTATTGCATGTTTTCAATATCCCAGGCTCTGCTAAAGCACAAGGGAATCAAATATCTTTAGCTGCAGACCATACCAAGAAACCCCTGCCAAATTGAAGGATAATTATGTGACATTCTATGGCCATGGCCAGAATAGATACATCGAAATTTGATATAATGCACCCCTGCCCCTGCAGTAGACCTTGCAGTGGGCCCCGCATCTGACCCCTGCATCAATTTCAATGTCTTCCTATAAATTCCCAGTTGGCCTGTTGCCCTGCTCACCTCTACAAGATCTTCAATGAACAAAAATGGATCATAACAGACCAACCCTGGGGCAGCCCCTGCAGCACCCCCCCGCAGCACCCCCTGGGGCAGACCCCGCATCACCCCCCGCGGCACCCCCTGCGGCACCCCCCGCGGCACCCCCCGCGGCAGCCCCTGCGGCAGGCCCTGCCAAATGATGGGATCAAGTGTGTCACCAATCCCATTGTGCAGGGTGCATTTTGGTTTTTCTAAGCTCAAGTTCATGTTTAACTAGCCTATTTACCTATGGAAATTATACTGGGATGATTTGGGGAGTCTTCCATTTTTTTGGCGGAAAATCACGTGATTTTGCGCCCATTGTCTGCCACAGCATGCAATGTATCAAGCAGCATTTCCAAAATCATGCCAAATGCTGCAAAAAAGGCGCCCAAAAAGTCACGTGATAATGCGCCCACTGCCCGCCATGGTGTGCGGGGGGGTGGTAGTGACCCCGCCAATGACGCCGCCAACCCCTGCCAGCATTTTGATAATATTTGGTGCAGCGCATCACGTGATTTTTTTATCCCGCCATCCCGCCCATGCAGCGCGTCATGTGATTGGATTTTTTTTTCCCGCCCAGCTACCCGCTCTTATGGACAAGTCACATGCTACATACACCCCCCCTCCTCCTGACCCCCGCATATGCCCCCGCTACTAAATCGACTAAATGGCCCCCCCACCCCCCGCCAGGGGGTACCTACTGGGTACCCTCAGCAAGACGTCTGAGGGTACCCAGTAGGTACCCCGCGGGGGGAGAACCGCGTGATGGCGGTGGTAACTGAGGTGTTGAAATGTCACGCTTTGGCTGATCACCCTTGGCTCACACACATCGCAAGCCCGGAACGGCGAGGAACATTTTGAATACGATTAAGATACTCAATAATACATGGCTCGTCTTTACCCGGCCTAAAACGACCAACGGGAAGCTCGGAATTATAGAGATGAGCTTGAGATCACCTCATTTGATGCGCCGGCAGCGTCGAGCAATTCTTCGCACTGGCCCGATCGCTCTCGTACTTTGCACAGACATTTCAGAGTATATAAGGATTCATTCTAAAAAAAACCGAAGGCGATACATGCATTGGCTGGCTCTACAGACCGAAAACACCTCTATGGTGCAGAAACACCTGTCAGTTGCGAACAATGGTATCTGTCTCAAATCCACAGTTTCAAGTCAAACTCATCAATCCATCATTGATCCAATCATATCTTTCCTTTTCACCCTTGGCTTGCATCCATGCCTTGGCCATGTTCGGCCAAACCGTATTATGGACGCTCATAGCATCTCTGGCAACTCGACCCAATCTTGAAGCCCCATCATCTATACCGTGCCTCGAAACCTCCAACAACTTCACGGCGCTCATCGACTGCTTCGACGCATACACCGTCCCCGCACAGTTCTACACGACCGAGAGCCACGCCGCCGCCCAGCCGTCGCGCGATGAGCTCGCGGCGTGGGTTCAAGTCGTGCACGCCATGCTCGACTCGTCCATCTCCGTCTCCGTCTCCGCGCCGCACACGCACCCCGCGATCCCCGCCGCACTCGCCCCCTCGTACCACCTCGCGACGTTCACCGACGGGCCCACGAATCGCTCGTACACGGTGCTCTCCGAGCGGTACGCAGTGCGCGGATACTACGCGCGGGGCTGGGGCCTGTTCGTCGTGCCCACTCCCACGACCGCACCACGGCGCAGGGCGAACGCATACCTCTCCGCTCCGCACGCGGGGTACGATCTGTACACCCCGCAGCAGGCCGGGGCGCTTTTCCATCTGGCGCAGGCGCGCAGCGTCCTAATTGCGGGGCGCGCGCGGCAGGCACTGCACCGTGTGTCCGCGTGCCAGCCGGCGCGGGGGTACTGGGCGACGGATCCGGCACACGATGTCGTGCGTGGGCGTTTCCGCTCCGTCATTGAGCGCTGACCCTGTGTGTGCGTGCTAGGCCGAGCCGTTCTTCGCTGCGAGCAAGGCCATCTTCGACTGGGATCGCGCACAGGATGTGCGGGCGACGTTTGTGCAGATGCACGGCAAGGCGCGCTCGTCGTGTCCTAGCGACATGGCGTTCATATCCGCAGGCGTCGGTGGGTCGTTTCTCATGTTTGCTGCATTCTCAGCTGCTTACCTGCCCTCCGGAGGCCCGAGCGTATTCTACGACACCCCCCTGGCAGCGCCCATCCACCGGCTCACCGCCGCGCTGATCAGCCGCTTTCCCGCATGGCGCGTGTCCACCCCGAACACCTCACCGTGCTCCCTGCTCGCGACGGACAACGTGTTTGGGCGTCTTGTCAACGGGGTCGCGGAGGGGGACCTCTGCGAGACGGTGGCTGCGGAGGGGGACGTGACGGGGAGGTTCGTGCATATCGAGCAGGCGATGGGGGCGCGCATGCCGGGGGACGGGCAGGCTTTTTGGCGGGGGTGGGCGGAGGCGATGTTGGATGCCTGGGGGAGTAGATCGGAGTTCGGATGAAGTCCTCCTGTGCGACACTATCACCGCAGTCTCCAGTACCTCGGTCCATCTGGTCTGTACCTCAAGGAAAGCGTTCTTGCGGATATTCCTGGAATACATGCGACCCATCAAGATGCCGCTGTATGGCAGACTTATTATACGGGCATGGCAAACGGGCATGTCCCGCCAAGCGGAGTTTGAATTTCGCTTGGCGGGCATTTGATGGCGGGCATGGGCATGGGCATGGCTTGTGCCCAACTTTTTGAACCTTGGGACATTGCTTGGTGTCGGACGGACGCTGCGGACATCGCGCTGTCGCCGGGTTGGTCGCTCTGCAATCGGTCGAGTCCGGATTGGAACTGGTGGTGATGCAAGGCTTTCCACACTAATCAACCTTCGGTCGTCGCCGTCGGGTGGCCTCAGCTTAAGATCAATAGACTAAGTTGAGCTATTCTACGTGTCATTGAATAATACAACGACCTGATTCTTTCTATTACCATGCCCCGCCTTCCTTTTTTCTGCGCCACCGTTGTCTGTACTGCCTTTCCTTCACGCGTTCTCTTCGCCCTTTTTGCTGGCCGTGCTTGCTCTGCACCAGTGCCCGAGTTGTTCTTGTTGTCCTGCACGCGTGCTGCCGCATCCCGAGCTATGGGCTTCGGTCTTGGCCTCGGTTTTTGTTCTCCAATTGACTCCTCGTCCATTGCGTCGCCGCGCGGAGCTGGAGGCATCGTATAGATGGGATACCCCCCGTCCAATTTAGGAGAACCTGACGTACAATAATATAACACGCCAGCACTGTAGAGGGAATGCGACCGCCTGAACACTTTTATCTCAGCTCCATAGGCGAGAGATCTGCTCAGCTCTTCCGAATGCCAAACAGGACAGCCTGCACATAATCGACATCACCCCATCTCGACTGGATCATATCCGCACTGCAGTCAGAAAATGTTGATTGCATCAAGCAATCAGGCATGCCATCAAGCGAGCGGGCATGCACTCGATTCTGCGCACTTCATGAGCTTGTTGGCTAGTAAGGCAGTCATAATCTCGAGATAAGGTGTCCTAGAAACTTAGATCACGTCAGCGCGGCAAGATATAAGCTCGGAATTTAAGCAATCAAGATGCGGACGCATGCCCGTTTGTCGGATGGGATCAATTTGGACTTCGAGGCTAACCAGTACACAATGTAGCCCCGAATGCATTGAAAAATGGAGGTGTAGGGGTGAAGGCGTAGTCCTAAGCCATGAATATGAGACCTTTCCTTGACTTTGAGACGCTGCCTTTCTCCTGAGAGTCAGTTATCATCGACTGCATAGAAGAAAACTCAGCGGGGAGGGCCATCCCATCTCCGCAGAGCCCCGTAGAATAATCACGACGTGAAAAGCCCGCATAATTTCGTGTCTGAATCAAGCTACAACACTCCCACGCGGTCCGATTTGCTGAAAGCCAGCGTCGAAGCAGCATCAGTAATGTAGCGCGCAGCAGATCTCTCGAGACATCATTGCTAAGTGCATTGGTAGGCCTGACATGCTTAAATACAGCCCATAGGGAAGCCTACAACAAGTAAATACAAATTATTTATGGCCTGAGGCATGCCAAAATGTTGGCTTGGCATGCCCGCAAACGGGCATGCATGCCTGATTGCATCAATTTCAAGCCAAACCTGTCAAATGCCCATCAAATGCCCGTTTGCGCGGGGGAATGCCCGTTTGGCATGCCCAAAACGTCGGTCTCCAGCTGGCGCCGATCCCTGTGCCCCTACTCCACCATGACGACCGTCTTGCCGGTATTCGTGCCCTTCATGACACCGAGCATGACCTCGCCCACCTTGTCCAGCCCGACGTTGATATCCTCCAGCTGCTTCAGCTCTCTGCGCGCGAGCTGCGGGATGATCTCCTTCTCGAACAGGCCGACCCACTTGGCGCGCAGGTCCGCGACGAGGAAGCCGAAGAACGAGAGCGACTTGGGTACGATGTGACCGGGGTTCTGCGAAGAAGGAAAGCGGGGGTTGTTGGGGTCAGGTGCGCGCGATGATGGACTCGGATGGGAGCTCGGAACGGACCTTGATCGGGAGGGGCGCTCCGTTGTAATCTGGGGCACGCGGCACGGGTGAGCATTGGGATTCGCACGGGCAATCCGGCGCTGATGAGGGGTCACGTACTCGCGATCATGCCGCACTCCTGTGTCTCTCCGCGTCAATGGGCAGCTCTGCGGAGAAGAGGAGGACGCACGATGAATCTGGCGTGGCTGCGCGCGTACTCCATCGCAGCGTCCAGCGAGTCTCCGCCGACGTTGTCCCAGTATCTGCATGTCAAAAACGCGCGTAAGCGGCTGCATTCACAGACGCGGCGGCGGGCGTACATATCGATCGGACCCTCTCTCTTCAGGACCTCCCATGTGTCCGTCGTTTTGTAGTTGAACGCGACGTCCGCGCCGAGCGACTGCATGAACGCGACCTTCTCGTCCGAGCCCGCCGACGCGATCACCTTGAGGCCGTCCTGTTTCGCGAGCTGGATGACCATCCTGCGGAGGACGCGGGTGAGCCGAGGTTGCAACCGCCAGAAGGGGAGGGAGGGGGGACGCACGAGCCGACGGGTCCAGCACCGGTGGTGACGAACACGACTTCGCCCTGCACAAGCGAGAGCCGTCAGCGTCTGAATCCTCATTGACAATCCCACTGAATCACAATCGCACCGACCTTCTTCGCCCTGGAATACTCACGCCACCCATATACCGCGGTCTCACCTATGTTCGCGCCGCTCAGCCCACACAGTTCGTTTCCCGGCGGGACGAGAGAAGCATGCAAGCAACGGACGACGCACCTGGCATGCCGGCCGCGCCGAGGTAGGACGACCACGAGACGCCTGGGAACCGCTCGATCGGCACGAGCGCGTAGATGGTCGTGTCGATGCGGAGCCCCGGGAGGACCGCGTACTGCTGGTGTGCTGCACGGGGGCGGATGTCAGCAGAAGCGTGTAAAGACCGGGGCGGGGGCGGGGACTAGAGAGACGCACGGAGGTAGCCGAGGAGGTGGGTGCCGGCCGGCGCGGCGTCGACTTCCGAGCGCAGGACGACGGCGACGCCGCCGCTCCAGAGCCTTGCATGGTGTCGGATTTCAGCACCAGCACGAGAAAGTGCGCGAGAAAGATAGACGCACGATTCGCCGATCTCGAACGCTGGCTGTGGAGGAGGCGAGTGGGATGAGGCGAGGGCAGGTGAGGTGTGTGGAGGGACGTACCATGAAAGACTCGATCGTAGGGTCCCGCATGCGTCCTCGCAGGTACGGATCGACAGACACCGCGAGCATCTTCACCAGCATCCCGCCGTGCAGCGGCACCGTGTCAAGGTCGATTTTCTGCGTTGTGTCGTACACGATCGTCTTCCCCGGGATCGGATAGTCTGGGGGCCCGGTCAGCGTGACTGGTGAGTGCGCGCGAGAGCGATATCTGATTGACCTGTGGGGATCTCGTTGAACAAAACGCGTCCGTTGGTGACGGGTGCCATGTTAAATAAATCGGGAGGAGGAATGGAATAGTATGATAGTTGTATTATTGTAACTCAGTCAGATAACGGCGTTATATAGATAGAAGGACGCCTTTGCTGAGTCTTGGTAAACGATTACCAATGGCTGCTTCATGGCAACGAAGCCGCACAGCCACAATTACTCACTTCACAGCCACGATTACTCAGTGCAACTGATCACCAGACCCCGGGTCCCGTTCCTCCTCCTCCTGGATTCTGCATCCGCTCATCGATCGCGCGGTGTATTTTGAGAACCGAGCAGGTGGCGAGCAAATGGACGGCTGCCGGGTCGACGAGTTTCATTCTCGAGGAGTGATCGATATAAGTGTGGCGCCGAAACTCACGCGTGCAAGCAAGGTGAGATAAGCCGGTTTCCCAGTTTGAACCGAGGGGGGGGGCACGTCTGCGTCTCAGTCGCGGTGTCCCAGCCTGATGCCAACCCGCATCGCGTTCTTCCTCCCTTCTTCCGCGAAAGCGAGTCTGCTATGTAGAGTCTCGCGGATCAAGCCTGCGAGAGTAGAACTTGCGTGGGACGGTGTGGGTTGCGAACCCGTCGCAGAAGCAGGTGTGATGTCCCATTGTATTTGATGTTATTTTTAGACGTCTCTCATGTCAAGGAATTTCGGAAAGAGCGAGCTGTTCGGGAGAAATGACGGGGATGCGGCCACGCCCAGGCGAAAGTCGCGTCGAGGGATACGTTGTTTTTACAGACTTGGACGCGGCAGAACGCGGCCAGTCTCTTCACATTACGGGAGGTTGAGTCCAACCACGGCCGCCGTCGCCGTCACTCTCCCGTAGATCAGAGACCTGGGCCGTCAGTACTTACGCGTTCGGTTCAATGTCGAAGATCTTTTTCTCACATCCAGGTCCTGCCAAGCCCAGCCTGGACATGCGTGTATATCTCCACCCTCCACCCTCCCTACTACTAGATACAGTAAAAAAAAAACATCAACGACACCAACAGCCACGCTACCACGCCCGCGCCGCACCCGCCCCCTCCCAACCCAACTCCGCACACATGTCACGTGCCTCGCGCTCCATCCGCCGCAGATTCTTCTCGGAGCGCAGCCGCGTGTGGTGCCCGCGCAGCGACACGGTCGGGTACTCGCAGCGCTGTCCGCGCTTCGCGCACTGCCTGGATCGGTCGCGTCAGTCAGTATCCCAGCCCGTCACGCAACGCAACGCAACGCAACACGCACTGGCAGGTCTGGTCCGGCGCGTCCTCGGGCGGGCGGCGGCACCCGATCTTGCGGTGGCGGCAGAAGAGGCACGCCATCGCCTGCAGCTTCGTCCCCCGGCGCGACAGGCGCGCTTCGTACTCGGCGGCGGCGGTAGGGGAGTCGGCGAAGGTGCTCGGCCAGGACGTGCGCGGAAGGATCGTCCGCGGGTGGGGCAGCGTCGGGAGCGAGTGGCGGAGGGGTGCTATCGTCGGGAGCGGGAGGTCGGCTGGGGCGTCGCTGTCCCACGGCGGCGCGTATGGGGCGGGGGTGTACTGGTCCGCTGCGGTGGATGCACTGAGGGGGTGTTGTCCCGGATACGCAAATTCGAGCCCGCGACCCATAGGCTCCTGGGATGCCGGGTATACGTCGTGCGGAAAGTCGAAGCCTCCCGCCGGGTAGGTGTGAAGGGATGCATCCTGCTGGATCCACGGCCACGGCTTTGCGGTCGATGATGGGGAGGATCTGGCGCTGAGGCTGCTGGGGTGGAAAAACGGCTGGGCGAGTGGTCAGCGGAATGGTGCGAACCAAGGATGTACGGGACCCACATAGGGCTGGACATGGCGTTCCTCCCCGTCGTTCGGCTCGGGCAGCGTCCACAGATCGAGATCCACACTGTACTCCGAGCCAGTCGAGCTCGACGGCGGGCGCGGCGACGGCGGAGGGGGCTGCAGGCCCCGCGCGTATCTGGACACATGGGCCACACTCTCCGGCGCGATCTCGTGCGCCGACGACCGCGTGTGTGCAAGTTGCCACGCGAGCGGATCTGCAAAAGGCCGCGTCGAGGCGTCTGTGTTCGGCATCTTGTCGGAAAGGCTGCGGCGGCGACTGGGGGAAGCAGAAGAACAAGAAGACCAAGACGACGATGGCGGACGTTGAGAAAATGTTCAAAAGTGCCCGGACCAACACCGATCAGGGCCTCTCCTCCATCCTCAAGCTTAAATGGCCTCCTGGGTCTGATATGCTGCCGCGCCGGCGCCGGCTGTGTGATTCTCTGTGTGCACCTTCTTTTCGAGCGAATCACTATCCGATGACATGGGAGATCCTGGCGTGGAACAGCGGGCCGGCAAATCCGAGGATCTAAATGTTGACGAACCAGAATGCAATGGAGAGAGAGAAAGAGATAACCCCCAGGCCGGTCTGAATATACGAAACTGTAGCTCCCAGCGCGTGGGCGACTTGGGGCGTCGGTTCCGGCGCGTGGAGCCGTCCCCAGTAAGTACGTTGTGGCCCCGCGGTGCGTGTGCGCTCGAGTACAGTGCGGCTGCGCCGGGCCAGAAATTAGGTTTCGGGCTGACTGAGCCGCCGGGCTCGCTGTCCATACCCAAACCCGAGACAGCCAGACAGCCTCCACGATCCATGGAGGGAGTGTGTCTGTGAGTGAATGTGTGCGCGCCCATTGTCTGGATCACGCCTGCGAAGCGCGTTTCAACCTGACACACGGGTGTTCGCAACGCGGGGACGCAGTGCTCCGACGACCATGGAACGCAGCGTCGCACCACGGCGCGTCGCGTGGCGAGGCTGGGACCATCGTCGATCCGCGTGCGTTCCCACATGCGGCAGTGCGCGCTGGGAACAAAGGAATTCGGAATCCGGACGGAAGGCCGGAAAGGCGGAAAACATACGACGCACACGACGCGGGGTGTGTGTCATCCCTCATCCCTCATCCCTCATGGGTGGTGCCCGGAACAATGGCTTCATCTCTGTTTCGTTCTGTTCTGTTCTGTTCTGTTCCCAGGCCCCAGCCCGAATCAGATATTCGCGAAGTACACCGCCACAGCCCTACTCCCAACCCTGGATGCTGTTCAGGGAAGTGGCATAGCCGGTCTGGGCAACGGCTGTGCGCAGAGCACGAGTGCATACGTACATGCGTGCGTAATCTAGGGTCGGCTTGCTGCACCTCTGCGATGGGGGCACGCATCTCGAGCGTCGCGGGGAGTAAGTAAGTAAGTATGTATACGTATCAGTCAGGGAACATCAACTAAGTAACTCTATTCCTCGCGCGGAATAAACACCTCGGGCTCGAGTATTCAAGTATTCCCTTTGGGGAGGGAACTCAATCGCAGGGGGGGGGTTCTGAAACGATAAATACCAGCCGTGGGGTTCGACCGACCGACGAACCTGTGTTCATCTGTTGGATGGATAGATTCCAAGTACCCTCGGGCTGGAGCAGTCAGCGCCGAGGGGTCCTCCTGTCCTGATGACTGCCACGTGGGAGCATGTGTGTATGCGAGGGCTTGTCACATCAGCGGTCACGTTTCATCATCCGTGGATTCCTATTTCCTTCACGACACCCATTGCGCGAGGGAATGAGAGGCTGCTCGAGCACTCGACAACGCGCGAAGACTCGAAAAAACACGCGTGCACTCCCCCCCCCAAGCGTCGATCGATATCCATCCGTTTCTCATCCACCGCCCTGGATTTGTCTGCCTTTTTTTTTTCGACGCAGGGTGCGATGTAAATTAACGCGGGTGGAGACGGCGGCCCCTCTCCCGAAGTTCAAGCGCTCCTCTCTCTCTCCTACGTGCGGTGGGCAGCAGAAGAAGCCCCTGAAGTGCCCTTCGCTGATAAGGAGGCCCGGGACCGCTTTGAACCGTCGCACTCCGTCCATTTCGTTTCGTCGCTCAGACCAACGACCTCCACGCACTGAAACTCCGGCAGCGCACCCTCGCGTGCCACACGGACATAATGTAAGAACGCGAAGGGATGAATGAACGACACAGCGGAGAAGCCCCCGACAAGTGTCTGGCAGGGTTATCATCAATCCACTCCACCCTGGAATGAATGACTGTCAGGTTTGTTTTTCTTTTTACCCTGTGATCGGGAGGGGCGGGAGTTGTCGTCGTCGTCGTAGGTTTGTGGATAAAGCCTGGGCCGAGCCAAGGTTGTGCCGTCGCCACTGAGCCCTTCTGTCTGTCTTTACTACTAACTCGAGCCCCGCGCGATGTCCGTCGGCAACACTGTCGGCTCGATGCTCCTCGGTGCGCTCGTCGCGGCCATGTGCGTCACCGGCGTAACAGAATCGATGGGGACACACCGCTGACGAGTCCTCCGCGCGCGCAGGCTGAGCGGCGTCGTGCACCTGCTGACCTTCTTCTACTTCCGCACGTACGCAGCGGACCCGCTGCACTTCAAGGCCCTCGTGAGTCGCGTCTATCCTGTGCATCCGAAATCCTCACTCGGCTGGACGACCAGGTCGCCGTTGTCTGGTGCGCGATTCCCACTCCCCCCTCGTAAACCCCCGATGATGACGATGGGCGCGCCGCGCAGGCTGATGGACGCGCTGCACTCGGCGTTCATCCTCGAGGGCATCTGGAACTACGTCATCCCGCAGATCGGCAGCCCTGCCATCCATCTCGACCGCATCCCCGGTGGCGTCCCGGTGAGTGTGTGGGCATGTGGGCGGATGTGGGGGCTGACGGGGCGGCGGCCAGATATCGGTGCTGCTGACGGCGATCGTGACGTTCCTCGTGCACGGGTTCTTCGCGCACCGCATCTTCCTGCTGAGCAAGCGCAGCTGGGCCATGGCCGCGCCCGTCGTGGCGCTCGCGGTGCTCCGGCTCGCCGCGGCGGCGGTGTCCACGTGGGAGATGTGCGTCCCGTTGTCGTCTGTTCTCAGGAAGTCTTACTCACGGAGAGCCTCTTTCTGCGCCAGGTTCCATTACCAGAGTTTCGCGGGTTTCAAGGATCACGCGGACGTGCGTTTGAGTGTGCGCTGCGCTTCGTCTCCGCCGTGGCTCATACCAGGAAACAGTGGATCTTCACGCTGGGCCTTTCCGTGTCGTCGGTCGTCGACGTCTACATCACCGCGTGCCTCTTCTACCTCTTCCGCTCCAGCCGCTCCGCGACCTCGCCGTGCGTCCTCTCCCCTCCCCACGCCGCTCGCATCGAGCCCCGAGTTGACATGGAGTTGACCGTGGCGCAGATTCAACCAAGTCATCGACCAGCTGATTCTCTACGCGTTTGAGGCGGGCAGTCTCACAGCGGTGGGCACGATCGTCACCATGATCTGCGTGAGTTTGGCGCCCGGTCGTACATCGCCCAGAAGAAATGAATTGACTAGCGCGTCAGTGGGTGGCCATGTCCCGGAACCTGGTCTTCCTCGGGATCCACTTCGTCATCGGAAAACGTGCGTCTCACGTCCATCTCCCCAGGTTAGCACTCACATATCTACGACTTTGCAGTATACGCGAGCTCTTTCCTCATCACGTGTGTCCCCCACCTGTCTCTTCGACACCCTGCCAGGATACTGACGTAACACGCTCTCGTCGATAGCCTGAGCACGCGCGAAACCATCCGCCGGACGCGCGCCAACACCTCGTCCGGCGACAGAGAGCGCGGCGGGCAGGTGCTCTTTCTCGAGACGCGCTCGGGCCCCGGCGGGCCCGCCAAGTCCACGCCGACGACGGCGACGATTCCCTACTTTGTGCGTCTTCTGTCCCTGTCCCTAGCCGTGTGTAATTCTGCCACCTAATCTCTCTCTCCACCAGACGCGCTCTGCGCACGCCCATCCGTCCGCGGTGAGTGCCTCTGGCTTGTTTATTGATGTGGATTGTGCTGATGAACCAATCACGTGCCAGGATCTGCGGATAAACGTGCAGACGAGGGTGCAGTTCGACAGGGACGGGGCGTCCTCCATCGATGCCAAATAGATACAAGCCTGTATTCGTATCCGTATATATACCACACCACACACGGAGGGCCGGTGGCTAGTGAGTCCAATTCGGGTTACAGGAGATTGCGACTGATTGGGCAGTTTCCAATCCCTGTGGAGTAGCTACATATATTTTTTTGGCTTGAGTTGCCCGGAGTCACTAAGCAACCGTCAGCGACAAGAAACGAGCAGCCCCATTCCATTACAGACTGCCCAATCAAAATCAATTGAAATTACCGTGCCACGTGACCGTCAACTTCGTGTGATTGCGGAACATCACCGGAGCTTCCCATAGGATAAGGCCATCCCCCGCGTTCAGTAGACCGTATGTGAGAACACCGCCCACGATTTTTATCTATACGGTTGATTTCGATACTGAGGACAGCCCGTGAAATCTTGATACATCGCATCATGGTCTGCACCGAGTTCACCCGGGGGTTCACAATCAATTCCGTGCATATTCACTCACGGCGTACATACCGCGGAAGCAAAACAAAAAAATCACTGAAATGAACCGAGTTGGTTTCTGTTCGTTTCCACCATCTCAGCCATGGAAATCGATAAACGAATTCGAGAGCTCTTTTCTTTCTCTTTTTTTTTGGCATCAGCATAGGTATCCTTGTTGTGCGCTCTTCCCCTCCTTCAACCCCGGCGATCTGACCACTGTTGGACCCGATTCACGTGTCTTTGACCGGGTGATTTTTCCGTGGCTTGCAATGCTGTCACGGAGTGTGCATGCAAGCAGCTTGATGGTGTATTCGCAGCGTGGGACGGGTGGGGCTTGGACAGAGAGAGTGCCTGGCTTCTGTGCGACTGTCTATCTTTTTATCTTTATTCTTTATTTTTTTTTCCGCCAGAGGCCTTGAACTGGTGACATGTGGCCCCGCATTGGAAGAACAGAGCAATGAGATGAGAATTGGATAGATTAGCTACATAGACGTCGCTCCACAGGTAATACGAATAGAGAACCCTGTTCAGCCACGTAGCTACCGATGAAACTTCCTTGACCAATCCACTTGGAGTGTTGGAGTTTGCATTTAGATACTTATCAATGCCACACACTGTGTCTTGCGGTATATTGAAGTGGCCGTGAACTTCGCATGTCTCACCGATGATCTCCCAGATACATCGCTGAAGCTTCCGTCCACTCGCGTTCTAAGGCTAGGGTGGAGTAGATAAAACTCACCAGTCCTCGCCTCAGACACAGTTGACACATAAACACGCTGAATAGCCCAAGAACGTTCCTGGCATCTTATCCTTGAAATGATCTCTGCGGCAGCACCTCTGCCACGTTCCTGTTCCCATTCGATTAGATTATGGAGAGGAGCTTGCACTGCGGCAGCTACTCGCACGGGGTATCGCACCAGCGCAAAAAAAAAATCAACCGAGTTGGATTCTGGTCGTTTCCACAATCTGAGCCGTGGAAATCGCAACGGTCCCCCGCATCAACTGCGCCCGCTGCTGACACGAGCGAGCGAGCGAGACGCAATAGCAAAAATAACGCCAGATTATGCAACTACGTTCCTAGAACAAACACAAACAATAAACGCGACGGGCTCGTCCCGTCCAGGGCCCGAAAGCCAACGAAGATACGAAGATATGACATGACACACCAACACAGCGAAGAGACACGGCGCCGCTCACTCGTCGTACACCCACCTGCGGACCTTGCGCAGTTGGCTCCAGGTGCGCTTGCCCGGGAGCGGCTCCTTCCCTGCCCGTCAGCGTCCGCGGATTTGCGCACGGGTAGATAGACAAAAAGGCGGCTCACATCGGGGTTGGAGTAGAACCAGCCTTGGCACATGACGCCCTCGACGAGCACCATGCGCCGCCCGTCGGGCGTGTACTTCTCGTCCACGTTGAAGGGCGGCGGCGGCGGCGGCGGCCGAATCGCTGCAGAGGCGCCATACGCGTCCCCGTCCCCGTCCCCGTCCGGATCCCGCCGCGCCTGCGTCGCCTCCGGCTTCTCGGGCTCGTTCGGCCGGGCTCTCACGAGCCGCGATTTGGTGGTGCACCGATCAGCCACCGACGGATCCAACAAATCCAAATCCAAATCCAAATCCACATCCGGATCCGAATCAGAATGAGGCCCGAGCGCAGCATCAACCACCCTGCGCTTGCGTTTCCGGCTGGGGCCGGGCACGACGCACGCCCGCGCGTCCCCGCGCGCACGGTCACGGTCGCTCCCAGCATCGTCCGAGTCGTCGTCTGAGTCGAGGACCACTTTGCCCTTCAGCACGCGCACGGCGGACGTCCGAGTCGCCGCTTTCGCCGTCGGTGGATCCCGTTCCCTTTCCTGTTCCTGTTCCGGTGCCGGTGCGGGCCCTGCCGTCGCCGTTGCCGTCGCCGGGGGAGGATCGGCTGCGACGATCGGGCTTGCGCCAAGCTCCGCGTCTGCGTCCGGGGCTGGGGCTGGGGCCGCGGCTGGGACTGTAGAAGCCGACTGTCCGACAGCCGCGTCTTCGCGGGGGCCCGCCACAACCGGGCCCGCCACCGCCATCGTCGAGCGCGGGGACGTGGACGGCGCTGGGTCGAGCGAGGTCGCCCGTTCCGGTTCCGGTTCCGGTTCCATGACCGGTGCGGCTGGTTCGGTGCAGACGAGGCGCGGTGGCGTCGGCGTCGGCAGGCCGGGGAAGAACACCCGCGCGGTCGACGAGGGCGGGGGGTGCGAGGCGTGCAAACCCACGCGCGCGGCCGGCGATGACGCAGCCGCAGAGGGACGCGTCGGCTTGAGCGTGGGCTTTGATTTGGGCTGGGGCTTGTACCTGCGAGGCGCGGGCTTGCTCGAGCTGAGCTTACCCGTTCGCAGACAGGACGAGGGAGAAGCAGAAGAGCCAGCAGACGAGGGTGCCTGCAGCGCACAAAGAGCGTTGTCGCTGTCCATGATGAGTTCATCTCGTGGCGCAGCGTTTGGAACTAATCCTGGGATGACTGAAACGGGGAGCCGTTAGCGATCACACCATCATTGGAAGGGTGCTACTCCTACTACCCGAAGAGCCGCGATCAGACGCGCCGCAGTCCTCGTCCATAACGGATGCGGGTGGGGGATGGTGGTGGTTAATGATAAGAGAGCGAGCGAGTCACATATCTGTGACTTCGAATGAGTACAATGGCCCTTGCCACACAGGTCACGTGCGTTGGAGTGGGTCCGAGAACTGGGTGATGGGCCCCCGTTCGAGAACGCCGATTGCACGCTGCACACAGGCACCGAATGTTCCATAGTCCGCGACAGGAAATCGAGGATGTCAACGCCAGGTGGGGCTCGAGTCAAATGACTGGCTGACGGACTTTCAATGCTGCCTGCCTGCAGCCAAACTTTGCAGCCTTCTAACGTTTATTAATAGATTCTATCAACATGGCGCAAGCGAACATGGACCCAAAAAAAACACGCTACATACAATTTCTCCGAGGTAGCGGAGTACCTGCGATCCAATCCGCTGCTGCCTCCGGTCATACACCGCCCATTTTTTTTCTTTCGATTTACACACCAAACTCAAAACGGCGTCGGATGGCGCGCGGCCATCTCGGCGCTATGCCCCGTCGCAACCGTGGCCGTGCTGGGCGACCCGGGCAGCGGCGCAAGGCCCATACTCCCCAGGACCTCCTCCATGCTCGCCACGCTCGCCACGCTGCGCGACAGCCGCGCGGACTCGACACTGAGCTTGTCCCGGCGGTGGCCGGCGGAGGGGCCGGGCGACGCCGACGGAGATCGGGAGGGCGGCGGTAGGGCGATCGGCTCGGCGGGCTCGGGCGACGCGCTGTACGCGGGCGGGTTGATGCGCTCCCGGCGATCGAAGTATCCGCCGTCCTCCGGGACCTCGGGGATCGCCGGCGGCGGCGGGGAGCTGGGGACCGACACGGGACGCTGCGTCGTGCTGAGCGTCGACTCGGATGTCTTGCGCGAGATCGGAGGCGGGACGGCCGTGTGCGGGAAAGGTGTCATCGTGTGTAGCGCAACTGGCAGCGGGGACAGCGTCCGTGGCGGGGAGGGACTCGTCTCTGACATGTAGGACACCGAGGTGATGCTGCCCAGCTGCGTATGCCTTGCCGTTGGGGTGTACATCGTGCTGGGGCGCGTCGGGCCAGACACGCCAAACGACGAAGACGACACGAGTCTTGCTCCCCACTTGTTAGAATCGGCAGAGAGCGATCGCGCGCGGTACAGAGGCCGCGGGCCACTATTTCTGCGCACAGTGGCCTGGCGCTTAGCCCAGAGCCGATAAGCGACATACGCGCCCAGCAGTAGCACAACCACGCCGCCAACGACTCCCCCGGCAATAGCCCCCGTCGGTACTTTGCTCCCGCTCACGGGCACTTGACCGGATCCGGGGACGAGGTCAGGGTTGTCTGTGGGCTGCATTAGGGAAACAGCGGCGGACAGCACCCGGGATACGTACTCTTGTCATGCAGCGCCTGTGCCTGCGCGGTATCGAAGCGGCCGTTGTTCCACGTCGTAGCTAGCAGTCAGCCGTCAGCAAGCATCGCCGCTAGACAGGACACCACGGCACGCACGATCGACACCAGCCCAGGACGGAATCACCGTCCCGGCAGGCAACGTCACATTCTGCGGGTAGTACGTGTCGGACACCAGCCCGCCGCAGCTCGCGTCGTACGCGGCCCAGTTGTCGATCGCAGAGTCGAAGCCCTGGCACGCCGTGCACGCGCTGAGCAGGTTGTACGCCGTCCACGAGCTGTGCGCCGTCGTCAGCCAGCTGCCGCCGTCCCCCACACAGGAAGACGCACCAGGTGCACAAGTTCGCCGTGGTCGCGTTCGGCGCGGTGTAGCCCTGTCCCGGCCCCAGACTCGGCACATTCCAGTCTACAACCAAGGCATGTCAGCACTCGGGAAAACGGGAGCGGGCCAGGAGGAGACGGGCGACGCACTGCCCGTAAAGCACGTGCCGAGGATGACGGACGATAAGAGGCACGGCGACAGCTTGTGCGAGCTGGACATCCAGTCGTACGTCGGCGAGAGACACAGCGCGGTCGATTGCGCCGTGCGCTTGTTGAGCGGCGCATCAGGGGTCGGCGACCCGGCTGCCAGATGCGCTATGCTGATCAGCACACCCGCCGCAGCAGCAAGTACGTCAAGTTGCGTCATGTTCGGGCAAAGAGGCGGCAGAGAGGTGCGGGTCACTCGCGGGGCAGGAGGAGGAGGAGGAGGAGGAGGACAGGGAGGGAAGACACTGATACGAAGAACGAAGCCCCGTCCCAGGACCTATCGGATTCAAGTACCCTCGGCTTCGGCGGTGCGAGGCACGACCTGCCAGGCCCGGTCGGCTGACCCATGTGCGCGGCAGTGTGAGAGAGTGTCCGCGGGGATCAGAAAACACAAGGACACTTGGGCGCTTGCGCACCGCGGCCGGACAGCTGGAATGCGGCACTGGTATTCGCAGGGGACGCCGCCGGTCGAGGCGGGTCTCCGACGCGGCCGCGCCATGCAGCACAGACGACGACATGGGTCCGCAGAGAGTCCCCCCGACTGTGCGTTTCAGAAGAGAGTCTATTTCTGGTGTAAAATAGACGCCCACAGACCAAGAAGACCGGTTTAGGCCCCCAAACATCTCGCCCCTGCTGCCACTCGAAGACATGCTTGGACGACGGTCCACATGCAGAGAGACGTCATGATGTACGGACGAATGCGAGCGTGCTACCGTACATTGGCTGGGATTCCTGCGAGTGAGTGTCCAAGGGTCCTGGTCCGGACCTCATGATGATGATGGTGAGATGCAGTGCGGAAGTACGGTGCGGCAACCTGGATGGGGCTGTGTCGGCGACGCCTAGACCGCGGGGTCTATGATTTCCCGTCATCCGCGAACAGTGGCTGTTTGGATTGGACTGGAACCAAACTGAAACTATCTGTCTGAGCCTTGACGATAAAAGCTGCAGGCTACATATTTCGACCGGGGACCGATGAAAGTGCCGGATGTCTGATCTCGAAAACGTGTAGTCTGTAAGCGCCACAATGAAGGGAATGACACAAGGCGTGCTCGGGATGGCTTAGAGCCGGAGACTGAGGAACAGCGGAACAAAAAAAGTCAATCCACAGCAAATCAAATGCATCGCATGCACTGTTTTCAAGGAATAGGAATTTCAAACAGGAATGCTAACAATTGATTCCTCTGGTGGTTATTGAAAAACAAAATTCACTAGACCGATTGTCAGAAGCTCTTTCCCGCCAACCAGCGCTGCAACATATCTAGCGACTCCTCCGGCTTGTCATACGGAACCATATGCCCCGCACCCTCGACGGTCAAGAACGTCAACCCCCGCGCCTCCCTCACCAGCCCCGCGCGCGTGCCCCCCGCACTGCTCCACGGCCGCAGCGCCTGCCCCGCAAACGCCTCCCGCCCGCTCCACTCGAGCCCGCGTGTCCAGCGCTCGTTGCCGACCCAGTTGCAGCTCCAGTCGTACGTGCCGACGTAGATCAGCACGCGCACGCCGCGCTCGAGCAGCCCCGCGACGTGCGCCGCGGAGGAGCGCGTGCCGTCGAGCGCGGCGCGGAACAGCGCCGACACGGTGTTGTCGCACGAGGAGAAGTTGGCCGGGAGCGACGCGTCGACGCCGAGCGTCTTGCGCACGTCTGGCCTCGAGAGGAAGTTGCGGATGTGCCTGGGGAGGGTTTGTATCCAGTTCCGTTCGGCTCGGCATGGGAATTGGGTGTGGCTACTCACGCGGTCAAGGGGTAGCAGAGGTTCTCAGCGCGATTGGTCGCGTTGCATTCTTTCGAGATGTCGTACGGGTTGCGGTCGGCCTTGTAGAACGGCTGTTTGATGTACTGGCTGCAGAACGAGTTAGCCTCGGCGCAGTCGGTGTAGTCGTACGAGTCCACGCAGGACTTTTTGAGCCGCGCCTCGCAACGCGGAATCTGCAGCACCGTCAGCGTTGCTGGGGTTTTGTGCGATGGCTTGACTTGCCATTTGCTTCATTAGTACGCAATCTCTGGAAGGGCCTCAGTGAGTGGAGAAAACAGACCCGTGGGAAAGAACCCACGATATGCTCAGCAAGGGCGGCAGCGAAGCGGGTGTACACATCATATCGAAGGACGACGACATCTGCGTGTAAAAGTCCGTGATCCCGTTCCCTGACGAAAGATTCAGCTCCTGTATGGGCCCAAAGCATAAGCGCCCGCACCGATCATGACCGAAGTCAAGTTAATCGGCGTGTATCCATCCTCCAGCAAGCGCGCGTTCTGGTCGTACACCTCCGCAGCAAACACCGGCACGTATCTTCCCTATCGGTAATCAAACACCCGTCCTCCCGTCACCGCAACCAACTCACCCCGTAGGACTCGCCGGTCATGTGGAACGGCCGGCCCTTGAACTGGCTAAAGTGCTCGAAGAACACGAACACGAACCTGGCCATGTCCTTCGCGCCGTCCTCCGTCGTGCCCACCGCCTCGCCGAAGTCCGCGTACGAGAAGCCGACGCCGATGGGCTGGTCGACGAAGAACAGGTTCGCGTTGGCGTTCCAGCTCTGCGGGTGGAACTTGGGGCCGTCGGCGTCGAGCACGCGGCAGGGGCCTGCCATCCCACGTTACGTGTTTGAGCGACACGGATACCACGGCGCCGACACAAAAACACGCACCGAGCTCCATGAACAGCCCCAGACTCGAGCTGCACCCCGGCCCGCCATTCGTCCAGAAGATGACGTCATCCGCCGCGGGGTCGCTGCGGCTCTCGAAGAAGTAGAAGAAGATGTGCCGCGCCTCGATGTCGATGTACCCGGTGTACGAGCTGCACATCGGCCGGGGTTAGCAAGCAAGCAAGGGGCGCAGACGACGGGTGGCGCTGCGCACCTGACGGTGTTGTCGCAGAACCCGCCGCTCTTCTTGATCCGCACGCTGACGCCGGGGAAGACGGGGTGCGAGAGCGTCGTGAAGGAGTCCGCCGAGAGCGCGCCCAGCGAGCCGTACGGGGTGAACAGGCCCGCGTCGTACGCGTCTCTGCACCTCTCCCGTGAGCCTGGCGCGGGCGGACCCCCAAGGAGCAAGAGGCGGCGGCGCACCTGGACGCTTGTCCAAGGACAGTCTGCCCGCGTTGATCGTGTGCGTGTGTCGTGGCGAAGGGCAGCGCGAGGAGGACGAGGGACCAGGCGCGCATGGTGGGGGATGGGGATGGATGTAGAGCGCGAGAGGCCGCGAAGTGTTGGGTCGCCCTCGTTCGCCGGGGCGAAATCGCTCCCGACAGATAATGTTCGGCGATCTCCGTGACACGCGAAGAACTGGGGAACAAGCTTCCCACAGGAGACACAAACTTTTGACAAGATGTTTCGTCGGCCTAAGCTACATATAATCCGACTGGTAGATATTCTCGTGCTGCTGACCCAGGAAAGTCAAAGAGAAATTCAAACGCGGGCGCCGAATCTGGCCGTGACCTCTTGCTCCAGGAACTGCTGAACCGTCCCCAGTTCAACTCCCGACCGCACCGCACCAAGTCCGGGTTTGGAGTTACGCAATCTGGATAGAGACCGGAGGTCTCAACGCCAGCGGAGGACTGGGCAACTGGGCAGATGAATTGCATCACCCACGTACCAATTCAATCAATGCAACATCGGGGCCCGAATTTTTGCCCAAAAAGAATCCCAAAGAAATCTGAAAAATTGAGAAAGAATTGAATCCGGGGTCTAATTTTTGGGGTGTGACGCATGACTGTTGATTTGATTAGATTGGTACAGTACGTCATTCTCAGGACAACCCACCGCCTGGTCAACCACAGCCAGCCTGCTCTCTGGCACAGTCTTGAATGCCACAGGCATGCCAAGCACAAGCACTGTCAGCTCACGGGTTAGCACACCACACTCCTCCTCCTCCTCCTCCTCCTTCAATGCTGCTGGGACACCAACCTGCAGTGGTCATCTCCACCAGCTGCCCAAATGAGATACACATGTTCAGAATGGGGAAGGTCTGACCCATGTTGTTGGGGTCCATGTGGTGCTTGAACATGTTGGCACAGCATTGTGGCTGTGGCTGTCAAGGAGTCAAGCTTGAAGATACTGAGGACTTACCACAGCCACATCAAATCTGATAGATGGCATCATGGGACATATCATATGACTACATTCTGTATCATATAAAAGGAGGGCTCTATTACCCTGTAATCCAAGTCTCTTGATTACTCCCGCATAGTGCCCACACTAAGCTCTCACTCACACAGGTGAGCTGCTAGATGCTCTCCCCAGTGCTCAACAGGGAATACAACACAATAGCTACTGTATTTATACCAAGTCCAGTCTAAGTTATATCTACATCAAACAGTGGGTTATCTTGTCATGGAGTATGGCACCACACAGTGTTGAGCCTGATCAGCAGCTGTACATAGACACTGCCACCTATCACTAGTGGCTGTGGCACATCCACTAACATCAGGATTAAGCTCAGCGGCCATGGTTTTTTCTGGCGATTTCTTCAACATTTCACACTACTTACAGAAAGCTCCAGAGCTATTGGTTACTATGGTGTATAAGTGCAGAATATTATCACCCTCTTCATAGCTCATTGTGCAGCATCCCTGACCCTGGCCTCACATTCTTTACATCATCAACCCAGTAGTCTGCGGCCCAGCCAGACACTGCAGGAGTCCATCCACTTGTTTCTACGCAATCCCGGCTCCCCTGAACCTTGGTAAAGCACCTCGCCTCATCACATCAATACACAGGACATTTAGCATGGGGCCTGCCCGTTCACCCTCTCATTTATGTTCCTTTGTCCTTGGGCCATTGCTTAGACAATGCCCATGCACATCAACAGTCTGGGTTAGGGGCTCAGGAAGATCATCTCTATTGATCCAAGGCTGTGCAACACATGCTTCAGAAGGTTCAACTACAACCTATGACCAGTGTTCCACGTGGTACATAGTCTCATGACTCATTTGGTGTAGATATGACTCAGACTGGATTTGGGTATAAATACTGTAGCTACTTTCTTGTATTCTCCAGTCTTCAATTTGCCTTCTCTTTTTGACATAATTCTTTGTTGATTGTCACATTGAAGTGTTAATAAATACTGAGTTCAATCATCTCATTCCAGAAAGCTAGAGGAGCGAGATAGAAAGACTACAAACAGTGAGAATGGCAAACACAAATAAAACACAACTCACCCACTCAAGAGGTTCAACCATTCCATACCAGAAAGCCAGGGGAGGCAGATAGGATTTAAAATCATCAACATGGATCCAACTACAAGTAGTGAGTATAGCAGACACAAATAAAGAAGAACTTACGTCTTATCATCATTTGCCCAGTGCACATAGAAATACTACAGAGATAAGTAACAGAAAGTGTAGAAAAGAATCACATACCACTTGCTCAGCCTTGATCTTCATAGCGATGATTTCCTTGACGTCCCACAAGCCATCTGGATTCTGTCCAATCGAGGAACGAGCCATAAACTGGTACTGCTTGTTGTCCTTGTACACCTTCAAGAGGTGTTCAGGGATAGGACCCAGAGGAAAGGCATTGTTGCTAAAGGCTAGGAAAAGTCAGAACAGATCAACAAGATAGAAGAGACACTCACCAGAATGCCACACAGTCTGACCCTCCTTAGGATTTTTAGGATCCCAGTCTTTAGGTGTGATGATCGAATTCCAGAAAGCAAGAGGAGAGAGATAGGAAGTCAAATCATCGATGTGAACCCAGCTACAAATAGTGAGAATGGCAAACACACATAAAAAAAAGACAACTCACCCCTCATCTGAATTGCTCCAGAGCAAGAAGAAGTACTACAGAGATGAGCAATAGCAAGAGCAAGAAAAAATCACATACCAGTTGATTGCCTTGAAACCTCATGGCAGCCACTGCCTTCACATCCCAAGTGCCATCTTCATTCTGTTCAACAGCAGAAACAGCAAGACAGCAGCAGAGATAGACAGCCAGAGAGAGAGCCAAGACAAGCAGAAGCAGAAGAACCAGAGAGCCAGAGAGAAGACAGACAAGACCACAAGAAAGAGCAAAAAAAATGAGTCAGAAAAGTATATGGAGTAATGTGTGACATATTACATACCTGTGACATGTTGATGGTGTGATGATCAAGTGATGTGTTTGGTGAGTGATGGAAGTGTTTGGTTCTGATGTTGTTGGTCAGCTGATGATGTTGATGGATTGGTAATGATGAAGACTTACTAAGCAGAGAGGTGTGGCTGCGAGGGTGTGAGAATTGAGAGACTGTGGTAGTCATGAGCAAGAGGGGGGATCAGAAAATCATGATGGATCTGCCCTTATATATGGCTCATAGTGGCAGTGCTCTCCCCATCAAAACAAGTGCAACTCACCTCATGCTCTGTAACACAACTAATTTTAGCTCAAATCAAAAAAGGCTGGCAGGTACCCTAGGGTTTTTTAGGCCTGGAAATCTGAAAATGATGTCAGATTTTTGATTGGATCAAACATGCTGGCTGTGGAGCAAAATCTTTGCTGAATTTGTTGTATTTGGTCAATCTAAGAGACAGGACAAAATAGAATGGGTCCAAGATTGACATGGTATGTGAAGGTAAATGCACAGTGAAGTGTAACAATCACCAGTTACCTGTGTTATACCTGTATCCTTTGGATAACAGTAGAACTGTAATACCAAGACTTATATCTCTATAGATACACTTCAAATGTCTAAGTTTTCTCCTCCAGAATGAGATTCAGCTCCAATGACACTAATAGGATTCCCTTTTACTAATTTCAGTAGTCAGCATAGAAGCTGGCAGAGGAGATCCCAATACAAGTTGTTCTTTACTGCAGTCTTATAGAGGCCTGGAACTATATGCTGATACCTGGGCCAGTGTATCACTGATGACTTGATACAGCATCTTGATGTCTGATTGAGCGGTCTCGGGGACCCCATGAGACTCAAATATGGCCTGACTTGGATTAGTTAGAGTACCTAATGATCCAGAATGTGGATATTGTGTGGAACAAAATTCACTAGATTCAGGAAATCATATGTTGCAAAACACAATAAACAAGTGGACTCATGCACCACCTAAATTGGTGCTTATTGATCAGAATTCTTGGAGGACGTAACAAAAATCCTCTTTGTCCTCTCCTACCTTTGTAATGAGGCAAGCACAAGCTGCACCACTTCAAGATGGGCAATGAACTGGAAGCAGCACAACTTTGAGGGCTTCCAGGGGCTGAAGGCAGGAGTCGCCACCAAGGACTTCTTAGAGGAGCTTCAAAGGGCTATTGGGGACTGCGCCAAAACAAGCAGTCCTTTGCAGACTATATCTCTGATTTTGAAATGTTAGCTGCGGACATGGGATACAATGTTGTCACCAATACCAATGATAAGGGGGAATACAAGAAAGGGGACCAAGACAATATCCTTGTTGAGTTCCTCAAGCATGGACTCAGCAGCAAGATCACCAGCTGCCTTTACAACACCAGTGTCCCTCTGCCCAGGTGTATGGTGCCTTCAAGGACTGGTGCATCAACATTGAGGCAAACACTCTGTGTGACCAACTGTGCAAGGCATTGTACGGACATGCCACACCACAACCACCCCCACAATTCCGTCCCCAGGCTGCGACAGCAGCATCTGCACCTGCTCCAGCCCACCCGGCTGCCAACAAACCAGTTCCAATGGAAATTGATTGCACCAACGCCTGTGGCTGCAACATCATCTGCTACAACTGTCAGCAGCCAGGGCATATTGCACAGAACTGCCCAGAGCCAAGGAAGAACCGCACGTTCTTCAATTGGGCTACAATGCTTCAAGAAATTGAGAACAGCAACAAGGACAACAAGTTCCTGAAGGAGATTGCCAAGAAGCTGCACAAGAAGGGTTTTTGAAGCGCTCCACTCCTCTAGCCAAGGAGTTGGAGTGTCCGCACCATGGACAATTTTCTGTACTTGTTTCAATTAAAGATATGAACAATATTCCTCATACATACATGATCTTAGACTCACTATGTACCAATATTCATGATTTTCTTGTTGCTGATATGGAGAAAGAATGTCAGATCAAAATAGCATTAAAAAGGAAGCATATACAAGATAAAAAGGATCAAAAAACAAAGGCATATACTGACCAAATGGGTTTCCGAGATGCTGTCCCTCCCAAGTCACTACTGTCACAGTGCCTGTCATGCGCTCAGAGATCTGGGCGCCTTGACAAAGCCAGGTGAACAGGATGCACAATGTAGCATTTCATGGAGTTGGGGATCAATAGAATTCTTTTGAGAATCTGGTGAGGCCGCTTGCATCTTCCATGATGTCACGAGTCAGCCATTGGTCAGATCTTGGGATCCTGAGAGGTGCGATTCTTGCCTGAGGGTAATCCTATTTGACATTCAATGAGTAAGTATGGAGTGAATTCATTTACTAGTCTTGCAATATATGAGTGAAGATCCTTATGAGACCGTCTGGCTTGCTGTTCACATTGCATTAATCAATCGAGTGCATTCATGCCAGCCCGGCCATCACAGCGGCATGATGCCGAATGCTGCTGCGTCACGTTTGACTTCGCCATCATTCTCCCGCGGTACTTACCATCTCGTTTCATGTCGAGACGGGAGGGTAAAAGAGCCTATGTTATGAATGCTCCAGCAAGGTCACACGTCATGAGAATTAGATTTGTGCTCGGAAGAAATAGACACAATATTAGTTATCCTAGTGAACAGGCTTCCGTCGAAAACCATCATCAGACCCGGTGGGTCGCGTCGAACGCGCACAGAATGTCGTTCACCGTCGATGCCCCCGGTGTCAGTCCCAGAGCAGCCACGGTCGTCTCGCACGCAAAGAAATCCACGCCCGTGATATACCCCGCGAGCACCGCGACCAGCGTGAACGCCGGCACCTCAACGCCCGCAATTTTCGCGAGTTTGATCAGCGGCACTATGCCATGCTGGATGTCCGACGCGATGAAGCGGTGGCGAAGCGACGTCGGTGCGAACGGGTGCATGTTATGCGTGCGCGACTCCCGCGCGAACGTCTCGAAATCGGGATGCTCCGTGGCGTATATGCGGTTGAACCAGGGGATGAAGTCTTCCGCGGGGTACCCGAGCGCCTCCACAACCCGTCGCTTCTCCTCGTCGAGCTTGAGAACGAGTTTCACGCCCGCCGCGGACCCGATCGCGTCTTTGTAGAACCTGAAATCTGGCCCCAACCGCCCGATGCTCCCGGATATGAGCAGACTCGGGCCGGCGTGAACGACGTCGTTTTTGGCGGAGAGCGCGCAGTGCAGGGCGTCCATGCACCATTCGAGGCGCGGAAGAAACAAAGATGCGACCTCCTCCTGTGTGCTGGTTGGAATCGGCGAACCGCCGATTTGCAAGACTGCCTTTTCGAAGAAGATGTTCACCGCCGAACCCTCCATCCGCGTCCCGAAAGGGAGGGAGTTCGCCATTAGGACGCGGGCGCCTGCAAAGAGATCCCGCAGTATCGGATACAGGTAAAAGCAGTCGATGAGAATGACGATCTTGTCACCCCAGTCCAAACGAGAGAACGTGTCGATCAATGAGAAGACACCTTCGGCGGGAATGGTGACGATGATATACTTTGCGTCGGTGACTGCGTCGCTGAGATCATCGCAGAACATGGGCGCGACCTCCGAATTGTAGATTCCGACCGATTTGATACGTCCGGCGGCCTTGAATGTGTTGTAGTCTTTACGGTGGTCGGGTGCAGCCCAAATCTTAATCTGAGGCTTGATTGGGGCATACGCCATCGAATAGGTGACACATGAGCTCGTACCCGGGCCACAGCCCAGATAAGCGACGCGCAATTTTGCTAGGGGTACATTTTAGCGTCAGGGTACTCGAGGGATGGTTCTGAGACCAACTCACCAGCATCATCTGTACGGAAAACTGTAGACATTGGAGGAAGATGTCTCGGCGCGGATGGGAGATGCAAGTAAACAGTTGCGATGCTCCGAGGAACGCTTGTATGAAGAGGCAGAGCGTGTTGGAGTTGGAGCGGCGGCTGCCTTGAGTATTTATTGAGAGAGGAGCCCGCGATCGGTCGACCGCTTTTTGCACACGTCTGCACGACGCATGACATTGAACAGCGGTCGCGAGGTGACTTTACCCTGGAGTTCGGCTAGCTGACTGCTCGGCTTGTCGACAATGCAGTAATCTTGTGTCGCTTCGCTCTGGGTTGGCACTTGATGCGAGTGGATTTGTTTCGAAGTTGAGTGACGGTGGGAAGAGAACGAGAGAGATGCATACAGCGGCCTTCACCCTACATCTCCACTACAATGCCATGTTCCGCTCTGCCCCACTCGACTGTCACTTCCAAGAGCCCGCGTGTCGGTCGCCCGCGCGTCGGGTCCACATCTACCATGTTTCACAACATGTGCTCGAGCCGGCGAGGCTGTTCTCTTCCATTCTAGCCTCGCGCCTTCCGTTGTTTCAGGCTGTTCCGTTAGCGGCTGCCTCGTCAAAATCCGCCGCACTCTAGAGTTCCACTCATGTGTTGGAAACATCAGTTATATCATGTGTTATTTATGCTACGCTTTACTTTACATGTTGATAATATGGGGCGTCGGGGGGCCGGGTTACAGACCCAATGTAAAAATATGAAAAGAAATCGATCCTGTATGATTTATTTTTTCTCATAAAGATTAATTTCTGTGCTACTTTGCACTTCTGTTTGCCTTGCCGATCACGGGCCAAAAAAAGTTATTTTGAGTTTAGCCTCGACCCGAAAGAATGCTTAACATGTGTTAAAATACCTGTTGGGGAAGCTGTAGTGTTAATTATTCCGGGTGATCCGGCTGAGAGTTCTCAACGGAACAGGTCCCCGGTCACTTAACATGTCCCTCCGCGGCCTGGCGAAATTTTCACATTCTTCGGCGCTCCGGGGCAATCTCTCGCTGGAAACTCAATTTATTCTATTTTCGGAGCGACTGACAGCTTCTTGAACGTCTTGGGCTCTATTTTGCCTCTGGTAAAATAGTGTCATGTTCTATTGAGTTCGTTGGGGACATATGCTTCAGTGACCGGGGACCTACCGGAACCCTGCCCCACTCGCGTGTGACCGCACGATTCCCGAGCCCCCTATGGTCAAATTATGTGTTGAGTATCAGGGCCAATGCGGGACGCACATAACGGAATGTCGCGCCTCATTGCGCGCATGGCATGTTAGTGACGGCTCTAGACTACGAATCGTTAGCGAAGACGAGCGGCCCATCGGCCTCCCGTGCCCCTCGCGTTTGCATCGATATTTCGAAGGCTATAAATATCAGATCGCACGGGCTCAAGAGGTACACATTACACTCTCCAGGTTGACCATCTTCTCTGTGGGCTCTTAACACTACCTGGCTTATCTGAACTTATCTTTCTTCCAGGCGGTCACTTTCACATGGCTACCGCGTCTACAGATAACGATACTTTCGAGCTGGCAGAGGCTTACAGCACGATGAACGAGCCCCAGTTCAAGTTCGGCCTCAAGATGCTCGAACAGCTAGACATTCAAAACGGGATGGTGGTGGTGGACGTCGGCTGCGGCACGGGCGAACTCGCACTCCACGTCGCCGAGCGCTTCGGGTGCAAAGTCATTGGCGTCGATCCCGAGGACAAGCGCATCGAGATCGCGAAAAAACGCGCGCAGGAGAAGGGCTGCGCCAACGTCGATTTCCACGTGTGCAGCGCCGAGGACCTTGACGGCCTGTTAGAAGGCGAGGTGGACGTCTTCTTGTTGAGCTCTGTCCTCCACTGGCTCAGCGACCCGGTTGTCGTGCTCGAGGCCATGCGCAAACGCTTGCGCGTCGGGGGGCGGGTCGGGATCACCACCACAGTCGCCGGAGCGAGCGTGTCGTCGCCGAAGGCCGACGCGCTCTCCGTGCCGCCTTTCAATGCGTTCACTCCGACCTACTTATCCACGTCGTTCTCGGAGGAACGACTTCGCGAGATCTTTGCTGGGGCAGGGTTCGCTCATCCGTCCATCACCCTCTTGCGCATGCATCTGGCATTTGACAACGTAGACGCCTTGCTGTCCTGGATCAGCGCTAGTTCGTTTGGAAACTTCTGGCGCCTCGATCACATACCGGAAGCCCTCCACGAAGAAGCCAAGAAGGCGATCGTGAATGAATTCACGTCTAGATACGGGGATAGTTTTGGTCGGATATCCTGTACTGCGGGCGTTCACGCCACAGTTCTCATAAAGTAGCTATTGTGTATTTTTTCAATACTATTTGTTCTCGGTGCGGTGGCGTGGCTCAATGAAAATTTCTATAAATCCCGACTTTTTTCTGACACTGATGTGTGAAGTTGGGATGAAGCTTGAGCCTCCATGGTGGAATGAAGCCCCCCATGACTCACCTGAATTGTAGGACTTGGAGTTGACTAAGATTTGGGGGACGCAATTCTTCCTCAGGGGCGATTTTTATGTGTGAGGAAAGGTGTTGAAACTTTTGCGGTGTATCATATCAAACTGGGTAAGGCTCCGCCTTGTGCGTCTTGTACATGAAGTTTCAGTGCTTTGCTCTCTTAATTGACCGGGTACATGTCATATGTGAACTGGAAACCAATTTGAGCACTCCTCTCCGCTGATATAGATTTTTCGGTGCCTTTGCTGATCCTTCCTCCGGCCTGCCGGCCGAGTCCATCAGATGTGCACTGCTTTCCTACGCCTGTCACTCGTGACTGTTGACCTTGCCATCATTCTCCCACCGATGTCGGGCCCTCTCCAGTGTAATGAGCGAATTTCGCTGCTCGTTTCCCGTGGCATATATCGAGAACGGCGGCGATGAGCGCCAAAACGTGAGTGGAAACCCGCTCCCCCTTCGGCCTGTGCGAGTCAACCGGCTCCAGTGTGGAAGCAGATCTCCCAGAGTCCGGCGACCTGCTGATATCCAGGCGCGTCACTCGCGCGTCTTTATATCCTGGTGCAGTTCCTGATCTCGTTTGTAGAGACATTCTCGTTAGGCTGTCAGGGACTCTGGAGGATCAGGTTGCCATTCTGCGGCGCATCGACGAGCGCCAAAATGCTTCAGGTACCCACCCATCACCTGTGCTCCAGCCCCCTCCTACTCACCCAGCCTAATAGACGCGTCGAGGCAGCACCCCATTACGGAGGTCCTCGCCACGATCACCAGTGCCTGGAATGCGCTCCTCCGGTCGACGCTCACGGAGACGATCCAGCCCAAGGTGGAGCGGTGGAGGAGCGGGCTGGATGCGCTGTTAGTCTTTGTGCGTGCCGCTCTTGCATGACACGGCCGTCGGCTCACATCTGCTGCACTAGATGGGTCTGTTTTCAGGCATCGTCACATCGTTCTTCGTGCCATCTCTGTCGTCGCTGCAGGAGGACCCGGCTGTGCGTATGAATGCGCTCCTGGCCAACCTGACCGACGTCGTCGTCGCTCTGAACGGCGTCCCGCCCGCCTCTCTGATGCTGGCTCATCCGCACCCGCTCAAACTCGACCCAACAGCTGTGCGGCTCAATTCGTATTGGTCGTTCTCGTTGATTCTCAGCGTGCGTGATTCCGGCTTTTCGTGCGCGAGTGTCGATCCGACCGTCCGATCAGCTCTCTCTCTATCGCTGCGCTCGCGGTCGCCTGCCGCGGCCTGCTCAACACGACGTCGTACTCCCACTTCAGCAACCCCGCCGAGAAGCTGATCGACATTCGCACGCGCTGGGCGTCCTCGGAGCGGTTTCTCGCGCCGACGATCGAGCTGCTGCCGCAGATTCTCGTCCTCCCGGTGCTGCTCTTCATCGCCGGGCTGCTCGACACGCTCTTCTCCAACGTGCTGCAGCTTTCCCCCGTTCCCATCCCCACCCTCTCTACATCGGGCGCCGCGCTGCTGTTCACCGCCGGCGTCGCCCCGCTCCCACTATGGACCCTCGCACGGCGTAGCCTCAATCCAGCCGGGTCCCTGGGCCTGCGGCGCTGTGCCACGGCGGCGGACTCGCTCTCGGACCAAGCGCCCGCGGTGTACCACGCCGCCGTGCAAGCGACGCACGACGACGCGGCGCTGGACGAGGCGTCTGCCTCGCTGTACCAGATCATGTAGACCAGCGCGCCGTCGTGGTCGCGCTACGAGCGGGGGCGGGCCGGCGAGGAGCTACACACCCTGCCTGCTGCATCTGCTGTCGCCCGAGGCGAGTGTGCGGAGCAGCCGGGCCGCGGTGCAGATCATCATCTCCCGGGTCCACGACGGTGCGTGCAGTGTCTGTCCCCTTGGCTTTGCCTCGAGCTTCTGCTGACGATGTTGTTACCAGCGAGTCGGCTGCAGTACTCTGCTGCGGCCATGTGTGCGCTTGTTCCCGCCTTCATCGACGCGGCCCGGCGGGAGCCGCGGGCCGACTTGTGGTCTCCGCCGTTCTCTCGTGCCATGGCGATCGTCGCGAATGCAGGAAGCGTCGTAGACGCCTATCCCCCGGTTCTGTGCATCATGACGTCCGAGTACATCGACGTCAGCCAGCTGCCGACCAATAGAAATCCGTCATAGAACTTGGCCGTGCGCAGCAAGACCATTAAGCTGCTGGTGGAGGTGCTGTTCACGAGAGTTGTCGAGGACGGTGACGCGGCTCTGGCTTTCCACGTAGCCGGTCGCTCGATCGGCAAGGCAAATACCGGGCCCATCAATCCCGCCCGCATCCTCGTCTCGCTGCTGTGCTTCCCACACAAGAACACCCCGGCGCTCGAGACCCCCCTGCGGTGGCTCATCTCGTGCGCAGGCCCCGCAGCGGCCATCCGTGCCGCGCAGACGCTCGTGGACGGTGTCGCGAGTGCGGATGTGTGGACGGTCTTGCTGTTCCACGTCGTCTGCATGCTCGGCAGGATGTGTCTCAGTCTCCCGCCCGGTGACCAGGAGACGCACGCGCAGGTGGCGCAGCTGTGCGCCTCGTCGCTGCGCAAGATAGCGCTCCAGCACCAGTTCCATCCGCTGATCTCGGCCCTGCTGGGCGTCGTGGCACAACCGGTGGATGCCCTCGGCGTGCTCAGCGCGCCAGTCGAAAGCGATATTTTTTTGGGGGCTTCTCTCCGAACGCTGTGGTCGGGATCGGTTCCCGCGCGTCATCCTCGTGGGCGGTGGACTCAAAATGACTCTAACTGACATGTTCACACTCATACTGGCTCATAGTTACTCATACTCATACCGCCTCGGTCTCAATCATATACTTATGCATGTGTGTGTGCTTCGAATGGACTGGATGCAGGCGATCCGATTATTGTTCTGTCTCAATTGGAACTATGGAACTTGGCATGTCCATAGTTCGGATTTTTCCTGCTCGCTCTCGCCTTGTGCGTCGCACAAAAAACTCGCATTTCGATGGTAGGCATGTTCAGTGTTCTCTACTCCCTTCTCGCCTTCTCCATGCCTGATGACCAGGGCCGGTTTATGAGATGCAGGACTAGTGGAGCACTCGGGCCGCCGTCGCGTGACATTGATATATCTTCTTGCCTTCTTCCCCCTGCGTGCTCCATGTCAGACCGCTCGGCATCCCCACCAGCCCTTGCATCTTTGACGCTAACCTAATATGAATTTCTCATCGTCTATGTGTGGCTGGGAATAAATCGCCAAAAATACTCAACAGGAGAAAGAAGACATGTCCAGTAGTGAACGTTTGCGGGATATAGAGGGGCCGTCTATCAAAGATGGCTGGTTCAAATTGCTTGTCCATCCCTCACGCTCGAGTCGGTTTATCAGCAACCTCCTCGGCCGTCACAATGACCCATATTTTTAAGAACACACGCCATAATTTTGTTGCGCACGGAGGGCTTCCCGAATTGCGCCTGCCTGAACGGGCCTCCATGAGAGTGCCCATACATATACGTACTGATTTAAATAAGAACGAAGCGATCCTCATCACAACTTGCTCCGAACCAAGTCCCCATTCGACGCCAACGTCGCATGGATCGCCTCGCCCAGCCTATCCGGAACCTCCTGCACAATCTGCAGCGCGTTAGAAAGTCACCCACGACAAGCAGGGTGTGGGCTGGCGACACACCAGATGCCCCGCGCCTTCGAGAACCTCGATCGAAGCCCAGGCGACGTCTTCCCTGATCGCTGCATGGACGCGTTTCGGGCTGTCAAATCGGTCAGGTCAAAGCGCGTTCGTTTTGGGGGTGCGCGGGGACCACATGCATGAAGTCGGCCACGTCACCGAGAATGAGGTGCACCGGGTACTCGCGGCAGATGCGTTTCAGCGTCGGCATAGGCTTCGTCGCCCCGTCTGGGTCCCGATACATGGCCTGCACCCCAAAATTAGGCTACAGGGCGAAACAAAACACAGATCCCAAGAACTGCGCACCGCTTCCTGGTCACGCTGGCACGCCAGCGTCACGCCCGGATACCGTCCCTCCGCATACTTCGCCCCGGCTGAGAATCACGTTATGTATCCCATCAATGCACTAGTGATAATGCCATCGCGACGGCGACACTCACGGTGCTCCAGGATGCCGTATTGCTGCGAAGAGAGGGTTGATATGGGGCATGCCGGTCAGCGGAGAGAAGGGAAGCACGCACGACGAAGTTCTCCAGGATTCTCGGGTCCCACTTCTTCGTGCGGTCGCGGCGCTTGAGCGCGGCCATGGCCTGCTGCCGGTCCGGCCACACGTCCCGGCGCTCGTATGCGCCCTTGACGAGGATCTCGCGCAGCTTGCGCAGGTGGTGGCTGCCGTGCGGGCTGATGAGGGGCTCGATGAGGATGATCGAGGAGAAGGGAAAGACGGGTGTGATCGCTTGTAGCATAGTTCTATGGAGTTAGGTCAGTGTCAGGATGCGCGGGAAGGGAAGACGGAGAAGCGCACAGGGTGCACCCGCCCAGACTGTGCCCGATCCCCACTAAGTTCCTGCTCTGGAAGTCGATCCCGAACGGCTTGAGGGAGAGGAAATGATGCACCGCCTGCGCGTATCGCTCGCACGAGACTGCCGAGATACAGTGAGAACCCCCGCACATCAAGTCCAGCGGAGCGCAATCCGCACGCACAGTTGAGGAAGAACTCGGGCTGCAGCAGCACGACCGCGTTCATCTGGCCCGACTCGCCGTGGTTCGGGCAGTCCAAGCAGATCGCCTCCCTGATCTTCACCGGGCTCCCTGGCCGGTCCGCCGCGGCGAAGAGCGCCTCGAGCGTGGGCATCCACGTCTCCTTGTGGAAGCTCGTCGCGTGCAGCAGCAGCAGCGTCAGCGCGCGCGGGTCCGCCGCATGCGCCTCGCAGCTCGGCACCCAGTACCGCTTCGCCGTGAGGTAGAGCGGGTAGCCCCCGCTCGGCGGGAGGGCGGTCGATTCTTCGCTCAGCTGCGGCATGCGTAGTGCTCGTGGTGGTGGTGGTGGTGGTGGTTGTGGCGGAAGAGGAGGAGGAGTAGCAGGAAGGGAGAGAGGGAAGGTTAGCGCGCCTGGAGATCACATGCGTTCCTGACGAAAGAGAAAGGCGTGCATCGTGCTGCGTCCGGCCGCCGCGGAATCAGATGGATGACAGCCAATGACAGGTTATGACACACCGCCCTCGCGGGGCAGTGAGCGGCGCACAGTTCTTGCTTTGTGTGATGTGTGCTTTGGCTCGAGAGCGACCTGAATCCCCTGGAAAGCAAAGGTCAATTCCAAAGCGCCCGCGTTTCACGTATATTATGATGTCAAATTTAACAGTAGCATATCTTCACAAAGCTGGCGAAACATCAAGTTGGCGGAGCCTTCGACCAGTGATTATGAGCTCATCAAGAATTTTCTCAAAGCTGTGTCTACAGTATTTACAACTGCCTCCGACAAAGATTGGATGCCGACATACACTTTGCCGTGACTCAGATCTGTCTTCGTGGACCCTCAAAGCACGGGGTTGCAGACTCCGCACAAAAACACGTGCACTTGTGAGGGGACCCATTTTCCGAACAGTGAGCAAAACGACTGAATACTCAGCTTCACTTCAACATCGCAACGAGCATTGCGACGCGAGCGCTGTGATTAGCGAGCCAGGCGTCATTGTGAGTCAAGCGCATCATGCGCGCTCGCTTAGAGCCCGGTCGTGTCAGGCCAGCTCTGTCAGACCTTGAGTCAGGTCGAAGCGGCCAAGAGTCGGTATCATCTTGCTCAAGAAGGTCCAGAGCATGGGGTCGGGTGGATTCCGGGTTCTGATCTAGACCAGCGCGTCCCCATCAATGGCTATCGTCCTTTTATCATGGAGCGGTGTCAACTTGGTTGGAACAGCGCTCCTGGGGATTCCAAGCGCATAACAAGCCCACGTAGCTGCTCTATTGATCCCAGCTCACGTCAGGCTTTCGTCATGAAAATACTCTCGCAGCTAGATTGTTAACAACTCTTTGGATTAGAATAGACCATAATATACCCCCCGACGCCCGCGAGATGTTTTGCACCAGATAAGTAGCAGATGTGCGATGAAGTCGGGAATCTAGGTGGAAGAATTTCCAAGCGGTCGCTCGATGACCAGACTCTGTAGATTTGTGTGAGAGACCTCGGTCCAAGATTGGGATGGCTTTGGGATGCCGATGAAAGTCAAGGCTACGTCTACCGCTGACAGTCTGGGCCGAGTCAGGATAGAGAGATGAGACATCAAACGAGGCTCTTGGCGGCGATTTACTTGTGTGACGGGTAGTCCGTCACTCCGAAGCAAAAGTTCCCTATAAATGGGAAAGATCGAGCCAACTGGTCCATAACTGGCTCCCGACTGCAGTCCCCAGAAACTGAATAGACGAAGATTTATGAGGGTAAGAGTGTACGTGGACATGAGAGACAGCATCGTAGATCTCGTCGACGACGTCGAGCCGAAGATCCACGTGATTAGACATGTACCCAGTATCACGTGCGAGAATGCATTCGGCATCTCGGCATGGTCACCTGAACTTCTCAAGCTCTACAACCCTACCTCATTCCTCAGTCCGTTCTAGTTCGACGGAAGACGAAAGGCGCATCTGACGGAATCTCTTTCATTTTTCCGTGAACTCTTTCTCTCATGATCCCCAAGCGCTGAATGAATGCGGTTTTTATGAGGCTGTGCGTGGAACAGCCGCTGAGAGAAGTATGAGCCTCATGTTACCCATAATGCACCCCGCACAACATCCCCACACTTTTCGTCCACTCCCATGTCGCTTTCAGTCGCCTCTCCCGACACGTACTGCAAAGAGGGCATCACAACATCTCTCAAAGTCATTGCTCCAGGCGAATCCGTCGAATTCCTCGAGCTCGATAGCCCTTTGTGTGGGTTTGGCTGGCGCTTCCTGTGCCGTCTCTTCCGCGGTGTCGAGGACACGTCCTCGAGTGACTCCGAGTCCGATGTCGAGGCGCTGATAGGCCTCCGAGTCGCGCTGTACTTCGATCCCCACCTGCTCAAGAACGCGCGCTACGGCTCGCTTTCCTTCGCCATCGTCTCGCAGGGCATAGACGTGATCCAGGTTAACAAAAAAGCTGCGATCTCACTTCCTTCTGAAGACGGTCCTGATGGACTCACGACGCCCCTCCTGGCTGAATATCACATGCCGCTCGGGACGTCCGCCGCGATCCAGGTCACGGTCAAGTTCTCCTCTCGCGAGCTGGAGCTTCCGTATCCCTGCCGGATGCGACAAGGCGCTCCGCGTCAGCAGGGCACAATGTCAGACCAGATCAAGGAAGTGCTTGCGAGCTCGATTCGAGGACGGGATGTGCCGGATATCAAGTTCTACGCGTACACACGCAAGAGCCGCGCCAGAGGAGTCGTGTTTGGCCTACAGCCAATGTTTGCCAAACGAGAGTGGATGACGGGCAAGGCCGAGGGACTCGATACGTGTGCGCCGCCCTTTTGAGCATCCCAACCATAATCAACTAACCACCAATGGCTCAGTTCTCGACGGCTTGTGTGACGGTGGAGGGCGCGAAGCTCAACTAGTCGACCTGAGAGGTCATCGGCCATCCGCTGACGACAGTGAGTTTGGAGAGTACGATTACATGTCGGATAGCGATCTGGAAACGGATGACGAGGGTTCCGAGCGGTATCATATTCCTGTCTCCGCCCGATCTACAATTCACTGACTCTCATGACAGCCCCGGCGAGCCGGATGCGAGCTCCGTCGCGCCCGTCGATCGCTCCTTGTCGGGAGCTGGGTCTGGACATGCAGTCGTAATCAAGGGCCACTCCTTCGACACGTACGGATATTTCGAAACCTAACTCACCCTCTCAATTGACCTCTAGATGGATGTCGATGCTCTACTTCCTCTATACTAATGAGATCAGATTCAAAACTTCCGAAGAGTCCTCGCATTCGGATATTCCCGAGTGCTCTGCCAAGTCTATGTATCGACTGGCTCAAGAGGTGAGAACGTGATCAGCTGTGGCCCTCTGTCTGCAACTGAAATTTTGCAGTTTGATTTACCAGCACTGAAAGAGCTGTGCCAGATATCAATCCGATCTCGCCTCGCTCCAGAGACCATTTTCGCCGATACATTCTCCAGCTTCACATCCCGGTGCGTTCCCTTGAACTCTCCCCCTTGTGATCATTGAACGCCGTGTAGCTATGAAGACATTCAGGATATGCACATCGACTATCTACTCGACCAGGCTTCTGACTCGCCCAGTAGGATCGTTGATGGGCTGAAGGATATGGACGGCGTGAGCCCTGTTTTGGCTAAATTGGTCGCCAAACTCTTGGGGAGAAAAACGGCTGGCTCTCAATCCTCCCCGTGCGGAAAGGGGAAGGGGGCACTTTGGTTTTCATGATCAATGATGGCTGAACAATATATATGTAAATTACATGCCCCAGAATTATGGAGAAAAATACAGCCATATCCTCGCAGCAAGTTCAAGAATCAGCCTCGTCCATGTGTCGTTGATGGATATCTGGACAATTGTGTAGGTCCTTCGGAAACATCCTGCGATACCCATATGGCCGCTGTGCTACGTACATTGGTATCGAGGAACTTCACTCTTCCCACTCGTCTGATTCACCTTTCTGCCGCAACCCAAGATCTTGCTTGGAAGCCTGATTGATTTCGTAACCGCGGCATCGCGAAGGGGCCACTGACAGGACCGATCGAAGGCTGTTCTCGTACCGGAATCCCTACTATCGATCTTCCCAAGCTGTCCAGCGACGCATCAAACCTCCGCCCCGCCTGCTCATTCGGTTTGCCTATCAGGGCGAGATCTTTTGAATCCAACGCTGTACCTAACTGGTGTTTTTGAACAGTTGTCCTCCCTCTTGAATCATGATCAGCAGAATCCCAGTCATTTTTCCTTCCTTCCCAGTGATCGAACGTCGACAGGGTGCAGTAAATGTAATCGGGAACAATCGCAAGCTGTGTGGGGAGAACCCTCCGACATTTCGTAAGTGTGCATTCCCTCATCCTCGCATTGCACCACGAACAAGATGAACCCCGCGTCGCAGTCCCCCTTTGATTCACCGACGAGTCAGACGAAGACTGCTGGCGCCCTGCACCCCAGCGTCGAATATGGGCTCGCGAACATGATCTTAGGGAACGATGGCCCCGAAATCAAGTTCTACGCGTACACGCACAAGAGCAAAGGATCCGTCCGCAGGCTGAAGGCGCTCTTTGCCAAAAAGGAATGGATGATGGGGCACTCGGAGCTGTTGGACGACTGTGAGTTCGCTCGCCCGTGCATCGCTGAGTCGATCGGTACCCTGGATGAAGCCGCCCCCACTTTGCAGATCTGGAGGGGATCACTGGAAACAAAGCGGCCACCGGATTCAAGGAGGCACGCATCGTCCCGTTGGAGGACCACACGCCGGATGCGGACGAGAGGGTGTTCACGCAGTATCATTACATGTCCGACAGCGACCTCGAGGAGGAGGAGGAAGAGTCGTGTGAGTCTGATGAGGACGATGGGCGGAGCTTTACTTCGGCGACTGGATCAGTTCAGAGGGAAGAAGCATGGTAAGGAGTGCGACGCCGCTTGCGTAGTGCGCAGACAATTGATTCTGTCCAGAGGCAGCACTACTGAATCGGATGGACAGAATCGAATGGTGTCCGGGGCAGATGACGACGCCAGACTCAACCAGTATGTTTCTTCCTACCCCTGAGTCGAACACGACCTACTCATTCAAACCAGAACCAGTGCAGCAGGCTCCTCGCGAGCGGTCCAGGAAAAGGTGCTCGAGCAGAGCAGGCGAATAGGACATGCCGTCATTCTCAAAGGACATGCCTTTCGAACGTACGTCGTCGGGAGCCCAATCCATTTGTTCGAATCTCTCACAGCGGCCTGGTATCCAGCTGGACCGCATTCATCTTTTATCTGTACACGGACCAGATATGCTTCTCCGGCACGAAAGCCCCGGTGAGACGCACGCGGGTGCCTGCGTGTTCCGCCAAGTCCATGTACCTCCTGGCTGACCAGGTTCGGCGACGGTGAATTACAAGCTTTTCCTGGTGATTTCCGAGCCTCCCCCCCAGTTCGGTCTGCCCGAGCTCAAAAGTCTGGCTTTTGCGACACTCTGCACCCAGCTATCAACCAAAACGATCGTCAAAGAAGTCTTCTCACATTTCACATCATGGTGCGCGGAGACAAGCGAAGATTCCCACGCGCGCTGCTAATGTCTGCTGTCCCTCTCTCAAGGCACCCGGAGATCCAGGATATCCAACTTGATTTCCTGTTCGAACATCTCCCCGAGGTGAAGCAGGACATGGATCGGATGCTGCACTCAATCTGCACCACCCCGAGCGCGCACTGCTCAGTCGTCCTGCAGAAGGTCTTTGGGCGGTCGACGTCCGCGGCAGCGAGAACGAAAAAGAGGGAGGGCAAGATCAGCAGCGTCATCACGCCGGTGATATCTCCTCCAGAATCTGCAGCCGCTTCTGCAGAAACAACCGCAGCACCAGCACCACAGCCCGCGGTTGCACCCGGGCCGCCGTCCATTCCACAACAGGCTAACCAGGTGCCTCGTCCGGCTGACGCTGTGGCTCAGCCTATCACACCGGCACCTCTCCCGGCTGCTATTTTGCCGCTACAAGCCGTCGCAGTGGCTCAGGCGTCTCCGGCGGTGGCGGCAGCACGATCTGAATCCACGGCGAAGGTCGCAAAAGCCCAGTCGTTGAGCTCAAAGAAAACGATTCGAGAAAACGGAACTAACGCCAAGTTCCAATGGTAGAACGAGGCAGTCTTTGATCTCCCGTATCTTGCTTCCATTACAGGGTGTGGGTCGCCGTCGACAAAGGAGCAGGATGGAAGAGGAGTGCTGTATTCAGTGAACTGATCCCGTGTGCACTCGAATCGAAGGCAGTCTCTAGTCTGATTCTGGACCAATAAACAACAAATGAACGTCTATCTCTGTAATATCGAATCACAGCACCAAGAGAAGAAACTGCAGATTGACAGCCGCAAGACCATTTCCGACGACATGAACACGACCTGGACGCGCACATTGTCCTCGCGGGCCTGGTGCATCGACGCCGCGACTACAAACAACGTTTCCGAATGGCTACCTCCCTACGCGCACCTAACAGTTGAATGACACAGTCTGGCTCGGTTTGCCAGCGTTCTTCTTATCAAGCGCAACGTTGACACCGAGCTTGGTCTGCTGTTCCTGGAGGTGGGCCTGGAGAGGTGTTGGCATGCGCGGGAAGAGCGGCGAGTGGTAAACGGAGCTGGTACGTACCGTCTGGTCCGCAGTGGGCGTGCCCCCGTGCTCGTTGATGATGCCCTGCAGTGCGACGATAGTGCCCCAGATCTTGAGCACCTTGTTCTTTGTCAGGCCGACGCTGACCGCGCTCGACTTGCCGGCGGCGATGAACGCCGACTCGGCCAGAACGGCGCAGTGTGCCTCGGTCTGTGTAAATTGAAGGGGGTCAGGATACCTGAGCATGCGGAGGAGGAGGAGCCAGCCGCGGACGTACGTTGAAGTCTTGGACCTGCGTCGCGGAGAGGTTGCCCGCGGGGAACTTGGCCTGGGCCTCGGCCAGCGCATTACCGCCCACCCCACCGGAGATGGTCAGCTGCGCATACGTGCGGGCGGAGCGCTTCTCGACTGAAACTGGCGCGGCGAATGCGGTGGCGGCAAGCGCGAGGACGGTGAAGATCTTGAATTGCATGGCGTGTAGTCGAAAGAGCGTGGAGCGGCAAAGGAATACGATAGAAAAACTTGTAGATGAGGCGCAGCCTAGACGAAGAGTGAACGAAAGATGAAAGCCTCGAAGGTGTTAAGAGCGTGAATTGAGGAAACGAAGGCTCGCGGTGCATTATATTCGGGGTGCGTGCGGTCATCACGTAAGTTGTCGCTTTGGCTTTTGCAGGTGCATCATGTGCTTGGGATGTCCTTGTTGCCTAGGCGCCGACGATGTAAATCGCGCCCGGATTCGTGCCTTGTAATCTGTCATCATTCGACTCAAGTCGCGTCAAGGATAAATCAATGTTGGCGCACGTGGTTACTGATCAGTCAAGTCTGATCATATATAGTTAGAAAATCATCAACTAGAGCTGTTCAGCAGTCGTTTCAAACACGATTTTTAGCTAATAGTTTGTAAAATATGAGTGGAGCTTAGGAAAATCTGAGTTACAAACAACACCGGATGAACGCAGGGAACTCCGTCACTATGATTGCATGTGATGAGCCGAGCCGCCAAACCACCACTTCATTTCCTGTCCTCATCTGAACTCAAACTCCATGGCGGAGGATGCCATCTTTCCTCACCAATGCTGTAAATCGAACCCTCGCGGTTGTTCTCGGTCTTCTCGCCAATATGGAGGGCAACGATGCATTCAATCTGTCTACATGTGCAGAATGATCAGATCTGTCTTCGGTGGCATGTTTCCTTTTCGGTCAGAATTCGGCCTCGGTACGATTCCTATGACACTCCACACCTAAGTAATTGGGAAGTAAAGTCTACTCCACAACCAGGAAACTCGTAAAAAACAAATCGATTTTTTGGTTCTGCTGAACAGCTCTACTGCGCTCTCCTCAGTCTTCATTGCATTCAAAACCCCCATAGCCTTGATAGCCAAATATAGCCGACATCTAAGCTACCTGTGGCTATGACATGTGCTACATGTGGTCATGTTTGGCCAAGTTGTCTAGCCAAAGTCAGCAATATAAAGCCTTGGGGTGGCTAGGCGACCTATCCAAATTCTATCCTCGGTTAGCCGAAGCGGTGTAGCTACCTTTGTGTAGGTTTGGCTATCCTGCCTATCAGGTAACTAGCCTTGGTTGACCAGGGCATCAGGAAAACAGAAAGTTTATGGTTGGATCTGGGGCCTATGACACATCTGGTGAAATATGGATGCATGGCACCATACCGGCTTCTAGTGTCAGTTGTCACCAGATCAGCCAGAACTTATGGCAAGTGGATTGTTGATATCATTCATTTCGACACTATCCTTCGAGGTGCTCACCTCCTACCTGTCTTTGGTGATGAGCCCGTTCCTCAACACTTCAAATTCACGTCTTTGTTGGTCTCTTTCCGTCACTACTACATCAATAAGTATGCTGACCATCATTCACGTGATTGCTTTCTAAATTAAATGAATTTTATATGCACTTGTCATAATTGTTTGGGCAATATAGTGTCTAGAAAAGACATTTTGTGAAAAATCTTCCTATGTTCAAGTTGGTATCAGAATCAGAATCCTGACTAAGCACCTTAGTTGCCACATCCCATCTGAGGAACTCAGCTGCAAAATTCTGTCTAAGAGCATTGAGCGGCAGAAACTTTGGACTATCAGTGACTTCATCACAAAATTCCAGCTACTCAAACTATTATTCCTGTACTCAGGCAGCAAGTACTGCCTAGGAATAGCACATTGCCAAAATCTCAGTGTAATTGAATGACCTGGTCACCCAGGTGGCTTGACCAAATAAAGGACAAATACAGCTTTCCACCTTTCAAGAGAATTTGTTTCATGTGCAGTTTCAGATATGTAGATGTAAATAGACATTTGTGTAAAAGAAACATCACTTCTTAAGAGCGGGTCAGTAAAGACATAGGAAGCTCTCAATAAGACTTAAGACACCCCCAGTAAGACATAAGATAACTAAGACACCTCACATCAGACATAAGATACCTAAGACAAACTTGTAGTTTTCCTAATGAAGGTCCCATGAATGCCACCAGAATTTGATGCTACTCAGGCTTCTAATAGTAAAATGTATTCTGCACAACTCTTTTGGGTACATACTAAAATAACACTTCAAAAAGCTATCTCATTTGCATGATGATCAGTTTTGCGCTTTTACAGAGTTTACTCTTGAACCACTCAGTGTATCGTGTTGCGGTTGATGGTGTTGCACTCAGTAGGACTTAAGGGTCTACTGCCCAGTCAACGACTGTGGATAGTGTTGACGATAGCAAGGCAATCAGACCACTACTGTGGAATTGGTCTTATGAGTCTACACCAGGCTCAGGGCTATCAGTGACGAACACTTGGACCACGACAATTCCCCAAAAGGGATCTTTTGTTGCGGCGACTCCTCAAAAGGGTTATTCTCTGCAGATGGGAACTTGAGCTGTGCAGAGAATAACCCTTTTGAGGAGTCGCCGCAACAAAAGATCCCTTTTGGGGAATTGTCGTGGTCCAAGTGTTCGTCACTGATAGCCCTGAGCCTGGTGTAGACTCATAAGACCAATTCCACAGTAGTGGTCTGATTGCCTTGCTATCGTCAACACTATCCACAGTCGTTGACTGGGCAGTAGACCCTTAAGTCCTACTGAGTGCAACACCATCAACCGCAACACGATACACTGAGTGGTTCAAGAGTAAACTCTGTAAAAGCGCAAAACTGATCATCATGCAAATGAGATAGCTTTTTGAAGTGTTAACGACGTTCTCAACATTACAACTACTACTAGACAGGACTTGACGTTACAAGATTGAGCCAATGTTGTTGCGGCAACTCCTGGTTTTGGGTTGGACGTTTCCTTAAGATCATGCCACAGCAACGACTTGTCACATGTTATGTTCCACTTGATCACAGGATATTGTGGACGCATCGCAGTGACACTTCCAAGTGTCACGGTGAAATGCTGAGGGCGTGCTCACAAGTGAATCTACTATGAAAGTAAACCCAAATATAAACACGTTCACACTCCTCGTAATCAGCTTCTCAGTGTGTGAAAGATGCGAGGGCTTCGGGGTGGACAGAGCACCAGTATCACAACTCTCAATAGACGCAGATCCAATAGTCGCGGAGACGAAGTCGACGACAAGAATGTATATATAGTAAACAGTGGTATCTCAACCAATATCTCCTATACGAACACAACCAACACTAATCCAATCCACAATCAACAATATAACAAGTCAGAGCTTAATACGAAGTATTAAGATCCCTTGTAGCGACAGCGTCCAGATGGTGACGCAAAGCCCAAATATACTGAGTCGACGCACTGCCAACTGGTAAACCAAAATGTCAAGTCGACGCACTGCCAACTGACCAAAACAACCCGAGCACGACTAGTCGACGCACTGCCATATGGAAACCCGGAGCGGTCTGCTCATGTCAAATGGTTATGCGACGATGATCTTTGATAAGCGATGTCAAGACCCCAGAACCATTACACTAAGCAACATTACGAGCACACAAAACCGATAGATTCAATGTATTGAGTACTAATACTGAACGCTGAATCGGTGGAAATATCACGGCCCGCAAACATAAATTAAACAGGGACTTGAGCAAGGGGTTTGAGGCATCCAGTGATGATCAGAATGATCACGTGCAACAACCTTGACGAGCTCGCTGACAAATCCATTGAGATCTTTCAGTGCACGTGATAGATTGATTCATCACGTGCCAGATCAATTGTGGCTGCTTTGTCAGCTCAAGCAGCTTGCTACGTCATACTGATGTGGCCTCTGATCAACTGATTGCGGGGCCAGGGTGCATCACTGCTCGTCAACGCAACTAAATACCAATGTGAAGACTCTAGGTACTAGTAATCTACCACTCATCTGGCTCAGCATCGGGACGTTCCTCATCAGAGAACCAAGCAAAAATCTCCTCGTCGTCGTCGGTGTCTGTCTCGTTGTCATTGATCCGCGGCTCAACATTGTCAATGAGCTGTTCGAGCGCGGCACAGTGATCCAAACCTGCCAAAGTGAACATGAGGTGAAGATTCGGGTGCAACGACTCACCTAATCCAGCACCAGCATTTACACCACCCATGTAGTATGCACCATCCTGTCCAATCACGTCTTCACCTCCTCGAAGTGGACGCAGGCCGGCAATGGGTTGAATCTCGTCACAATATTGATCCGCAGCTTGCGTAAGAGCAAAACCCCAGATCTGGTCCACACTGGGACCCGCGGTGCCCAGGAGCTGATCTAGCTCCTCGAAGCATCGCAGGAGTTGCCTATAGACGTCCCAGCATGTTTGTCGAGTCACTGGGGGGCTCCCAAGGTCGGCATAGAACCTGCTGATGTACTCAGCAAAATCCGGCGGCACAAGGTGGAAGATGTCGTGAGCTGGTGGGGCGTACTGCTCTCGTACGGTGTCAATGTGAGCTTGATTGACTTTCACCTGCATAAAAGAACATTGTCTCGCTCATTATGGGAAACATGAGGGGGGACCAACGTACCTTGAAGTCCAAAATCGCGTACTCCTCTGGGAATTCCAACATGTGCTGCGGAACACCATGAGGCAGGATTTTGTTGCGATCACGACGCTTGGCAGTCATATTCACGCGTTTTTGGTACGCTTCAAGCTCGGCTTGAAGCCAGGGGATGAAAACCCAACGAAATATAAGACTGTGAAGTTGATCAGCTATAAGAGAGAAAGATACAGTGATTACAAAAGCGCACGATTTGAGAACGATCCCTGGGTCATACCATCCGTTGTCCACACCTGTATCGAGGATATCTTCGAACCCGGGCGTAAATCGGCGACGCATCATGCTCCAAGTGATCTCGGGCATGACATTTTTCTTCTCACGCATGTAACGGTGCTGGGACGTTCCTGCAAGGTCAGGATCATGGAGATGGCAAAGCGTCGTGTGTCCATTTGCGATTCCGACGTTCTCAGAGCCAGGATCGCTCTGGCTTACTAAGGGAATGACTGGAACAAGGTGTCAGTAGCATTAAGAATGAGTAAAATCTGTACTTGCATTGAAGATTTTGAACCGCGTCAAGATAATAACTCAGAATTAGACGAGGGTTGCTATTATTCCACCAGATTTTCATCCAATGGATGTATCCAATGAATGGATCGATCCCAGTGTGAAGTGCAAGACCAAATTTATACTTCCATTTGTCGTGCTGGTCCACAGCCCAGATATCGTTCACTCCGGCAGCCCAGAAACGTTTTCGCTTGAAGTGTCCATGGCGACGTTCATGGACTAGATGTGGCTCGTACGCACAAAAGTATTCGATCACGACACTCCTGCAACTGGATGAAAACGACGACTGATCTGTGAGAAAAGAAACATGTACCGTGGAACCAGAATGTCCTCTTCATGAAAGAGCAAGTTCACCATGTCACGGGCACTGGCACGAGGATACACAATACGGATTCTCGCAATAGGGCCCATAATTGAATCGACAGTGTGACCCTGCTTGCGAACCCGAAAGAAACCCATTCGCTCTTGGAGTTTCCGAAAGGCTTTGATTCTGCAGAATCCTCAAAACAGCTGATCTGAAGCAAGATGAGCGACGTACTCAAGTCCGTACCGGGAGAGATCAATATGATGTTTCTTTAGTTGCTCCAGAATATACCTGTCGTTGTGCTTCATTCTCCAATAATACTCGATCAACGTCCGCAACTTGGGGGTCTCAGGTGCTAAGTGAGGGGATCAGCTATTAGAATTGGATGTGAATCTTGAAAAGCTGACGGAGTGGTTTATGTTGATTGGGCATTCTCAACGAGACGGCAGGAGGTTTAGATGAAAGAGACGAGTAGGAGAATCAAGTACAGAATTGATAGTAAAGAACTATCGAGAGGCCCTTGCCTTAAATGCGCACAGATTATGTGCTGATACATATCCATTGGACGTAATTGTGAAACCCGTGAAAGTTCAATCCAGCGGAGCTTGCACCCTCTCATGGCTAGTCGTCGGTTGTAATGAACCTCCGAACTTAGCGAGCTCATGGCCAACACGCTGTGATCACCAGGTGTGGCACTTATGGTCCTCGAGGTGCGGCACTTCATTCCTTGAGGCACCAAAATGACTCCGTGAACACGGTCTGCTGTACTGCCAATGTAATTTCAATATCCATGTATCTTGCACGTTCCTGCAAGCGAAATGAGGTAGTGCGTGGATCTCACGTGTAATTATTAGATGCACCGCTCTGAGTCCGATACGATTGTGCTAAATCACCAGTTATAAGCACACAAACTTGCTGTAAGTCCTAGTCGTCTCCTGCTACTGTGATCTACCTGCCTGACCAGCACAAATCCAGCGTCAGAAGTTGTCTTATTCTCTGTGGTGGCCAACTTCACAGAGCAGCGTGTTGCACTTCACGATGTCCCCGGTGCCAATAGGGTTTTGCCCTTGTGGCACCAGAGAGTTCTGTTGAGGCAGTCAATCTATTTGCGTTGGACAGAAAGGCTATTTTGTTTCTAAGAGTGGCAAGCGCAATGCCTACTGTGTTGTGTGCTATAATTACTACTTGTCCTACTGTGATCGCCAACGAGATACATCAAAACCTAGTTTATTTTGCATTTTGGGACCCGTGGTGTACTAAATCGCCAGTGATAAGCGCGACAACTCTCTTGAAGTCCTCGTCGTCTCCTCCTACTGGGATCTACCTGCCTGGCCTCATGTCTCGAGGACAGGATTCTCAGTGTTGGAATTCTTCTGTGGCGGCCAGTTTCACGGAGAAGCATGTTGCACTCCAGGATGTCTCCTGTGGCACCGGACAGTTCTGTCGAGGCGATCAATACATTCGTATTGGGCAGAAAGGCTATCGTGTTTCGGAGAGCAGCAAGCGCAATGCCCACCGCATTGTGTGTTATAATTGCTACTCGTACTACCGTGATCGCCAACGAGGTACGTCAGAACTTTATTTAATTCATGTTTTGGAACTCGTGGTGTTAACATCGGCACAGACTCTCAAAGTTCGCATGCTGCTGGACCTCCGCGATCCTCGGCCCCAGCTCCAGATGCCAAAGAGATTCAACGCATGAATAATCAGGGCCGTTTGGGAGGTACGTGTCACAATATCCAATATCCTCACAAGTCCGGCCTCATGTTGCACCCATGTAGATGTCTCGCGTGCTCAGCAGCACGTTTCGATTTTTCCTCGCTCGGGTGGCACAATGGGCCCACCGTCATCTGTTCCTGGTATGTCTCCCATCAATTCTGGTGTCCATTCAGGACTAAATGCCAAATTAATTTTTAGCACGCCCGATTGTTGCAGCTCCGAGTGCCTGGGATCGTTCTCGCAACTCTGATATTGTGTCTCAAAAAGGCTTGAGGAGTCAGAATCAGTGGTCTGACAAGGGATACTCGAAGAATCACGCACAGTACCAAGCGTCTCATGGCTCATGGGCACGCTCAAGTTATGTGGGGCGTTCTCCAAAGATGTTGCCCATCCTGGTTGGTATTCGATACGAGATTCTCAAGAAACCAAGAGGCGAAAGCTATGGAGTGAGTTCCGACAGGTCTACAGTCCGATATTACAATCTCACTTTACCGCAGACCATCAGCGAAGGCAGCGAAGTTCCCGGCGACGCAAGCGCCGAGTTCATCTTCAACCACGTGTTTGAGGTCCTGTATGACCGTCTCGTCGCAGATGCCAATTTCCAGTTCCGTGAGAACGAGCTCACTGTCCGGGACGTGACAACTTGGCAAGATTTCAAGGCTCTCCAGTCTGACCACGTGTTCTACTGGGACAAGTACTACAAGATCTCGGGCAAGGCGACAAAACCAGAATGGAAGGCTCCCAGGGCATCTGTTCAGATTGCTCTAGTGATTTTGGGCAGGGAGTGGCAACGACGCACGGAAATGTTAGCAGCGTCTGAACCTGATGTGCGTATTTCCACTCTTGTTCTATCTACATTAATAATGCTAACAACGTGAAGGCCGACTCAAATGAAAATTCTGTCAGTGCCACAGCGAGCGCCGTCCAGACTCGGGTCACTCGGTTTGTACGTGATCCATATGAGTCGTGTTGTGTCCGTAGTGGATAACTTTCACAGACAGCATCCGTCTCGAATGCATCTGATCAAACAGAGGCCAGCACCATCAGGAGTCTGGCTCGATCCACTGATCGTGAGGCAACTAGGGCACTTTTGCAACGCTCTGGTTCCTCATCATCGAGTGCCGTAGTTCTCGGAGCGGCAACATGGTCCCCCGATAAACGCCATGAACGTACACTGAGCCTTGGTGCTCCTTCGACACCTCCCTCGTCGCCACAGCTTCGATCAAAGCGTTCACATCCTGGCTGGCGCTCACCGGATGAGGCGGACTTTGCCCGGCTTCGAAAGGTGGCTAGTGTTGGAGGTCAGGTATCTCGATCAGGCACTCGCGGTACGGAATCTCATGTTCCAATCAACTCACCTTGGCTGAATTTGTCTGCCTAGATGTCCCAACTTGCGAGCAGATTCTATTTTTCCGCATTTATCCCAAAGCCATGGACGCACTGTTCACTCAGGACGAGGCGGCGATGCAGTTTGTGTGCGATCCGGCTGTGGCTGAGCCAGGCACACTCAGTGTTGTCCTGTCTGCTGCTTTAGGGTCTGGTAGTTTCAAGGACGCATACGAAGGTTTCCTCACCCTTGTTCGACCATCAACGTCTCCCACTGGGCTCGGATCAACTGTGAATCAACGCGTTGCGGCCAAACGGATGATCGATACAAAGGCCAGTCGACGTGATACAGTCGGAATCAGACAGTTCAGTCCGGCAGTCGAACTTGAGCAGAGCATTTGCGAAGGGAATCTGCTGCTTTGGGCAACCTCACTGTTCGACCTCACAGATACTTTCGTCCGTCATCAGCTCAGTAAGCTCAGGGAGCCGCCCTCCAATCTTGTCATCCCGGACATTCGATTTGTCGAGGGCGGCGTTGCACAAGTCCACGACACTGTCACTGGTACCAATGTTGTCCGGGCATCATCCCTGCGCCGTTCTTTCATCATTGAAGAACTGATTCCCTCTCGCTTTGTCAAATTTGTCCATAATTGCGCTGCTGTTCCTCATTTAGATCCTGATCACCCGTCGTATCACATTGCGCTCTATCTCTGTTTCATGCAGCACGTTCAGTACGTGTACACTGGACGGAGCATGTTCTTGTCGGACTATCAAGGTGAGCATTCACTCGTTGTGCGACTCCCACTGATTAATTTGATCAACCAGGCTCTGAATCCCTTCTCACGGTGTGTCGGTGGGCAAGGAAGGGTGATTGGTGGCTGTGTTGATCGGATCTATAGATAGGCCGATTGTTCCGTAGTTGGCATCGCATCGTTGTTCTCCGCCGCCATCGCACTCGCTTATCACAGCATCGCCACCCCCGATCCCTTAGCCCGCGGCTGTCCCATCGTGGTGATTGGAGTGTGATTCGCGCCCACCCACGGATTGTGGCGGTTGTACCTCGATCACCCAGTAAAAAGTTTTATAGCCCTCTGCCTACGTCGCTCCTGTCGCCCACGTCGCTTTTGCTGCCCACGTCTATTGTGCCCACGTCACCTCTTGTCCCACGATACCGTTCTCTACGCGTTCCCACGGCCTGCTGGGAGCCATTGACCTCGCGTCGTACCCACTGACCCGACGCCAGCCCAGGCAACGCCAACGCAGCGCCTCGGAGCCATCCCCGTTCTACACCACATCACCATTGACAGAACCGAGCGCGACCCCAAGCCCGATTGCACCACGAGCCGCATTCACGCTGCCCCAATTGATCACCCCACCAGTGTCCACCACTTCCCAACGTCCACCACCCCCGGCCCGACCTCCGCCCTTGATTCCGACGCAAACCATGCCCACTGTCGACATTACCCCGTTTTCCGGCCGCCGGGATGGTACCGATATGCCGACCGCTGACTGGGTGCGGGCAGTGCGGCAGGCGGTTGTTGACCGCCACTATGCAACGACTGAGGACCAGATACAAGCCGTCAACTACCACCTGAAACCGGACAGCCCTGCGGAAGACCACATGGTAGGTTTGGCACCAACAGCGCCAGAACGCGCGTCCCTCGACACGTACTTGGACGAACTCAAAGCAAAGTTTCCTGGGCTCAAACCAATACGGCGCACTGCAGCATCGTACAAGGCAGAGCTCCTAAAAACGCGGATCACGGTAGCGGAGCTGGCCATGGAAACGGTGAAGAGAGGGGAGATCGAGGTTTACGTGCAGGAGGACTTTGCCAATCAAGTCGAGGACCTGGCCATCCAGGCGAAGGTCAAGGACACGCTCGCGGGGTACCCGTTGTGGAAAGAGAATCAGCCGGGCATCATCATCAAAGCCCTCACGCCGGACCCCACCAACTGGTCGGACGTGGCAGCGAGGATCCGGGCGATTACTAATGCCGACATCCACGAGCTTGCAGTAGGACACCGAAACGCCGAGAACACGCTGCGAGAGCAACAACTCCTCAAGGCCAACATCAACGACCTCACGCGTAGTTTCAGCGCCTTCCGCCTATCGCCCACGTCTCACGTAGCCCCGAACCCTGCAATGGTACACCCTCGCCCCACGGTTATCCGGCCACAGAACCCCAGCCAGCCAGACCGCCCCCGCCAAGCCCAATTTGAGAAGGACTATGTTCCGTCAGCGGAAGAGGTCACGCACATCCGGGCAGCTCGCGAAAAGGTTATATCACTTGCGCAACCTGATACTCCACAAGGCCGGGTCACGTACAACCAACAGAAGGCCGCATGGGCGTCCCAGCACGATGCTGCGCGCGCCAACGGGAGCCAGCGCCTTTGGGAAACTGGGTACCCGCTTGCCCCTGGGACTCAAGCGCCGTGCAGCCGGGAGTGCTGGAAATGTGGACAACCCAGCACGGAAACACGGAGTGCACCGCACCGTTCGTTCCAGGAGAAGAGAGACGCTTCAGATACCTCTGCCATACCTGGCTTGGCCAGACACGCACGGACCCAGCCCCGGTGCCAGTTAACATGGCGGACTGGACGTTGATTGGAGCTCCCACAGAGGACGACCTCCGGGATTTTCAGGCTGGGCTGACACAGTAGGCGATGTGTCCGCCCATAACTCCGGTCATTTGGACGGACCGGAGAGTTCCCACCGTACTGTCGAAACAAATGTATTGTCTCATCTTGAACTCGAAACTGTCGACATGTACGCTGCGGACGAGCCTGAGAATCCACACCCCCTATTCAAACACGAAGTATCTCTCAAAGGACCAAAGGGCGAACGCGTGCGAGGCATCGCACTTTTTGACGGAGCGGCGGGAGCTGGAGTGCTGGATAGCACATGGTTTGCGGCGAGGAAACACCGGCTAGGCAAGATCTTGGCACCACGGAAACGGCTGAGGATGGCGAATGGTGCCGTGATACCATCGTCAGCACATTGGGAAGGGCCCATCGACGTCGGCGGAGTCGTGATAAGAGCGGAGTTCGAGGTGATTGACTCGGGTGGCGCATGGAACATCCTACTAGGGAAACCGCTGCTCCGGGCTCTGCAAGCAGTCCAGGACTTCAGGAACGACACCGTCTTAGTCGCGGATGAGCTGCAGGAACAGCTGTTACACAATACGGTGGGCGGCAAACGTCCAGTTCCAAAAGTATCGCGAGGGGGATGGCGAGAGCCGAGGCGAGAGGCCTCTGTGGGGGACGTGTTGTCCGCAACCTCCCCCCCGAGGCGAGTACAAACCAATGCCTCGATCATACAAGACAAGACTGATGTCGTTGCGAGTAACCGGACCAGACAAAGAATAGGCAATGACGGAGATGCCAATGACAGGATACAAGATGGGGAGAAGGACAGAAGAGGGGGAAAAGAGCCTACGGCGTCGCGTGTGAACACAACGGGGGATGTATTGTCCGCAATCTCCCCCGCGAGGCGAGTACTGCTTGACGTCCTCCCCCGATGGTGGGTTACTAACTACCCCACTTACGGTGACACCAAGGGCCGCCGGAGGAACGAGCACGCCAAGGAAGACCAGAGAAACGTACACATGTCCGAGGCGCATGTGGCCTTCAAGGGGGTTGAGTCGTGCGCGATCACCCCCGCGAGGCGAGTCCAGATGACCCCTGCTTCCGAGACCAATACTGACGTGTTCGCGATGGAAACGCACACAGGGAAGAAGCCGGGAGAGGTCATTTTCGAGCCGGGCGAGCTGGTCCAGGTGAACAGGGGGAAACTGGAGACAACGATGGCGGCGGTTAAGAAGCTGACGTTTGCGTGGGGCGCACCGTACCGGGTCAAGACGAAACTGCTGAACTCCTACGAATTGGAGACGATGGGTGGTGTCGCGGTGGCAGGGCTTTTCAATGCGAGGCGTTTGAGGCGATTTGTGCCGAAGAAGGGATCAGATCTGGAGAGTATCCACCACGCGTATTTGGCGGCGCGCGGGTTGGTTGGCGTCGGGACGTCGCCACAAGAGGGGGGGGCACATGTGTCGGTGGGCAAGGAAGGGTGATCGGTGGCTGTGTTGATCGGATCTATAGATAGGCCGATTGTTCCGTAGTTGGCATTGCATCGTTGTTCTCCGCCGCCATCGCACTCGCTTATCACAGCATCGCCACCCCCGATCCCTTAGCCCGCGGCTGTCCCAACGGACCCTCAGATCATGACCACTCCGTGCGGCATTCATTTTGTACCACATCACACTTTCACTCATCACTTACAGCGAGATTGCCAAACAGCGTGGAACTCCAATGTTTGGCGGTGGCAACGTCAGTGAGCTCTTCAACGTGTTTTGTAACCAACACGTGTGCTCCGATTATTGCCGGTTCTTCGGTCTCAAACCCCTTGCTCAAGTCCCTGTTTAATTTATGTTTGCGGGCCGTGATATTTCCACCGATTCAGCGTTCAGTATTAGTACTCAATACATTGAATCTATCGGTTTTGTGTGCTCGTAATGTTGCTTAGTGTGATGGTTCTGGGGTCTTGACATCGCTTATCAAAGATCATCGTCGCATAACCATTTGACATGAGCAGACCGCTCCGGGTTTCCATACTGCCAAGCTAGAGGTGTGGAACGATCTCAAACAAAACCCGAAGGCGACGACACTAAATGCCGCAACTAAACCAGATGCGGCGAATCCGACTTTCTGATGTCTCAACTCAAACTCAAATCACAGTAGCTACAAGTGCTCAGGGAGCAACTCGTCGCGACCGGGCAGGGGTAGCAGAACTTCTTAGGGTGGAATCACGCGGCACGCAAATTGTACAAAACAATCTGAAATGAGAGTGATTCACAGTCCGGGGGAAAGCTCCTTAATACAAAGAAACGACGTGCTACTTATACTGTCTACGACAATGCTTAGTAAAGTCCTGTACAACTGCATAGTAGCTACGCTATCTAAGATCGGTTGCCTTTTAGGGTAATTGAAAAGTTGAACGATCGGACAGATCCTGAGTGATCAGGACCCCGCCCCATAGTCCATATGATACTTTTGATGTGGGTCAACCCACCGCGTCATACTTTTGGAATACGACGTGCTGGATTGGCCAACGGGTATGTCTTGGCATGTGAGACCAACGTGGGCGCCCCAAGAAGCCGTGTGGCCCTAGGCACGCCAGTCGTCCCCCACATGGTTCGGTTCACGGATCTAGCCGTGTCGGTTTCTGGCGTGTTTGGGTATGGGCGCGACTCGCCGTGACACTTGGAAGTGTCACCACGACGCGTCCACAATGTCCTGTGATCGAATGGATCCTGACATGTGACAAGTCGTCGTCGTGGCATGATCTGAGGAAACGTCCAACCCAAAACCAGGAGTTGCCGCGACAAGATGGTTTAAGTCTCGTAACGCCAAGTCCTGTCCAGTAGTAGTTCTATTATTGAGAACGTCGCGCATTGCTCAGTCCTTCAGCCCAAGTTCCCATCTGCAGAGAATGACCCTTTTTAAGAAGTCGACGCAACAACAGATCCCTTTTTGGGGAATGGTCGCGATCCAAGCGTTCGTCACTAATGGCCCTGAGCCTGGTATAGACTCATAAGACCAGTTCCACAGTAGTGGTCTGACTGCCTTGCCATTGTCGACACTATCCACAGTCGTCGACTGGGCAGTAGACCCTTAAGTCCTACTGAGCGCAACACTGTCAACCGCGACACGATACCCCGAGTGGTTCAAGAGTAAACTCTGTAAAAGCGCAAAAATACGCCCTTACAGAGCTGGTGCAGAGCGCGTCTGGTAGCCAGCCTATCATCTCCCAGGAACACTAATTTTGACCTCCTGGTCAATCCCGCGACAGTCTCACTGCGTCAGGCCTAAGTCCAACTGTCGACGTCTCATTCATTTATTATTAAAGCCGCGGAGACATAGAGTTATGTTCCCACGTCTTATTCATTTGGTTGTTCGGTTCCTTCCGTGATCTGCCGCGATCAAACTTCTTCCGGCATGTTCACCATATAAATGCCCTCAATTTTCAGGGTCGAGAGTCTCCCTAGTAAGAGACACTCTTGCTTTTCGACCACCATGTCCGCGCCCGACCAGAGCCCCCGCCCCCAAGACAACAACCGTGAGTGACGCCCAAGGCGATTACCGCGACTTTTCAACCACGCTAACCGTCCATCAGCCGTCACCGAATCAGCTGTCTCGGGAGCAAACCTGCCTGCCATCGACTGGCGGCAGTTCATGCCGTTAGTCAAGGTCTCTCTCATGGCTTGTCGACTCAACTCACCACCTGCCTAGCCCCGAGGCCTACAACCAGATGTTGCGACAGATGGCCGTCGACGTCCGCCAGATCCAACAGGTGAGCTCCGTTCTAAGCCCGCTGGAGCGAGCAGTCACGGCGATCAATGATTGCCGCGCCTGTTCGCTTTGGCCTTCCATTCTTTTCACTAACGTAAGGGCTAGCCGGCGTCCACGCCCTTGACCACCAACTCTCCAGTCAAGGAGTCGTCGCCGCCGAAGAAACGCAAGCGAGTCGTCGAGCCCGTACGTATACTCTATTTCGTTCGTTTCACTATGTTCTGATCGACTCCCAGGCGGCTCCAACCGAACAAGTCGCCGCCCCTTCGTCGTCCCGGCCTGCCAAGCAGAAGGGGAAGGGTGACAGCTCCAAGTCGCAGGCCCCTGCCGCCGTCGCCCAGAAGTCGAGCGAGAAGTTGCACGGGAAGCGACCCAGGGCAACTCCTGCAAAGGAGCCCAAGGCGTCGTCCCATGCGCCTACTCTGTGACGGAAGCGTCCTTGAACGGGTTCCGGCACAAGAGATTGGGTAGTCAATCCGTTGGGTAACAGGGATAAGCTTTCTTGAATTGACTAGCGTACCGATCCTACGCTACTAAGTACTTATACTCGATCGAATTATCTACACAAACAAACACACACACACACAGGGGAGTCAGCAGGTTAAGGTAATCAGGAAGAGGAGCATTCCGTTACATACGCCCTCCAGCTCGACGCTCGCGGCGAGCTCAAACCATCTCATCGTCACCCCCCGCCCCGCTCTCCACCGCCGCTCTCTCCGCGGCCAAACGATTTGCCTTTGCTTCTTCGATGCGCTGGCGGCGCTTAGCGATCATTGCTCCTCCGTTCACGCCAGTCGCGTAGTCTTCAGTCGACACGGGGGTGTCCTTCTCAGCGAGGCGTCGTTCTCTCGCTCAGCGAATTGCCCGGTCGCGTCCAATGATGGCTTCGCGGCCCTCTTCGTATTCGGCAATCGTGATGGTGATAGTGCCAGGGGCGACACGGCCAACCAGGTAGTCATCCGAGCACAGGCTGTCGTGGACCGTGGGTACGTATTGCTCGCCAAATACGATCCCACCGCTCTCATCCACCGAAGCGAACGACCAGCTCTTGCCGTCATACATATTGCAAGCTGCCCCGAGCTCCGCGATGCCGACCGGTCCTCGGCCATACACAGTGCCGTCAAAGTCTGGGTTGTTGACGGCCTCGTTCCACAACAGGCACTGCTTGAACTGGTGTGCCGTGAGGAGCGTATCACCGTCGTTCAGGTGGATGACTAGGACGCTGGGCGTGACCCACTTCAGGGTCCCTTTATGTTTCAGGTTGAACTTGTGGTGCTGCGGGGTAAGTGGCTCGTCTGCCTTGGTCCCACCGCTGACTATGTTGCCTGCGTACTCGTTTTGCGTATGGGGGGCAGTCATCGAGGTGTCAGATAGAACGGGAGGAGGGAGGAGGTGAAAACGAGGCGGCAGACCCCTCTCGCCGTTCCTATTTGTCCCAATTTTCTCCTCCCCTATCTGCGCGAACCGCATGCTTCCGACTTGCAGCTCGATCGGTGGAGCCTCCTTCGCCCCCTTCAGCAGTTGGGATATGTCGTTGATCCCCAACACATCGAAGTAATCCTGCAATATATTCAATTGACTTACTTGCTGATACGGCATCCAGGTCAGGTCCCCCGACCTCCACTTTATTTCGAAGAGGGCTCGTTGACGACTGCCGGAGTGCCCAACGACTCGCTCCACGGCCCATTCTGAATCCGTGGCGGCGTCCGCTACGTTCAACTGGTTCTCCAACCGGCCAGGAAATCGCCGGTCATCGTTCGGTACATGTATCCGCAACAGGGACGCGTGGAAAACGTCGTGAAGACCCCTCTGAATCAGGTTAGGGGGTAGTTGCACCCGGTACGAGGAATTCCCGAAGTCATGTGTGACTCGGTAGGGTCCAATGAATTTGGGTAGTAACTTTCGCGCCAGTCCCTTCTCGAACTGAATATTCTTAGTGCTCAGATACACCAGATCGTCTCTCTGGAACGGCGCGGGCAACCTTTTGCGGTTCGCCGTCCGAATGTACTTCACCCGCGATGCCAGAATTGCGTCATGAGCTGCCATGATGGCCAGACGTTGCTGCAATAAGAAATTGGCAATTCCGGGGAATTCCCTAGATTTATCTGATTCCCACAACAGTGATCGGGGCATCGTGCCGTTGTTCAGGAAGAACGGCGAATATCCAGTGGTCTCTGATCTCGCCATGTTCATGGCGAACTCGACTGCAGGTAAGCGAGTCACCCAATCCTTTTGTCTGTTGTTCACACATTGCCTAAGCAGCTGCGTCACCGTTCGGTTGGCCCGCTCAGTTGCGCCGTCGGTTTCTGGATGGTAAGTGCTGGACATCTTCAGCTCCGTGCCGACGAGCTCATGCAATCGTTGCCAGAACTTGCTCGTAAACAGGACGTCTCGATCGCTTATAATCGCGTTTGGTAAGCCATGGTGCTTATACACGTGTTCGAACATTAACTCTGCGAATTGTTTCGCAGTGTAGTTCACCCGGCAGGGTATTAAGTGAACCATTCCGGTGAGTAAGCACACCACTACTGCGATGGAATTGAAGACGCTGTCCCGGTTCTTCGAGTTGGGCAAGGGCCCCACGAAATCAACGCCAATGGCTTCCCATGGTTTTTGAGGGGTAGAGAGGGGATTCAGTAGACCATAAGGTGCGTGGTTGTTCGGTTTACTCCTCTTACAAACTGAGCAAGACTCGCAATAGGCCTTTACATTGTTCACAAGATCCTTCCACCAGACGTGCTCCCGCATGTAGTCGACAGTCTTTCGTGGTCCTAGATGAGCCAAAACCGAGTGCGCCTCGGATATGACAATCTCTCAGATAGATCGCCCATTATACTCCAGCCGTGGAATACACAAAGCCCTGTGTTCCCTATCCTTTATGTACACTAGGTTGTCTTTAAATTCGAAGTTCTTGTGTTCCTTCGGTCGTTCGACAATGTTTTTGAAGAACGTGTCTTCTGCAAAGCGACCGCGAATGAACCCCACCAAGTCTAGTCCATCGTTTCCTTGGTTGATCACTGGCATCAGCGACGGGTCTGTTTTATCAATTCAAGATGTCATCACGGTCTCCAGGTCCGAGGCCCGATCAGCGGAGGCAAATGTATTGACAGGTGGCTGTGACCCGCCCTCCTGCTGCTCGCTTGCCTTCTTCGTTAACTTTTCCTCGACTTTCTTTCTTTTGTGTGGTTCCCCGCCCTCCTTCTCGTCCACTGGGCCGAGAACTTTTTCTGACGAGCTTCCTGGGGCCGGCGCCGGTATCCTGCCTGTCGACGGGCCCTTCGCTCGCTCCAGCAAGGCATTTGCCGCCGCGGCGTCCGCCCTCGTTTTCGACCTCAGCACCCTGTCGGAGGAGACAGCCATCGCTTCCAGGCCCGTAATTACGGGCATCGATATGTTGTGTACTCCCAGTAAGTCGTTGTCAATCACGTCGTGATATGTATACTCTGATCTGGCCCGCACGGTCCCCGGCGTTTCGTTTGAATACATCCGAGACAGTGCGTCTGCTAGGACGTTCTCCGGGCCAGGCACATACATCACTTCAAAGTCAAAGCTGGATATCTTCTCCACCCATCGTGCCTGGCGGCCCGACAGATTTGGCTGTTTCAGCAGGTGCGTCAGTCCTTTGTGGTCCGTCACCCACTGGAACCGACACCCCTGCAGGATATCACGGTGCCGTAGCATCGACTCGACGCCTGCGAGCATCTCAATTTCGTGTACAGGGTAATTTTGCTGGGCTGAATTAAGCTTTGCCGAGTAGAATGCCGCCACTCGACCGCTCTTCCAGTCTTTTCCTTGGCACACGACGCCTGATACCCCAGTGGCGCACCCGTCCGTCACTAGGAAGATTGGGTCCGCGTCCGGCCCGTAGTTGAGGGGAACTCGGTGATGGTCCCGTAAGCCCGAAACTATCTGTTTTATGTCTTCGAACGCACGCTGATGCGTATAACCCCAGCGGAACGGGACCGTATCTCCGGTTAGACCATGCAGAACTCCCATGGGAACCCAAACCCGCGCCAAGTCGTCGGCCAGGTACCCTACTGATCCCAGGAAACCCCGCAGTAAGTCGCGATTCGTCGGTGTTTTCCAGTTCAGGACTGTGTCAACCTTCTCAGATTCCATCCGGATTCCCTGATCGGTGATGACGCGGCCAAGGACCTTCATCTCCGGCCTCAAGAACTGGAGTTTGTTCTCTCCCAAGTACAATTTCTCCCTTTTCAGTACGTCGATCACTAATTTTACGTGCTTCTTATGGTCATCTAACGTTCCCGAGTAGATGATTATGTTGTCTAGATAAACGTCCATGAAACGGCCTATATAATCCGAGAACAAGTAGTTCATCAGGGATTGATAGGTCGCAGGTGCGTTACAATCCCCTTGTTGCAGCACAAGGCTGACCATGTTCCCGTCAGGGGTGGTCATGGTTGTACGATTCACATGTTCTGGAACCACGCGTATCTGTTCGTACGCGTCCTGTCCATCAATCAGTGACCTAAACTTACAACGCGCTACGCGACGCAGAATACCGTCCATGTCCGGTAGTGGGGACGCCATTTTGCGAGTATTAGCGTTCCGCTCACGGAGATCCACCACCACACAAAGACGAGGAGGGTTGGATTTGGCTTTCGGGATAAGAAGCATAGGTACGGTGTTTCCAGCATTAGTTATTTTCCAACGCCCCGTTTTTAGATACACACGCCGTTTCTCGTCCCACTGGGGACGCAACGCATCTGGGCACCTTGACATCCGCCAAGGCATCACTTTGCCAGGGTCTATCAAGGGGATGGTATGGTTGATGGTGCGCAGCGGAGGTAACTCGGTTTCCGCCGCTACCTTACACACATCTTTAGCGTAACCCCGCAGTTCCTCTCGGGCTTCTTCCAGTTCACCAGACTCCACCTCCATGGAACCCGTGTGCACGCGTGCTGTGGCCACCCCCTCCAGCGGCAGCGGGCCAGAGCTACCAATGCATACTCGTGAAGGGTTGAATCCGACGCTTACTCGGTGCTGAAACAGCCAGGCCGTTCCAAGTATCATATCATATCCGCTAATATTCGCCACGAAGAAGGTTCGTGGTCCATCAATGTCCTGGTATTTCATATTCACTCGGGTAGTATAGTTGATCTTGGATCGGGAACCTTGCACTGCCAGTTGAAGGGTGAGCGGCTCCGCCAAGTTCTTTAATGGCAGCCGCAGCTGATCCGCCGTGGTCGTTGAAATCAGGTCACCCAGTGATCCCGAGTCTATCAATGCCCGGAGTGGGTGCCCGTTCACCTGGACAACTACTATCACCGGTTTGGCGACAACTGTATTCTGGGGGCGGGGGAGGGATGCTGACCGGGCCAGTCCTGGCAACCTATCAGCTGGAACCTGGACGCCGTGGCATGCCAATGGGACGGGTTCACTTGGTCGCACGTGCGATCCCCACCACTCGTCTGGCGGGATCAACGGGTACGTCGCCAATGCAGCCCTCTTACGTCCTTGTCTTTCCTGTCGCCTTGCCAACAGGTTGATCAGGTCCAGGTCCGCGTTCAAGAGCTGCTCTCGCGGCACGCTAATTCGGGCCAACCGTCCTTCCTCCTGTTCTTCCTCGAACACGTACTCGCATGGCACGTCGCTTTTTCCCGGGTTCTCTGTCGCGAATCGAGGCTCAATGTTTGTGTAACTTCCACAATTCACAGGGTCTCCCTTAACCATATCTTCCAGGTAGAACCCAAGCTGAATGCCCAGGAGGTCGTCAACGGCTATCTGGTGGGCTAAGCTGGCCCGCTCAATCGGGATGTCCAGCCGTTCCACAACCCTGTCAGCGTACCAAGCCGCCAGCTCAAAATCTCGACTCTCGAGCAAGTGCTGCGGCAGATACGTCCACAAGCCATTGGCCTGGTCCCTTATTAGGTATCCGCTCCCACCCCAGGACGACTGTAGTGAGAAGCGCTGGTCAATCCAGCCCGGTGCGTCCTTATCGAGCAGAGTGTCTCCAGGATAGGGCTGACCAAACTCTAGCAGGCTTTGGGCTCCCTCCGCCATGAGATCACCAAGTTTTCGGCTGCAATGGTCTCTTGGCCGTCGGACGGGTGAGCCTTGGCCTTGTCGCGAACGCACTGATTGTGATTGTGCCTCAGGTGCACTGGTTCCGGGCCCTTCTGGCACCCCTTGGGACTTCAGCGACAACTCGGGCAGAAGTCCCGCCTCGTGAGTTGCCTCTACCCACGTTCGCCATGAAGCCTCCACTGACTCGTCTTCGCTTTCCCCCTCCTCTTCCTCAGAGTCGCTGGACTGCTCCAGCTGTGGAGGATCGTCATCCAAAGTGCCGCTGTCATTCCTAGTTATAGATGTAGGACTCAGGTGTATTTCGTACCACTGGCGTAAGTCAAAATTTTCACTTCTAAGGAGTGATTTCTGGATGCATAATCCAGCGCTACTACTAGCTCGACGAAACAACAAGGATCCAGCAGATATCTCCTGCCCCTCCCACAGCGGGACGTCACCGTCATTGGGGTTCCCCCTAAACGACTCCATCTCGTACTGCTGTAATAGGATGAGGGTCATGGCGAGAGTTGAGTTCCCCAACGTACGAAAGTAACGCTCCGGAAGTACCAGCCCCGGGGCATCTGGGTGGATGCCCTGGGCCAGATAACACTTCTGAGCCCAATGCCAACCCAGCTGGAACTCCGGGTCCTCCAAACAATCGGCGTGCACGATCTCGTCACCCTCCAGGATGTTCAGCGGGGTGCCGCAATCCAGTATGCAGTAGTAGTCCGCGTTGTGCACCCGGTAGACCAGGAAACAGTCCTCAGTTGGTTCAGACCCATCGTCGCCTGGAAAGGGAGCGCACCGCTGTAGCACCAGACAGGCAAAGCGCGCTACCAGGTCTCCTGTGCCTGTTCCTGCTCCCGGCGACTCCGTCCCCACCGACATGGATTCGATGGTCTGGTCCATGAGGCCCAGCGCTGGTCGAGCTCGATGTTCCTCCGGCCCCAGTGACAGCGCCTCCATCCCTTCTGCTAACATCTCCATTTCCGAGCACGTTGGCCTATCCATTCCTCGTGCCAAGTATTCCAGCTCGTCGATGTCGGCGCAACTGATATCTTCCCAATTGCTTGGCTCTGATTTTGACGATTCGGACTCCGAGAACTGCTCCAGTATCTCGCCTGCGTCACGGACAACTAATGGGAAAGCACTAGCAACGTCCAGCGTTTCAAACACTTCAGTAGTTTCGCCTAGTGAAGCCAAGCGCAAGCTTACACCGTGGGCTCCAAAGCCAGGGGGCTTGCCTTTGACCTTGGACTTCATTGTGGTGAGCTTAGGGCAGCTCCTCGCCATGTGGCCAGCTTCTTCGCAGTTGAGGCATACTCCACGAGTCATAAGCTCGGCTCGCTTCTGAGGTGAAAGCCGTCGCTCCCAAGGTCGGTCCGCGGTGTTGTCGCTGCTCCTAGTCGAGGTGTGGGACGGAGACGGGGCAGTGGCCGGTGGAGGGTAGTGACGAGAAACTGGTTTTGGACCATTCTCCCGGGGTGGCATTACCGCGGCTGCAGAAGCCTTGATAACGCCCCGTTGTCTCCGAGGGAAAAACTTCTTCTTCTTGACGTCTTGTCCGCCGCTTGCTGGCCCTGGCCCAGAGCCAGCGGCGTTGTTGCTCGGTACGCTCTTGCTCTTACGCCTTCTGTCAAGGCTCAAAAACCGCTCAGCTCTAATTGCCTTCTTCACGACACGGGCCCACTTCGACTTCTCCGGGTCCAAGCCGAACCGGAATAATTCCTCTTGGATATCGGCGTCGAAGCTGTTCCACAGCAAGGCCACACGCTTGTGGTCCTTCTTCAGGCCGATCTGTAGCATGATGCTCTCCAGTTCCAGCACGTGTTTATTCACCGACTTCCCGTTCTGGTGACAACGGGTAAGTCGCTTCCGTTGTTTTTGTCTGTAATCCAATGAGAAACAGTACTTCAGAAGGCGCCGCAGCATTTTTTTCAATGTCCATTTATGCTCCTGGCCCCGGATTCTTCGATTATAGAAATCCTTTGCATCCCCGTCTAAGAACGAGCCTATTATTGGGACGTGGTGAGCCTTCGGCACATTCCCCAGCTCGCAGTAACGATTCGCCTCGTCCACGAACTGGGTGTACTGGTCTGCGTTCTCCGACCCATCGTATCTAGCCGGGGGGTTGGGCTTCACCAACATCTTGCCTTTTGGTCCGGGGCTCGCCTTCCTCTTGCGCTTCTTTGTCTTGCTCTTCCTAGCGCGAGATTCCACGGCCATACTAGAGTCATCAGAACTGTCTGATTCGGTACTCGAGCTCGAGGGTGAGCTCCCCGTATCTGAGCTTGAATCGCTGGATGACTCGCTGGGTAGTCCACCTGAGTCATCGCCTTCTGACTCTTCAGACGACGATTCAGAGCTGGATCCCCCGCTCTCCGATGGCTGAAGGCTGACACCCCTCAGGACGCTGTTTACAAAGCCGATGTTCTCTTTAGGCTCCGTCGAGCGCCTTTTCGGCGTCCCAGAGGGAGCCCGGGTGCGCGCCCTTTCGCTCATCAGTTTTGGTCTCTGACTTCCCGACATGGCGGAGGTTTCCCGCTGGCGCTCTCGTTCCTCGAGTTCGCCAAGGCGTTCCCTCATTCGAGAAAGCTCCCGAAGTAAGACGTCTCGGTCGCTTGCCTGCGTCGTTACCTTATTCGGCATTCTCAGGGCATGGTTTCTCGTTTCCGCTTCGATTCCGGGGGGCGTTCGACCGGAGTCGTGACAAACCCTCTCCCCTTGCGCCAGCTCAAAGGCCTTCAAAGCGTTATTCTGAGCTTCCAAGTCGCTATCGGAGAGCTGAGCCTCTCCCCAGTTACCAGGATCGGGTCCCTTGCCTTTCTCCTGGGAGGGACCGGCGACCGGCGGCTGTGGATCCACGCTGCCATCTGACCATTCGGCTTCCTTCAGCCAATAAGCGTGGTCTCCTTTGGACTTATCACCGATCACGTCCGATTTGGCGATATCCTCAGAGGTCGTTCCGAGGTCCTGCTCCTGTCTGGGGACAGGCGCACGTTGCTCTGCCGCGCTTGCCAGGCTGGCGTAGCGGTCGGAGATTAGCCGCAGCATCTCAGGGGACATGGCTTCGGCCGCCTCGTCCAGAATGGAGGTGAGTTCCTCCCGGCTATTGCGAGTATCGTTTAGTTCTGTACCTGTTCTACTAGCAGGACTGGAACTACGACTACTAGCAGACTCCCGATGAGTACGGGCAGTCCGCTTCGTGGCTAAGGTCCAGGGACCGTCACTCCTATCCGCCTCTTCTATCGATCCTGCAACGTCCAGGTGATCGGTTTGGCCCCTGGCCAACGTGGACAGGGGCGAACGGGGCGAATTCTCCGTGTTTTCACGGGCTGGGCGTTCCCCCGTAAACGGGGTACTAGCGATGTCTCCGCCAATGGTCCAGGACGCATTGACGGGCTTGGGAAGGGTGGCCGAGGCCGGTGATACAACGCAAGCGTACGTCCGCTCCGGCGTCACGGGTCGCTCCACCGCGGTTGCTAGTGGCAGCGAGGCGAGTTCCCCTGTCGTCATAGCGGCACCACGGGAGTTGCGGCGACGCAGGGCACGGGCGGGGATTGATGGGGGTTCGGTTTGTTGCATGGTAGCAGCAAGAGGTTGTTGGTTTTTGGTATGATGGGTCTTCGTCGAACTCGGCGGGCACGGGAGATCAATCCGCGGGAGGGCCAGAGCAGGGCAAAGAGAGGTAGAGCTTTACTGTTAAAAATATGTGACGGAAGCGTCCTTGAACGGGTTCCGGCACAAGAGATTGGGTAGTCAATCCGTTGGGTAACAGGGATAAGCTTTCTTGAATTGACTAGCGTACCGATCCTACGCTACTAAGTACTTATACTCGATCGAATTATCTACACAAACAAACACACACACACACACAGGGGAGTCAGCAGGTTAAGGTAATCAGGAAGAGGAGCATTCCGTTACATACTCGTAAGTGGCTTTTTCATTTCATTCACCAAAGTCGCGGGTACTGATTTTGTCGTAGCCGCTACCTTGGTCCCTGTTCCACAGGGGTCACCTCCCAAGCGCGTCCACAAGAAGACGCACGTAGGTGTGTAATCCTATGTCTTATTTCGTTGATCTTTAGACTAACCACTTGGTCCCTCCCAGCCTGGATCCAAGCACAGCCTGTGCAGCCCGAGTCCCTCAGCGATGAGGAAGCCGCCGCCATCGCCGACACTGCGATGGATGTCGACGACAAGGGGGTCCAGGAGGGAGACGCGTCCTCGGCCGACGAGCTGGCCCTTCAGGTAAGTGACCCAGTTCGTCGATCGCGATTCCTTCGTCTCATGGTTGGTTTGTTTTTGACAGGGGCCCAAGTCCAAGGGGAAAGCGCGATCGAATCTGAGTGCGTTTTTCCTCTTGTCCCCCTCTGTCGTTTACTCATACTTTCGTAGCCCCGTCCGTCATTGTCATGGACGACACTTCCGAGAGTGGAGAGGAGACCGGCGACTTCGTCGTGGCCAAGAAGCAGGTCAGCGAGACCCGCGTCAAGCCCAAGGTAAGCCGACTCCTTTTTCCCAGACCACGCCCCTTAATCCAGCTTTTTAGCCAATCAAGAAGGTCGTGGATGGTTCATCCAAGTCGACCAAGTCCGTGCCCCACCAACCGGTGCCAAAGGTGGAGGCCAGTCGCAAGGCGAGCGCCCCGCGAGCGACGACTACCCCGACCCCAGTGGCTAAGGTGAGACACAAATCTTGGTTCCCAGACGTCGACTAAATCGTTTTTCTTTCTTTTCTAGGTTGCCCAGGCGGCTCCCGCTGCTACCAAGACTCCACGCAGTGAGTTGGGCAGGGTGGCCGCGACCCTTGGTCGCGAGCGGAGTGTTGCGGCGGCCAAGGCCGAGCTCAAGGCCCAGAAGGCAGAAAAGTCCGTTGCGGCGGCCAAGAAGAAATCTGACTCGGTGAGTCGCAACTTTTCTTGTCGTCGACTTCTTACTGACTTGACTGTTTCCAGACTCCTGCGAAGGCGTTGGCTCCCACGCCCCGAGCTCCGTTCACTCCCACCGCCAACAACACCGAGGCGCTCCTTTCGGTGGCACGCCAAGGGTTCGCGGGGAAGTTGGAAAGGGCCGGCGTTGAGGTGCCAACTGACTTCGTGCGTTCCTTTATCTTTTTCTGCCATGCCTCGACGACTGATTCCCTTTTCATAGGAGGTCGCGCCAAGGCCTTGCGCGATGTGCGTGACGCGGCAGCGCGTCTGCTTCAAGAGCGTTGACGGGCGCCACGGCAATTGGTGTGCCCCGTGCGTGCTCTATAAACAGACTTGCACCAACGGCTACAAGCCCGCGGAGCAGCTGTATATGGGGCAACGCTTCGGGTACATCGCGCAGATGAGCGCGGACGGTACGAGTCCACTCTTTTTGTTCATTTCTATTTTTGATCGTTTCTGACGACGTTTTCAGATCTCAACAAGTCCGCCAACCGTCTCGCTGACACTTTGGACGCGTACGGCGGGCTTCTTCGCACGGCCAACGAGATCCGCGTCCTGGCCATTGGCCAGTTCCGTGATTTCGTTGGTCAGCTGAAGGAGCACTTCGACGACGGCTCCGACGAGCGCATCAAGGCGATGTTCGTCCACACCGCGACCGAGATCGACGCCGCCGAGTTGGCCGACATCCGCAAGGGTGTTCGGATGATCTTGGCCCACGGGGACTTGTTGGATGGCGAGGCGAACGAGCGGTTCGCGGCGCCTCCCGCTTTCTTTGATCCGTTTTTCTATCGCGAGATGGAAAAGATGGAGAAGCAGTTCCAGAGGGAGATCGAGAGGGCCCAGGAATTCGACCAGTCGGACCCCGCGACCGTCCAGGATCAAGCGTTCCAGCCTGGCGAGGACCACGAGATCGACGTCGCGCACTTGGCAAGTAGTCGTACCCGTGCGCCTTCCTCGCCGCCTCTGCCTTCGCCATCGCCGCCTCCCGTCGCGTCGTTGTCCCAAGCCGTCTTACAGGTCTTGGACTTTTCCGACAACTACAGCGAGACCTCGGCCGAGTCCACCAAGGCCGATTCGGATGAAGACGCGGAGGGTGAAGAAGACGGGTCTGCCGGCAACGAGAACGCCGACGACGGGAAAGTCGACGACGAGAACGTCGAGAACGAGGGCTCCGTCGCCGCGGGTGAGACTGCCATGGAGGTGGATGAGCAGTAGTTCAGCTCGTTCCACCGTCCGTGAACGTCGCGGCCCGTTTTTATTTATTACATTGCATCAACGTATCGTCGTCGTAGAACCATCCAAATCTATCATTGCTGCTGCCTGAGTCGTCGTCGCGTGAACCTTTGAGTCTAAATTTTCAAAATTCTTGGGAGAATTTTCTTGAAACATTTTGAAAAAGTCCCGGACCCCGTCCTCAGTAGCGTCATTGGATTTTCCACTTTCCAGCACATGGGTCCAAGGGGTGTGCACGTTGTCGCGCGCCTCAATTTCCAATGTGTGGACTTCTGCGGACTCTGTGGCTGATCTTTCGTAAGATCTGCCCTCTCCCAGGAACACAGATCTAAGCCGTCCTCGGCTTATCTGATGCGTGACTAGAAAAGTTTTTCCAGAGTCGACAATATAAAGTCTGGGTGGGCTCGACAGATTATGTCCAGTCCCATTCTCAGTCCTTATTTCGTTCCCATTCTTTCTCCCTATCCAGGCCTCGCTATGTCCGCATTTCCTCTCCCCCAAGACTTCGCATCACTCGTCGCGTCGTGGAAGAAGGCTAAGCCTTCTCTCGCGGCGATGAACAAGCTGGGTCTAGGTGGTTCAGAGGGCATCCTCAGCGTTGGCAAGGATATCTTCTTTGTTCGAGTACGTTGTTTTGTGATGGCGTGTCGCGGCGATTATCTTATCTCGTCGACAGACCCGCTTCCAAGCTAGCTCGTTTGCTGCTCAAGATCCTCCCCGCGACGTTTTGGATTGTCTCGAGGAGGCCACCACTCTCGCTCTGTCTCAGATGGAACTGCTCAAAGAAGTTCCTGAGAAACAGCGCGACCCTTCCCAGACTAAGGCCGTCAACAAGTATCGAGCCTATCTGGTTTTGCATGAGTCCCTTGTCGCGGCGATCATCAGCATGCGACAAGCTCAGGAGAGCATCCCACGTCCTGCTGCAACTCCGTCGTCGTCTGGGAAGGCCAAGGTATGATTCCCGGTCCTTGTCCAGATTTTCTTACGGATATTGTTGCACAGGCTGAAGACCCTGTTCCTGAGGCTTCAGGCTCAACTCCTGCCATCGACATTGATTCAGACGTCGAGATGGAGGCGCCCACTCCTGTTCAAGAGAAGGTGCGTCCGTCTTGAGTCTTTGCCGAGCACAGGTTGATTTTTCTCAGACCCCGCGACCATCTACTCGCAAGACCGTCGCAGGACGGTCTGGTTCTCGATCGGTCGACGGATCTGGTCATGACGACTCTGTAGGGCTCGCGAACGTCTATGGGACTATCATTCGACTCATAGACGAGCACGATAGGTCAATGCGTCTTCTCAGCGCCAAAATGTCGAAGCTTCACGCAGAGCAGATGGAGGCTCTAGGGAGCTGTCTCCAGAGTTTCCAGACGTGAGTTCTCACTCAGTCGCGGCGACTACATTTCTGACCAATTACCCAGTCATCATTCGTTGTCACCGGCTCGAAGAGGCAGCGACTCAGCAACAGTACCACTGATGCGGCCCCGGGTGAGTCTCGCAGTTATATTCTCCTGTCGTGACACTTCGCTAACCGATTGACAGCGTCCGCGTCCGACTGAAGGTTTATTGCGGACCGAGTGCATCGACATCAATTGTACCGGTTGCGGCGGTCCATTCCACTCGAGCTCCTCATCAAGGAACGCGACTACGTCACGTTGCGGCTAGAGGAATGGAAGACCGCGCTCAAGGACGTCAAGGAAGCCATTGACCTCTCGATGTCGAAGAATGCGGCCTAATCTTTCATAATTCGTTCTATATGCACTCTCCTTCCATATGTCTCTCTTCTCTCATGTCACTTATTTATGAAGCCACGTCTCTTCTTCTCGCGCACCTCCTTTATGACCTTTTTCTTTTAGATACAACCCAGTATAGTCCTTAGGTACCAGCTAGCACCCAAGCAATATATTGAATTCTGTCTAAAATCCGAGATAAGCGACGTCTTCGCCGTGCGAGAGCCTGCCGCGACAATTACTTGCGCGCCAGACTTTCACTCAACAGAAGCTGGATCCTCTACAGGGTCGTCGTCGTCGTCACTATCCGAGTTCTTGAGTTTCACACCTTCGAACTGGTAGTCGCGGACGTCAGATATTTCCTCCACCAACTCATCGAGTTTAGCAGGTGAAATATCTATCAGCTTCTTTATATCTTCAGAGAGTGTCAACTTCTGTCTTGCCAAATAGGGTATTACTCTGAACGCCGCGACTTTCGCATGGAACATTGCACTGTTCATTTCACAGACTAAGTAAGAACCTCCTTGTCATAGTTCGGCCACTTGGGTTGATTGTCACACTCCTTTGGTCTTTCGAACTACAATCATGGGTCCAAGATATCTAGCTTTCATCTTGTTGTCCAATGATTTTTCAATAGCTGTGTTCCTGACCAACACTAAGTCCCCTGGTACAAACTTGTAATCTTTGATCACATGCTTGTACTCGAGTTCGTAGCGTTGAACCATCTTTAATTTGGCGTCGCTGACGCGGCTGCGCATATCTTCAATATGGTCGGCGTGTTTCGCTAGAGCGCGTGCCCTGAGACCAATGAGATCCGCAGAGTCGACGATCCGGTCAGGATATTCGACTAGCCACGTAGCTTCGACTATATCCAGAGGGATGGTAGGGTGGGCCCCACATACTGCGAAGTATGGTGAACAACCCAGCCCGCGACGCACTGTAATTCTATCTGCCCACAAGACCTGTGGGAAGAACCAAAACCATTTGGAGGCGTTTCCCCCTGTAGCTTTGTACAGTGACTGTCGAATGTCCCAATGTCCCCTTTCAACAGTGCCATTTGCTTGGGAATTGTAAGGAGCTATCCTTATTCCCTTGATACCATATTTCTTCTGTAACCAATTCAACGCCGCGACAAATTGTCCTGCGTTATCGGTTACAATCCATTTAGGACACCCCCAGCGACACACTATGTCTTCGAGTAAGAAACGCGCTATTGCCTTGGTGTTGTCAGCCTGCAGCGGTCGCGCTTCCACGTAGCGAGTCAAGGAATCCCTTGCTGCGATGACATATCTGTATCCGTTAGAAGGCGTTCCCATAATCATGACGTCCGTATGTATCTTCTGAAATACACTTGGGGTCATAGTCGGCGTCGGTGGAGTGCGGAGGAGAGTTTTCTGGCGGACTTGGCAGCTATGACAAGTCTTTATCCACCAGTCGACGTCTCTTTCCATCTCAGGCCACCAAAACCGAGTTTCCAACAGGCTCTTAGTGCTGAAAAGACCCTTATGACCCAGCGCGTCGTGACACGCCTTCATCATATAAGTCCTGTGGCGCTTGTCCACGACCAGTCTATGAATCCCATTGGTCGACCTCTTGTACATTTTTCCATCTTTGAGGAAAAACTGTCGCGAGAATTTGAGAAACGATCTGAACCGTTTATCTGTCATTTCAGGCCTTATAGAAGTGTCTTTCAGCCACTTCCTAGCCATTACCAACTTATTGTCCTGTTCAATCCCTGTGCCCGTCCGGTGATCCTCAATGTAGGGATCCTCAGGATTGTCGCGCAGTTCAGGATCAGGCAAAAGCGGTTCTCCATTTGCCACATCGTTCAACATGAAGACTGGGACGACGAGTCCTTGAGCGTCATATGCGTCTCTGACACGCCGGTTCTCAGCGCGACGAGAGTCGCAAGCTTCAACTAGCTCTTTGGATATGTCATCGACCGACTCAGCACACCCGACCATAGAGTTAAGGTAGCCACCTCTGGTGTCAATATCCCTTTTGAACTCTTCAAAGTCTAATGGTTGTTCCGTGTCGTAGTCCCAATTTTCGTTGTTTTCTGGTGGTGGCTCGTCGAAGATTTCCTCTTCGTCATTGGGATATTCTTCATCTCCAGGTGCAGGTCGTCGTCGTGACAAGCCATCTGGTGAGAAAGTGATTCCTCTGACATGTTTCAAGGTAAATTGAAACATGAGGCTCTCTTCAGCCCAACGGTTGATATTCGCATTTGGTAGGTTACCAACGTTCCTTAGCATGCCTGCCAAGTACAGCACGTCGGTTTCGACTACCAATTTCCTACAACCAAGAAGCCAGTGAGCCATGGCTTGAAGCACGCGCTTCACACCATAAAGTTCACGCTTCGGTTGAGAAAACCTAGCTTCTCGTTCTGTGAGCGGGATACTCCCAAATTTCGCGTAATAGACTTTCTTCGGATCATCTGGGTCGCGCTGGTAGATTTCAAAACCCGCGGCCATCCAGGATGTGTCTATTGCGACGACGATCTCAGAGTCCCACTTGTAGTTCAGAGGCTTAAGCGACGGACAGACTTGTATCGCGTCTTTAAGTCTTTGAAATGCGAGTTTCTGTTTGTCACCCCATTCAAAATACGCGTTCTTGTTCACCAGCCTCTGAATTGGTCGCGCCATTTCAGAAAATCCTCTAATGAACATTCGCATGACCCCAATCGTGCCCATGAACTGTCGAACTTCCGAGACGTCTCTCAAGTCTGGCCAAGGCATGATTACACCAACCCTGTCCGCGTCAGGTTTTCTACCTTCAAACGAACAGATGTGGCCAACCACAGCGAACTCGTCGGCGCAAACCACCGACTTGGTACCAGACAGAGTCGCGCCACAGTAGCCGATTCTGTGCACGACGCGGTTCACATTCTGAAAGTGTTCCCATACGAAGCGACGGATCCCAGGATTCTCTGGAATTGTTTCACAGGTCCCATCGGGTAACAGATACCTGGTTCCAGGTCCTCGAACGGGTACGTCATCGATGTATGGAATAGTAACATGAGGGATTTCGTCTTTCAAAATGAAAGTAACGTCCTCATGGAATATGGGTACTGAGTTGGTCCATCCTTGCGGGAGTTTGACCAACCTCAGTGCACCAAACGGTGACTGAAATGTAGTCAAGTCGCGACTAGCTGGATCGATGTCACGCTGGTCGTAGCCTGAGTACAAATCTAGCGCAGCACCACAGGCGCGACCGGCGAAGTGGTTTGCTAATTCCTCTGTCGCGGGTGGCAACCCTGAATGTGCGATAGTAATTGCATTGAGTGGTTCTAGCGAGTGCACCAGTCTGATACTCTTCCCATCCTTCTTAAGTACAGCAAAGAACTTGCTTTGATAAGAGGAATTGGAAGGTTCGTAGACCTGGGCCGCGATTTTGTCTTTTATGACCTTGCACACTTGATCAAACATGCCGCGAGGTATAGGAATATTCCCTTTGCGATATGCTGTATGGGGAACTGTTGCGATCTTGACAGGAGGAAATATATCCTGTCTCAATGCGCCACGTTCTTCATCATTGAACGCGAAACTCTGATTGTGAAGCATATAGAAGTGCATGAGCAACTTCCGTTCTTCTGGTAATAAGAAGTTTCCTTTGTGCAGCTTGTCCACAATATCCCTGTGTTCCGCCGTGAATCTACCAGTTGGGGTAAAATCAGGTGGTCGCGGGTTTAGAGTAGGCAGCGTATCCAAAGGATCTCCCACCATTTCTCGAATTATTCGGTTGTCCTCAGAACCCATAGTGTACACTGGTCTGACCTTCTGGTCCACAGGTTTGTATTTCTTTCCTGCGAACACAGAGTATTTGTCACGACTAGAAGAGTCGTCGTCTAGTACACTCCAAGTACCAACAGTCAGTTTTTCTGTTGTCGCGTCTGAGAGTCTTTCATTCATATATGAATGAAACAAAGTCGACGCAGCGACGTCTTTCTTCATTTCCTTGTCCTCTTTCGACGACAAGATATACGCTTCTACTAGCTCAGTTTGGGTAAACTGGCCACTAGAACGCGGCTTTCTTAGATCCTCGAACACTACATTCCCATCCTTTCCCAACGACACAGTCACCGCGACCTCTTCTCCTTGACTCAACCTGGTCAATTCCTCGAAGCTCTTTGAAAATCCCGTTCAGGGTTTGGCTCGTCCGGACTGGTCGTCGGTTTCGACGAACTGTAGGGCTCGGTAGATCCGTCGTTGTTTTTAGTGTTACGCGGCAAGTCGTCTGCACGACGCGGCTGCGTAGCCATTGCACAACGTGTCTTTAAATTGGGATCGCGCATGGTGATTATCTGGCTGCCGTCGGCCGCGTTCTTGATATTGCTCTCTGTCGCGATATCAAACGGTCTGCCGAGCAACACCTTATAAGCTGGACTTTCCAAAATGTGCACCTGCAGGTAGACCAAGATGGTCCCAAACCTGAAGGGTACATTTCTCGCTAATCCCAGCGACTTAGAGATAGATCCATTTGCGCTTTCCATATAGATGATGACTTTTGGATCCCAGCTCAATTGTGCGTCGACTGCTTCTGAGAAAGCCATCGAGACAATCTGGGATCCACTGTCCAGGATGCAGTCCGCGTCGAGACGCGCGTTAATCCGTCCGTTTATTGTTCTGAGAGCAGCCGACGAATCACCAACATAGACATGCCTTGGGTTCTCATTAGAGGGTATCGACTCCAAGTACATCTCATACGGGTCCGTCGCGACAACTGCGCCAATGGGAATTTCTCCTTCAACTGTGTTATGATAGAACACAGGCTCGGGCAATTCTTTAGCACTGACTAGGTTGTAGCTCAGCTCTCCATCCCAAACGTCTTCAACGACGCGACCAGTTTCTTGAAGCATGGACTTCTGAACCGGAACTCGTTTCTTCGAAGAGTCCTTCAGAATGGAGTCGCGGACAGTCCCCAAAACTGCTAGGAGTTCACCCACAGTGACGTCGACTGACGCGTTTTTCATTTTGTCGTAGACTGCTTCTGCCACAGCCTTCTTTTGAATCGGTGCACGCAACTGATATTTATCTGGAACGCGCGCTTTTGAAGAATGTACTGGTTCTTGTAGAACGGGCTTGACTTTCTCAAACGGTAGTTCCTTTCTCTTTTCGACGTTGTCGCGCACTGATCCCTCATCATCGTCGCTATCACTAACTTCTTCAATGGTCACAGGTTTCCTTGGTTTCTCTCATCGCTCAGCTCGTTTATCATGGTCCTCAGAGGGCTTGGCTGAGTTTGTGGGTTTAGCCCCCTTCCTTGAACCATTTAGAAACCCGAGTTGTTATCGTCGCCCTCAGGTTGGCTATTCGCACCACGACGGGTTTGAATGAACTGCTCCTGAGTCTGAGGATAACCACTGTTCATGTTGTTGAAGTAGCCGGCCATGGCGTCAGTCATGGCTTTCTGCATGAACTGGCCCATGGCACCTTCCATTGCATTGCTGGTTGAACCAGATGCAGCTCTTTGAGTCTTTGGCTCAGCGCGACTCTCTGGGGTTGGTCGCGACAACTTCCTCTCGTATTGGATGAGTTGACTTCGAAGGGAGCGTATCTCATCTGCCACTTCTTCAGGGTAGTCGGACATATCATCATTGTCGCAGCTATCGAACTGATCCAAGTAGTAGGAGTCTTGGAAGTTGACGGATTTGCCCTTCTTCTTCCAATAAGCCTCTACTCGTTGTCCCTGAGTCCCCTCTCCATTTGGTAGGAAACTGTCGTCGAAGAGCCTCCACATCCCTTTGGTGTCGACTTTGAGAAGGTTTTTCTCAATGTGAGACCTCTTGAGCGGGCACTCGTTCGACCAATGACCAGTTTGTCCACAGTAGCGACAATCGTCGTTCCGTGCGGCAGCTCCTCCTTGTGCGCGACTTTCAAAGTGGGGCACAGAAGAGTTGTTGCCTACTGGCCGCGACCGCTGTATGGGCGCTTCGCAAGCAGTCTGTACGAACGTCTTCAGCGCTTCCTGCAACTGAGTCTGTAGCTCTTTTTGGTGTAGAAGAAATGAGTCCTTCAAGTTGGAAATCGAGTTTTCCAACTCCTCAACCTTAGCATGGTTGGGTGGACTAGTCTCATAGTCGAAGCAAACCTTGGGAGGTCGCGCGATTATGGGAATTTCGTCTTCGTTGCTCAACGTCGACGCCATTTCTTCCGCCATCGTCATTAATTCTTTCAACTGGATGGGGTCGTCCTGCCGGTTGACTCCAGTCGCGGGGACATTAGCGTTTGCTATCCCGGCGCGAGTTTGGTAGCGCTTGTTGAATACTTGACTCGTAGCCAAAGCATTCCTCAAGATGGTACTGAACTCGGAGTCCAAAGTACGCATGTAGCGTTCACACGCGACTTTGTTGGTAATAATGGCAGGAGGGACTGACAGTCGCTTGTAGTGACTGTACATCTGAAGGCCGAAACGCTTCAAATCGCCCTCATCCGTGATTTTGATTCCACGGTTCTCGCGACAGAGTCTATCTAGATCTGCCATGGTCCCCGTTTTTCGCTTGGACACCTCAGGGTATCCTTTTAATATTTCGGTCTCGAACTCCGCGACAGTTTTCGTGTCGTCGGAATAGGTATCGAGACCTTCCCATACGTCCATTACTTGCCGCGACGGCAAATAACGAATGTACATGCTTTTTGCTTGTTTGACATCTGTGATGCCACCATCCTCCACGATCTGCGCGCAGTGACGCAAATATGCCTCAATCAACAGGGGATCCTTTTCATCAAGTATAGGTCTACTTGTGTCCCAAGGTTGAGGGATTTTGAACCCAGTCTTTGGAGCCATAGTTGTCGCGACTGAAGTCACAGGGGAAGTAGGGATGTTGTTAGAGTTCGTGTTTGTAGCGGTGACGCTACTAGACAATTCTGAGAGGGTTTGTGAGCTAGTCTGAGATCGACTGATTGTCGTCGAACTCGAAGTAGCCGCGTCTAAAGCTGGAAGCTTCGACGTCGAATTCACTCTTTGTTTTCCTTTTGCCTTGGAAGGCAAGGGTGGTAGATACAAAGGTGTTTTATGTCCTGCAGACCTTTGTGGTTTTTCGAAAGGTCCTGAGGTTGAAGCGTTTCCTTCAGTCTCAATCTCCGCTTGGTCCTCGAGAGGTCGCGCAGGAGCTTGGGATCGAAATAAACTGCTTCGCGGGATAAACCCTTGGTCTCTATCCGACGTCGCGGTAAAGAATCCGGTTTATTGATTTTTAAAGTTTATGAAACTTTTAGAAGCCCCTCGCGGTGGGCTCCAGATGAAATGCTGAGGGCGTGCTCACAAGTGAATCTACTATGAAAGTAAACCCAAATATAAACACGTTCACACTCCTCGTAATCAGTTTCTCAGTGTGTGAAAGATGCGAGGGCTTCGGGGTGGACAGAGCACCAGTATCACAACTCTCAATAGACGCAGATCCAATAGTCGCGGAGACGAAGTCGACGACAAGAATGTATATATAGTAAACAGTGGTATCTCAACCAATATCTCCTATACGAACACAACCAACACTAATCCAATCCACAATCAACAATATAACAAGTCAGAGCTTAATACGAAGTATTAAGATCCCTTGTAGCGACAGCGTCCAGATGGTGACGCAAAGCCCAAATATACTGAGTCGACGCACTGCCAACTAGTAAACCAAAATGTCAAGTCGACGCACTGCCAACTGACACAACCAAAAGTACTGAGTCGACGCACTGCCAACTAGTAAACCAAAATGCCGTGTCGACGCACTGCCAACTAACAGCCAACATCCAATATCCAAATCCCGAGCACAACTTGTCGACGCACTGCCAAGCAAGAAGTGTGGAACCAAAGTTCTCAAGTCGACGCACTGCCAACTGACCAAAACAACCCGAGCACGACTAGTCGACACACTGCCAAGCTAGAGGTGTGGAACGATCTCAAACAAAACCCGAAGGCGACGACACTAAATGCCGCAACAAAACCAGATGCGGCGAATCCGACTTTCTGATGTCTCAACTCAAACTCAAATCACAGTAGCTACAAGTGCTCAGGGAGCAACTCGTTGCGACCGGGCAGGGGTAGCAAAACTTCTTAGGGTGGAATCACGCGGCACGCAAATTGTACAAAACAATCTGAAATGAGAGTGATTCACAGTCCGGGGGAAAGCTCCTTAATACAAAGAAACGACGTGCTACTTATACTGTCTACGACAATGCTTAGTAAAGTCCTGTACAACTGCATAGTAGCTACGCTATCTAAGATCGGTTGCCTTTTAGGGTAATTGAAAAGTTGAACGATCGGACAGATCCTGAGTGATCAGGACCCCGCCCCATAGTCCATATGATACTTTTGATGTGGGTCAACCCACCGCGTCATACTTTTGGAATACGACGTGCTGGATTGGCCAACGGGTATGTCTTGGCATGTGAGACCAACGTGGGCGCCCCAAGAAGCCGTGTGGCCCTAGGCACGCCAGTCGTCCCCCACATGGTTCGGTTCACGGATCTAGCCGTGTCGGTTTCTGGCGTGTTTGGGTATGGGCGCGACTCGCCGTGACACTTGGAAGTGTCACCACGACGCGTCCACAATGTCCTGTGATCGAATGGATCCTGACATGTGACAAGTCGTCGTCGTGGCATGATCTGAGGAAACGTCCAACCCAAAACCAGGAGTTGCCGCGACAAGATGGTTTAAGTCTCGTAACGCCAAGTCCTGTCCAGTAGTAGTTCTATTATTGAGAACGTCGCGCATTGCTCAGTCCTTCAGCCCAAGTTCCCATCTGCAGAGAATGACCCTTTTTAAGAAGTCGACGCAACAACAGATCCCTTTTTGGGGAATGGTCGCGATCCAAGCGTTCGTCACTAATGGCCCTGAGCCTGGTATAGACTCATAAGACCAGTTCCACAGTAGTGGTCTGACTGCCTTGCCATTGTCAACACTATCCACAGTCGTCGACTGGGCAGTAGACCCTTAAGTCCTACTGAGCGCAACACTGTCAACCGCGACACGATACCCCGAGTGGTTCAAGAGTAAACTCTGTAAAAGCGCAAAAATACGCCCTTACAGAGCTGGTGCAGAGCGCGTCTGGTAGCCAGCCTATCAACGGTGACGTGTCACACCCATACCCAAACACATCAAAAGCGACATGGGCTAGATCTGTGAACCGAGCCATGTGAGGAACGTCTGGCGTGCCTAGGGCCATATGGCTTCTTGGGGCACCCACGTTGGACTTACTTGCCAAGACATACCTGTTAGCCAATCCAGCACGTTGTATTCCAAAAGTATGACGCGGTAGGTTGACCCACATCAAAAGTACCATATAGACAATGGGGCGGGGTCCTGATCAGTCAGGACCTGTCCAATTGTTCAACTTTTTCATTACCATAAAAAGCAACCAATCTTAGATAGCATAGCTACTATGCAGTTGTGCAGGACTTTACTAAGCATTGTCGTAGACAGTATAAGTAGCGCGTCGTTTCTTTGTATTAGGGAGCTTTCCCTGGACTGTGAATCATACTCATATCAGATTGTTTTGTGCACTTTGCATGTCACATGATTCCGCCTTAAGAAGTTCTGTTACCCCTGCCCGGTCGCAACAAGTTGCTCCCTGAGCACTTGTAGCTACTGTGATTTGAGTTTGAGTTGAGATATCAGAAAGTTGGATTTGCCGCTTCTGGTTTTGTTGCGGCACTTAGTGTCGTTGCATTTGGGCTTTGTTGAGATTGTTTCCACACCTCTAGTTTGGCAGTGTGTCGACTAGTTGTGCTCGGGTAGCTTTGGTCAGTTGGCAGTGCATCGACTTGAGAACTTTGGTTCCACACTTCTTGCTTGGCAGTGCATCAACAAGTTGTGCTCAGGTTTTGGGCATTTGGATATTGGCTGTTAGTTGGCAGTGCGTCGACGTGGCATTTTGGTTCTACTAGTTGGCAGTGCGTCAACTCAGTATTTGGGCTTTGTGTCGCCATCTGGATGCTGTCGCTACAAGGGATCTTAATACTTTGTATTAAGCCCTGACTTGTGATATTGTTGGTTGTGGTTGGATTAGTGTTGGTTTTGGTTGTATAGAAGATATTGGTTGAGACACCACTATTTGCTATATATATAAATTCCTGTCGTCGACTTTGTCTTCCGCGACTATTGGATCTGTGACTATTGAGAGTTCTGATACTGGTGTTCTGTCCACCCCAAAGCCCTTGCATCTTTCACACACTGAGAAGCTGATTACAAGGAGTGTGAACGTGTTTATATTTGGGTTTACTTCACAGTAGGTTCACTTGTGAGCGCGCCCTCAGCATTTCAACGTCTTTGTTGAAATGGGGTCAGCAGGCCAAACATGTGTTCAAATTCACCAGACCACTTTGTTGTGGCCTACGTGAACTTGAACCCATGTAAGGAATTACTGTGCCAGACAAAATGTGCCCAATACAAGATCTGTGTTAGTATATTTTTCAGGCTAGTACTTCACAAACATAATGAGTAGCACTAAGAAGGATTGTTCCTTGTCCTCAAGTTATCTGTACATCACATATAACTTTGTCGTGACCAGCACGGCAAGCAATGTTGTCAAGATCATCTCGTTGCAACGCTTCAACTTTCACTTGCTAAGAGAATTCTTAGGGGTTCAGTTGGATATAGGAGCTGGTCTTTGCCAAGGACTCTCCCATATGGTCCACCACATGAATGTGCCTGGACCTCGTGGACATGTCTGTACACCCATGCGGGTACAGGCTTCCAAGCTCTCTTTCCAACCAATCCAAGTTGGTGGGTTACAAAGTTATGATGCAAAACTGCTGTAACTATTATCCTACCATGTGGAACAGACAGGCCAGCTCCTGAACGCAGGAACTAATTTGATTGTTTGTGCTTGGCTACTATAAGAGGGAATTAATAGGAGGATCACAGCAACTGTACAGTAGATTGTGGTATTAGTAAGTGTGACCAGAATTTACTATAAAATAGTTGAGTATTCTTTGTAGTAGACAGTATACTAGAGGCTACGAATCACCCAGTTATCAGTGGACTAGTTAGATTCTGACAACCCCGCTCATGTGCTTGTGACTTGAGACTTTAGGAGTTCATACATCCTTGCCTGGTCGCAACCAACCCTCTTTGAGAGTTTGTTGTTACTGCAAATCATTATTACTTGAGTTTCCGTTGGGATTTTGAAGATTTGATCATTGCGTATTGATATTTGTTGTGACCACATGTCAAGTCTACTATTGTCGTGGCTGATTAGTTGAGTTACCAGTGCGGTGACTGTTTGTTTTCATCCACACTTCTGTTGGCAGTGCGTCGGCAGTTGTGCTTGGGTTTTTGGTGGTGCTATAGTTGGCAGGGTGTTGACTTGGTGCTTTTGGGATACAGTTGGCAGTGTGTTGGCTTGGGATCACATCTATTGGCAGTGCGTCAACAGTTGTTTGGGTTTAGCGTCACCGTTTAGATGCTGTTGAGACAAGAGACCTGGGTACTCAGTACTAGAGCTCACTTGATTTATATTGGGCTTGGTGTCATATACTTTGATGCCGTTACGACAAGAGCACTCAGTACTCCGTACCGAGTTTCCTCTTGCCTTTGTTGATTTGTTGGTTGTTTGATTTGGGATTTGTAGATTTTATTTGAGTTTTTATGTGACATTACCATGTTGCAACTGCTCAGATCCAGTCTTCAGCTCAAGAGAGATATTTTGGATTTGGTGTTCTGTCACCATTGAAGTCCTCACACTTTCACACATCTGAGAAGCTGATTAGAGGAGTGTGATGTGTTTTGTGGTTGACTTGACTTCATTGTTGATTCAGTCACAAGCACGCCCTCAGTATTTCATCAGGATCTCTCTAGACACAAGAACAGACTATCACTCAACCCACTATTGAACACAAGTGCTAGCAAGTTTTTCTTTCTACATGGACAGTTTGTGGATATCTATGTACAAGAAGAACTCACACAGTCCAGGAAAAATCTCAATACACCAAATCATTTGATACTTCCCACAATCTCCACAGATTGTTAAAACATGCCAAGGTTGCACACAATAGGGTATTGGTACTGACACAGTTCATGGAAGTGATATAAGACAAGCTCTCTCTGTCAGGGATCCTTGACCTGGTGCCTGTTAGTCTGGAGATAGAATAAAAAAAATTGAGTTGAGCTGCACTTCCATTATGCTGGTGGAGTGGATAGCAAGCATGCAACATCAGGTGCAAACAAAAACAAGCAGCACTGCTTGATCAAAACTGCCCAATGATTTGAAATTTGCTATATTCACAGTCACCTGACCTTGGTTATTCCCGTGACTCTCAGGATGTTTGTAAGTAATAACAGTTGTAAACAATCTATCTTGCCTTCTGCTCTCCCTTGATAAGTGTATCCCAATTCATCCTTGGCTTTTCATACTTGACTTTGGCCTTGCCATCCATCACCAAGCAACTTCTGATGCTGCCTCAAGACAGAGATCAGTAGGTGTTGTTGCCAAGCCCCCAAGCCAAGCCTGGCTGAGAGCTTTGCAGGTGGGATCATGTTTTTCCCCTTGCCTGAACATCTACAAAGCAACCTTTGTCATGTACAGTACTCACTAGCCCTTAGTTATAGCTGTCCCACTTTGTAATGTCTGTAGTATTCTTGAATATCACAGAATATTACTTATCAATTACTTACCATTACTAGGATTACTTCGCAAGTACCTGTTCACTCTACTGTATTTTGGATAATCTTTACGTGTAGTATATATATATGAGACACAGTCCATACAAATATGACAATTTATTGTTCACTCATCTTTATGAATTGACACAACTCATTTCTGTGGGCCCTCTAATTTGTTTCTACAAGCTCTCATGGACTTGTATCAATTTGCATAGCACTCATGTGAGCTGCAGCAGCATCTCCAAGCAAACAGACATCATTGATTAATCATCCTTGTCAGAATGCTGAGGCTTCCAAAAAAGGAAGGTCTGTGTGTTGGCCCAATGTCCAGACAACAACAGCTGGTGTCTAAGCAATTTCCCCATCCAAACACATGAATTTGTTGAGTTGGGAAACTCAATAGATTGTTTCTGTTGTTGAACAATCTCATTCTGCTTAGCTTTCTTTTGGCCCCTGTCTAATCAGCCAGGCAACAAGGGCAAGCTGACACTACTGATTGAAGCCATAGACTTGATTCATACCTTAGTGGTCTTCTCTTCTCTCCACAAGCAGTTCTCGCATGATCTTCAGGACTGGTAACACATTTGCAGAATTAGAGCAAGCACTGGACATTCCTGTTTCACTATAACAATCACCTAATACCCACCTTTTCCTGACTGACTATGTGGAGTTACTCATCAAACAAGGTAAAGACCTCGTAGACAAGAAAAACTACATTTTTATTGGACAAAAAGTTAGGAAACATCAGTTAGCTGTTGCTTAAAAGCTGGATACAACAGTAGACAGAATGTACTGCTGTTTTCTCACTGCTACAGGAACTTGCTTGCTCTTACCTCAGGAATTATTTGCAATGTTTCCATTGAGCTATTGCAGGTATGCATCTTGATCAAGTTTAAACCCATTAAGAGCATTCGATTGCAACAGCTATTACCCTCATGTAAGGAACATCTACTGTGGAGGGTACCCCCCCTCTCCAAGGGGGATAAAATCAACCCATTTTGACTTCCTAGTAGGAGGGGTACCCTCCTCATCTGAGGCAATCCTCTGCACCAAAGCTCCACAATGCCCGCCAAGCATTCACATCTTGCCCTATCAGCAGCAGCAGATCCATCCACTCCCAGCTTACCCTAAGATCCTTGTGATACAATTATGCAGGTCATCTGTGGTCCACATTATGTGACTGCAATCAAGCAAGCAACCTCTGCATTCCCTGTGCTCTGAGCCTGTACAATCCTGCCCTGCATACATTGCTCTGCTGTTGCCATGAGCTTTCTGTTATAGATGTACATGAATGTATTCAATTCCCAATTGATCCTAGCTGCCTCCAACTCCTATGTGTGCAGCAAACACAGAATGGTTCTTCAATAAAAAAAGTGAATTCTAAGACTGGAGAATACATGATAATAGCTACAGTATTTATACCAGTCCCAGTGTGAGTCATATCTACATCAAACAAGTCATAACACTATGTACCACATGGAGCGTTGGTCATGGGTTGTAGTAGAACCTTCTGGAGCACACGCTGCACAGCCTCTGTACAGATAACACCTTTGAACCCCTAACCCAGACCATGTAGTGCTGTGATCAGTGATAAGATAACCTAATGTCAAGATAAGATGATCAATTAATGGAATGATGTGAAAAATGATCAAATTATGACACACTCAAAGTGTATCTATAGAGATATAAGCCTTGGTATTACAGTTCTGTTATGTAAAGAATACAGGTATAACACAGACAACTGGTGATTGTAGCACTTCACTGTTCATTTACCTTCATATACTATGTCAATCTTGGACCCATTCTATTTTGTCCTGTCTCTTAGATTGACCAAATACAGCAAATTCAGCAAAGATTCTGCTCCACAGCCTGCATGTTTGATCAAATCAAAAATCCAACATTATTTTCGGATTTCCAGACCTAAAAAAGCCTAGGGTACCTGCCAGCCTTTTTTGATTTGAGCTAAAATTAGTTGTGTTACAGAGCATGAGGTGAGTTGCACTTGTTTTGATGGGGAGAGCACTGCCACTATGAGCCATATATAAGGGCAGATCCATCATGATTTTCTGATCCCCCCTCTTGCTCATGACTACCACAGTCTCTCAATTCTCACACCCTCACAGCCACACCTCTCTGCTTAGTAAGTCATCATCATTACCAATCCATCAACATCATCAGCTGACCAACAACATCAGAACCAAACACTTCCATCACTCACCAAACACATTACTTGATCATCACACCATCAACATGTCACAGGTATGTAATATGTCACACATCACTCCATATACTTTTCTCACTCATTTTTTTTGCTCTTTCTTGTGGTCTTGTCTGTCTTCTCTCTGGCTCTCTGGTTCTTCTGCTTCTGCTTGTCTTGGCTCTCTCTCTGGCTGTCTATCTCTGCTCCTATCTTGCTGTTTCTGCTGTTGAACAGAATGAAGATGGCACTTGGGATGTGAAGGCAGTGGCTGCCATGAGGTTTCAAGGCAATCAACTGGTATGTGATTTTTTCTTGCTCTTGCTATTGCTTATCTCTGTAGTACTTCTATTTGCTCTAGAGCAATTCAGATAAGGGGTCAGTTGTTTTTTTATGTGTGTTTGCCATTCTCACTATTTGTAGTTGGGTCCACATTGACAACCCTCTGGCTTTTTGGAATGAGAAGTTTGAACCCAGTATTTATTAGCACTTCAATGTGACAATCAACAAAGAATAAAGTCAAAAAGAGAAGTCAATTCCAGGACTAGAGAATACAACACAATATCTACAGTATTCATACCCAAAGGGAGACATATAGAAGGTCCTGAATCTGGAGTTTTATATCTTTGCAGTGAGCAAAGGTTGAGCAGTTGAGGTGTTTTTTGGTTGAACATCCTTGCACATAATTAACCAAACTTGCAGAAATCATTGTCCTGCATCTTTCTGTCAACTCAGATTTTTCTATATTTCTTTCAGAGATATTGGATCCATCAAGCTTTGAGTCAGAGAGTATCTGTAATCCATATGTGAGATGGAAATTAAGCAGAAGACATTTGTAAACAATCTGGAGTGCTTGGAGGTGTAAAGGCAACCTCAAGACTGGATCTCAGAGTTCTGACAAGGGAGAATCCAAGGTGAATAAATGTGGTAGCTAGGTACAAGACCAGTATACCTGGCAAAGGAGAATCCAAAGAGAAACCATATTGGGGATTCTCCTTGCCAGGTGCCCACTATTGATATGATACAGGAACAATAGACTGTGTAGCAACCAACAAGAACAATAGGAACAATAAGTACAATGGTTGTGACAGAACAATGGGAGACAGAGACAATAGAAACAATGACACACCTGCCATCAAAGAGAAGCACTTAGTGCAGTGGTACAGACTCCTGTATGTGACAGCTGACAGATCACATCAGTATGATCGCATGCCAGATTCCAGGCTGATTGGTCTGAAGTAGAGGTTCTCCTGACAGAGAGTAGAAATGAGATAGGAAATGTGACAGCCAGGACACCCAGCATCAGCACATGCAGGCCTCTGTTTTCTGCTTTGCTCTGACTGTATCCTCTCATTAGGGTCCTGTGCACTTCTTTTTGACCTCTATGTACATGCAAGTGACATGAATTGTGACAATCAACTCAAAAACAAAGTCAATAAAAAGAGTGAATTCCAAGACTGTGGAATACAACACAATAACTACTATATTTACACCAATTCCAGTCTGAGTCATATCTACATCAAATGAGTCATAAGACTATGTACCGTTGAAATGCTGAGGGCGCGCTCACAGGTGAATCTACTATGAAAGTAAACCCAAATATAAACACGTTCACACTCCTCGTAATCAGCTTCTCAATGTGTGAAAGATGTGAGGGCTTTGGGTGGACAGAGCACGAGTATCACAACTCTCAATAGACACAGATCCAATAGTTGCGGAGGACAAAGTCGACGACAAAGATTTATATATAGTAAACAATGGTGTCTCAACCAATATCTCCTATACAATCAAAACCAACACTAATCCAACCACAACCAACAATATCACAAGTTGGAACTTAATACAAAGTATTAAGATCCCTTGTAGCGACAGTGTCCAGATGGTGATGCAAAACCCTAAATATCAAATTGACACACTGCCAACCAATACAACCAAGACACTGAGTCAACGCACTGCCCACTAGTAGAACCAAAATGTCAAGTCAACGCACTGCCAACTGAGACAATCAAAGTACTGAGTTGACGCACTGCCAACTAGTAGAACCAAAATGCCACGTCGACGCACTGCCAACTAACAGCCAATATCCAAATGCCCAAAACCTGAGCACAACTTGTTGATGCACTGCCAAGCAAGAAGTGTGGAACCAAAGTTCTCAAGTCGATGCACTGCCAACTGACCAAAGCTACCCGAGCACAACTAGTCGACACACTGCCAAACTAGAGGTGTGGAAACAATCTCAACAAAGCCCAAATGCAACGACACTAAGTGCCGCAACAAAACCAGAAGCGGCAAATCCAACTTTCTGATATCTCAACTCAAACTCAAATCACAGTAGCTACAAGTGCTCAGGGAGCAACTTGTTGCGACCGGGCAGGGGTAACAGAACTTCTTAAGGCGGAATCATGTGACATGCAAAGTGCACAAAACAATCTGATATGAGTATGATTCACAGTCCAGGGAAAGCTCCCTAATACAAAGAAACGACGCGCTACTTATACTGTCTACGACAATGCTTAGTAAAGTCCTGCACAACTGCATAGTAGCTATGCTATCTAAGATTGGTTGCTTTTTATGGTAATGAAAAAGTTGAACAATTGGACAGGTCCTGACTGATCAGGACCCCGCCCCATTGTCTATATGGTACTTTTGATGTGGGTCAACCTACCGCGTCATACTTTTGGAATACAACGTGCTGGATTGGCTAACAGGTATGTCTTGGCAAGTAAGTCCAACGTGGGTGCCCCAAGAAGCCATATGGCCCTAGGCACGCCAGACGTTCCTCACATGGCTCGGTTCACAGATCTAGCCCATGTCGCTTTTGATGTGTTTGGGTATGGGTGTGACATGTCACCGTGACACTTGGAAGTGTCACTGCGATGCGTCCACAATATCCCGTGATCAAGTGGAACATAACATGTGACAAGTCGTTGCTGTGGCATGATCTTAAGGAAACGTCCAACCCAAAACCAGGAGTTGCCGCAACAACATTGGCTCAATCTTGTAACGTCAAGTCCTGTCTAGTAGTAGTTGTAATGTTGAGAACGTCGTGCATTGCTAAGCCCTTCAGCTCAAGTTCCCATCTGCAGAGAATAACCCTTTTGAGGAGTCGCCGCAACAAAAGATCCCTTTTGGGGAATTGTCGTGGTCCAAGTGTTCGTCACTGATAGCCCTGAGCCTGGTGTAGACTCATAAGACCAATTCCACAGTAGTGGTCTGATTGCCTTGCTATTGTCAACACTATCCACAGTCGTTGACTGGGCAGTAGACCCTTAAGTCCTACTGAGCACAACACTGTCAACCGCAACACGATACACTGAGTGGTTCAAGAGTAAACTCTGTAAAAGTGCAAAAATACGCCCTTATAGAGCTGGTGCAGACCGCGTCTGGTAGCCAGCCTATCAGTGGCGGGGGCGCAGGGGGCAGGGTCATGTGCAGGGGTCAGGAGGGGGGGATAATACATATCATGTGATTGATCCTGTAGATCAGGCAGATGGGTGGGAGAAAAAATAGAATCATGTGAGGCATCAAATGGGCAGGGGATGGCGGGATAAAAAATCACGTGATGAAACACATGAGATTTCAAAAATGTTGGCAGGGTTGGTGGGGGTGTCGGCAGGGTCACTACCGCCCCCTCCCGCACACCAGGGCGGACAGTGGGCAGTAGTGACCCTGCCGACACCCCCACCAACCCTGCCAACATTTTTGAAATCTCATGTGTTTCATCACGTGATTTTTTATCCCGCCATCCCCTGCCCATTTGATGCCTCACATGATTCTATTTTTTCTCCCACCCATCTGCCTGATCTACAGGATCAATCACATGATATGTATTATCCCCCCCTCCTGACCCCTGCACATGACCCTGCCCCCTGCGCCCCCGCCGCGGGGGGGTACCCATAGAGCTACGTCTATGGGTACCCAGTAGGTACCCGCGGGGTCTATTCTGTAATGATGGCGGTGGCATCTGGGGTGAGCGAGGGTAACTCCAAGATCGGGCTCAAAGATAACTTCGCACTGATGTGTGACTCTCCTTGGGATGGCATGACAAGCCTATCATGCCAGTTGAACCCATTGTAGAGAGAGGGGAGGCAAGACAATTCAGGCAAATCCCCGCGACGTTGTGTGAAAGCGGGCCGCAATAAGCTGATCCGGACATTCAGTAAGGTTGCGTCCCGCCAGATTATATCCTGTGAGTATTAGTGGCCTCGTGTTTCGGAACGCTTATCCCACATTGCGTAGTGCTTTCCCACACAACCTCTCTCTCTCCCTGTCGCTATTACGTTGACAACATGAAGTGTGCAACGACTCGGACACCGACGCCTTCGACACTGCACTCGAGCGTGGAATCCGGTTTGGCGAACATGCTCTTGGGAAAGGACAGCCCTGAGATCAAGTTCTACGCGTACACCCGCAAGGGGGTGGGGTACGTGCGCGGACTCGAGGCGCTCTATGCGAAGAAGAATTGGTTGATGGGCCATTCCGATGAGCTGGATCAGTGTGGGTCGTCCTGCCGCAGTCCCCTCCCAAGTTTGCCTATCCAATTGATTGCTGTAGACTTGGAGGGCGTAACAAGCCGAAGCGATGTTGCTGGATTCAAAGAAGCCAGGATTGTGTCGCTCGAGGATCACATCCCCGACGAAGACGAGCGGATGTACACGGGTTATCACTACATGGACGACAGCGACCTCGAGGACGACGATGAGTCTGATGTATCGGACGAAGACGACAGGATGAGCTTTACCTCTGCCACGGGCTCGGTCGACCACTCAGAAGCTTTGTTGCCGATAACAAAGTGCGTCAGTGTCTGTAATTTCCATTCAACTCCAACTCTTACTGGTAGCATCGACAATGAAAATCCACCGCAGGAGAGCTGTTCGGCGGGGGGTTCATCGTCGTGAGACTCCTCCCTTCTCACCGTGACTTGATGTTCATCCCTGAGCTGCAGCACCCCAGTCGAGCCAGAACGGAGCAAGCGGATGGGCCACGTCGTGATCCTGAAAGGCCACGCGTTCCGAACGTGCGTGTAGATACAAGTTTCTGGGATTCCGTCCCCTGTTTCTGATTCTTGTGCACAGCTGGCACGCGTTTCTGTTCTACCTGTACATGGGCCATATCCGCTTTTCGGACGCAAAGTCTGCGGCAAAACGCGTGCGCGCTGCGCCCGCGTGTTCAGCGAAATCGATCTACCTGCTCGCTGATCAGGTGAGCGAGGGCGTTTTCTATGAATTCAGGACGCGGTGAACTCACGGATTATCAGTTTGGCTTACCCGAGCTCAAGAGCCTCGCGTTCACGGCTATCTGTGCACAGCTGTCTGTGAGAACGATCGTCAAAAACGCGTTCTCGCATTTCACCTCGTGGTGCGTTCCATCCCGAGATGTTTCGAGTATTTCTCTGGAGAGAATCCGTGCTGAGTGGGAAATCCAGGCACCCGGAGGTCCAGGACGTGCAGATCGAGTTTCTTTTAGCGCATCTTCGTGAAGTCACGGACGACATGGACCGGATGCTCAGATCTCTCTATGAGGCGCCGAGTGGGCACTCTGTTGCAGTTTCCCACAAGGTTTTCTGGAAATTGGCCCTGGGAGCCCAATTGATCACCGCGCTTCCGATTGCAGCTGGGGGAGTTTGTCTTGAGCCTCCCATTTTGACCTGTCCTGTCGCTCCGACTCATGATGACACGGCTCTGCCACCGGATACTTTGCCAATCCCTTCTGCAATTCCAGCTCTTTCTGACGTAGTGGCCTTCAGCGAGCAACAACCATCGATTCAAGAAGAGCAGCCGGAGCGCTCTGATGTATCCGGATTCTTTTCCACTCAAGGCAAGAGGAAGAAGAAAGGAAAGTCAGTCATATGGGATTGATGGAATGATACCTGAAGATGCAACGATCCTGTTTTTTTTAATTCGATTCGGAAATCAGGATTGGGAACAATTATAGACATGATGACGCCTGTTGTTCAAAGGTATGAAGCGTGATGTAGTCGTATTCTAGATGAAGAAGTGCCGCCGCAACCATCTGAATTAAAGTCCCCATGGCGTGAGGATTGCTCCGAGCTCTGGCTTAGCGGTGGGGTATCTTGGGCAGCCTGACACTGGGGTCAAGACAACTAAACTGGACCCTCTCAACGCAAGAATCAGGTGCTCGTACTCGTGAGACACAAGCACTCCACACAGAATTTTCTCAACTCATCGATGCAACCAAGAATGCGGGGAGCGCTCCGGGAAGCGAGGGGCACGGACCCCCAACCCCGCGCCTTGAAGTCGTGGATGGCGTCGACGGTGCGAATGTATGTAAGTAGTGACAGGACGCATCAACAAGCAATGATGGGCACCTCAAAGCGCCTCTTTGTCTCTGGCGCCAACCGAACGCCAGGAATGATACCAGCGGCGAGCTTTGTCTCCATGTGTGACGTCCGACGTATAAAGCAGAGCCCGTGGCCTCCTTGATATGAACTCCTCTTCCCTCCCGGTCTTTGTCGCCAGCAGCCCTGGTCAGCCGTCCATGCAACACAGCGCCAACTCGCGGAAAAGGGCTGACAGTGAGGTGTGCATAACTGATCCTCTGGATCCAATTACTGCCGACGCTGACCACGCCCCTCAGGGCTCGGGTTCGAACCCTCTTTCCGTTCAAAGTGGGCCGGCGATCAAGAAACTCTGCCCGCAGGTCCGTATTGTGTTCATCGTCGTCTGCCGCGCCCATCGCTCAATGCTACTCCAGCCGCTCGTCTCTCACCATGCATTGCACAGAACGAGCGCCAGGCTGGCCCGCAAACGCATCAACCACCCGTACTCGGCGGCGTACATCTCACACTCCCGCGACTCGCAAGCGTATCTGGAACCCTGCCTCGAGGAACCCGACACGCGTATCCCCATCCTCATCGAAACGAACTGCGTTGATTTCCGTGTGAGTGGGGATGATGATGACGACGACGACGACGACGACGAGCCTTGCCCTCGCTCTCGGTTCTCGCCGTGGACCCCATCGCCTGTGCCGGACAGCTTGAGCGTCTCGAACGCAAGCTCGCCGTCCTCTCCATCATCCTCATCGTCCTCCTCCTCCTCGTTCCTTGACCTCAATTCGCCTCTCCCCTGGGAGCACGATACACCGCCGCCCCCAACCCCTTTCCCGCCAGCATGGGACTGGGAGACGTCCTTGGCGCTCTCGATGCTACGGCACGAATCAAAAGCGCGGCACTGCGGTCAGCTCGCCCATCCTCGACCGGGGCACGGGTGGCCTACGCTCGTAGAAGATGTGCGGCGGTTAGAAAGCATGGCCATGGACATCGTCGCGGAGAGGGAGGGGCTGACGTTGACAGAGATCCACGAAGCAGAGGATGAGCCAGAGGATGTCTCGTTTTGGTATGACATTGACTTGTGAAGCGGTAGACACCGTGTACACGTATGTATGTGTACTTCGCTGGATGCGACGTGCTGTCCTGTCAGTCGCCTCAGCGAGAGCTCCCCCCTGTAGACGCGAAGCGAGGTTGTACCGTCTAGCAAGATGCTAAAATGGGCGTGGTTCTGCGGAGTTCTACCTGCAGCGCGGCGCGAAACTGCCGGTGGTCCCAGTCCCAAGTCAGAAGCACGCCAAGGAGGCTGCCCGCCCACTTGAGCTGCTTCGATGGGCTGTCAAAACACTGCGCTTCCGCGTGATTTGGTGTTTGAAGAACGCCGGAAGATGTGTAGCGCAACTTCAAGTCGGGAGCGAAGCGTTTGAGGGGCCATCGAGGCGAGCGGAGTCGCGAGGTCAAACGCGGAGAAAGTTCTTAAGATACATGCAGCGGGATTCGAAAGGCAGCACGGAATGTTAGACGCTAGATAAGCAAGTTTCCGGATGAGGAGAGGAGACGCTGAGGCTATGAGTCCACAATGAGGCAAGCGATTGGCGGGAGTCGACGCTCGAGCGTATCGTCACTTTCGTATCCCAGAGCATGAGTATACTGCCAAGGTCGGTGTCGCAAAATAGACTCTAGAGCGGATCTAGAATCAGAGACTGGCCCGCCGTGGGAACGATCCATGTCAAGAAATTTGCATTCGAGGTGACTTACACATGCACAGCCACATGTGACACTCTCTTGTTCCGCGTCCACGATTGCCGCGTCGAATTCTCGATAGATGCCAGTCTGCGAGCTCGAATTCGAGTGCGACTCAACCACGAACCTCAGAACAGACTCTGAATCCGCGCCATTGAACTGGAACACGGTGACGAGAGCGTTTCGAGGTGCGAGTGGTCTGTCATGCCGTAGAGCCAGAGATAGCATCCGCTGACTACGGATGGACATCCTCCATCCCCCTTTGCATCTGCCAAATCGCACGAGACGAGAAGGCAATCATGTACGGAACCGTGTAAATGCAGGAATCAGAAGCTCGGAGGAAGAACGCCTGGTCTGCTGGAGGGATGCTTCGAGGATGCTTCCGGCCGTTGCGAGTTGTCTTCTTGACAGCGTCATTGCTCCAGTCCGTATAAGAAAAACCTCGGTCGTGACGACGTTTCTTCTTGCCTTCCCCTCCAACCACGACGACCATGGAAGTGTCCACTCCACCCTCTTTTTCGCTCGCCGACTTTAATCAGCTCATCTCCGCTGCGCTCGACTGCAACACACCACTTCCTACGCTCACGTTTCCTGGCTCCGTGCCCCCGTCACTCCTTAACCACCTCTCTCGCAAAGCCTCGTCGACTCTGCTCCAAATGCCGCAGTCCCGAGTACGCGGCATCTTGTCCAAAGTCAAGAAACGCGCATCGGCGTTGATGGTGAAGCGTAATGCGCGCATCCCGCCTCCAACGGTCGTTAAGACGACCACGACGACCATGACGCTTATTTCGCCTCCGTCGGACGACGACTGCGACACGCCTATGCGGCTCTTCACCCCCTATCTGCCCCTGGCGTCCCAGTACGAGCGCGCTGCCGTCCCTCTCTCCGACCTGTCCCACTCTTCTTCTTCATCGCCGCCGTCATCCGAATCGACATCGTCGTGTTCGCATCCGCCTCCACCGTCGCCTACGGCGTCGTTTTTCTCCCAGCCGCACTGGACTGCGTCAGAGTGCAGCGGGTTTGGCACTCCCGAGTCGCCCCCCTTCCACCACACTTCGTCCCCCTCCCCCTCCCCGTTCCCGTACCCGCATACAACCAGCCCGCGGCCATGGTCCGTGATCAGCATGTCGGTCGAGGAAACGGAAGAAGATTTCGATCCGTTCGCGAAAGATGCCGTCAGCGTCGTGCACCGCTCGTGCGAAATCCTCCCGGCGGGCAGCACGCCTGTCAGCCAGCGCCGGCGCGCTGCGCGTCATTCCGGCGTCCGCCCCGGCCGCGTGGCGGAGTATCCGCAGGACATCGACCTGTCGGAGCCCGCGTCCTCGACGTGGTCCTACTCGCGCGAGAGCGGTTGGCCGTCAAGCCCCACACCCACACCAGGTTCGCGGGGCTCTGGCGCGTGGGTTTCGGCGTCTGGTTGCTACGCCGCCGCCGCCGCCGCCACCGCCGCGCCGTTATCGCCTGGGATCCCGCGCAGCCAGTCTGTCGCCCAGATGCATGCGGGACTGCAGCCGGAGCAGCAGCCGCATCAGCGCCCGAGACCGCGCGCGAGCTCGCCGTTCCCTCTGTCCCTGCGTCGGATGTAACTGTACTTACTGCTGGACGACTGTCGCTGCGCGTAGCCCGCTCGCTCGCTTGCTTACCTACTTACCGCTAGATGCCCACCCAAGCCGCTCCTTTTGTGATACCGGAATGCCTGTGTCGTGTTTCTGATTCTTTTTCTTTGCTTATCCCGTGCCATCTGTATCCACAGCTCTCCAACAACCGAAGAACTGGTTTCTTGAGCGAAGTTCTTGGCCCACTCTGTATCGTACTGTGCCTACTACTCTACATGCTCGCTCTGTAATCCGCCATTAACCTGTTGTACTAATCCCAGGCGAAACACGTCACAAGACTTGAGATCATTGGATGTTGAGTCCGAGTCACGCGGAGGATGCTGCGGACTGTTGACATTGTCTGTTTGATGTGGGCTCCGAGACCAGGCATGTGACTTGGTAGCTCCATCAAGCATCAATGATCCTATCGCCGTAGTGTAGACGCATGAGCGATTACAGCGTAATTGGCGGGCTGAGACTTCCTGGCACCTACTTCCCACTGAATTGACGAGAGAATCTCCCAAGTCCAAGTCCATCATACTACCCCTGGGCGCCGCCGCCGCTACAGCCTCTACCATTCATCAGCTCCATGTCATTTTGCGCGATATTCGCTGAATGATCGGTGGGCCCGAGAACCAACCGCGTTAATCTCTTTGCGCGTTTCCGGGGACGGATCTACAGCAGTCGCCCGTCACTCTGTTTTTCTTGTTGCCGGCGGAATCCACGCAGATGATCGTCAGGGGTTTGCAAACGTCCGAGGTCGGGGAGGGGGGCATTTAAGTCGGGCACCCGCTGTAGACTGCCAGTCTTCTTCTTCTGCTCCTATAGTCGTCGCCCTCCGAGTCATGGAACCCAAGCCCAATCTGGACGTCGAGGCGGAGGCGCGCGAGTCCAAGTCCTCGCTCGCGACTGCCGTGCACGAGGTGCCCCGCGTGCCGCCGGGTCCTGCCGCGGCCCCGGCTGCGCTGCGGCGGTTCGGCAGCCCGCGGACACGGGTGCTGGATCCCCGGGTGAAGGTGCCCGGCGAGTTCCGGACGCTCAGGCGAGTACCCGACGCGTTGTTCCTGCGTGGGACCCCGGCGCTGATGTGCAGTGCAGCATTCATGTTACAGAAACTCAAGAGGCGGCGGCGCTCAGCGCGAGACCTGGAAAGGGGACTGTGAAAGGTCCGTGCAACCGGAAGGACGTGGGGCGTTGACCCTCACCCGCACCGGGCCAGATCTTTCCGAGCTCATCTGGCACACGCTGCCTAAGGACGAGGTCTGCACGAGCCTCGGGGTCTCTGAGCAGCGGGGGCTCGACGCCTCGATCGCGTCCCGCCGGCTGGCAGCGAATGGGAAGAATGTCATCAGCCGCCCCCCGCGCAACCTCGCGCGGAAGGTGTTCTTCTACTTCTTTGGAGGTGTGTTCAAGAGAGTGGGACGCTCAGGGATGGCATGCGCTGACCTTGAATGCAAGGTTTCGGGAGTCTGCTTTTCGTCGCATCGATCATCTGCTTTATCTCGTGGCGTCCACTGGGCGACCCGAATCCCTTCGCGCCGAATCTCGCGCTGGCAGTCGTGCTCTTGATCGTGATCGTCGTGCAGGCGATCTTCAATGCGTGGCAGGGTAAGTCTCTGAGTCAAATCACTGGCCACGGAGACTGATCACATGACGGCAGACTACACCACTGGAACGGTGATGGCATCCATCGCGGGTCTGCTGCCTACGGATGTGCTGGTTACGAGGGATGGCGACAAGTTCAAGTGCGTCGAGTCAACAGGACCGTCGCTCCGTGTCTCCTATGCTCAACAAGCTATGACGCAGGTTACCCGCGGCGGAGCTTGTCTCCGGGGACATCGTGACCATATCCCTCGGCGCGAAGGTCCCTGCCGACCTGCGCCTGCTCGAAGTGTCGAGCGACCTGCGGTTCGACCGATCGATGTTGACGGGCGAGAGCACGGAGATCTCCGCCTCGACCGATTGTACAGACAAGAACTGTCAGTTGCTTTTCTTGGTCGCGTGTCAATCGGGATGTTCATCCTCCCTTCTCACAGTCATGGAATCGCGCAACATCGCACTACAAGGAACACTTTGCACGAGCGGATCTGGGCTTGGGGTCGCTGTTGGGCTCGGGGACAACACGGTCTTCGGGCGGATCGCGAAGCAGGCCAGTCGGGAGCGGCCGACGCGGACCACACTCGAGGTGGAGATCCTCCGGTTCGTGCTGATCATCGGCGGGATGGCGTTCCTCGTTGCGGTCTTCATCGTCAGTGCGTAATGAATTTCTCGATCAAGTAATCAGTGGCACCGAGGCTGACTGATCCGCAGTTCTTTGGGCCGCTTGGCTGCGTCGCGACTACCCCGGATTCATTAACGTTCCCGCTCTGCTCATAGATTGCGTGTCTGTCGCAGTGGCCTTTATCCCCGAGGGACTGCCAGTCTGTGTGACTCTGTCATTGACCGTGATGTATGTCGCTTGCCATCTTCTATGGCTTTCTTTGGCCCCGACTGACCTGCTTTCCACAGCGCCGGTCGGATGCGCGCAAACTCGATCCTGTGCAAGTCGCTGTCAACCGTCGAATCGCTCGGCTCCGTCGACTTCATCGCTTCGGACAAGACAGGGACGCTTACCCAGAACAAAATGACGGCAGTCAATATTGTCGTTGGCTTGGACGGCGTGGCAGCGGCCGACGCGCGGGTCCGCGCTGCCAAGGGCGACCGGGAAGTGTCAGAGCTCGCTGCATTGGCCGCGCTGTGCAACGACGCGGCGTTCGAAGCGAGCAAGGTCGAAGAAGCGTTGGAAGATCGGAAAGTCAACGGAGACGCGACTGGTGAGGACTTTGTCCCCCCACATACGGCTGGATGCTGAACCGATCTCGTAGACACTGGTCTCCTGCGTTTCGCGGAAAGCATCCTTTCGACGGATCAGCTACGTGCCTGCTGGTCTGTCGCTGGAAAAATCGCGTTCAACTCGAGTACGTTCGTTGATCGGACTTCCATTTCGCGGCCCCCTCATGTCAACCTGACAGAGAACAAATTCGCCGTCAAATGTCTATCCTCTGCTTCTCAAGACGCAGTGTTCTCATATATCGGGCCCGGAGAATACTTGCTGGCAGTCAAGGGCGTGCGTGGTCGTCGACGATGATTCAAACCAACAGACACTGATCCCATCACCAGGCACCTGATGTCCTGATGAAACGGTGCAGCACGTTCCTGCATGAGGGAGAGAATCGGCCACTGGACGCACCGGCGCTTGCCCGTCTGGCGGAGCTCCAGCAGCAATACGCGTCCCGCGGCCAGCGGGTGTTGCTTTTAGCCAAAAAGGTTTTGCGGAATGTGGCACCCAGCGACAGCGCGCTCGAAGACTTCCTGCTCGCAGAGAACGTCGGGCTCACGGTCGTGGGGCTCATCGCGCTTGTCGACCCGCCGAGACCAGAGACCGAGGAGACCGTGCGCGTCTGCCGCAGGGCCGGGATTCGGTTCGCCATGGTGACGGGTGCGTAACTGTGGCTGCTTTCTGCGCTTCGGCTTCGTCTTCGAGTGCCTTCCGCCTCTCATTCGCGCTTGCATGCAGGTGACTTTTCGCTCACTGCGGCCGCGATCGCGCGGCAGGTCGGTATCATCACGACGCCCGACACGGCGATCCAGCATCTCGCGGACCTGCCGGCGGACCTGGCGCTCGACCGCATCCCGGCGTACGTGCCGAAGGAGGAGGGCGACGCGCTGCGGAGTCTGGTGCTCAGCGGCCCGGAGATGATGACCATGACCGAGGCGCACTGGAAGCAGGTCCTCACGGTGCGTGGGCTCGCTCGCACACTCCGCGTGCGTGCAAGAATCAGGATTCTCACGGGGACTCCCGGCCGCAGTTCGACGAGATCGTGTTCGCGCGGACGTCCCCGCAGCAGAAGCTGCAGATTGTGCGGGCGTTCCAAGGCAGCGGGTGCACGGTGGCTGTGACCGGGGATGGAGGTGCGCGTGCTCTCTTTTCCTCCGGCCCGTTCGTTTGCTGACCGCAGCCCAGTCAACGACGCGCCCGCGCTCAAACAGGCCGACGTCGGAGTTGCCATGGCCGGCGGATCTGAAGTAGCTATGGTGCGCTGCGTGTGCGGGTATTGAGGTGTCTGCGCATCTGACCCGCACACAGGAAGCAGCGGATCTCGTCCTGCTCTCGGACAACTTCTCAACGATCGTCACGGGCATCAAGTACGGCCGACTCTGCTTCGAGAACCTGCGCAAGTCGATCCTGTACCTCCTCCCCGCCGGCAGTTTCTCCGAGCTCATTCCCGTCATTTTGAACGTGCTTTCGGGTGTCCCGCAGGCGTTGAGCAGCATCCAGATGATCATCGTGCGTTTTGAAATTCATGTTTCGCGTCCTCAGTCTGATCTCAGCCTCCAGATTTGTGTCGCAACAGATGTGTTGCCGGCGCTGTCGCTGGTGTACGAGCAGCCGGAGGCAGACCTACTCCTCCGCCGCCCGCGCAACCGCAAGACCGACCGCCTCGCCGACGTCAAGCTACTGTGCCACGCGTACTTGTTCATCGGCATCCTCGAGACCCTCACGTCGATGGTCGCGGCGTTCTACTTCGGTTTCGCGCGGAACGGGATTCCATTCTCGCAGATCTGGAGAAAGTACGGCTCGTCGACGGTCGACGCGGCGTGGCTGGCGGAGGTCACCAGCCGCGCGCAGTCGCTCTGTGAGTCCCCGCTCTCCGCGCCCGTCCGTCCGTCCGTCTACTGATAGAGACTTGCAACAGACTTCTTCAACCTCGTGATCATGCAGTGGTTCAACCTGCTCTCGACGCGCACCCGCCGCCTGTCGATATTCCAGCAAAACCCGCTCGGCGCGCGCGAGACGCGCAACGTGCTGCTGTTCCCCGCGATGGCGTGCGCGCTGGTCCTCGCGATCTTCTTCTCGTACGTGCCGTGGTTCCAGCGCGTGTTTTTGACGCGCGGGATCCCCGCCGAGTTTTTCTTCCTGCCCATCGCGTGAGTCGCGTTTCTTCTCGCGTGGTGTCGTTCGTTTGCGTTGACTGACGAGGGGGGCAGGTATGGGCTGGGGCTGCTGTTCCTGGACGAGATGCGCAAGTGGTGGAATCGCGCGCACCCGAAGGGCTTGCTGGCGAAAATCGCGTGGTGAAAGACCAGTAGGTGTTGAATGATCAAGTCGAGAATTTCCTTACAATTTTGTAATGCGTGAAAAACCTGCTCTCATCGCCGCACTGGTCCAATGGCTGCGAAAAAAAAAAACTCACCAACAGGACAGTACGTGCAATTGAGGAAGGGAAATGCAAGAATGAGTAAGGGAGAACGAAAAGATGAACACCGAGAGCACACGAGAAAAGAAAAGTACGGTCGGATTGCATTCAGAACAACCTAGAGCTTTCTCGCAGCGGGGGAGACTTTCCCACATGCAAAGTGACGTAACCTCAGGACAAGGGATCGATAACGTGACTTTGGTGAGCCTTTGTTCAGTAGCAGCGACCGCATTCCGTCGGCTCAAACGATGTTTTGACATTCGATTGCTGTGCTTAGCAGCAACGTCGCGGAACGGCAGTGATTTTGAGTCCGTGTGGTTGTGTTGATTACAGTCTGCAGTGAAATCCACTGGATCTGGTTGTCAGCTTTGCGTTCAATCCCATTGACGGGTGTTTCCCTGGTCTCTGTACGCTGAGCCTGCAAATAGGTCCCTGGTCACCCAGGCATATGTGCCTCCGGAACAGAGTAAATCTTGGTCCGAAAATGGGATTTCCCCTCCACAAAATAGACTAAAAGATGGTCCAGAGTCGCTCCGGAAATAGGGTAAATTTGGTCCCTGGCGAGTGATTTAGTATAAAATATCTCCAGAAAGCTAGACAACGTCTGCCAGTCAGGTCTTAAAAAAGGAAAATTCTGCTCAATTATTTCAACAAAAGTGATTATCGAGTATCTGAACAGAGATTTGAGCCTATCCAGCCCTGGTTCTGCGGTGAAAGAAAAATGGAACATTCTCTGCAAAGATGGGGTAAAAGAAGGTATGAGAGGGTGAAAACTTAGAATAAATCTGGGACCGGCCGCAGAGGGACATATGTATGCCTGAGTGACCGGGGATTTGTGCAAGCCGAGTCATCGAAACTGATAAGCTCCGGACCGGAGGCTCCGGTCTTATCGAAATATGGGGCTAACGGAATGCTGATCTCGGGCAGCTACGGCGCCGGAATCCGACAGGATTCGATCCCTGCAAGAAACGTGTTCTCTGAGTACGGTCAATTGCCTCGCAATGTCCTCTTACCTGCAATGCCCGTCGCAGAACTGTCCGCTTCGGGACTCGTCTTGCAGTCCCTACGAGTTCATCGGCACGGGATCAGTAAGGACCCCGCAGCCGATCAGAGCATTGCTAATGGCATCACCGCAGCGACTGCGATCGGGGGGCCCTTACTCAAAACTTTCGCCCCACCATTCGAATCGCATCCCTCCACTTCTCCTTCCTCCGCTAATCTCACCCCTCCGCCATGATCATCACCGAAGACACACCCGCGAGCCCGGTGAAGGCGACGACTCCGCTGCTCCCCAATACGGCGAACGGGGCCAGTGGGAGCGCTCCGCCCCCTGCGTACTCGGCTCGCCAGCCGGGAGCGCCCTCCCCCCCTGGCCCGATCTACTATCAGGCCGTATACCCGACCCCGAATGCTATGCAATCGCCGCCGCCCGAGCCGACGTGGAAGCGCTTCGCCAAGGCCTTCGTCGTTGCCGTGCTGATCTGGTCGCTGTTTGGAGCGCTGGTGCGCAGCATGTCTGAGAAGGTGCGTCATCCATCCCCCTCGTCCGTCTTCGTGCTGCCCACGCATCCCAGTCGTTCATTGGCCGCGGCGCGTCGTACCCGATCCCGCCGGAGGTCTCGACGAACCGCTGCGTGTCGCAGTGGGGCCTGAGCGAGGTCACGCGCAACCCGCCGTTCTCGACGTATGCGTACGCTGCGACGAAGACGTTCAAGTTCCCCGTCCCCGACGCGACGCTGCTGCTGCTCTCCAAGGGCGCGCTCTCCGCGGGGCGGCTGCATGTGTCCGCGGGTACAGGCGACGAGGTGCAGGTGCGCGTGACGGTCGACTACGACGAGAAGACCGTCAGGGATCTTGCGAAGATCTGCATGGTCGAGCGGGAGGCAGGGGAAGCTGGGCTCGGAATCTTTGTGCGTGGGCTTCTCGCGTCAGTTCATCTGGTTGGTTTGGCTTGACGGACGGCGGCACATGTAGACACCGAAGTACTGGCGCACGTACGGCCGATTCCCCCGCCTCTTCTTCCGCGTTGAGCTGGTCCTGCCACGCGGGGTCTCACATGTCAACGCGCTCGAGACCGACGTCAGCAATTTCGCACACGACGTCGACTTGTTCGCCGGACTGATCGAGTTTGGCACACTCAATCTGGGGGGCTCGAATGGGGACATCCACACGCAGGTCTGTGCTTTGTTTGTGCTCCACGGGCTTTGCTCATGTCATGTAGTCCGTGCGTGCGGGAAATGTGTCTCTGACGACGTCGAACGGCAAGATCGTGGCAGACGTAAGTAGCCGGTGCACTTCTCTCGGACGCAGCTTACTCACGTTTGCTCAGCGGCTCGTCGCACCTACTATCAAGCTCAAGTCTTCCAACAGTCAAATATCTGGGCAATTCGTCGCCTCCGAGTCATTCAATCTGGAAACCAGCAACGGCAGAGTCACCGTGGAGCTGACGATGAACAGCGATGACCCGAGTGTGGCCAAGAAAGTATCGATCTACACCTCCAATCAGTGCGTTTGATCTGTGATTGATCCAGGCTGAGACGTGACCTGATCGCGCACAGCGAGCTCGACGCCCAGATCAAGCTCTCGACCCCGTCTGGATCCGGCGGCATCTTCCCCATCGACGTCGTCACCTCCAACGGCAAGCTCTCAGCGAAAATCCTATCAGCGCCGATCGACACGACGCTGCGCGTGAACGCGCGGACGTCGAACGCCCTCGCCGTGCTCGAGCTCCCCGCGACCTACGAGGGCACCTTCGAGGTCGCCACGTCGAACGCCGCGACGGCCGTGCACCAGGCAAACACGGACGTGCCGGACCCCAAATGCCGCCGCGGCGGTGGCCGGTCATGTGGGCGCTCCCGCCAGCTTGTCACCCGCATGCACAGCAAAGGCAGGTTCGCGGGGTCGGTGTACTGGGACCGCGAAAATGAGGCGCGAGGCGAGGTCGTGCTCAAGTCGTCGAATGGACCTGCTGATATCTACCTGTAGTGGTCTTTGTTTTTCTCCCTCGTGATCTGAATCTCTCGAAAATAAACGTTCGTTTGCTGTTTGTTGGTATGTATAACCAGGCTGGAGGAATGTCTTTGAGTGTGCTCCGAATCAGTTCACCAAGCGAAACACTTCGGTTACTTCTCGAATCACGTGTCATTTATTTGACCACACAAGCAAATACCTGCTTAGTGGTCACACGATGTTGCGCCGTTCCACTCATTCGCGGTGGACTTCGCATGTAACCGCCTTCAGACACTTCTGAGCTTCCTTGAAGCGAGAGTTGCGATCATTCTCTGCCCCTGCACACGGCCGAGGAAGACCTAGTACGCGTCAGCCCCTCGTACACCTCTTTTGACGCAGCTCTGGGCTCTCTTCACACACCAGACATCTATATGGGCAGTGTTTCTCAGCCCTCCGTTGATTATATACAGTTGCATTTCTCACATGAAAACTGCTGCTAAAACGTTGTTTGGAGCCGCTCGGGATGCCGTTGTCCAGCGCTGGCCCATTGTCGCATAGATCGCGACATTGCTCGCGTAAAAGCCGTCTCGGTCGCCCGCTTGCACTTGGCATTTCTAAGCAACAACTTATCGAATGGTCATCGGCGCGCTATGATCTCAATCGGCACTGTCTGTGCGAGTTCTGCTGCATACATGGTGAGTAGACTGACAGCGCTCATATGTATACCCTGTTTTTGAAGTCCCGATGGCGCCGGTCTATTTCGGTCTGTTATATCTGTCGCTCACTCGATTGTTTTCGGAAAGCGACGATTGAGCGGTTCGGCAGCCCTCTGAAGACCGGATCCATGATCCAAGCGGTTATATCGACCGACCAACCAGTTGGATGAATGGATAACGGTCTGGACAGCTGCGGGAGGACAGTCACCCAGACGTTCACAGGCACCTCCTCAACAATTGAACAAACCATGCCGAATCCTCTTGAAATGCGGGACACGGCCGATTGAACTCAATAAGTCGGTTCGCGGAATGTCGTACCCAGACATTTGAACGGGAAGCGCATCTTACGACATGCTGTTCCATACGCAAACCAGGACGACAACGTCTATCAGGCCGTTCGGGCTCTGGAATACACTCTGTTGGCTATAAAAGGCTGCCAGGTCAGCGTGCAGATAAACTACCACCTCTCGAAACATGTTCGCTCTCGCCAAACGCACTCTCGCACTCCTCGCTGCTGCGCCGATTCTACTCACTTCAGCCCAGTCATTCTCAGGCTCCGGTACGACGATGCATCCTTAGCCCTCCCTCTCTCTCCGTGGCTGACATTGTCTTTTAGGCACTTTCTTCAACCCGGGACTCGGCGCTTGTGGGATCTTCAACACCAATGCCGACTTTATCGTCGCCGTGAGCGCTTTCGTATTCGATACATTCCCGTTTGTGTTTTTTTTTTTCACATCGCAAGAGTGCATTGACTCACTCTCCGACACAGTGGCGCAACGAGCAACCCGAACGCGAACCCCATCTGCGGCAGACGGATCGTCGCTAACTGTGAGCAGTTGTCTGCCCCACTCATCTTTGTCTCTTGACAGAGCTAACCAACATGCACAGTCCAAGGACGGAGCGTCGTCGCCACTGTCACAGACCGCTGTGCAGGCTGCGCGGGGACCGGGGACCTCGACTTCAGTCCCGCGGCGTTCTCCCAGCTTGCGGATCCCTCTGTCGGCCGTATTTTCGGTGTCACCTGGAACTTCATTTAAAGCCAGTGTGGATGAATAGCATTCAGGTGGAAGTAGTCGCCTTATGCACAGCCAATAAATTGATTTTCTGTGGAGATTGAATGAAGTTGTCTGCTTATGTGCGTCTTAAAATGGGTTGGAACCCGTAAGAAGCTTGGTTGCCACAAGCTCAGAAATGGGTCGCTGTAAGTAAACTTCTCAGTATAAATGCCCATTTTATCCAGCATTTGGTGGCGGTCAAATGAAACTACCAGAATCCGCCTCCCATCTGATCTCGTTCCGAAATCCATAAACTTGCTACAATGGTGATCGCTGAGGCAGATCTGCCGCATTGAACCAGCAAATCAAGTACAGCCATCAGGTGAAGGGGGCCACCCTTTGAACATCGGCGGGATAAAGCGTCCAAGGATTGAGGGTTCACTAGAGTCCTACAAGGCTGTAAGATGCAGTAGAATCGTGCGGAGGTCCCGTCCGGTAGCGCAGGCACACTCGGATCCCAGAGTCCGGATCAGGCCGGCCCACAGTCAAATCCTGATTATACAGATGGGAGTCCCTTTTTTGGTCTTGGTGGAGCATCGATAAGAAATCTGGCGCAGCCCTGCGAATGGGTCTCACCATCAACAGCAGAAGAACTGAATCCATGATTATCAAGAGCGGGTAGTAAATAGTGGTGGATGATAGAATGATGATGTGAATTGTTAACGAAACTCGCTCGAACAGGATGCGTTTCTGGGAGCTAGCACATATTCCAGAGATCCCGTCTGTACTCATTTCAGCTGCGAATGCTCATCATATATCGGTCCAGGGAACATCATTCTGGAACATGTCACGTGTAGATCACGTGCATCACTCTCAGTGAGTAGTCGAGTTACCACCACCTGCTGCACCGATCAGCAACCGCGTCTGTTCGAAAGCCGCACGGGGGCCTCGGACGCCGCGCTTCAAATTGTGAGATCCTCCATTGGACGCTATGTTCAGCTTCTTCCATCGTCATCAAGCCTCGAATCTTCTAATCTCCGATCTGTTGATTCCCTGCCGCCATATCAATCTTCATCGCGGAGCCGGCTTGGAGCGCATCGTGTGTGAGCAATAGATCTTCAGGTCCCTGAGACGTCGCGCGGTGGACTTCGTGCCCCTTCCCCTCGACCTCCGTCGCTGGCAATGTTTTCGCGCTCTGCCAAGGCTCCCTTCTCTCCGAAGGAGAAGGCTGCCATGTCCGTCCCCGCGCCTCCGCCCCGCACGTCGACCTTCGCCAACGCATCCCTACTCTCCCTTCTGTCCACGCACTCGTCCCTGCTCGGCTCGGCACACTCCATCGCGGCCTTGCTCTCCTCGCGCCGGGCCAAGCCCCCGTCCCTGTATACGGCCACGAGCGCCTCGACCCAGTGGGGCCCGGGTGCCTTGAGCGGGAAAGCGGTCCATGCGATGGGCAAGGCGGTTTTGCGAGGCGCCGAGCGGCTGGTGATCAAGCGGCGCATGGCGGTAATACGCGCGCATTTACCGTGGTCTGCGGCGGATCATTATGACGACAACGAGGACGGGTGGTTCTGGGAGGGTATATTCGATGATCTGCTGGAGCTGACCCGGTGCGCGTCAGTCGGCAGAGATTCAAAGCTTGCGGAACTGACCGAGTAACTGACTAGCCCCGAACTCTACGCAGATAGCACCCGGATCCCAGCCATGGCGATGGTACTAGTCCAGGTCGCGACGTCGCAGACGGAATACCTCGTTCAATGTCTCTCCCAATGGCTGCTGGACGATGTCATTCTGTTCATGATGGAGCTCATCTCTGTTGCGCTATATTGTAAATGCGAGTGCGTCTCGCCCGGCAGCCCACGCACTTCCCTTCACTGACACGGCTTCCAGTTTCTTGAACCCGAATCTGACATCTGCATACCTTTCTGCGCTACCGAATGGACAGCATCCACTCGTGCCCTGCATGACCTTCCTCACAGAACTCGTGCTTCAGAACGACACTCTCTACGAGGCCGCACTGCTCTCCGGCTTTCTCGACTTGATCCTCCTCTCCACCGTTTATCAGCAGAAACGCCCGACTCTGCGTCAAGATGCGACCCGCGCGTTCACGGCCATATCAGCACCGCCACCAGGGCTGGAAGAGGTGTGGGAGGCTGCGCTCGTGCAATACTACCCCGAAGCCCCCTTTCCCTCACCGTCGCTCCGCCAACTTACTGTACACATCAACCGACACGCGCCCGGGACCTGGCGGACTGTCGAGGCCCGGTTTCTCGAGCGGGAGACCGATGCTCTGCTGGATCGTATGGTGTCGATGACATTCCCGCTCGACGCTGGCCGGTCGGTGGATGATGCTATCTTTCCGCAGCTCAAAGATTTCACTCTGTCACCGTTCGCCGGGACGAACAACATGTGCGTGTGCTCATCGCTCTCGGCTTCTCCCTCACATTGCCGAAAGGGAGGACATGCTGCACTGGGGACAAAGCTCGTCGGAAGCCCTGTGGCACCTCGTCCGATGCGTCGCCCTCGGGGGCAGCGTTCTGGCAAGAATCATGGACAAGATCATCAAGTGGACCTATCGGAGTAAGGTCTCCGTGCTAAGTCGGGTGCTCTATCTGCTCCTGCCCGACACGTGAGCTATGACATGACCCCTTGACCGGCTGCCGGATGCTGATGGTGGCTGCAGCGTGGAATCCCGGTCGCTGAAGATGCGGCATCTCGAGTCGCATTTGGGTCCCGACTCGTGTCTCAGGGACGTCGTCACCGAGCAGCTCCTCCTGCCTTTGGCCGCAGCCCATCCGAGTCTCAAAAAGGCGCTCTACGATGCCGGAATCACGCTCGTGTTTCCCATGCTCCAGGAGCACGGGGATGCTACGGCGCTTTTCGAGGAAGTCTATCGCCGCGCTCATTGGTCGCAGGCTGAGCCGTTGTCGAAACGCGCGCTGAAGTTGATCGCGGTCATGCGCAGGGGCGAGCTCGCTGTTGCGACTGGCGAAGACAGTAAGAATAGGGCAATATCAGCCTTGATGCAGTCGATTCTGGGCAGATTATCCGGCTGATTGCGGAGAGTCTGATTGATGTGGACCGAAGCCATGTCCTGGCCAGGCCGCGTTTCCTCCTCTATCATGGAAACATCTTTGAGCTGGTTTGTATGTTATGTTGTTATGTCTATGCTCTCTTTCACATATGCTATATTGCCGTTCCCGTGCTTGTGTCCACCGTCAAGATTGAAAGATGTGCCAGAGTGACTGTCGTGTGCTCATGAGGGGTACTGCTATGGAATACAAGGTGTTGGCACAGTCAGACTCAAGAAGACCAAGAACACAAGGATCGTGCGCATACCGCCAGCGCTAGCACTGAAGCACGAGGGATGAACGCCAGTGCGTCGATTCCCGTCGACGATCCAGACGTCATTCGTTCTGTTGTATGACCCATGCATTGAAGAGCAGCTGTATGTACTGTACAACGTGCTCCTGTGTGCTCCGTCTCGGCTTTCTGAACTTTGTACTACTATGGTGCCAGAAAATGGAGGAGAAAATAGATCGCAAACGGCTACCTGCATCCACTTAGCAGTTGAAGGAGACAGTCTTGCTGGCTTTGCCAGCGTTCTTCTGGTCGATCGCAACGTTGACACCGAGCTTGGTTTGCAGCTCGTTGAGGTGGGCCTGGAGCGATGCGTCGGTCAGACAAGGTGTATGTGCCCGCAAAGACGAGCCTGAACGTACGGTCTGCGAAGAAGAGGCCTTGCCACCGCTCTTCTGGATTTGGCCCTGGAGAGCGACGATGGTGCCCCAGATCTTAAGCACCTTGTTCTTGGTCAAGCCAACGCTGATCGCGCTGGACTTGCCGGCGGCGACGAAGGCCGACTCGGCCAGGACGGCGCAGTGGGCCTCAGTCTAGGTAGCGGTAGTTCAGGACACAGAGGGACACAGAATCATCAGCGAACGCACGTTGAAGTCCTGGACCTGAGTCGCGGACAAGTTGCCTGCGGGGAACTTGGCCTTGGCCTCCGCCAGCGCGTTACCGCCCACTCCACCGGAGATGGTCAGCTGGGCAAAGGTACGAGCCGAACGCTTCTCGACGGTCACGGGGGCAGCGAAGGCGGTGGCGGCAAGCGCGAGGACGGTGAAGAACTTGAACTGCATTGTGTGTAGTGGAAGGAGTGTGTAGCGGCAAAGGAATGCGATAGATGAAGGATAGTGGGGCAAATGAGGCACAGCCTAGGCGAAGAGTGAACTAGCCGGTGAAGGAGATGGGGTAGAAAACGGAAGCCTCGAAGTGCGAGAGAAAGACGGGTGGGGGGACAACGAATTTGTCGTGGGCCCTTATATGGCGGGGCACGGGCGGTAATATCGCTAGACGGCGCCCGTGGTTCTTTGATGCCGCATGGGATATTCTGCCCTCTCTAGTCTTGGCCCCAACGACGCAATTGGTTCCGAGAATGCGTGCCTCAGTGACCCGATCGCAGTCTTTCTGTCGAGTAAAGAGCTTGAAGACCGAAAATCTGTCACTTGCATCGGTGAGGTGCGCTGAGAAGACTGGGGTGAAGATGACAGCGGCTGCGGAGACACCTCAAATGCACACGTGGTCACCATCACGTGTAATCACGGTTCATTCAAGAACCCGGTACCGTGACCGGTTTGCTACTTGCTCTGAACACTATGGACAAGGTATCTGAAACCTGGACGACGGCTGGTGTTCAAGCAATATTCGAGATCCAAACACGGGAATCCGTCGAGTCCAAGGACTTGATCGTTCCGACGGCGCTGGATGCGGGTCTTGTCCACACCCCGGTGTGCGGCCTGGGTTGGCGATTTGCTGTGAAGATCGACCGATCCTCCGCGCAGACTGTTGTTGTGAGTGACTCTGGGGAAGTCATTCAGTCCTATCAGGTGCAGCTATATTTCGACCCTCATCTCATCGGCGCGGCGAAATACGGCGAACTGACGCTGGAGGTTCAAGTCGGACACTTGATTCCTACCGTGGAGATTGTCCCCATCAAATTTCATCTTCCCACCGGCGATCCTCGCAATGCAGCCAACCTGGGACTTCACACGTACCCAGGAAACGCCAGACCTCCCCGTGTCACTGTGACGATCACCTTTTCACCCACTCTTGGGCTGACGCTTCCAACTCCGCTGGATCACCGCATTGAACGTGCTCTGGAGGAGACTCTGGAGGGCGAAGAACTCGTGGACATTAAATTCTACGCGTTCAGTCGGAGGGACCGGTCTCAGCCCCAGAGCGTGAGCTGTCCTCTACCGCTATTCGCCAAGGCGTCGCTCTTGAAGGGTTTCTCGGAAGATCTGGATCAATGTAGCGGGCACCACCACCCTCGCTTCCAATATTCGAACTTATTTATAGAACAGTCGTCTCTGGGCACGGTTTTTCCGAATCCGTGCCTTGTGATCTTGACATTGACCAGCCCTCTGAAAGCACATTCGACGAATACAGCTACGAACTGGATAGCGATTTGGACTCTGATCAAGAAATTGATGCGGCGCCGCCACCAAAGACTACGAAAATCGAAGCCGAGAAGGCTGACCCAGCGGGTCGGTTCGCACGCAGAGGTCGGGTCGTTGTCGTGAAAGACACGGCTTACAAAACGTGCGTCCACCGTCAAGTAGTGGTTTCCTATCCCAACTGAATGTGGGCAGCCTAAAAGCGCTCCTCATGTATCTTTACACGGGCGAGATCCACTTCCGTTCTCTGCGGTCGAATCCAGAGCCGGCAGAAGCGTCAAGCAGAGTGCAAGGTCCGATCTGTTCCCCGAAATCAATGTACCGGCTCGCGGACAAGGTAACTCTATCGCGCCTGATTCTCGCGCCTTGGCTCAATACAGCTGCAGCTGGGGCTGGATGAGCTGAAGATGCTTTCCCAGGCACGCATCTCTGCGAGTTTAGCGGAGTCCAACATCCTGGAAGAGGTGTTTTCGTCATTCACCTCCACGTATGTCACCCTCCCCGTGCTGAACAATCGATCTCCACGCTGAGCTGATACACATTGCAGATACCCTGTGATTCAAGAACTCGAAGTTGGCATTTTGACTTCCAACTTCTCGAAGAAGGCCGCTGAGGGACTGCGTGCGATGGTGCAGAACATATGTGAGGGAGAGAAGCCCCATGCGGCGGAGACTCTGTGTTTGATCTTGCAGAGAATGGGTGCCGGTGCGAAATAGTCATCACTTCGATTACTCAAACTCGCCGTCGAAACCCGGCCAATCATTCGTATAGACTACCTCATGGCTTGATCCAAATTGATGAATGGCCAGTCAGGTTGGCGCTGGGAAAGAACCATCTACAAGATTACCCCAGACTGGCGCAAACGATGAGTGGCCGCTGAAGGTTTTGCGCCGAATGCAGCCAGAAATCGCTAGAAGACACTCTTGGACGTCAGGGACGGTTTCAGCGCTCTTTTCGCCGTCATTATCGAGCACCATCTCCTCGGGAGGGGGGATTACAGCAGCTACCTCGGGGAAATAGGCCTACCACTTTCCCTTCGTTTGGACTGATCCAAGCGTTATCGTGGTGCGTCCGCTTCTGACAGGCTTCTGTGACCTTCTAAGATGTTGTCCTTTTTCCATTCCACTGCATTCTACGTTGGCCGTCTCATCGATATCGATGAGATTTCGGGGGTCCATTTTTGAAGACCCGATCGGGACATCCCGAATGATCGGATCCAGATCCGATACCCGACGACTAGTGCGTATTTAAGCTGAGGAGCGATCGCCAGGCTCCTCTCCCTCTCCCTACCCCTCCCGCCCACCATCATCTCCACATCATCAACATGGTTAGTGCGCCACATGCTAATGAAACGCCGTTCACTTAATTTCCCGCTTTGACGTGCAGGGTGTCACCATCGAAGTGCTGAAGCAAGGCGACGGTGTGCGGTTCCCCCAGCGGGGTGGTACGTCTCTTGCTCGTTATTGGCCGCGCCACGCGAAGGCATCTTTCTTACTTGGACGCTAGACCACGTCACTATCCACTACGTGGGCACGCTGCTGAACGGGGACAAATTCGACTCCAGTCGCGATCGGTGAGCCATCGCGTCGCAGCAGGATGCGCGTACTGAGCTTCTTTCTCAGGGGGAACCCATTCGAGACTGAGATCGGGGTGGGGAAGGTCATCAAGGGCTGGGACGAGGGTGCGTCGCGCCGCCTGCTCCATCGCGTCTGCGGCGATGTCGCTTCGATTATGCTGATGTGCTGCGTCATCTAGGTGTTCCACAGCTGTCCATCGGCACCAAGGCCAAGTTGACCGTCACCCCCGACTTCGTGCGTCATCGCTTTCGCTCGTTTCCCACAACGGCCGCTGATATCATCGTCCTGTAGGCATACGGCTCGCGCGGCTTCCCGCCGGTCATTCCCCCGAATTCGACTCTCTGCTTCGAGGTGGAGTTGTTAGGGATCAACTAAACACCGCCTACATTCGTTCTCGTCTTTCTCGTTTCTCTGTGTAACCCCATTGTGCTATAAACCATTTGCATCGTCCTATCGCTCTCTTGAGAGTTGTGTCTCTGGCATTCCGCGACATTGGCGCCACGTATCATGTCGTGTCCCGTGCTCGTCCTAATCACATTTTGGGTTCCCCCCTCCCCGCATTCTGGAAACTAGAGTGTGATCGCAATCTATCGATAACTTCAAACGTCATTCCCGATCGGGACAACGATGCGGGATCTTTGAGGAGGAAGGTTCTCCAGCTGAAACAGGCTGGGCTGACACCTGAACGAGACAGAGACATCGCATTGGGCTGCTCATCAGAAGAGCGAATTCAAGGAACGATTGGCGTTGAATGGCCTCTGCAATTCACCCTGCGCGTTATCCATGAAGACGGAATGAGCTACTCTGTGGTAGTCTGATGTACGGGTCTCGTGTTTCGAAGATCTTGTTCTACGTCGTTCGTCGTTATCCCCAAGGCTAACTCACCTCGAGGATCTGAACACCAGAGATTGACCGCGACGGCCACCGTTAGCCTGGACCAACGCGCATGGCACAACTGGCACCGATCAGGGTGGGCGCATCCGGGACCTGTTCTTGCAGTACAAATCATCCACATCGAACATCGCGATCGAGGAATTGGGGTGTGTTCGACGAGAAAAGCATCAGAAAATGAATTGATGAAGAGATTGTGGGAATGATATCAGCATATAGATAAGATCCGTGAGTGCATCATCGTGATCCCGGGGTTGACCGGGCCGGCCGCCTTGCTGCGACAGAGTCAAGATCGAGTGTCTGCAGGAGTCAGAGTCACGAAGGGAGAAGGAAAAGGGCATCTCTGAGTCGGGTCCGAGCGTGGGCACTCGCAGGGGTACAGCCCGCATGCTGTCCGCAATGAGTACAAGGTGGCGTGACTCCGTGCATGATCGGGCATCAATTCGACTCTTCCCGCAACCACCACCACTACCACCGCCCAAACACATGAGGTGCAGGAATCGGACACGCGCACGGGGTAGAACACTATCCTCGAGAAATTCACGCAGCACGCTATCCCAACGTCCAACCTCTCGGCGGCACCCTCCGCCAGGATCTGAATCATCTGATGGTGTCGCAACAGCTCACCTCCGCTCAGGCATCGCCTCGTTGGGCGGTCGAACAATACCCGGCGAATGGCTCATGCCTGGCTGGACCTGGGCCTCTTTCGGTCTCCTGGATCCCGGCGACATCAATCTCGACTCGCTGTCGATGCTAATGCGACGGCCGCGGCAACGACGACGGCGACCGGCAAGGAGACGGAGTTCGCGGGAACTGGCAGCGTAGGAGATGGATGGAGTTGAAGAGCCGTTGCCAAGTATGTGGACGGCGCTGCCCTGAGCGGCACTTCGACGTGGGTCGCCCAATTATGCGGTGGAGCGTGCGTCACTGCTCTGAATCGGCTTTTTCCGGGTTCTCACGTTTCTGGAATCCCAGCTTCTGGCGGCTGTGTATGGCTCGATAAGAACGATGCCTGTTTTAATCTTAGGGACGACGTAGCGAATCTGTACTTGTATCTCAATTTGTCTCTGAGTAGCTCATTCTGCATGTTTTATGTACTTTAAGTTATACCCGGCAATACCATACTATCTAGTGATGTTCAACACGGCTTATGTCTGGCTACGATCTCGTGCAGTCATCACGGGATCGTTCGGTCTCCTTACTTGATTGCAACTCGGACAGTCGTCTCTTCCAGATGGTAACACATCTTGCCTCCGTCACTATGTCTTCCGCGGCAATTGTTCTGTGAGGCACTGTCGCAGAAACATATATAGGGCCTCCAGGGAGGACCGCATACAGCATCGTCCAGAACGTTCAACTCCTACTTCCTTTCACTGAGCTGGTCTCTCATTTTTCTCAATATGCCTTCCATTCGCTTCGTGGCTGTCTTCCTCTTCGCTCTCGCGTTTGCGCTCGTCCAAGCTGCCCCCGTGTTCAAGGCGAAGCCTGTGGTGCACACCGGAGACGGTAAGTATCGCTTCTTCCTGGCACGATTGATCCGTGTGCTGAAACAGCGGATCCAGGAACATTTTTTGCACCGGGTCTGGGTGCGTGCGGGAAGACGAACAAAGCTTCCGACCTGATCGTCGCCGTGGGCCACGGCGTCTTCGACTCCTTCCCGTGCGTTTGTTTTCTCTCCAAGCTCCACCGGTCTTCTCATCTTTCACAGGGGCGCGACCGCCAATCCCAACAAGTCAGAAGCAGTTCCCGACCTGATTCCGTTCACCAATGCTGATTTGACTCTCCAGGAACCCCATCTGCGGCAAGAAGATCAAGGCAACCTGTAGGTCCCATCAGCCATCCCGATTTGGATCCCGCTGATGCCGTGATCCAGTCAAAGGGAAGTCGGTCGTCGCGACAGTCGAGGACCGCTGCGCCGGATGCGCCGGAGCGGCCGATCTTGACTTCACGGAGGCTGGGTTCAAGAAGCTTGCGTCGCTCAGTGTGGGCAGGCTGCATGGCGTCAAGTGGGAGTTTGTGTAAGGGAATCTCGGGCCTCCTTGTTTGTCGAAGTCTATAGGCTGAGAAGAATGATGAATGCTGTTCTCGGCAATATTGAGGGGCGATGCGATCTATTTTGCTGTTGATGGGAGGGTTGCAAGAGACTTTGGTGGGCTAAGTCTGTCAACCGAGCATAGCTTCATGCGGTGTCTTCATTTATCAGCTAGTAGCTGTGTCAAACTTAGAGTCAATCATCGCACCTTTCTATCAATCGATTTTCCCCCAGAATTCTTTGCACTGACCCAAGTTCAAAAGGGATTACAACCTGGGCTCGACTTGACTGTTACGCGAAAAGAGAACCATCCCTGTGGGAATCCTTGACTTGATAAATTGCGATGACGGCACATCGGGATACGAAAGACGAGCCGAGAACAAAACAAAATTGCCAGGTTCACTCGGTCACGTGCCATATGTTCAGCATACATCGACTTTCTCGCATACATCGACTTTCTCAATATGCCACAATCGGCCGCACTCGAAGCACAGAATTTCATCTAGCGCTAATTGAGATTTCTTATTGTTCAAAAGATTGTACGATGAACGTCTTTGCTTTGGTGATGGGTTCGGCCGCCCATTCGGGTGCCACACCTGAATTTGGGATCAGAACAAGAGCAGTCGGGTGCAACCCACAAAGCCAATTTTTAGTTTCAAATTAAAACATTTCAAGGATAGCCTCGGTGAATGACTCTACAGTTTCTTCTTTATCTCCTCAATGAACAGCTTCAAGACTGTCCCTCTGCGTTCGCCGTTATTGACCATATCTATCATGTCGGCCATTCGCTCGCTGACCCCAGGTTTCTTCAGCTGAGTCATCAAATACTGTACCTCAATCGCTTGGATCTCCTCAAATCTGTAGTGCCTCGATAAAATCCAACTCGCACGTGACCAGATTTACCGGCACTCACAGCGATGTAAAAGTGGAGAACGCCTCGTGAACGATGTTTTCGGGTGACAGCTGGCCTTTTATGAAGTTCATAGACCGGGTCTTCAAATCGGCTAAATCGAACTGTCGATGGACGTCAATCGCAGAGGAGACAGGCACAGATCCAATGTACCTTGTCCGCAAGCTTGTACATGGACTTTGCCGAGCAGCGGGGAATGTCTGAGTCCGTCCCAATTTTCTCTCCGAGTCGGCGAAACGAGATGTCTCCCGTGTATAGGTAATAGAACAGCGCGTTCCAACTGTTAACTCGATGTCAGTCCTTAGTATCTCTGGCACAAAAGCAACAACTCACGTGAGAGATGCATGACTTTTATCCACGAGCACATGACCCATTCGGCCGCGAGAGGAGGTCGCCAACTTACGTTCGCGTTTGCAGGCTGGCACCGTGGTCGCGACGGCATCGTCCGAGCTTCGGTCAGCAGATGGCAAGGTTGTCTCCCGTTGAAGCTCCGCAGCTGAGGCTGACCCTGAAGTCGTGCTTTCGATCATGACGGGAGTGGGAACTAAAACGGCGCCATCATCGTCCAGGTCACTGTCAGACATATAGTCGTAGTCCGAGAACTGCTCGTCCTTTGCAGACGGCTCGAATAGATCCAGATCCACTTTCTGCGACTCGGAGAACGCGGAGGACGACGAGCAGGCGTCCAAATCTGCGACGGATCGTGCAATCAGGAACACGGCTGGCGTATGGAGAGGGAACCCACAGTCGTCGAGTCTCTCCGAGCACCCTTTGAGCACGGACAGCTTCGCGAAGAGCGGGTGTATGCCGGTAGCGACTCGCTCGTCGTTCTCAGATTGAACGCGGGAGTAGGCGAGGAGCATGAAGTCGATTTGCTCCTCGCCGCGGATCAGCGCACTGAGCGCCGAGTTGCCGGATGCATTCCCTGAGCTGGGAAGCTCCAGTGCCGCAGCGGATGGAAGTTCGACGTTGACTACAATGGACAAGGGGGGATAGTCTTCATCCTCGAGCATGTAGTTTCCTATCATCAGGTTGCTACCGGAGGGAAGATCCATGACGTTGACTCCCCCGTTATTGGTGCCTTGGTCCGTGAGCGGAGACGATAACTTGTCAGAGGTTGCTGTGATTGACAAACGCCCGAATGTCGCTGATTGGAGAAAAAAGGGCTCAAAAAATATCGTGACGCGACGCCAGGGCATTTGTCGGTCGGGAACATCGCTCGCCAGTGGAGGGATGCCAAACTCTACCGCCTGAACGGAGCAGTGAAATCGCCAGCCCAGGCCACAAGCAGGGGTGTAGTAGGTGCCCCCCACAGTCTGCGACGGCACGATCAGCTGCAAAGTCGACTGGATGCTGGATGCACTCCATTTTTCCTCGATCCGACTGAGCGACATAGTGGGGAAGAGCAGAGGAAGATGCGCGTGTGAGAGAAAGAAGTTTGAGCGGCAGAGTCACATCGTTCGCGGGAAGAAGTAGAAAGCGTTGCTGCCTCGTGCGCTAGCAGCCGAATAGACCGCAGACGACGTACGTACATGCCTGCTGGGAAATTAGACAACCGCGAGTCCGCGACTGCAGTAATGGAAAACCTGAAAGCTCAGCGGAGATTGGTCGCTTCTCGAGGCTCTCGCTTTGATTCAAGCCTGCGTTGGCGAGTCGTGTTTTTCAAGGAACACGATATATGTGATTCAAACTCGTACTGCGCTTCGGTCCCTCCCGGCCATCAGTGATTACCAAAGATAGTCGTGACTGATGTCACTTTGCTCATTACACTGCAGTCGTCAATCTGCGTCAAGCACCCATGGCTCAATATGACGATGAGGGAATAAGGCCATTCCACCGTCATTCCCCAGGACGCTACCGAAGCCCCAGCCCCGTTCGAGGTCCGATTGTCACCAGCCGGGGTCGGTATGAAAGAGATCGAGACCCGACCTTCGTGTCCTTGCGCAAACTCAAAGACGATGAATGGACGTCGTCCGGCTTCAAGAGCACCCTCGCGCTGCACTTTTTAGACGGCTCCTCTCCGTCGCGAGCGGATGAAAGTCCTCTATGCGGGCTCGGCTGGCACTTCCGCTGCACCGGCCCGCGATCGATGGGACCGGATCCCCGCAAACACGTGTGTCCGTATCCTTCCTCCCCGGGCTCGTTGCCGGCGCAGCGTATGGCCGCGTCACGTTCGACGTCGAGTACGAGAACCTTATTGCGGACCCCGACGCGTCCAGGACCGCCGCGTACCTGCGGCTCCCGTGCTCCAGGGACAGCTCTGCCGCGCTCGGCGCGTTCTACCGTCGGCGGGAGGCGCAGGACGTCCCTGTTGTTGCCATCACCGTCCGGTTGCCGGAATCGCTTGGTCTGCAGGTACCGCAGCCCCGGCCGGCCGGCGGTGGAGTGAACGATGTTGTGCTCGATGCGCTCGCGGGTGCCGACACGATTGATCTGAAGTTCTACGCATACACCCTGCGCTCGGCGGACGGCTCGGCCGTTTCGAGACCAAAGCCCTTGTATGCGAAAATGTCTGCGTTAAGGGGCCACTCAGTCGCTTTGGACACCTGTACGTCGCTTGCAGTTTGTAGCTCTGCCAAAAAGCTGAGATGACGGCACTAGTCCTCTCTGGATTCAGCGGAGACGGCTTTTCCGAATCAAAACTCGTCGATCTGGATGCGCGCGACCTAGAAATTGACGAAACTTTTGACGAATACGACTACATGTCCGACAGCGACCTCGAGAATGACGATCGAGTAGGAGTAGATACTAAAGGGAAAGGCCGAGCGTCTAGTGTCGATGAAGGCTCCAAAAACGCTCGAATGGGACGAGTGATCGTGGTGAGGAGCCATGCATTTAATACGTGGGTCCCTCGTATTAGTTTGCTCGCCGTGCATGCATCACCTCCGCAGATGGAAAGCCTTTCTGTTTTATCTGTACACCAATCAACTCAACTTCGGACCAAACGATTCAGGCCCCGATATCCCTCAGTGCTCACCCAAATCGATGTTCAAACTTGTTGAATTTCAGTAGTATTCCCGGGATGCAGCTCGGCTGTCCCGGAACGTTCCAGATCATTAGATAATTGTCTTTAGTCATATACCAGTAAATAGAAGAATATTCTAGATTACTAGTATTACTACTATATAACTAAGCTTGTATGTAGTGTACGGGCATCAGTTTGCCCTAAAGCAATTCAAGTTTATTCCTCATTGCTATTGCAAACTACTCTATCATTGCCTAATCGACCCCCTTGACCCATTTTTCCCCAACAAAACTTGCAGATGCGGTGAGTAGCGAGTACACGTCAGTCACATCAGCCTTGCCCCAACTTGCTGCCCCAGTTCGAGCTGGAAGACCTCAAGAAACGAGCGATGGCTGCGATCCAGTCCCGCCTATCCGCCGGAAACATCGTCGCAGAGACATTCTCGCATTTCACGTCCCTGTGCGTCGTCCAAAACTCTTCTCCGCATCGATCCTGAGATGCACCCTCCGAACGAACAAGATACCCAGAAATACAGGACCTTCATGTAGACGCTCTACACCAGAATCTGCCTCAAGTCCGCGACGAGATGCGCGAGGCGCTGCGGGACCTCTGCAGCGAACACCGGCCGCACTGTTTCGAGGTGCTGGAGAAGATTGTGTTCGAGGCAAGCAGATCAGTGCAAGAGGAGCATGGACACCGCGACTCTGCCGGATCGCCCGACCGTTTCAGCCGACGCAGAATGCACGCGCGAGATGCCAGTCGCGAGCGCTCCCCGTGGGGGAGGCGTTCGTATTCGCCGTACAGATAAACGGGATCCAGTTCGGGAGCGTACACTCGCAAGTACTTGGGCGAACGATGTCCCAGATGTTTTCGACCGCAGATCTGGTGACATGCACGGGAATATAACACTGAGACAGCGTAAGACATAGGATTCATCCGCCAGAAGTTTGTGCGAGAATTGCCAAGTCAAAAAGTCTGCCGTAAATGATTGAGACTGGGATGCATTTTGTTCTTCTGTCACTGTGTCACGGACGATGTTCGAACTGTCATGATCCCTGACCAACTGCACATACAACATTCCCCCTAGCTGCACCCAACAAGTCCACATCCATGGGAAGTCCGGGAGAAGACCATCGGCACACTGAATTGTGTCTGGGACGTGCCAAGTTGAAACGGAGTCTGGTTTGGCGTGTTGATTCGTACCGACCCATCTACGTCTCTGGGCGTCCCGACACGCGACGCCGAACACAGCGATGGCGCAGGGCGCTCCGATCTCCACCGAGCATACGCGAAGTGATGGGAGTGGCCAGGTTCGTATACAATAGGATAGGAACCGTGACGCTTAGCTTTTCCCAGTCAAAGCGTGTTTTGCTGTTCTTACCTCTTCCCTTCTCCCCTGCACCCCAATTCTTCGTCGTTGTTAAACGTTGATTGTGGATGGATCATTTTCTGAGACCGCAGCGGCCCAACCTCGAAGCGATGCACTCTGACCGAGAGTTATCTGAAAACCCAGGCACCCCTAGATTCCGACGACCAGGGGTTCGCTTATCCTCGGTGCGCTCACCCGCAGCAATTCTCCCACCCCCCTCTGAGCTCGTCTGCCGCAGGGAGCTGCTGTTCTGGCCGCTGGCCATCATCCTCGTGCAGCTTGTGCTGCTCGGCTTCCTCTTCGGCCTGTTCGCGCACGTGCACAAGCAGGGGCGCGTGTTCCTCCCGTACGGCCCGGCGGCGTTCGTCCTGGAGAACACGCAGGCGGCGACGTGCGTCGTCACGTTCCTGGCGACCGTCTTCGCGATGATGTCCGGATAGTGCGCTTCCCATTCACTGGAGGCGGCCATTGATCTGACGCCGGAGCTTACTGCAGCCTGCTTTCGCGCGCGATCCGCCTCGCTATCGTCGTGCACATGGCCGAGAAGGCCGTGCGCATTTCCGAGTTCCAGTATATGATCAAGATGGCCAGCAAGTCGCTCATCCTGAGCCCCCGGGACTGGAAGTGGGCGGTGTGTGCCGGGGTTTTGTTCCTCGCGACGATCGAACAGACTGCTAGGTAAGTATTGTGTGTGTCTTTTTAGGCTGGAGCTCTGTGAAAGCTGACGAGCGAATACAAATAGCTGGAACACCCTGTTCACGCCGAAATCCATCGCCTTCCAGGTTCACGTATCGGGGGCAGAGGTGGATCTGACGAATCCGGAGTTGCTGTCACATGCCGTGGATCTGTATGCTGGAAGCATCCAGGGATATCGTGGGTCTCCTCCTCTCCTCCACTGTCCATTTTACGGACGGTGCTAGTGAATGGCACCCTCCGGGCGATCATGAACCAGGCAGGGACCAGCAGCGCGCTCGCCGCGAGCGGATACCAGACAACGCTGAACTATGCTGGGTCCGCATTCGCCGCAACGACAGGTACGTGGCTCCCCAGTGGCACCACGCACTGTGAACGTCCTGCTCACTCTTTGTCCCGAGGCGGGATCCAGCCGATCAACTTCGTGCTGCACTACAACGGCCAGCCGATCTGGCCGGCCGCGTCCGCGTTCTACCCGGAGTACTTTGACACGCAGAACACGGAGAACTTCCCGCCGCTGTACACGGACTACAACGTCACGATGACGCAGCAGGGCCTGACCGCGGCCGTGTCGTGCGCGCAGCGGGCCCTGTCGGCGACGACGGCGCCTGCGATTACGACTGCGCAGACGCCCGCGCTGATCACGGCGGGGAACAGGACGTCGAGCTTGACCGAGTACGAGATCGTCATTGGATGTGCTGGGTCCTCGGCAAATGGATGTGCGTTGACTCATATGCTTTGTGGGGGTGCAAAATTGACCGGCTGCGCAGACACAAACTCGAGCACGGGGACGTCCTCTTTCTCGCCGGCTGTCCTACGATGAACACACCACTCCTGGATACAGTATGTGGTCTCGAGCTCATTCTCCAGGATACTAAGGCTCAACCCACCAGCCATCGTCGTCTATGGATTCGGAATCTACGCGCCGATGGGGCCCATCGTCTGCGACATCGCGCCCGCCATCTACGACGCGCAAGTCGTCCACGGGCCCGGCGCCATCGCGCACACCTTCGACGCGAACCAGGCTCCGACAGCCATCGACGCGAACCTGACGCTCGGGCTGCTCGACGGGCTCGCGATGCTGTTTGGGCTCGGGCAGAGCGAGACCGGGAACGTGATCGGCGACGCGCTGATCAGCACGCAGAATGACCAGGCCGCGGCCTCGAATCAGACTTATGTCCAACTCTGGGTGAGGTTCTATCGCCTTCCGACTCTGAATGACTATCAACAACGATTATAGGAGGCTTATCTTGGCGGAACGATTGAATTCCTCGCTACCGTGAGTAATACACGATCCATCCATCCATCTCTTCCTGACGTCTCTCCAGGCCATAAAACTGGACGTCGCATTCCCCGGTACCGGGGGTGCCTTCCTCCACGGCCTGCCCAAGTCCATGTCCCGCAAAACCAACGGCACCGCCACGGTCGCCACGGTCGGGTACGAGTACACCGCGGGCAGCGCCGCGCTGCTGCTGCCCAGCATCCTCATCGCGGTCCTCTCCATCCTCGTGTCCGCGTACGCGCTGCACAAGGGCCGCCGCGTTTGATCCGTGTGATCCGCTGGTGCTGATGGCGGCGGCGGCGGCGGCGGGCGGTATGCGCGGCACGTTTGGAGGCTTGAGTGGGAGCCAGGTCGAGGAGGGGAAGAGGCGCCGGATTGGGCTTGGGCAGAGCAGCGCGGGGAGGGATGGGCTCATTGAGGTGGCTGGGTAGTTTGTTATGTTCTGTCGTACGTGAACCTTGTATACGCATTATTAGAGAACATCGGAATTCGATGACGATACGGACAAGTGTCTTTAATAAAAGATCTGGAGCACAGTTCGATGCAGGAAAGCGCATCGCGGATTCTGCCCATTTAGTTTGAACATCCGATCAGATCCGGCATCAGTGAACCTTCCGATACTCAATTGGCCGGGGGCTCAGGCCTCAGGTTTCAGAACTGTTTCTACTTTCAACCCCCCAAACCTTGAAGGGTGCAACCCTTCTCATTAACCATCCACCCCACCGTCATACGATGGGAGCGATAGCACACATGTTGGGATAACGAACAAGACCGCATTGTTCTTTCCCTTGGGGCCAAAAAAAACGGTGCACACAGAACGGTATCGAATCACCGAAGGTGAATGTGAATCCGTCTAGTGCATCAGCTTTTTCGGCTTCGATCGTCGTGGCCTTTACCGGCGGCGCATCGGAATCTCGGAGGCTGAAATCGATTTCAAAGCCGCTCACGTCCGACGCCAGTCCGGAAGGAATTCGTGAAGGCGAAGATCAGACGGCAGCACGGATTCCGAGACACGGCGCCCAGACACGCCCGAGCTATAAATAGCTCGAGGTTGCACGCTGCACATCTAGATCGTCCGAAAACCCCCCAAGAGAGTGGATGCATGCAATGTGATGTCCATGAGGCCGTTGCCCTGCTGAGCATCTTTCAAGAGGACAGCCGTCAGAGCGGGTGCGACAGCGGCGATCGTCGCGGTCATACGGGGATGTCTGGAGTTGCGTTTGCTGATGGAGGATGTGCGAGTGTTGCTCGTGACATCATGGGATCGCCGCGGATCTGGTCTTGAGTTTCTGTCCCGAGTAGAGCTCGCTGTTTTGAGCCCGGCCAATGAGATGCAAGCCGAAAGGAGCTGCACGCGGTCGGACTTCAAGTTAGCCCTTCCCCAGATTTCCCCTCGACCTCAGACGCGTGAGTCCACCAGGTCACGCTGTGCAACAGTGTCAGGGTGGAGAGAGCCCCCGAACCAGAGACAACGGACAAGAGGAGCTTTGCCGTGCGAACGCATTTGTCTGTTTGGATTTGTAGGATCGCTCTGACACCGGTCGGCGTCCAGGTTTCAGATATCTTGTCCACAGGGCTCAAGGAGATCAGGGTTCAGAGTAATTATCCAACCGTTCACGGTACCGGGTCCCGAAAATGAAAGAACCGTGATGATAACATGTGACCACATTTGTCTTTCGAGACCGGCCGATCCTTCCAGACCTCGACTGCCAGTATCTTCACTCTGCTCTCCCAGCGCGACGTGTCTCTAGTGGCGGACTAGCTGGGTCTTTGAAATCCTCACTGCTCATCCTGGATCCGCATTCTGCGAGATTTCCGAACGCGGATTCCGGGCAGGATTGCCATCCAAGGCGTCGTCACCCAGGCAACAGGACATTCCAAGCACATGATGCATCTGCAAAAGCCCACGGGGCAGTTTACGTTATAACTCCACGCGCCTCGAATAAAATGCCGCCCAAGCACGTTCCCTGTCCTCAGCTCACTCTCCACCTCATACCTTCGAGGCTTTCACCTTCTTTCCCGAGTAGTTCACTCTTTGCCTAGGCTGCGCCTCATTTACACGTTTTCTCTCTTCCGCATTCCTTTGCCGCTACACACTCCTTCGACTAAACGCCATGCAATTCAAGATCTTCACCGTCCTCGCGCTTGCCGCCTCCGCCTTCGCTGCCCCGATGGCCGTCGAGAAGCGCTCCGCGCGCACGTTTGCGCAGCTGACCATCTCCGGTGGCGTGGGCGGCAACGCCCTGGCAGAGGCCAAGGCCAAGTTCCCCGCAGGCAACCTGTCGTCCACGCAGGTCCAGGACTTCAACGTGCGTACTACCCGTCGACTCCGAAGTCGCTCTGCGCCCTCTGACATAACATACGGCCGCCGCACAGACTGAGGCCCACTGCGCCGTCCTGGCGGAGGCGGCGTTCAAGGCCGCCGGCAAGTCCAGCGCGGTCAGCGTCGGCCTGACGAAGAACAAGGTGCTCAAGATCTGGGGCACCATGGTCGCGCTGCAGGGCATCATCAAGGAGCACGGTGGCACGCCCACCGCGGCGCAGACTGTATGTCCTCCCCCGACTCGCTTCCTCTGCAGTCTCTCACTGACCGTTTTGGCTAGGCGTCGCTCAACGATCTCCAGACGAAGCTCGGTGTGAATGTCGCGCTTGATCAGAAGAACGCCGGAAAAGCCAGCCAGACTGTATCTTTCAACTGCTAGGTTGCACGCGGGGAAGTCGTTTGTTACCAGTGCCTGTAGCGCGTTTTTTTCCAGTGCATTTTGCGCCTCTGTTTGCGAGCATGTTAGCCGGGCCAGATCATAAGCTTGAGTACTTTTTTCGAATAGATTGGTATCGCCGCAGACTTGATGTCCTTGACGTGGTAGCAAGGACTCAAGGAGAGTTGCAAGATGGGTACAATCTCGACCCACCCATTCGTTCCACAACGCATCGTCGCTGGGGATTGGTTACCGTTTGTATCGAGATAGCTCTAAAATCACCCTGCGTCCTAGTGAGTGCTGCCTGACACCGCCGACGCTCCCGGCAGACCGGATCGTCGTCTACGTCATTGACATACACTGACAAATAGATCAATCTACTTCCCGGACTCATCGATGCGTCCAACCCTTACTCTTGCTGAAGGATCCTGGATCGCTGGCCCCGGCTACCGATCCAGATTTGATCTCACGATTCCGGCCGGGAGGTGTCCCAACCAGGAGGCAACTAGTGCAATCTGCGGTCTGGGTTGGCGATTCGTGGTTGAGATCACAGGGGAAGAAGGCGAAAGCAGCTCCGTCACCATCCTGTTCAACCCAAGTGCATTGCACTTTGCCCCCTTGGCGCAGATAGGCTTTTGTGTGGAGAATATCTGCGCCGATGCTTCCACCTACGCTCGAACGGGCGCTCCGCGCATAACAGACTCAATGCTGCTACCTTGTGACGGACGCAGAAGAGCCGCGTTGGCGGTTTATGTTGTTCCTCATAGTGCACCCCCTGTCACTCTCTCCTTGTATATCTCGGTGTTGTTTCCGATCCTAGGACCGAAATCTTTGAGCCCTGCATCCGGGTCATACAGAGGAGAGCACCCCAGTCCGAATACCGCAAAGATCATTGCATCTACTCTGCACGGGAACTTGGACATAGACCTGAAGCTCTACGCGTACTCGAAGACAACTGCGGTGGATTCCGGCCACAACAGGTTTCCCGACTCCGGCCGCTCTACACGCGACTCGAGTTTCTTCGCGGGCATTCCCCACAGCTAGATGAATGTAACTGTGCATGATGCGTAACAAAGATTTTAGCCGCTGATGCGCTTCATAGATCTAGCCGATCTAACGGGTATGACGACTGGAGAATCTGGCGCGTTCTCTGAGTCGATCCGCGTCGATCTGAAACGCCACCGGCCGATACAGCAGGACGAGACGTACGACGATTACGACTATGCTTCGGACAGCGATCTAGATGAGGACGAGGAAAGAGGAGACCCTGGTGAACAGTACGATCCTCGTCTTCTGCTCGAAATCCATGTATCTCATTCGTATCTGGCAGATCTTCCCTCGTTGCCAGCTCGGTGGATATCGAGGATCAAGAGCTAGAGCCGATGGGGACACACCAGATGGGATGGGCGATCACGGAGAAAGGCCACGCTTACAAAACGTAACTTCTCTGCGCCTGATCAGCATCTGCTGATCCCCTCCTTGTATACAGCTGGAACGCATTTTTCTACTATCTGTACACCAAGCGCATTCGTTTCGGAGCGCTCGCTGGACCCGGAGATGAACATACTCCAGTATGTTCTGCCAAGTCGATGTACAAGTTGGCGGACAAGGTGAGAGAGTCTCATTCATCAGACACGTGTTGGGTACTTGGTATGTTGACTCCTTGAGCTCCAGTTTGACTTGAGAGAACTGAAGCACCTTGCCGCCGACTCCATCAAGGCAAATCTGAACGAGAGTAACATTGTGAAGCAGTCGTTCTGCACGTTCACCTCGCTGTGCGTACAATTATTCCTCACGTGCCACAGGAAAGAGCCTCATGCACCGGTACAAGATTTGCGGAAATTCAAGAGATGCACGCAGAGATCCTTGTTCGCGAGCTCAAAAAGCCGGCTGTGATGGAGATGATGCAGTGCATGCATCGGGACATAGCAATGGGGCAACGGCCATTGGGATATGCCATGCTCTCCCTCGTGTCGCAGAAGTTAGTAGCGGCTGCGGTCTTTTTCGCTGATCCGCAGCCCGTGTAATCCACATTAATTCCGAATACGATCCAGATGTACTGGTACATACACACCAATTGAATGAAAAGGGTGTAGATGATAGAAGCAAGTTCAGGTCCTGCCGCGGATGCCTGGGTTGCATCTCCAGAGTTCTGATGCGGAGGGTAGTTCCAGATATGCATGTTCCGTAGACAGATCTCAGTCAGATCTCAGGGGTGAAATGGAGGAGAGGCGATGAAAGTTGAAACGAACTGTTGCGAGACCCGTGATCACTGAGGCAATTTCGAGACCATCACATCGTGCCAGCTCTGGCGGTGATCCTTATAGCTTCCATACATTGCATCGGAAATTCATCAACTGACACGCAGAGGTTGAATGGATGTGGATGCTCGATGTCTGTGTTCACGGACTAACACGCGTTGGGGAGCAGTCTTTTCGACTGCCTGTCGGTTTGCAGAACAAAACACGTTCTCCATGTAACAGTTGAACGTACTTACTAGCGTCAGTCGGGAAAGTATTATGTATGCAAGTACCTGATTTTCACTCAGAGCCCGGCTCCGAGACCAGTGCCAAGTGTTTTATTTGATGAAAAGTTGCCAAGCCGCCTGTCTTTTCGGTCCTTTGGTAAAGATCTGTGCGCTGTGCTCTCTGCGCGTTCCGAGAGCGATATCTGTTTGCAACATGGAAGCTGGTTTTTTGAGTCTTGGAAGATTCCGCTTTAAATAAATGGTATGTCAGAAGAGACTGGGCCAAACTAACGCTGCGTGCGAAGGATTCGCATGGCAGCGTCGGTCCAGTAGGGTCCAGTCCACAAAGTGTCGAAAGTCAATCAGCAGAAATTGATTGAGATAGGATATAGATCACGTCGATCCGGGATAAGCTACCTCGCTGGTTACTCTCGTGTACGACCTACGAGCATTATAGACTTACAGTATGGCGAAATTGCCCTCCTGAATCAGAGAAAGTATGTCAGAAACTCTCACGTTTTGTCCATCCCATTTGAACCTCCATGTATTGTATCTCTGATCTCGAGCTTTCGGAACCTGAGTATACTTTCCGTTTCTCATCAAAACCTAGGCTGCGATCGCGACCGATGCTTTGCAGATTCCCGCCCTCTCATACATATAATCTCAGGAACTTCGCAGGGGTGGGAAGATCTCGACGTGAAACCAGCGCCCGGCTACATGTCGATGGATTGGGAGACCGACTCTGAGGCCGTATAATAGTGCATCGAGTGAGCAACTGAATCTCCACCTCGATTCTCATTCGCAGCACTATGCGAATCAAACCCCACTCTCTTTTGGCATTTCTGCCGCTCATATCAGTCGCATCGGTCCAGGCAGCAACATGCACGAATCCGGTCGCCGGTGCGGGATCGCTCAGCAGTGAGTAGCTTGACCGGGACGGTTCATCCTTCGTTGAAAGAACTCACGGACGTCTAGGCCCATTCTGGATGGGGACTGCTTCTCTGCACGCCCATGGTAAGAGCACTTACAACCCTGGGTTCAAAGTGTGTGCTATCACGAGATCATTGATATCCCCTGACCAATGTATTCTCGCGACCAGGTGTATCGCAACGTAAAGGACTACGGCGTGAGTCCGCATCTTTGATTCAACGTCTACCGCTCGAACTCATGCGCCACTTGCCAGGCCGTTGGTGATGGTGTGGCGGGTGTGTCGATCCCTTGTCAAGGATCGACCGGCGACTGACGTGACGGTTTCCATCAGACGACACTGTCGCCATAAACAAGGCGATCTCAGATGGCGGAGCTTGCGGTCAGGGATGCCCTTCGTCCAGCGTGCGTCTCCATTCAGATCGTTTTCCACTGGCGCTTATCCGATTTTAGGTCAAGCCAGTCTTGGTCTATTTTCCCACCGGCACTGTAAGTTCGATCACACTCAAGTTCGATCACACTCTTGTTACTCACGTTAAACTACTTTCATAGTACAAAGTGACTGCGCCGATCATTCCGTGAGTTCTATATTATTCTACGCCCCGGAGAGTCGCTGACCCCTGCGTAGTTTCTACTTTACTTCTCTGTGAGTCAACCCATCTATGACGGGTGATCTCCCTTCCTCACTGTACCCTCCCCCAGCGTTGGCGACTACAATAATCGTCCAAAACTCGTCGCGGCCTCTAACTTCGTCGGGGTGGCTGTCATTGGTGTGTCATCAGTCTTTGTTCCGAGCTGTCCTAACTGCGTCGCTGATCAACGCTCGTAGATGGCGACCCATACGTTCCCGGTGTATCCAACCCCGACGGCAGCGGAGTTAATTGGTGGACTAACCAGAACGTGTGTCTCCTCTGCACCAATATTTTCTCTTCGCACGAGTGCTTAGCGCCACGACATAGAACTTTTTCCGTTCCGTCCGAAACTTCCAGATCGACGTCACAGCGGTCCCGCCTAACTTGTATGGGACGGCAATCCACTGGCAGGTCGGACAGGCCACATCGCTCATAAATATCGATATGAAAATGAGCACTGCGGCCGGAAACTTGCACCAGGGGTTCGTTCTTTGGTTCGTGAGAGTACTCAACTGCAACTCAAATGTACACAGTGTGTTCATGGAGAATGGGTCCGGAGGGTTCATGTCGGACCTCACCCTCGACGGGTTTGTCTCTTTTCAATTCTTTCCCGCCTTCAGCTGATCTTTGCGCGCTCAGCGGCAACTTCGGTCTATGGGTCTCAAATCAGCAGTTCACCGTTCGGAACGTCAAGATCACTCGTGCAAACTCGGCTGTTTATCAGTTGTGGAACTGGGGCTTCACGTGGCAAAATATCGTCATCGCGTGCGTTCTCGTGTTCACGTGACCGCGTTTGAGGAATCTGATCCTTTGTCAGCTCCTGCCAAGTCGGTTTCGACATCCACACTGGGGGAACGACGCTTGCTGATCAGGTGTGTTCCCGCCGTACGTGGTAGTAGTTTGCTTAAGATCATCGGCAGAGCGCTGGTGGTGTCCTAATCGTCGACTCGTCCGTCGCTGCGACCGGTATCGCTGTCCGAGTACGTGCTGCATACCCCTTTTGCCGCGACGCGCCCTGCTCAACATATCCTCTCCTACCCAGCTCTCATCCAGCCAACCAAAGTCGCTTGCAGGCTCCGTCGTCCTCGACAATGTCGCGTTCTCCGCCATCTCCAAGGCTACCGTCCAGGACCAGAGCGGCGTCCTCGTTGCTGGCCAGTCGGGGATCTACATCATCGACCAGTGGTTCCAAGGGAACATGTACTTTGGGCTCGGGCAAAGTGCGTCCAGAAGATTCACTCCATCTTCCTCTACTGAGACGGACGGATAGGCGCGGCGCACCTGTACAACCAGGGCACAAACTCGCTCGCCCAGAGCACCCGGCCGAGCACGTTGCTCTCGACGTCAAGCAACTTCTGGTTCACGCGCTCCCGTCCGCAGTATAACACGTACCTTGCCAGCCGTAGGTGTTTCTTACGTTCCCTCGCCTCGCACTCACGTGAATCACTGCAGAGTTCGTCTCTGTGATCGCCGATGGTGGCGCGGCGGGAGATGGCAAGACCGACGATGCACCCAAGATCAACGCCTTCATCGCGAAAGCGAGTCTCGCTCTTTCATTGTGCGTTATCAGAGACTGATCAATCTTTCGCCAGTTCGGATGCTCGAAAGTCCTCTGTAAGCCACCTGTTCTCTTCGCGCAGCTCGATTTCTTATGCGCCACAAGTCTTCGACGCCGGAACCTACCTGGTCAAGTCGACCATCAACATCCCACCGGGGACACTCATCGTCGGCGAGATGTTCTCCGTCATCATGGCCGGCGGATCCGCCTTCGCTTCCCAGGCGTCACCCACCCCGGTTCTCCGTGTCGGCAACCCCGGCGACCAAGGCACCGTCGAGATCAGCGACATTGTTATCACGACTCAGGGCGGCTCGGCCGGTGCGGTTGGTATCGAGTGGAACATTGCACAGGGCTCTCAAGGGTCGGCTGGGCTGTGGGATGTGCACATCCGTTTGGGGGGAACTACGGTCAGCGATGCTTCGCTACGATCTGCGTGATGCACGGCTGACACTTTTTCTTGCTGCAGGGCACCAACGTCCAAGTTTCGCAGTGCCCGACGTCGCAGTACAACCTCGTCTCGTGCGCCACTGCGTTCTTGGGCTTGCATGTCACACCCACCGGTTCCGGCTACTTCGAGAACTTGTGGGTCTGGAATGCCGGTGCGCAGAGTTCATGTGATTTGCCAACCTGTACTCATGGCCGTTAGACCACGATCTCGACGACCCGAACCAGACCCGTATCAACGCTTTCAGCGGTCGTGGGATTCTGGTCGAGTCCGCCGCAGGGCCTGTCTGGCTGTGGGGCACTGCGTCTGAGCACCACGTTTGTTCCAATGTGAATTCTCCTTCCGATCTTCGGCTCATTCCCACTCTCTAGGTCATCTACGAATACGCGTTTTACAACACGGAGAATGTCTTCGCGGGTCTCATCCAGACCGAGTCGCCGTACTACCAGCCCACCCCGAACCCCCCTGCGCCGTTTGCGACGACCCTGCAGTACGGAGACCCACCCGGCACTCGCGCTGATGCTCTCGGTCTCGTCGTCACAAGTTCATACAACGTCTTCATCTACGGTGCTGGCTTGTACTCGTTCTTCCAGGTCCGTCTTCTTTCCATTGCTTTCTCGATTCCGCTGCTGACTGGGCCAACGCAGACGTATGACCAAGCCTGTGTCCCGAACCGCAACTGCCAAAAGGACATGGCGCTGATCGACCAGGCCTCTGCTTCGATCCACATCTACCAACTCACGACCACCGGCACCGTGAACATGTTGACGCACACGCCCGACATTCCGGTCATCTTGGGCTCTGATAACATCAACGGGTACGCGTCGACAGCGACGTACTGGCGCGCCGGCTCGAATGTGGTCCCGCCGCCGTACCAAGGCTCAATCCCGGCGAAGGACTGCACGTCCCCGCCGAAGGTCGTCGGGTACTATATCGGAACGTACGTCTGCTCCGCCCTCGTTGTAACATCGACTGCGTGCTCATCGGACGGCCAGTGCTGCTGGACGGTCGTGTATGCCTTGGGCGCCGGATGCCACGGATTCGTCAACTTACACGGCAAGTGCTGTTAGATTATAGATTTCGGACGTCACCCTAACGAATGGAGCAGCACATTATCTACGGCTTTTTCCCTGTCGCCGCCGACGGCTCCGTGAGTATCACTGCCGATCAGAAGACGGGCTTTGCGACCGCCCAGAATATGAAAAACCAAGAGCCCAACATCAAGATCATGATCGGAAGTGCGTCTCGTTCCATCCCTGATCTTCGTTAGGTCACTCACTTCGAGTCCAGTCGGCGGATGGGGTTTCGGTGCCGACGCTTCCGGCTTCATCTCGATGGCTCAAGGACCGGGAACTCAGTCATTCTTCGCGTCCAGCGCAGCTGCTCTCGCGAACAGCGTCGCCGCTGACGGAATCGATATTGAATGGCCGATGTGCAAGGGCACCAGCTGTGTCACCGCCGCCCAGTTTGCGAGCATCGTGGCCAACACCAAGGCCGCTGTCGGCCGCAGCTTGATTGTCTCGGTCCATCTGCCCAACGACTTTTTCGATCTCACTGGACTGGGCACTGCCATGGGTTCCATTGCCTCGTATGGTCTGTGTCTGATCAGTCGCCGCACTAGGTCTATAACGCTGATTCTCTTCCTGCAGTCGACTTCATTACGCTCATCACCACCTACCAGTGGGCCAAGGCTGGTCAAATCGGTGATGCGAACAACCTGAATACGATCCCGAGCAACATGCAAAAGGTCATCTCCGCCAACTCGAAGATCCCGCCGAGCTTGTTCCTGTTCGGTATCCCCTTCTTCTCGCGGTGTGTGACACGTCTCATTACGCCTTGATCCTTCGTCTCATTGTGTCTTGTCCCTTTTAGCGCCATCACGGCATCCAACCCCCCGCTCCAGAGCTCTTGCCTCTCGAAGACCGATCTAGGACAAGGCACTTTCCCGTACTACGGCTTCGACTCTGTTGCCAACGGATATATCTACGACGAGAATGCGTATGATTCCTGGTTTGAGTTGCGCTCTGCAGGGAGTTGACCGTTTCTCAGGTTCCAGCAGTACGATGTGGCTCCCTCCAACTACCTACAATCGCTCATCATGAGCGACGGATCGGTCTTCTTTGCCGATTCGACATGGACGGTGGCTCAGCGCGCTGCGTCGGCAAACAGCCTGTGCATGGGAGGAGTTGCCGGTGTGTGGTCAATCAGCAGGATGGAGTGAAGCTCATGGTTCGTAAAGCATTCAGCGTCGACCAGGACAACATAGCCTCGGACCTCACGAACGGAATCTACTCCCTGGGCGGGTATCTCCCCACGGCGGATGCTGTCGTCAACTGTTAGTGCATGATCTCTCACGCATGTTCGAATACTCAGAATTGGCATTGCAGCTGTCGGTGTCGGCAACTCGATTGATGCAAACGGATACCTGAGTTCGGGAGCATATGTGTGTCGTTTTCGCTTGTGCAGATCTCTCGGGCGCTCACTGCCGGACAGGATACATTCGCTTCGAACGTTCAGTCCCAGTACCCGTTCCTGACTGCGCAAGACAGTTATCGGGTCCTCCTCCTGGGCGCGCTGTCCATCCAGTCGCAGCTCAGCAACCAGTTGTCGACCTTTTTGGCGGCTCCCGAGCTGACGGCCGACAACTTCACTATCTACAAACGCTGGACGGGCAAAGCTATCAACTTTGAAGTAAGTGTGTGCGCCCTTGTCATGGATTGTTCACAGACCTTGGTTAGATTGCCAGCCAGACTGGGGCTGGAAACAGCTATTGGTCCTGCTCGCCGTATGTGACCTGCTTGTTGGTACCCAAACCCTATTGACCCGTCCTCCTCGCAGATTCACTGGTCCGCAAGGCTCCTGCCCTGGTTATATCAACCTGAATGAGACACCGATCAACCCGTCGCCTCATCTTACCGGGTTCCCACAAATCCAGTGGACCTTGAATGACAAACCCGGATTCAAATCGTACCTCAATAGCTCGCTGGGCCTCAATCTGGACACGCTTGTTGCCGGCGGGTCCTTCGATGTGAGCCGTCTGAGTGAGTCTGACGTTTCGGTTCATCTTTGGTTGCTCTGTCTCAACGACGATAGGTGATTCTTGTACACACGGTATTCCGCCCCCGTGCAAGGGATGTTCTGTCGTCGGTGGACTCGCCAAAGGCGTCGAGGGCGCCAACGTCACTGCCCTTCATCAGAACAAATCGATGTCGAGCTTGGTCAGCAGCGCGGCCGTAAGCAGCTCAGCGGTCCGGACAGTCAGCAGTAGCGCGCATCCGAGTGCCTCGGTGCTCCCCACCACAAACTCGACCGCTCTGAACGTAACGTCCCGGGAACTGGTAGATCTCTCGAAGCGCGCTTCATACGATCCGTTGAATGTGGATGCCAACTGTCATACTACCTGGTGGGTTGCACGGTTCCTGCTTCTCATCCAGCGAGGACTCATCTGTTCCGCAGGAATGGACTGTATCTCATCGACCCAGACACGTTCTTCCACAACCCGAAAGACATCATCAATGCTTACATCGCTAGCACCGGTACGTCCGCATGCATCCTGATCTTTCATGGAACCTGACGCGCCCTCCCAGCGAGCTCTGTATCCGGCTACTCGAATCTTGCGCTTGACCCGACGACGGAAAGCATCAGCCTGATGTCCCTGCTGCAGTCGACGCTGACAGCCATCTCCGTTGGGAACCAGTCCATCACCAGCACTCTCTCGTACATCAACCAGACGCGGCAGGACATCCAGGAGCAAGGTATGTTGCGCAGTCGACCCACCGTCACGAAGAGTCCACTGACTATCACGTAGCTCAGTTTGAGGCGGAATCGCGTCGCTCTGTCCTTTCGATAGTCGAATCGATTCTCATGGTCGTCCTCGCTTTCATTCCTGGTGTCGGGGAGATCCTCGACTTTGTCGGCGGCGGCGTCGAGTTCCTCACGGCCATCACAGACATTATCGACCTCGCCTCGCTCACCAAGAATCTTGGCACCGACATCAGGGCACTCAGCTGGGTCGGCAGACTCGGGGACGAAGCCAGCGTTGCACGGGCTATGAGCGGTGTCGAGAACGCCATCACGGACGCGTCCCGTTTCGGTCGCTTCCGCTTCGGACAATCGGTTTCGAAGGTCGAGAGCAAGTTGCTGCAGTGCGCCGAGTCGAACATGGAGGGCTTGATTATGGATACTGTGGACCTTGGCAGCAATCTCGCCACTCTGGGAGCCCCTGCCGCCCGCCGGAGAAGTTACAACAAGCCGTCGATCCGTGAACTGCAGGAACGCGTTTTCAACGATACCGCGCCGGTACAGAATCTGACCTCGAGCGTTTTCGAGCCCATCCTCGACCCAAGACACTGGGAAGAGCTTGAAAGTCGTGCAGCCTCGCCACCTTGTCTATTCAACGTCAAGGTATGTTGCCGCGTTTTGACGGTTGCCCACTCTAAACGTGCAATAGAAATCCGGCCAACTCAAGATCAGCTCCACCGCATACCGGGCGTTGTGTGTCGCTGGCAACGCGAACATGGAGTTCCCCGACAGCTGGTCGATTCCAACATCGACCAAGACGGTCAACTACGTGACCTGCCAAGCTTCGGCACCGAGAAAGGGACTCTGCCAGTGCGACCATTTGTTCGAGGGTGAGTGAGAGATGAACTTGGCGACCTTGACATCTGACACGTCGCCCGCTAGCCTCCGAGTTCCAAACCGCCATGACTTCGTCGCTTTCTGCTGCCGAGCGCGCTGATCTCTGTGCGCTCACGTCTGTGTTCGGCAGCAGCTCCGGCGCGATCAAGAACATTATCAACGACAAGTCGAGTGCGCGCTGTTCCTCATGCTCGTCTGCTGTTTCTCACCCCGTTCACAGACTTCTGCGGTCTCTGGGGTGATACCGCACCAGGCGCCAAATTCAATCCAAATTCGATCAAGAGCAACCTGCTGATGTCGTATGGGACAGAGACTGCATTCCAGGATGCTTACGTGCGTGGGGATCTTATTCGTCGGCGGCTCGTTGCTCAACTGCCGCACAGACGAAATACAACACCGAGGGGCGGAATTTGATGTACAGCGTTGCCAGTGCGTGTTTACGCCGCCGGGTAGCCCGTTTCTTTGCTCACGAGCGCGTGCAGATGACCACATCCAGCGGTTCAAAGATGACCGGGCCAAGATCGGAGACAACATCGACACGCAGCTGCATGCATGGCACGCTCAGGTGCAGAGCAGCGGTTCCGCCTCCCAGAAGACAGCCTGGGCCAAGCTCTGTATGTGGTGTCTCTGTTACTGTGCACACAACTGAACAAGGGGCCGCCACAGACTCGCCGAACGCGGACGGGACCAAGAAATCGACGTTCCAGGCTGCGGCACAGGCGAACACGGCTCGCTCGCAGGCGATGCTGACGCGCATGGAGAAGCTCGCGAATCCAACCAAGCCGTCAGCGTCTGATCCGAACAGCCTCACGAGCTCGAGCGACACGGACGCCAAGAAGCAGGGCAAGCCGCCCAAGAGTGGCGCGGGCGATGGGTCCAGCAGCGGAAGCAGCTCTGCATGTGGCACGAACAGCGGCAAGTCGAACAAGCGCAAGCGGGGTCAGTGAATGCATAGCTGGCAATCTTGATAGTCTTTCTTTTCTTTGGGGGCTTTATAATTATCACACACGTTCTTTCGTTTTCAATAATCAGTTGTTGGACATGTTTTCGCGGGAATTGCGTTTTCTGAAGCTTGAACATTCATCTGGCCGAGATTTGTATGTGGATCGATGGGCTATGCTACTCGACGACAACGAGCGTCCTGGAGATGTAGCTCGGGATGGATTCCAGACCGGTCTTGGTAACGCTCAACAGGCAACAGATGCTCATACGACAACCGAGTTGACTGACACTCAGAATAAGCTCTCCGTGAGATATGGAACAGTGCATCCGTCGGATGGTATAAATGGCGACCCACTGCCGACCAGTCCAATCTCCATCCCTGTGGTCGTCTTCAACTTCTCCTTGCTTCCCTTTTGTTTCTCTCTTCATCACTCCTACTCAGTGCGCTGCGCGTACATTCCACTTTTCATTATCAAACATGTTTGCCTTCACCCAACGCACGCTCGCACTACTCGCCGCACCGCTTCTTCTCGCCTCGGCGGTTCCCGTGGCTCTGAAGGCAAGACAGGGCTTCTCCGGAGACGGTGAGGCTTCTCCAGGATCGTTGAGCTCCCAGTGACTAACGAATTGGGACCACGAACCGCAGGCACGTTCTTCGAGACCGGCCTCGGCGCATGCGGGATCTCCAACACTGATGCTGATTTCATCGCTGCTGTAGGAGCAGGAACGTTCGACTCCTTCCCGTTTGTGTTCTCTCTCACTGATGGAAAACCCGGGACTAAATCTCCATCCCAATCGCCGCTCAGCGGTGCCACAGCCAACCCGAACACTAACCCGATCTGCGGCAGACAGATCGTTGCCAACTGTGAGTCTCCTCCTGTTGCCCTGTTGACTGCCCTGATTCTCTCCCGCTCAACCATACAGTCGAGGGCAAGAGCGTGACGGTCGCAATCACTGACCGATGCGCGGGTTGCGCTGGCGCTGCAGACTTGGACTTTAGTCCCGCGGCCTTTGCGCAGCTTGCTGATCCCTCCGTTGGCCGCTTGACTGGCGTTACCTGGGATTTCGTCTGATCGTAGATAGGAGGGGGTCTGAACAAATGTCGATGTGTCCACAGGTGCCGGTTGATTGATAGATATTTGTGGATCATAGAGTGTAAGAAGGATAGAAACGTCCCCGGCAACTCCAAGGACGGTCTCATGTTCTCCAGAGACCAACGTCATCTACACTTTTCCGTTAATGGTGGCGGGAAAAACAATGGCCCCAACACAACAGGCGTCAATTCTTGCAACTATAGAAGGTTCCCAAGTCAATCGCTCGGAATCTTTCAGCGAGTACGACGGATCATGGGTAACACAACATCAGCGATCTTTGTGACCTGATCAACAACTTGGCCTCGTACGCTGCGTGCGGATGTTCTCGGTGGAAAGAGGGGGATGTCGACCTGACAGACGGTCCCGGGCGCTGGTAACGTGCCGTTGGCAAAGTACGCTTGCATCGCTCCGTGTGTACAGGCCGACGCCGCAACAATGGATGTATGTCCCGGGGAGTTCTGAGTGAGAAGCACCGACCCAGGAAAGAGGGTGCTTGCTTTCCTGGCCCTTGCGGACGGTGAGCCGAGACATTCAAAGGGAGTCTGGGAGGCAAATGAGCGCACCACTGCAGAGGTGTGATCGGATCCGCCGTATTGCCAATCACAAGCAGAGGATAACTGGTGTTGGCACCAACGGGTCCTGAAAAACGACCAGGACGATGGATCCGCCATCCGCTGTACCGTCAGAGGTGATCAGACACGAGAGAACAAGAATCCTTCACAAAAACGCACGAGCACCAAACCCTCCACTCGGCCCATATGTCCGCAAAACTCGACAGCTTTGCTTCGCTCTCATAAAATGCCCGCAGCTCGGGGATACGATCTGTAACAGCCACCGCATCGTTGCACGCCGTCGCGATTTCCGACTCGAAGATGTTTCCCGCAGCCGTGTTGTCGTCCCCGCACTCGAACTGGGCCGACTGGTGCGCAGCATATGTCGCATCGGGCTGCCCAGCAGCAAGTTGCGCGAGTTGGGTCGCGAAGGTCGAATACGAGTCGTAAGGGCTATACGTGGCGGCGAAGATCAGGTTGCGAATCCAGCTAAAGTCGATGATTCCGTGCGAGACATTGTTGAGCACCGGAATTGGCTGCGCAGCGATTGATTCCACCAGCGAGGTGAGATTGGCCGCGATCTCAGCCGCGGTGGGCGCGTAAAAGTCGCACGCGGCCGGTCCGGCAGCAACGCATCCATCATAGAACGCCTGCAGGGTCTTGTCCGCGTCGGTCATAGCTTCTGTGAGGTTGGCTGGTGCAGAGGATGAGCGAGATGGGTTATGGTATAGAATCCGACGCACCAGAATACCATGCCTCCCCATCCAGCACGCCATCAATAACCATCCGTCCGACGTTATCCTAGTCGACGTTGGTGCGCATTCAAACATATCGCACAACACTCACCGGAAACAGCGTCGCAAACGTCTGTCCCAGCACAGTCCCATACCTGAGAACCATGAAATCGACGCACTTCGACCGAAAGCGGACTCACGAGACCCCCCAATACATGAGCTTGTCTTGCCCAAATGCCTTGACTATCTCCAACATATCCCTAGCGACATTATCCGTTGAAATGTGCTTCAGCCAGTCCCCGGTGTCCGTCTTGACCGCTTGCTGTCCGATGAGCTGGTACTGCGCCCACTGGTTCGGGATGACTGTCGGGCTTGCGTTGTACGACGGGTAGCGCAGGTTCAAGTCTGGCGGCGTCCAGAACGCGCGTTCGGCGGCCGTCTCAAAAAAGGACACAGCAGGTCGCGAGTTCGCCACACCTGGGTTCGTCCGGTAAAACTCGGCAGGTTTGTTGGAGACGTGCAGCCTTACCTCGTGGATCGAATCCGACAATATCGAACTCCGGCCCCAGAAAGTCGGCGAATTGCTGGCCCACACCAACAATGGCAGATACCCCACTTCCTCCCGGTCCGCCAGGATTAAACAGGATCGGGCCTTTGTACTGGTCTGCAGGTGAAGTGGAGGGCAGGCGCACGATCGCAATGGATGCATTGCCGGCATCCGACGTGTAGTCGAGAGGAACCTCTAATTGTGCGCACTGAAGTGTCGAGTAGCAGGGTACCCAGCTCAGGGCCGCCGTAGCGGGCAGCTGAGAAGGATATGAAGCCGCCTCGTCATCCCACTCGAAAGGAAGAACTAACCGATTGCCAATCAAAATCTGTCTGAGCATGGATCCGCGCAGCTGCAATGGTCACAACGAGCAGTCTGCTGTACATCGATAACTTCCTGAGCATTGTGTTCTTGGACTTGCGCTCCCACCATTCCTCGAGGGTTGCATTTATACGCACTCCGCGGTGGAGCGCCTGGCATGCATCTGATGCGTCGGACAATCATGCCCGCGGCTGCAGTACGTAGAGGACAAGATTAGAATGTTAGCGAATCGCGAAGCCGAGGGACATAACTTACTGGTCTTTACGGCACCAACTGCGCTAGAAGTGTAGTTCCTGGGGCGTTGGGCGTCCCGAGTAACCACAGATGGGTGACATCAGAGTCTTGACGAGGACATGGATGTGCAAAGCATCTCTTTAGCTCTCTTGCGGACGAGTCTGAGTATTGTGCAATATTCGCGAGTGGAAGAAACAACGCAAGGCAGGTCTAGATAACAAAGTCCTGCGCGTGCATGGCCTCCCGATCACTCGTTCGAACCGCGTAGGAGTCAGCCTGTTGTCGAGACCAGTGCACCAGTGAGCAGCTTCTGCGTGCCGATGACACAGTTCCCGCGAAAAGTCTATGATGCCAGTGTGTGGCAACAGGACCAGTAAATCATCATCGGTCACATGCGCAGTTTTGCCGCGCGAAGTAACTTCCACTTTTGCAAGTTGCCTAGAACTTCCAAGCAGCGATGGGCTCGCTCCTCTTCTCTACAATCGAGGTCACTCGACAAGCCTTCTACCGCACATCCCTCTCCTACGCCATCGTCAACCTGAAGCGTAAAGTCTTCAAGTGGGATCCAGCCTCGTTCTGACCCATCGCGTCAGCCATCGTACCTGGACGTCAGTCTCTCCTTGAGCTGACCTCCAAGTCTTGCGCTAAACTGCGATCACAGATGTGCTTGTCATCCCCACGCGTCCAGTCCCGCGACTAAGTGACCTAGAGGGTGAGAGAAGACAAGTCTCTGCGGATTACCCGCACTAGGTTAATGTCTTCTCTAGAGCCAGAACTTACATCGCTCATGCTCGCTGTCAAACGTGTTGGAACGGTGCTCGAACGCGCTTACGGAGCGGACGCCCTGACGATCGCTTGTCAGGTTAGGATTCCGTCTCATCTCTGAGCACCTACGTTGTGGTCCGACACTCAACCCATATCCAGGACGGCAAAGCCGCCGGCCAATCCGTCCCACACGTCCATTTCCACCTACTCCCTCGCAAATACACGGGGGACCGGTTTGCTGGCGCCAACAACGACAAGATCTACCCCGCGCTCGAGAAGGCCGAAGCAGAAATGATGGCCTCAGAGCCTCTAAGGGTCGACGCGGATGAGGATCGGAAGCCGAGGTCGATGGAAGAGATGGAGAAAGAGGCCACCTGGCTCAAGTCGTTCCTCCAGGACTGAATGATATCGGAGGTTTCCATAGTCCGTCGACAATAGCATGCATGCGGGTACAACTCTAGGACTAGCAGGACATCGACGGCTTGAGTATGACCGCTGGTATAACCATGATACAGAAATAGATGCACAAATAAGTATGATAGCCTTCCTATGCCCCGTCATTACCTGCCCAATGATCAGTCGCCGATCTCGTCTGGCGAGAATACACTCACCGCTCTCCTTAGTCCAATCATCGTGTCTTTTGATATCTGACTCGGTGACAGTCGGCCTGGTCGTGGACAAGCTCTTCAAGAAATCGCCGACCCGCAAAGGCGGCTCGAGCAACTCGTCCGACTCGACCTCCGTCCAGCTCTTCTCTACAGCGTCGCCATCGCCCGGAGAACACGGCGTCCACTTCTTTCCACCCTCGGCCCGCTTGAAATGTGTCGCGGAAAGCACCTTCCGCACCGGCTGCATCAAAGCATCTCGCACGACGATGGAGATATCAGACCCAGAATAGCCTTCGGTCTTGTCTGCTAATACCCGGTAATCTTTCTGCGTCATCTCGCACGGTGTGTCGCCGACGTGCAGCTCAAACATGTGCCGCCGTGCTTCGGGTCCAGGAAGCGGAATGTATATTCTCTTCTCGAATCGTCGCTTGATGGCATTGTCAAGCTGCCAGGGTATGTTGGTCGCGCCGAGGACGAGCACACCTGTGTCGTCATGACCGACACCGTTCATTTGAACAAGGAACTCGGTCTTGATACGCCTTGACCCTTCAGATTCCCCCTCGCTTCGGGATCCCGCCAACGAGTCGATCTCATCTATGAAGATGATAGAGGGCTTGTTCTCGCGGGCGAGCTCAAATAGCTGTTTGACAAGTCTAAAACCGATTAGCAGCCCGCCAGTGATCCGAGCAGCAAGTCACGTACCGCTCGGAGTCTCCTTGCCACTTGCTGACCAGGTCGGAGGAACTAACGCTGAAGAACGTGCTATTGGCTTCGGTGGCGACGGCCTTGGCCAAGTAGCTCTTTCCCGTCCCAGGCGGCCCATATAGCAGGATCCCCCTCCATGGTGTTCTCTTCCCAGTGAAGAGATGTGGAAACTTGATAGGCAGGATGACGGCCTCTTTCAGAGAGGCCTTGGCGCCCTCCAAGCCCGCGACATCATCCCACTTCACGTTCGGCTTCTCCGATACGATGGCCTGAGATAGTGCACCGCGTAGTTTGTCCATCTCGGGATCAGTACCGTCGTCTCTGAGGGGACACTACGTCACTTGATGTGCGCAGAGATAAAGCGCAGCAGGCGTACTTCTTGCCCCCGTTCCCTGAGCCTCCACCATTGGTGAGCGCACTCTTCTTGTTTTTCTCCCCATTGACAATGTGCTCTTTGAGCGTCTCGGCCCGCTTTAGGTACTCGTTGATCTTTTCGCGGATGAGTGCACGCGATTTCTCGTTCTTCTCGTCTTCTTTCACAGTTCAGTGGCAGACTCCGGATTTCCAAGCACAGAAGCGCACGTACACTTCATTGCTAGCATGAAGTAGTCGAGAGAGTTCTGGTACTGCTTATAGGCTTCGGCATAGTTCTGCTTGACGTCTTCGTCAATGGCTCGTTGCACTATTTCGATGGCGCGCTACATTTCATGAGTTGAGGATAGAGCTCTCGGTTCACATCGACCTGTGCTTACGTCGAGGTTGGATGACATGGAGTCCAGAGAGGATGGTGGCAGGAGTAATCCGGGATTGATGGTGCTAATCCAATCGATCAGCGTTGTTGCTTGCTGCTGTTGTGTGCATCTTGCTCTTGGTGCGCGCATTTATCCAAGCGAGGCGCGTCAGTTACTTCTGCATGTTCCGGATACCGACATCCGCCATCTCTGGATCTCTCCTTTTTCGATGTGTCTCTCTTCCCATGAAGTGTTGGCTATTACTGGTGCTAGTACGTTCGCCGCTACGCAGGTGCAAGATGGGAATTGCATCGGCCAAGAAAATATGTGCACCGCCAGGAAATTCAAATTCTCGCAAACGACAGCAGTCCTCGTCTAGAACAACGACAGACTGGCAGCAACAGCTATCAGACACGCACGGATCTATGTTGCGCAGAACGTTCCTACGAGTCTGAGCCTCTTCGAATGCAGGGAGCGTGTGTCAGAAGATGCCTCCCAGTCATTACATGCCTTATTTTCGGCGGTATGCTCCTCGTTATGGACATTGTAGCGGACACTTTGCTAGCGTGGAAGCGCGTTGAAGGTTGGCTTCCATCTCTAGTCCCGCAAGACTTACTCCCAGCGAGTCTATCGGCGCGACTAGACTACCTGCACAAAGCGTGGTGCACGGTGACGATATAACACGAGGTCGAGTCGAACGAGACTTCGAGTTGGCTCATCTGGGTCCGCCTGCTGTTATTCTGAGCACTGCGCGCCTTGTCTCTTCTGATATTCGAAAACGTCTTCCTGTGTCCAACGCTACCGGTGCACAATCTATCCTTACACTGTCGACGCTCTAGAACACCACGAGACAGGATGCTGAAGGACAAGAGGTTATCTGAGTACCCGAGCAAATTGAGCACCAACTACTGTCATCCGAGTCAGCAAGTCCCGTCGCGATAGAGCCTCTCGACACCACCGCGCCAGGGCGGTGTCTACTACGCCGATCAAGCTTTATATCCGGATGTGTCAGCGACTTTGATCCACCGGCGGATTCCATGACCGATCGGAGATTGTTTCAGGTACTTACCTCGTCTGGGCAGCCTAAAAGATATAGCCTCCCATCGCATTCGGATCTAGCCACTGACCGGGTCCTGCTCAGAGGTATATGTGACTCTTTGTGGACCGCTCCTGCGCCATGACCGATCTGCACTCCTTTATTCTCAGGTACAAGCTCAAGCAATACACGAGCGCTGCCAGCAACAGAACGATGGCCAAGCTACAGAGGATCGGCACACCGATCACCGTGTCTACCTTCTCGTGATGTAGAAACGGTACTGGGAGGACAAGCCGCTTGTGGGAAGTCGAGTGCATCTTGACCGAACGAGGAGAGCGCGACATAACGCTGGTTCTTAAACTAGAATCCGTTCGATGACTCACAAAATCCGGAACCTTGGGGTACACCAGTGCTGATGTATACGGTACGTTGGAATCGATCTCTCTCGCCCGCCTCCGGTTTCACCACAACCCTGATGAGCGACTGTCTGAAAGCAATCGAGCATGTTCGGATACTAAGTTCCGTTCAGGGATCGCACGGGATCCTGCAACTAAGGTATTCATAGTGTAGCGCAGCGCGGGCCCAGTCTGGCCGACCACGCTCGCAGTTATATCACGCAGGCTCACTCCAAATATGTTTGTCTCTAGAACGCCGACATGCTTACGAGCGACACAGAAAGGCATGTAATTCCAGTGTGGCTCGAAATCGAGCAAAGCCATTGCGGGATCCCGATATATTTGTGGTTGGTGGTAGCTTCATGAGGTCCTAGTCACCTCAGGTGATGACCGGCCTGAGGATGAGACATAGACCGGTTATAAGTATTGCACAAACAGTGCAATCAGCTGGGCATGTCACAGTGCTTCAAAGGTTGGCATTCATACATGGATAGATTACCAATGGCACTGATTCGTCCGATTTCGGAAGGCCCAAATTAGGGGAAGTATCATCGTCGGCCGAGAAAATGAGCAAGTTCGATAGACTATTTACGTTTGATTGAGGTCATGTGACCGCGCCCCAGGAGTGTGTGATATCGTAACTATACCGTGTACTGCTTTACCGCGTACTTTTATACTCAGCCGAAACGCGAGACTTACAGAGCACAATCGCGTCCGCTGCGTGACTAAAAAGTGCCGATCTCCATTATGTAACGTGCCTCAAGTCAATGCTTCAAACGTCTCAGCGCAGAATCCTTCGAACAGTACTCCAAAACTCACTGTACTTGGGTCCGCCTCCTCCCTCCGGTGTGGTCCACGTGATGTCCTGCGTCGGAACTTTGATATCACACAGCTTGCAATGGATGCAGTTCTGCGAGTTGATCACAAGCTTCGTGCCCTCGGCCCCTTCGTCCTCATTCGCGTCATTTCCCGGGACAACGTGCCGCCCGTCATCCGGAACGTACTCGTAGACACCCGCAGGACACGCGCGTTGCAGCAGCCCCGCGTATTCGCCGTGGTTGGTGTGCACATGCGATCGTCGCCGGGAGGCCGTCTCTGCGCTGTCGGGGGACGGACCGACCCCTCGCATCACCCGCAGGTGCACCGGCTCGCCCTCGCTGTGGTTGGTGCCGGTGAGCGTGACGCTGCTCATCAGATCGGTGCTCAGCGGGGCCTCGTAGGCAGGGTAGGCGATGGGCGAAAACTCTTTTGCGGGTTTCGTCGACAGCGCGTCGGGAGAAGAGGCCGATGGAGAGCCCTGCTCACCAGGTGAGCTTAGTCGCTATCATTGGAGCGCTGCCACGCACCGAGTCCTTTGGCACGTGATGCTTCAACGTCCAAGGCACATTCCCGCGTAATATCGTATCCATGCCAGAGTACAGGATTCCGCCCAGCTGACTCCACCGCGTGCCGTGCCCAAGCAGCCCAAACGAAGGCCTGACGTTCCGAACTTCGTACAGATCTTTGTACACCGGCGACTGAGGAAATGCGGTCGAGTACGAGCTCAGCGAGATAATATCATCCGTGGTTTGTTCTTGGAGAGTGTGAGCGATATGTATGTGGCAGGGAAAGGCGCATACCAGCTGGTGTCAGCGTCACTCCAGGAGCTCCTGTCGAAGTGAACTTAGCCTCGGGATATAACGCTGCAAATGCCGACTCGGCAGCAAGCATCCCGGTCTGTCGGATATTAGTCGATGAAGCGAGACAGAGATCGACCGCACCCTCATGGCGTTGTGGGTTCCCTTGATCTTTGCAGTATTCACGACACCGGCAGAACATCTGTGAAACGATGAGCGATGAGGACAGGAGAAACCAGGTGACAGAACTGACCCAATCAAAGCACCACCGGGGAAATCCAATTTCGGCAGGCTCTGCAGCCCGCCTTCTGTCAGAGTGCGAGCACCGTATGCCAGTCGCTCGCTTTTGCCGCCGAGCAGCGCTCGGTAATGAGGGTGATGTTTCATGCGCTGCCAGGGAAATCAGAGATGGAAAATAAGCAAGAGAGACCAATAATCACTTGAAGCTCCCGGTATGGTTCCAGATACGGATTGGGGTAATCTAGACCCACCACAAGGCCAATACTCACGAGCCCGTCTGCCATATGGTATTCCCATCCACCACCGTAGGTGTTGCTCTGTAGAGGCCAACCTATCGTGTGCACGACTTTCCCAGGTACGTGCTTCTCCGGCTCCACGCGCCAGACCTCTTTCAGCCCGATTCCGTACGTCTGCGCCTGTTTTCCTTCCCGCAGATTGAACATCGAGATCGCCGTCTTCGAAAGCGAACCATGGGCACCCTCTGCCAACAACGTCGCTTTGGCTCGGAAGGCGACGCCAGGCTCGAACCTCGCCGATTTAGTGCGCGCGCGCGTCACTCCGGCGTCATGCGTGACGACGCCACGCACCTGGCCGTCCGTGAGGAGGAACCGCGCGCCAGCGAAGCCGGGGTAGATCTCGGCACCCAGCTCCTCTGCGACGCCGCCGAGCCAGGCGGCGACGCGGGAGAGACTGACGATGTAGTTCCCTGTGCCGCTCATCTGCGGCGGGTGGGGTATGGGAATCGCGTGCTTCTGCGTGAAGAAGCGCATCGTCGAGGACGTGACGGGCTGCTTCAGGGGGTGGTCGGCGGCGTCGCGCCAGTCTGGGAGCAGAGCGTCCAGTGCGGATGGCTCGATGACAGCCCCAGAAAGAATGTGCGAGCCGACTTCGGCTCCCTTCTCGAGCACCACTACGCGCACTTCGTTCCCGGTCTCGGCTTCGAGCTGCTTAAGTCTGATGGCGGCGCTGAGGCCGGCAGGCCCGCCGCCGACGATGCATACATCCACGGATTCTTCTTCGCGAGGTTCGGCGTCTGGGTCGTACAGCGAGGAAGAGGTGGAGTTGGCGCGTGAGAATGAGAGCGTGGGTGTGCGGAGATGAGGGGTCCGTAGACGACGAGGTCGTAGGTGCGCACTGCGCACAAACATGGCAGCAGAGAGAGTAAGGTGGGGTGGTTCATGTGATTAATTCGGAGCTTAAGGCCGAATCGGTCCGGCGCTTGGTCCGACTTGGCTCATCCAAGGTCGAATCCAGTCCCTTGCGTTTACCGCCGATGTTTTGAGGAAGTTGAAAACAGGCCATTTGGAGAACATCTATGAAAGATTCCGAATGATCATTGCGCAAGACCCAGACTCCGGTCCATGCCGGTCACGAATTTTGATTCGACTCGAATGAGACACACTGAACGATGCGTGTAGTTCTAGATGTAGAACTTGCGATAATTTTGCCAAGGTCAGCCATGCATTTCTCCATGCTTCTCCAAAGAAGGCTTTGAATCAGGTCCGAATGAACATGTCGATTGTCAGACTGGCTTTCCGGTAGACGTTTCACGACAAAGATTCGATGGACTGCCGAGTAGGATTGCATTTTGGGCCGTGTTACAACGCAGAACGTCTTACAACGGATATTCCTGCTAATCGTTGATCGCCAGCCACAACGGACCCGTGTCCTCAAGTGAGACGTGCACCGACACTCCGACAGACACTTGGTGCTACCTCCGAAGTTTTCATTCATGCACACAGAACCGTACGCTTGGAAATGGTATATTGGGCATTGATGGCGGTCCGATCTCGCATGCAATATGCAGCCGGGATCCACAACAATCCAGGAGTATCAAGAAGGCAGAACCTAAGATCGTTTGCATTCGTGTCAGGCTGGCAGCCTCCAAAGGGCGACCGGATACTCAGATTCTTGTCGCGCTCGTGCTTGTGGTCGAGCAGGTCAACTCTGACCAAGCCATGGACGACTACGGTTGATCCTCGGTGACCCCAGAACGGGGTTCTGACGTGTCCTCTCGAGTGGCCGGCGCTCATTTGTTGGCCCTGTCAGTCTGGGATCTATCCAGATTTCGGCCGGCAGTCGGGTGCGAGGAAGCAGTGATAAGCAGCGTCACTGGCCCCAGAACATGATAAGTACTTAGTGCAGTCTTGTGATGGATTCATCATCGGATGGGACGGGGAGCACTGGCCGAAACGCCCAGAGAAGCTACTGCACTGATCTGTGGCGCTTGTCGATGGAGTATGTGGTCATGCAGAGTGCGGTTTGTTCAGAGTGTGGGAATTGAGATTCGTCGGTACCTGGCCAGATCCGGGTGCAATCGGGTCGGGCTGGCAAGCGCAGTCGTCGTGGAAGGAACTCGAAGAGCCGGATACATGATGCATGTGCACTCGGTGCCAGGCTCAAAAATGACGGCAGGCCTGAATTCTTGACCTTAGAGATACTTGCCAATGCCCAATTCGAAATCGGATGGTCGTTGCTGCCAGTGAAGCGGCTGAGTACGTGACGTGACTGTAACGTGTGATTGCAACACATTCGTGCTTCGCCGTCGTCGTCGTCGTCGAGGAGTCTCTTCTTCCTGCTAGTGCTCCATTACGAGCACACAAAGTACGCGTGATACAACTTTGCGAAATGCTCGTCCCTGATCGTCCTTAGATCCATAGACCTCGGGCCTTGGGTCGATGGCCATTCTTGCTCCTCCGGACTGGCAGTATTCCCTAGGAGAGCCAGCCATGGACAAGGCCCCATCCCCATCCTCTTCCTCGACCTCTTCTGGACCGCACCAAGGGCAACGCAACCAGCAACCAGCACCGCACCCACAACAACAGCAGCCATACACTTTCCAGCAACAGCCCCAAGGCTCATGGACGCCCTCCGTCAACGCCGCGCCTTTCTACCCCGGTGCATTCTACCAAAACTCTCCCCTCCCCCCTGGAACCCCACCACAGATGTTCCCCGGTCCCACGAACCCGTATTTCGATCCAGCTAATGCCCAGCTGGCGCAGTGGGCTTATCAGCAGATGATGTTCAACGCTCAGCACGCGCAGGCCGCCGCCCAGCATGGTTCTCCATCTGAATTCTCGGGCCAGTTCCATCCCTTTCAAGGACACGGTCATTTCAATCCCTTCCCCAGTGGCACTCCCCCACCTCGCTCCAATGACGCCAATGGCCCGCAGCCTTACGCTGGGTACCATCCGTACCGGCGCCCGTCGCGCCAGCAATCGACAAGCTCGGAACCGGCGCAACCCGCGCAAGAATGGAGGCCGCAGCCGCCTTATTCGCGGTCAGACGCGTCTGGGTCATCCAGTTCGGTCAACTCGCAACAAGGCCGGCAGCGCACAAATAGCAACAACAGCCAAGGGCGGAGCACGCACTCGGCGTCCCCTGTGTCAAGTTCGAGCTCACCGCCGGGGCCTCCGCGGATTCCTCATCACCGAGCAGGATCGAGTTCATCCACCCATAGCAACAATTCAGCAGCTTCGTCTTCCATTCCAAACTCGAGTTCCTCAAGCTCTCAGCAGAAGGTGGCACGACCGAGTCCGCTATCACAGGGTGCTGTTACTCTACCTACTCCCAGACCAAGTACCTCTTCCCTCGCGCCGTCAGTGCGAGCTGAGCGGCGGATCTCCCGAGACGACTCATCGCTGGCGCTGTCTTCGCTGTCTTTGTTGGCGACGCGGGAGGCGGCCGCGCCTATCGCCAAAGGGAGTGGCCTCAAAGGCCGCTTACGTCGTGCGCTGTCGTTCAATGCAAGTCTGGCACTCAAGGAGGAAGTGGGTGTCGGCGAAGAGGAAGAGGGCGGTGGAGACGACAGCGATGAGAGCATCAAGGCGAGCGTCGTCAATCCTACTCCGAAAACGCCAGCAGTGATCAAGAACGCGACACGATCGGCTGCATCAACAACAGAGAGCCCTGTCGCATCTCCTGCGAGTGGCCAGCAGGTGCCGATGCCGAAGAAAAAGTCGCGCGCGGCGAGTTTGTTCAGTAACGCGCGGTTGAACGCGAGCACGGACAACATATCTTTGAGCAGCACGGTTTCGAGCGCGAGCGTGATGATTCGCAAACTCGGAAGCATGGGCCGGTTGGCGCGACGAAACAGTCTTGCGGGGATCACGGGCCTGTTTAAAGACCGGAAGAAGAAGGACGAGGAGGGGGATGACGATGGCAACGCCGCCGGGAACGAAGGTGGGGACGGGGGAAAGAAGGAAAAGAAGCGCAAGGAGAAGGAGAGGAAAAAGAGCGGAAAGGGGAGCGCCAGCGAAGCCAGTGTGTCCCATGCGACGGCTGAGCTCGAAGCGGGCGATTGGAGCATCCCTGGTGCCGGAGCCGACAGCCTCACTGGCCTCAGTCCGGCCGCGAAGCTTGCAAGACAGCACACGCTCAAGACCAACGCGGAAGCAGCTGCAAAAGCTAAAGAGGCGGCGGCGAACAAGACCGTTGCCGATTCGGGTGTTCCGACTTGGGAACGAAACACGGCCACTCGACGCGGCGGAGCGACGACGGCTGTCGCTGAAGATGGTACTTCGGTTCTGGTTGAGGAGGATGACAGTGACGATGATGCCCATCCGGTTTCTTCGGCTCCTCAGCAGCAGCAGCAGCAGCAGCAACAGCAACAGCAACAGCAGTGGGACGACGAAGATGATGAAGAATGGGGGCTGCTTGGTGGAGAGGAGGATGACACCATCAGAGCCGACCTGCCAGAGGAGGAGAACGATGAATTCGAGCCCTGGGCGGTAGACAATCGGCGCAGTATGGAGCGAACAATGATTCCCACTCGAGGCATTCTCAAACGTTCGTCTCGATCTCCTTGTCTGCCATCATGACTAATGTTTGGGCTCCAGATGCAGGGACGTACGATCAGACTTCGTATGAAACTGGACAGTTGCAGCCCACATTGCGAGCCCGATCGAATTCTTACAACAGCACCGGACAGAGCGAGATGGGACCGCTGGCGCGCATCCCCAGCCCCGATCCGGATCACATCGATGGGCTGCATCGGCACGGGAGTCACTCGAGTCACGATTCTGCGAAACGGAGCAGTGTTCCGTCGCTTCCGCCGTTGGACTTTGACTCGCCGCAGGTGACGCCGACGGCAACGACGTACGCGCAAGCTGGACAGCAAACGGCCCCCGCTGCATCGTTGTATACGCACCCAGCGATGAACTCGTCTGCTCCGACGCTGTCTACTCTGGGGCTGGGTCCTGCGCCGGGTGCTTCTGCTGTGCCGCGATCTGCGACGCTGCCGGCCAAGAAGCATCTGGCGTTCGCGAGCAATCTGAGCGTGTACGACACGTTCAGCGCGACTGTGTACGACCGACGGAGCGAGCCTGCGACTTGGAGCAGGCTGACACCCGCTTTGGCGCAGCGCATCAAAGAGGAGCTCAACAGCTACAAGATGGAGGAGATGGAGGTCCATGCGTCGAGTCGCATCCAGTGCGTGTTGTGGATTTTGTGCCTCCGAGCGATCACTGACGCTGGCTGCAGCACCCAATTCTTCGTATAACCTGATGTATATTTATGCAGGATCGCATGCTCATCATCTTACGAAACGACGAGACGAGATATCTATACCATACACTTCTTATTCTTCTGCAATCCAATGTCACTGCTGTCCATTCCTTAATCTGCTATCCCCATTCCTTTAGTCGGAGCCCTCGCAATCTCTCGCACACTCACACACTCATTCCAAGTATCATCCACTCACTCCCGTGTACCCAAAGCAATATCTGTATATATCAATTATGCATGAAGGCGGACATTGACTGAAATGAAATCAGTCTTCACGCTGCTGAATCTCTCTTCAAAGGTGTGTGACGTTTCCTGGGAACAAGCTTCTCGACTTCAGGCCGTAGTGTCAAAGGTACAATCGTTGGTCATATCTCTGAGATTGGTCTCAATGAAGCAGTTCTGGAAATAGATTACGACTCCTGCATGCCATGGAAATAGTTGGAAAGACGGTTGGGCCCGTGGGTTTGACCGTGGCCAGACCGGAGCTTCAAAATTTGCCATGACGATTTCCTTGCACCACTGGCACATAATCAGATGCCATCATCGTATAGTTCGGGGAAATGGCGCCCTTCGAGTTCCACGACCTTGCTCAAGAGCTGATCGAGACAATTCTCGATTTCCTGCACGATGATCGGCAAGCCCTCATCAATAGCAGTCTCGTCTGTCGCAGCTGGGTCCCGGCGACTCGCCACCACCTCTTCTATCGCGTAACACTGAATCGGTTCCACTATCGACCCGGCCTCCGCCTCCGCGACACCGCGGAGCCCTTCCTCGAGATCTGCCGGTCCCCGCTCTGCACGATTCTGCCCGCGATCCAAGATGTGCTGCTGAACATCAACACGATGCACTCGCCCACGGCCCGGCTCGTCGAGGCGATTCTGGGTGTGCTGTCGCAGGCCCCGGTGCGGCGGGTGGTGTACGTCGACCACACGCCGGGCTTCGCCCCGCCGATGAGGCTGGCCTGGATGGCGCGCCACCTGCCCACGCTGGAGGACTTTTCCTACAACGGACTCGACCAGTTCGCGGCGGACGCGCTCGCGTTCGGGCTGCTGTACGACCCGCATCTGCGCTCGCTCGGGCTGTTCTCTGGGTCCCGCGAGCCCGCCAAGGCGGCGATCTCGCAGTCCAAGCCGTACCCGACGATGCCGCCCGGGGCCTTTGCGCAGCTGACGGCGCTGCGGCTGCGGCTGTACGCCCCGGAGATGGAGGAGCTCATGGCCTGGCTGGTCCGTGCGGGTGATCTGCCGAGTCTAGAGACGTTCCAGCTAGCGGTGTTCCATTGCCGGCATAACGGCTGGGGACCAGTCACCTCGCTGAACGCGTTCCTCGCGGACAATGGGCCGCATCTGAAGGACGTCGGATTCGTCGTCAAGCATGAGGACTCGGATGGCGATGTCGAGGAAGAGGTGCTGTTCCAGCCTAGCGACGGAGATAGTACGTTCATGTCTCTGCCGAGATTCCGTGCTTGACTTCCGCAGTCGATCTAGGCGCATGTACGAACTTGGACACCCTGCTCATCCAGACGCATGACTTTGCCGCCATCAATGCTGTTCTGACCTCCCTCCCCGAATCGCCGACTCGCGCACTGGAGACGCTGGTGGTCGATTTCAGCCTGTGGATCTACTGGGACGAGTTCCCGTGCCACTGCGACGAAGCCGCCGAGGAGAACATCACCGCATTCATCAGCGTCGTTTCGCAGGAGCAGTTCGCCCAGCTGCATTCTCTGCAGGTGCGCGTGCCCGAGTTCTTTGGCGAGCGCGGGAGGCAAGCCTTGCGGGAGTATTTTCCCAGGCTCAAGGACTCGGACGTGCTCAGAATCGACAGTAATGAAGAATTCATGATGGAGGGAAGCTGGGAGAGTGTCAACCATATGATGTTCGGTGAGCTGACTGCCGGATGCTTCGCTTAACGCTGTATCCTATGTGCAATAATTTCCCCCCCCCCTCATCTCACATCGTTCTCCTAGCCACTAGACTGACGAGACACAATTGAAATCGTGCCTTTCCTTCCCCTGGCGGACGAGTTGGAGCTCCATGAAAGCTTGGAATGTTTGAATGAGCGATGGGAAGGAAATGATGATGAACTCTCTCGAGGGACTAGCTCTGCTCCGTTCTGCTTCATTGAATACCTTGAAGCAGGTCAGCGTCGTGACTCAAGGTCAGAACAAAGCTGGAATGCACGTCAGTACGCTGGATCGTCTGGTCACTGTGTTATTCGAGTCAAGTGAAGAGATATCGCCGATTGGACTGGCGCACAGCTCGCTTTCATTGAATGTCGGCGACTCTGCAGACGAAATCGCAGAGAAGGGAGCATATGTACGAGAGCGAAGTACTCAGGATTGGAACCCAGAATGCCAGACAGATTACAATGTCCAGATGGTCTCAAGCAGGGGTTCGTAGCTAGGTCACCGTTGTCGACAAGATGCTTCGTCGCGACCGGATTCATAAGCCCAGGCAGCTCGCGAGAGAGAAGAAAGCCGTCGTCTATGATACTAGTTTACAGCCTCCGGTAAGGAAGGATGAGTGATCAGAGTGCAGCGCTTGGACGGGAGGCCAGTCGTGGGGAACGAAAGATGAGCGGGCGGACGGAAAAAGAGTCGGCCAGACCACAAACAGAGAGTGAGTTATCTCAACGACTGTAACGCGAGATGATCGCGACACATTATGGTTGACTCAGAAGGGAATGCGACCTCTTCCTTGGCACGAACCCACGATGTCGACAGCTAGTCCTCCGGGATTGGATCCGCGGAAAGGCGTCGAAGTGGCCAAAACGATTTGAGGACGAGGCGCCTACAAAAAGAGGCGTCCAGAAAACTGCTGAACGCAAAGAGAGCGGATCGATACACGCACAGTACGGTGGCTTTCCGGGACCGGCGCAGCCAGGTAGCCGTACCTCTCCTTCGCTAAATCCGCTTCTCCAAAAACTGGCGTTCTTCCGATTCCTGGGTGTGAGCGACCGGCGGAGTGCAAAACGATTGACGACACGTGGGGGGACCTGACAGAAGATTGTAGGCACACAGGCGGAAAGTGCAGAGACGGCTCAACAGACCTTGAGCCATATGCTCTCTGGAACAGTGTCGAGGCCCGGCATGTGCGACAATCGACATGAGAGGGAAGCTGAAAGACTCAGGACTTCTGCTTCTGCTTCTCCGACGAGTATACCAGGGAGAGCCTCGAGAAACAGAGCAACACCAGCAGCCGTTGTGTCGTGGATCCGGCAACAGAAAGGACGTTTACTATAAGCACAAGGCCTAGGGAAATTGAGGTCGAAGGGTAACGCCATCCGACCGATGATGACAATCCGGTCCTCGTGCACGGGCCAAGAGCCATTGAATCCATGACCATGACGGGAAGTGGATCGCTCGATCGTTGGGTTGTAGATGTTATCCAGTGGGCAGCAGGGGCCCAACACGAACGACTGAGGGAATGTCGAGGACATAACGATTTCGGTATCAATCGACCGCAGCAGACAAGCCTTAGCCCGCACACATCCATGCTCACCACCCGCCATCTGTCCAGGCCCAGATAGAAGGATAGATCAGGACCAGCAGAACCTTGAGAGTTACGAATATGGCACGGGGTTGTACGGGCGGATGCATCTAGGATTGCATCCGTACCAGAAAGACATCTGGTAACGTATCAGCCTCGGGAAGGCAATTCAGACGGCCATCCAGCCTCATAAATTCGGTGTAGTCCTCACATGAAAATGCTAGGCAAATAGACCAGCAGAGTGTGCGAGAAAGAATCGGGTTTCTAGCGACGTTGAAGCACGAGGCATGATAATGCTTCCTGTCTCGTGAGTCGCAGCACGTTCAGACCGGATTCGCTGATGGGCCTGGTGAAGGATCGATACAGAGATGTCTCCCAGACAATAGGAAAGCCGTCGCGGATGACGGGAGGGCGGACCGAGTGTAGAAGATCGTGCACCTAGATTCAAGAATGTCTCCTGGTGCGCCCTGTGATCTGTCTTTGAATCGTGGTGGCGCAAACGCAGAAGAGCCCAGGAGAGCAATCAAAGTTATCGACCCTCCCAGAAAGTACTTGACGGCGGCCAGTAACCGCGATCCTCAGTAGGCTGGAAGCTCCTGTTGCATTCCAACGTGCGAACTCTGGATGGAGATAGATCCATGACGGACAATATATCAGTGATATGGCGCTCAGACATGGCACGGGGTCGGATCCACTCTTGTCCGCTGAGAAAATGGTATTCGATGACCGGAGGCAAGTTTTCGCAAATGGTGCGGATCAAGTGGCCTCTCATTGTGTTGCTGACCAGGTTTATACATTGGCAGACAGAGGGAGAGCACGCGTTCGGGACGCCTTGCGTCGCCGTCTAAATGACGTTACAAAGACAAACACGACACTTGAAGCCAGATAATTGCGGTTTCCGAAGGCAATGTATTTTGATGGGAGTGCATAAGTGTGCGGAAAGCAAAAAAAAACATGTGCCATAAAGAGTGAAGGGAATGAGATCAGTCGAACAGTCCGAAGCCCTGCAGTCCAAGTCAGTGCCAGATCAAGCCGTTTCGGGTCGAAACTGCGCACCATGTCATCGTCAGACTCCTCCTTCTCCTCCTCCTTGGCTTCCTCCTTCGGCGCCTCCTCAGCAGCGGCGGCACCACCAGCGGCACCCGAGGGTGCCGAGGCAGCGGGTGCGCCTCCACCAGATCCAACGTTAGATAGAAGCTCCTTCACGTTCTTTCCCTCAAGAGCTTTTGCGAGGAGGGTTGCCCAGATCGGCTCGAGTTCAATCTTGGCGGCCGTGGTCAGGGTGACAATTTTGTCGGCCTATCGAGGCAGGGTGAGCGGAGATGGGCAATAATATCGATTGGTTGACGCACGGTGATTTCGATTCCCTCATCAGCGAGGATGAGGGCAGCGTAGCTTGCGGCAAGTTCTGTGGACTGAGAGCGCCAAAGTCAGCATTGTGACAAGCAGGAGGGTATGGGCAAGAGACGAAGTACATCGCGCCTCGAACGAAGCAAGACTTACCATTGCGAGAGAAGTGGGTCGTCGATGAGTTTCTGAGTTGCCTGACGAAATCTCTGATAGGTGTGGCTGTGAATATACAGTACCATGTGACAGAGTTCGCGAGTGATGCATGATGTGGTCAAGTGATGGGATTATGATGGCTGGTGTTCGAGGGCGAGCGAGATATGTTTCGCCTTGGTTCTGCACAGTTGTGTACATGACTGCATGACCGAAAGACTTTGTCAACACCGACCGCCTACTCGGACCAAAAAAAAAATGCGTAGTCTACGCTTGAGGGTCCCTGCACAATCTCCTAGAATTGCATAGGACTTTATCCGCTAGTAGCCGGGAGAGCTCAGAAACCCTCTAGCCAGGTGCACCTCGGATACAAGACGAAAAGCAGATGCATTACTTCCACAGTTTTCTAAACCTAAGCTAAGGCTACATTGGTGCATTAGAAGCACTCTGTATGACACAATCAGTCCAAAGTTCAAGGAATCACAAACCAACATACTGCGGTGAACGATACCAGGGCCAGACTCGTCGTACTCTTGCTTCGAGCACCACAGGTTTTGGAACGTGCTCAGCGACGACAGAATCGATCCACCGATCCACACAGAGTACTTCCGCTCCGGAGGCGCAACGATCTTCACCTTCATGCTCGCGGGCGAAAGCGACGTCAGCTCTTTCTGCATACGGTCGGCAATACCCGGGAACATCGTCGTTCCACCAGACAGCACAACGTTGCCGTACAGATCCCGACGGATGTCGAGATCGCACTTGAAGATCGAGTTGAAGCTAGGATAGAGGTCAGAAACGAGCAGGGATGCTGTCGAGACAAACAACACACGTCGTCTCGTGGATTCCGGCAGCTTCAAGACCGATAAGCGAAGGCTGGAACAGAGCCTCCGGAGCACGGAATCGCTCAGGACCAATCGTGATCACCTGTCCGTCAGGGAGCTCGTAGCTCTTTTCCAGAGCAGATGACTGCGCCGCAGTGTGCAGCTCCTGCTCAAAGTCGAGCGCAACGTAGCACAGCTTCTCCTTGATGTCCCGCACAATTTCACGCTCCGCAGTCGTCGTGAACGGGTATCCGCGCTCAGTCAAGTTCTTGATCAAAAAGTCGGTCAGATCACGCCCAGCAAGATCGAGACGCAGGATCGCGTGCGGGAGCGAGAATCCCTCGTAGATCGGCACCGTGTGCGACACACCGTCACCAGAGTCGAGCACGATACCGGTCGTCCGACCAGATGCGTACAGCGACAACACAGCCTGGATCGACACGTAGAACGCAGGCGCGTTGAATGTCTCGAACATGATCTGCGTCATCTTCTCCCTGTTCGCCTTGGGGTTCAGGGGTGCTTCGGTCAACAGCACAGGGTGCTCCTCCGGCGCGACACGCAGCTCGTTGTAGAAGGTGTGATGCCAGATCTTCTCCATGTCGTCCCAGTTGGTCACAATGCCGTGCTCGATGGGGTACTTGAGCGTCAGGATACCACGTTTGGACTGCGCCTCGTCACTGCGGAGCCCCATTGCTCAGCGACAGCGACGCATACGGCCGGGGAGAGACAGCTACGCACCCGACATACGAGTCCTTCTGTCCCATACCGACCATGACGCCCTGGTGTCTGGGACGTCCGACGATGGACCTGGGGGGCGGATGACGGTCATCAGGGCGGGTATGCGCATTTGAGAGATAGGCACGACGCACGGGAACACGGCACGAGGGGCGTCATCGCCTAGCACAAAGTCAGAGATTCAGCCAATTCTGTGCGCGGGCAGCATACCGGCGACTGCGGGGAGAATCAGAACTGCGCGATAGTGAGTGACAACAACAGGAGGGACGTACATCCAGCTTTGCACATGCCGGAGCCGTTATCGATGACCTAGACCAGCTCAGGTGGGGATCGAGGAGACGGCAGGAGGACGTACGAGAGCAGCGACTTCGTCTTCCATTGTGTTGTAGAGTGTAGGGAGTGGGTGGAGGGAGGAAACGAATTGTTGGCCGTTACGACGTCGGATTTGTTGGGCGTGACGTCCAGCACTGCCACGAGGCTGTGGCTCTGACTGTTCTCTGAATTCTGACCAATCCCTCCCAATGTTGACCTCGAGGCTCATAGTACTTTTGGAATCTCCCAGTAACCCATCCTTCCTGACTGTATTCTCACTCCTCCCCAACGTATTAGATTTTCCTTTCTATCCCACTCTTCATGTATCAACGGTTGCGCTACACTCGATCTCCGGTCTCAGCCTTGATTCTTACCTTGTTTTCATCCATATGCCTTTGAGCACTCTCATGTGGAATGTTTCCGTCGACGCAGCTCCTTAGAAACTTGGGGATTAGCTGAAGAAATCGTTATCATACACACTGCCCGTGTATTTGCCTGTCATACACTGAGGCATCTCATACTTACTATTGATAATCTAAAAGGGGCTGGAAAGAAGTTAAATGGCGGTTGCGGAAGAGGACATTGGGCCCTATGCTATTCTATGAGAGACGAGCCAAGGTCTTTCGGCGCGGCGTGAACACCGGTCTGTGCGCGTCGGATCGGACCGCCCGGGTGTGATTACAGCCACCGTGACTTCCCGCCGGCGCTGCCTCCGCTTCCCACCCACTTTCTTCGTGTGTCATTTTCGAAGCGGCTGTCCTTTCGCTGCGAACCAAGTGCAAGGTAGATACGCTTGCGAAGGTCGTGTCAGATATCGTCGGCACGCATGCCTCTCAATTTAAGCCTCAGTCGTGACGGATATGAGCGCCTCCCGATGTACGCGCCCGTCACGTCTCCTCGTCACCGTCGCTCACCGTCCCCTTCCCACCCTGTCCATGACCGTCCTAACTTCGCATCTCACCCTAGTGCACGAAATCATGAACCACATCCCCACACGTCGCGCTTCCTCTTGGACCGGCGCACACTTTTCCGCGTGCTCAAGATCGTGCTCCCCTTAATGCTCTTTACTGTCCTTGTAGGGTTCTGGTTCTACGAGCCGCACGTCGAATTCGCCTTCTACTCGCGGACGTGGACGCAGCGCCAAATCCTGCCCGTGCCCAAGCTCTCTGGGTGTTTCGACGCCCAGCGCGTAAAGCAGACCACTTACGACCTCGCGGACGGGCTGCATGGTCCGCGAAGGACGAATATCCAAGCTGGGATGGCGATGCGGCTGGGGAGCGACTGCTACGATTTTGCGGGCACAGTCCAGTCATTGCCGCGGAATTCCTCGTCGTACGTTTCAGCCGACGCACGTACGCAGTACCACACGTACTGGCGGAATGATCTGGCAGCGTTTGGCCCAAGACAGGAATGGATGCTCAAGTCGTTCTTCGCCACGCAACATCTTCCAGAGTCGCGATTGATTCTGTGGTCGAACGGGGATCTGGGACCGAATGATATCTTATCGCACTACTTGCGTCGGTATCCGGACTCATTTGCACTGCGCGTCGTTGACATCCCGTCACTCGCGCAGGGCACGCCCCTGCAAGGAAGTCCGTACTTGGTGCAGAAGGATAAGAAAGCCTGGGTCGACGGGGATCTGATTCGGCTACTGCTACTTTGGACCTATGGTGGGGTATGGGTCGACATGGACTCCCTCCTGACGAGAGACCTCGAGCCGTTATTAGAGCATGAGTTTGTGACCCAGTGGGATTGCTATGGTATGAGTCTAGGATGAAATGCTCGAAATGCCGCAGCTCATTTTCGCGCAGACAAAATCTATCAACCGCTCAACGGCGCGCTGATGCGATTCAAGAAGCACTCGCCCTATCTTTGCGAAGCATTCCATATCATGGCGACATCCGAAGCCCCGCGGCCAGGGAGCACCGACTGGGGCTCCCTCCTGTACCTGAAGCTATGGCGGGCGCTCGTTGCTGGAGACATACCACCATTCAAAGTGCTGCCCTACTGCTTCAGTGACGGTCGTTCCTGTCGGCTGGATACTCGCCTGCCAGATCCCTTCTCTTCGGACGACACGCGCCAGAACAAGATGGGCATCTTCGCAGGGAGCATGGACCAGAACGGCAAGCTCGACAAGGCGCTGAGTCATGTTTTTGGGGTGCATTTGCATAATCAGTGGGATAAAGCGTACCCTAAAGATGGCTGGGTCGAGCGTCTCCTGCTCCGACGATACGATGACAGACTTAGATGATCTATCCCGTCCTACATAATGACACGATTTCGTCGGCCTCGATAATCGTTCGCTCTTGTTCCCCAAAAGGCAAGCCGGGGACCGTCATCCTTGAATAGATTCGGATTCGACTCTTTGGGAAACCTTCTCCCATGAACATCTTGATTACAGATTGCGTGAAACAGGGAACGAAACAAAGATCTTTCAAGCACGTGACAGTTTTTCCTCGGATCGAACAGCGATACATGAAACACAGCAAAAACATAGCAATTAGCAAGTGATACAGCAAGGCGAGAATTTGTACAAAGATTATCCACTGGGAAAGAAATGCACACAAGGAAGGAATAGTATTAAGCCGCAGGTGGGAATAATCTAGTCGTTGTTGAGCGTAAAGGACATCGGTGGGTCGAGACAACGAGGCCCCAGCTGATAGGTCGCAGAGAACCAATCGGAGCGAAATATAATTTTCGTTATGGCTGCCAGGTACAGGCCGTTTATGCGAGCGCTGTGGACCAGATGAGTCGCGGGTGATGGGTTCGAGGCCGAACAACATACGGTGTAGAGATAAAATAACGGGTTCAGGCTGAGACGGTGCGAACCCACGATTTGCGTTCGAACTAGACATATTTTTGTGTGCATTGGACCATACCAAATGGTGAGGAACAGACTTTGGGTCTCTTCTCTGGAGAAGCGGATTCGACACAGATCGATTTTCGCTTACCACCACGGACTGGAGCGAGCAAGGCATCAGGCTATATCGGACGTCAGAACAGAAACAGTGGAGGACCAATGACTACTGACCGGAATGACAGGACTAGCGGCGGAAGCCGTGGTGCTGCTTGATGTCCTGGAACAGGTCGACGAGTGAGAGAAGTCGTCCGGATACAACAGCGTGAGGTTGTCCACGTCATCCATGCCAAACTCAGAATCAAGCAGGAAATCGGGGATGACTGGAGAGGGCATATATTTCGGGAGGTGCGCGTCGACGTACTTGATTGGAGGAAGCGGGGCCTTGCGGGGCGCCTGTGCGAAGAGGGTTTCCATCCACTCCGAAGACACAGTCGAGACACAGGCCCCAGCACCATAACAAGGCGCTTGCCGATATAAAATGGGTTTGATGCTGGCTTCGACACTAGAGACAGCGGAACCGAGCGAAACAGCGCTGAACTCTCCGCTGACGGGGACGTCCCGGGGATCAGAACGGGGGATGACGACGTTGAGAGAGGGCCTCTGACTGTGGGGAGGACGAGAGATCTTCCGGCCACGAGCGGGCACATCCTGGGTCGACAAGGCTCGGATGTGGACATGAGTGTGGACCTGCTCGACGATGGGGAGAGGAATCCGAGACACCACGTTCTGGGGACAATTGGCGGCCTTCCTGGTATTCACAAAGAGCCTATGCTTGTGAGCGAGGGCACGTGCATGTCCACTGGGGGCGCTAGATTCCTTGGCCTCCTTCGCGATGTGGTGGTAGCGGACATTGGCCTGGCTGAGAACTGCGCTGAGACGCAAAAAGCGGGCCTGGGAGAGGGTTGTGCGGTGAGAGGACGGCATGGGAACAGCTGGTGTAGGGTCGTCGTAAAAACAAAGAGGTCGTGCAGCGAGTGGCTCCAAGTACTGCACGTGTAGGATGTGTCGAGAGAAGGCCCGAATGCAGACGACAAAGAAAGTGCAAGCCGTAAAATCTTGTACTGGCTGGAGGCAGTGACAAGGAAGAGAGAACGTTAAAAGAGGAGTAATGGGATGCCACTTCCTTGCTCGCGGGTCCTTATGCATTTAACACTTGGACCCACAGTCCCATCCGTCAGTAAAAGGAACAAGAACAAGCCCCAAATGGGGCATAGACTATTGTCGTGTTACAAGCGCTGGGACCATCGCGGTTCGATCGCCCCCCGAAAAGAACAAGAGCGAAAGACGCCCTTGTTCCCAAGATACTTTCCAGGTTTATTGTATTCTGTGATTTGCAGCGCGTGACATCAGCCATCATTGATTTTAGTGTACATGGCGAGAAGTCGTTTCGCACTTGGAGCCCAGACTTGATTCGATCCTGATCAGATTCTCCAATAGTATCATGGCTTCAGCACACAAAATAGGTATGGCAGGCGCCAGAAGCATGGGTCCCGATTGATCGAGATGTAGGCTCGCTCTTGTTTTGTCCCAACTGCGGTACTTTACTGGACTTGCCCAAAGATGGCGAAGACACCGTGACTTGCGAGCAATGTGCCCATGTCGAGCCAGCTAGTTGTGAGTGATTGATTTCCTACCTCTTTTCGGCACAAAGCCAAGCAACGCGGCTTCCTTAGCCTATGAGAACACCGAAATAACGACACAGTCTGACCCGGACGCTTTCCCCTCCGTTTTGAGACAAAAGAGGAAAACACAGACAAAACTCCACGAACAGGGAGATCAGGGCACTCTGGTCAGCGTCAGACATCCTCATCACTCAATCATCCATTGAGTGTCGAATGCAGGTGTCCGAGAAATGCCCTGCCTGTGGCGGAATGGAGGCATACTCAAAGGAGATGCAGGTACGTGAAGCTTGTCTTAATGAGAACACGTCTGAACGCAGGATATGTGGAATAGTTGCGCAGTGCAGATGAAGGCTCTACCATCTTCTACACGGTCGGTGTCCCATCCCAATCCGGTATCCTCATCCGACTAACCGCGACGCTGCCTAGTGCGTAACATGCAAGCACGGATGGCGTGTCAACAACTAGATTGCCTTTACACGTATACGCCGACGGTGCAAAACAGTGCGACGATGCCGAAACCACCAAGTAGACTGGCCAGAGACGCGACGGCTGTTTCGCGGATGGGAATCGTGTCTTTCTTGATTCTGGTAGCGCATGTAATCAGATTTGGTTGTATTACATGGAATGCAACAAAAACGCACGCTGACACGTAGAACCCGAGAATGAAGGTGAAGAGCAAGAGAAGGAACGCGAGGTACGGCAAAAGGCCAACAGGAAATATGGGCTGAAAGGCGGGAGATGAGGTGTACAAGGACTGCGTGCGCGTCGTGAGCAAAGCTGAGGCGGATATACACGGTGAACTTGCCTGCAACGACGTGTAGTCCATAACTGCGATGACGTGTGACGTACCGTTACCGGTTACTTACTCAGGACAAACGTCACTGCTCCTCCAGCTATCCTCCCTTCTCTCTAACCACCACCACCAACTCCCTCCCCAGTTCTTCTTGTAAAGGTCAGTACACACCCCTCTCTACAACTCCTCGCATTCTTTCCTCTGTACTAGATCTACAGCTAACCATGAGTCTCTCAGATGTCTGCCGCCCAAAACTTCCAGCAGCACCCCATGTACATCCAAGCCCAAGGAAAGGCGCACTACTACCACAGCCAGCTCGATAAAGAGGTTAGTAGGCACGCCCTCCTGAACTTCTCAGGCTGCACAGCTGTTTTTTTCGTGCTCGCCATGACGCCCATACTGATGACGCACGACTCCAGCTCTCCAAGTACCCTGTGCTCAACTCGCTCGAGCAGCGCACGCAGATCCCGAAGACCTACACTGCTATCGGTGCTGCTGCCCTCCTCGTTGTACTCCACCTGGTCAATCCCCTCGCCGCCTTTATCTCCAACCTCATTGGCTGGGCCCTCCCCGCGTACATGTCATTCAAGGCTCTGGAAACCCCCGGCCCGCAGGATGATGTCCAGTGGTTGACTTACTGGGTCGTGTTCGGCTTCTTCAACTTCCTTGAGAGCTTCGCTCTCAGGGCCGTCCTTTTCTACCTTCCCTGGTACTACACCTTCAAGACGCTGTTCGTACTCTGGCTCCAGCTGCCGGCCTTCCGGGTGAGTGACACTTTTTTCCCTGCAAGCCCGGCATGCTCTTGCCATCTTGCTTCCTCGTGGCGATCATCTGTCGCTTACTCTTTTTTCACAGGGTGCGCAAACGACCTACTTGACCATCTTGAAGCCCGTGCTTGCCAACCACCGCGTGTTGGCAACCACCACACCCACTACGACGGAGTAAGCGAGTTGATTGTCACGTTCGGATTTATAGGTCATAGACCAAACGGTCCTGTTTCGAACGATTCTTTCTTCGCTGCTTTCTTTTCGTTGCTTCATGATTTGGCCTCACTTCATGCCTGTTGATTCAATATCTTATCTCTCCCGTTGTTGATGATTCTTTTACGAGGTATTCCGCGTAGTCACCTGCGCAGAGTGCATGTAAACGTAACACGTAAAATGTCTTGATTGGCGCTGGATGAGAGTCGACCGGAAATTACGTCGCCTGCCTAGACAACACGGTGGCTGCGTCGTCAGAGAACACATCGTTGACTGACTGCCCGAAGGGGATCCGGGAACCCGATGACAAGCGAACGCGTTTACGCTGACGTCCTCGCCCAAGTTCACTCGTGAACCCAATCCATTGTCAAGTACAGAGACGATATCAGAAAGCAAAGGACCAGACACGAACACAGGAACAGAGATAAATATTGGATATCTTGCGAAGAGGGCAGGTCAAAGTAGTAACGGTACCGCTGTACTACCCCAGCATACTGTACAGCATATACTGTGAGAAGGAACAGCACGAGGCGGAACAGTAAGGTGCATTATGAGCAACAACCAGCTGCGGGCTGAGTTGCAGGCTGCGAGCCGATACGAACACCTTCCTTAGAGGGAGTGCCGGCTGCAGCGGCATCACCGCCTTGGGAGTCAATCAAGCGCGTTTTGATGTCCCTGCGCGAGGTCAGTTGTAATCCCTGTGACGAGCGGGTGTGTGAACGGACCTTGCGAGTGTGAAAAACGCCTCTTCCACACCCTCGTTCACCTTCGCAGAAGTCTCCATGAACTTGATTCCCAGCTCATTGGCAAGTTCCCGCCCTTGCTCTTCAGTGACAGCCTTCTTGTCCGTCCAGTCTGACTTGTTGCCAATGAGTATCTTATTCACACCCTCAGACGCGTGCTGCTCGATATTGGTGTGCCAAGTGCGAATGTCTGGGAGAGCGGAGCTGAGACATTGTGGAGCACACAGAGCAAGTGGTACGCACTATTGAACGAACGCTCGTCGGTGACGTCGTAGACGAGAAGAATACCCATGGCACCACGGTAATATGCCGTAGTTATTGTGCGGAACCGTTCCTGACCCGCTGTGTCCCACTGGAAGCTGGTTGAATGACCGAGCTGTCTCTAAACGGCGACACGCACAATCTGAAGCTTAATTCGACGCCCATCGAGCTCGATGGTCCGAATCTTGAAGTCGATACCGATGGTGGTAATGAAGGAGGGCGTCCATGCGTCATCACAGAATCGCAGCAACAAACAAGACTTGCCCACTCCCGAGTCCCCAATGAGCAGAAGCTGCACGACAGAATAAGTAAAGCGCGTGAAAGATGCAACCCAGACTGAAGGGCAGCCGCAGTAGAACGAACCTTGATGAGGAAGTCGTAATGGGGAGACATGGTGGCAGGAGGGATGGCTGTGAAATGCGATGAATTAGTTGAGTAACGTGCTGTGACAGCCCCAATCCTTTCCTCCCTCCACCCACTCCCTACACTCTACAACACAATGGAAGACGAAGTCGCTGCTCTCGTACGTCCTCCTGCCGTCTCCTCGATCCCCACCTGAGCTGGTCTAGGTCATCGATAACGGCTCCGGCATGTGCAAAGCTGGATGTACGTCCCTCCTGTTGTTGTCACTCACTATCGCGCAGTTCTGATTCTCCCCGCAGTCGCCGGTATGCTGCCCGCGCACAGAATTGGCTGAATCTCTGACTTTGTGCTAGGCGATGACGCCCCTCGTGCCGTGTTCCCGTGCGTCGTGCCTATCTCTCAAATGCGCATACCCGCCCTGATGACCGTCATCCGCCCCCCAGGTCCATCGTCGGACGTCCCAGACACCAGGGCGTCATGGTCGGTATGGGACAGAAGGACTCGTATGTCGGGTGCGTAGCTGTCTCTCCCCGGCCGTATGCGTCGCTGTCGCTGAGCAATGGGGCTCCGCAGTGACGAGGCGCAGTCCAAACGTGGTATCCTGACGCTCAAGTACCCCATCGAGCACGGCATTGTGACCAACTGGGACGACATGGAGAAGATCTGGCATCACACCTTCTACAACGAGCTGCGTGTCGCGCCGGAGGAGCACCCTGTGCTGTTGACCGAAGCACCCCTGAACCCCAAGGCGAACAGGGAGAAGATGACGCAGATCATGTTCGAGACATTCAACGCGCCTGCGTTCTACGTGTCGATCCAGGCTGTGTTGTCGCTGTACGCATCTGGTCGGACGACCGGTATCGTGCTCGACTCTGGTGACGGTGTGTCGCACACGGTGCCGATCTACGAGGGATTCTCGCTCCCGCACGCGATCCTGCGTCTCGATCTTGCTGGGCGTGATCTGACCGACTTTTTGATCAAGAACTTGACTGAGCGCGGATACCCGTTCACGACGACTGCGGAGCGTGAAATTGTGCGGGACATCAAGGAGAAGCTGTGCTACGTTGCGCTCGACTTTGAGCAGGAGCTGCACACTGCGGCGCAGTCATCTGCTCTGGAAAAGAGCTACGAGCTCCCTGACGGACAGGTGATCACGATTGGTCCTGAGCGATTCCGTGCTCCGGAGGCTCTGTTCCAGCCTTCGCTTATCGGTCTTGAAGCTGCCGGAATCCACGAGACGACGTGTGTTGTTTGTCTCGACAGCATCCCTGCTCGTTTCTGACCTCTATCCTAGCTTCAACTCGATCTTCAAGTGCGATCTCGACATCCGTCGGGATCTGTACGGCAACGTTGTGCTGTCTGGTGGAACGACGATGTTCCCGGGTATTGCCGACCGTATGCAGAAAGAGCTGACGTCGCTTTCGCCCGCGAGCATGAAGGTGAAGATCGTTGCGCCTCCGGAGCGGAAGTACTCTGTGTGGATCGGTGGATCGATTCTGTCGTCGCTGAGCACGTTCCAAAACCTGTGGTGCTCGAAGCAAGAGTACGACGAGTCTGGCCCTGGTATCGTTCACCGCAGTATGTTGATTTGTGATTCCTTGAACTTGGGACTGATTGTGTCATACAGAGTGCTTCTAATGCACCAATGTAGTCTTAGTCTAGGATCAGAAATTTTGGCACTAATCGATTTACCCTTTTGTCATCAAAAGAATGCCCTGTTTGTCTTTTCAGATGCATACAGGTCTGTGCCATGCATACGAATTCTTTCTGGGTTTCGAAGGGCTTTCAAAATTACATTCCTACACGGCTAACCACGTGGATAACCAGACCACAAATCCGACTGCAACGATCGCAGCCGCGATATCATCCAGCCACATGGAGCCCATCTGCCAATACTTCATACCATGCACAATGGTCGCAGAAACTGATGATGGGAGGTGCGGCAACGCTATGGCAAGCAACGTTGGCGGACGGAAAGTGTCCTGTTAATTCATCAGACGATCAGGAATCGAAGCAGCCATAGCAAGGTAGACGTACAAAGCCAGAAAATATGCGGAGAGAGTGCAGGATGAGTTCTAGCGTCACAAATGCCCAAAAGAATGGCTGGACCAAATCATTAGGGTTTTTTTTTCATCTACCATGAAGCAACGTACCATCACTTGCACACCGCTCGACCCACTCGCTGTGTGTACCAGCCGCTCCCACCGGTCTGCAACTCCTTTTCCCGTGCCCAAACCCCATCCAGTGGTGCTCATGTACACGCTTGGCTCCCTGATGATAACAAAATAGAGAACCAATGCCCAAACAGCCGCAATATGGACCAGCGGTAAGACCCGTTGCAGCAGCGTTTTCGGCTTAGAAGGCAAAGCGGAAGTCTCTCCACTGAAGGGCCCTCCACCACCCGCAGCAGACATCAGCATCGCAGCAAGCGGATTGTTCTCCATGCCAGGCATTCCGGCAAATGGATTGGGAGGGGGCATCGAGTCTTCGTACGAAGGGGGCGCACCGGGAGTTGAAGCACCAGACGTCAGTTGCGGGGGTAAGCCACCCATCATTGCGGCCATGAATTGCTCTTGCTGCTCGGGCGACCAGGCGGACGGATCTGGCATGCCTAGGGGATTACTAGGACCACTCGTAGTACGCGAGCGTCCAGTCGTGGATGAGACCCTGGAGCGAGGCAACGCAGGACTTTCTTCGCCGAGGAAATTGCTGATGTTAGGCGGAGGTGCGAATGGCGGAAGAGAGGGCAATGGGGGATCTGGGTCTGTTTCGCCGGACGTTAGTGTTGTGGGAGAGTCGAAGGAGATAACAAACCTTCAATTGAAGCTGCTGGTGGAGGTCTTGGCGGGGTTTGGCTTTGCCCTGGAACTGGGGCGTCTTCTGGACGTCCAGACGAAGTTGTCAATTTCGCCAGTCGATCCGTTCCTCGACTTAGAATTGCTTTGCGACGCGCTTCGGCACGAGCAGCAGCGGACGACATTATTGAAGTTTCTAAGAGAGCAATGTAATCAGAAGTTGCCGCGTCGGACAGTGGTCGCCCAGAAACGTTGCGGACCGCGTGGCGTCGAGCAAGTGCGCTTCAGACGTGTCTGATGCCAGTTCCCATAAGCGGCACCGCAGGAAATGGCTCTGTTCCCACTCGTGTTCGAACGGCTGCGCACACGATGATACCATCAAGCTCGTGACAACTAGGCAGTTGTGATCCCTTGTCACCGGTTTCCCCGTACATTTTTGTCCTCGACCTCAAGACCCGCAAGGTGCACAAGCTCCTGACCCGATAGGACAATCTCTGACAGAAACAACCCTCTCGCAGAATGGGATTCACGGAGTATCAAGTTATTGGCCGTCACTTGCCCACTGAGGCTGAACCCACGCCCAAAATCTATCGCATGCGCATCTTTGCGCCGAATGAGGTCGTTGCCAAGTCCCGGTTCTGGTATTTCCTCCGGTGTGTTCTCTGTTTTGTATGATCTCTGCCTTCTCACACACCTGCGTCCGCCTAGTCAACTCAAAAAAGTGAAGAAGGCGTCCGGTGAAATCATCGGCGTCAATACCGTAAGTCACCTGTAGCATCCCGCGCAGCCCTCAAGAGGCAAGCAGAATGGGATTCTAACCTTTCTTTCTAGATCCACGAGAAGAAGCCGCTCAAGGTCAAGAACTTTGGAATCTGGCTCCGTTATGATTCGCGGTCCGGCACCCACAACATGTACAAGGAGTTCCGTGAACTTTCTCGTGCCGATGCTGTCAAGGCGATGTACCAGGACATGGCTGCTCGTCACCGTGCTCGTTTCCGGTCGATCCACGTACGTGGCTACTTACCTGGGCTGTTTGCTACGGACTGATACCACCGCCAGATCCTCCGTGTGGTCGAGATCGAGAAGACCGCCGACATCCGCCGGCCGTACATCAAGCAGCTGCTTACCCCCAAGCTGCGCTTCCCGTTGCCCCACCGTGTCACCAAGGCTCGTTCGACCTTCGTGGCCAAGCGTCCGACCACCTTCTAGTAGCGTTCTGGCTCCATGTACTTTCTACTCTTATGTCGAATTTATGCCTCATGCTCGGTGACTCTGGTTGTTCATTTGAGTCTACTTCAATGTGCTTGCGTCTTGTATGAAGCGTATCTGAAGCTTTTTGATCGTGCTCTGATTTTCTCGAACTGGATGTCCTCTACTGACAATTCTATGAGGATGTATTGGGCGCGGGCAACAAAATCTCGCGTCAACCGATCATTAACATATTGCCGGATACAGCTTCTGCATTGTTGAGACTAAGGTAAGATACGCTACGCTTGACCACTGCGCTCAGAACTGTGATTGTTTTATCGCTGATACGGCTGGAGAGCACAATAGCACTCACCCGAACTTGGTATGATCCATCCGCCTTCGTCAGATACCTGACCCACTTCACGCTGTTGTAGTTGCTCTTCTCAAAGACCTTGAGAAATCGCACGATGAGCCCCGACGCCGTGAACATCAACACCTGGAAATCAACATCGATGGGTGGTCGTGCCCAGACTTGTCGGGTCGTCGTGCTGGTCAGATCCGCTGAAGCTGTCAGGGTACATTCTTGACCACCTTGGAGACGCTGCAATCTGATCGACGTCGGTCCACAGCGCGTGTCAAAATCAAAGCGACACTCACTTCCACACGATGACGTTCTCTCCTGGAACGTACTTTGCCTTGCCGCTCGCAACTTGGCAGTCGACCGCAGTGGTGTTCAGAGGTGTGGGAATTCGCAGAACGACATTCGTCGCGGAAAGTTTGTTGTTGAAGTTTGCTTTGACCGTAACTGCATAAGACACTTGGGACGTCCCAATCTCGTTGACAGTGGGGATGATTCGCAGAGGCAGTTTTACGTTAGTCGTTGATCGATAACTGGGTGGGTGAGATGAGGGAACTAGCCAAGAGGGACGAGCCAAAAGGGATGGCATACCGCATCAACTCAAACTCTCCATCCGGCGGAACGAAGCTAATCGTTCTGGTCGCATCGAAGTCCGTCAAACGCACACATTGATGGAAACTGCAGTCGTCGAGCTCCACTGCGTCGCCGCCCGCTCCACCCTGCGACTTGTCGATGACCAGCTTATCGTTCAAGCCGAACTTGCACTCGGGTGTGCCAGACAGGTAAGCCCGCATTTGGATATGCCCGTCGACGTCTGCTCGGAGCACGTTGCCTTTCGCACTCATGCTGAGATTCACCACCTCGACGACATCCACGAACGCCTCGTTCTTCTTGTACTTGACGTCTCCCCGTCGCCAGCTCGTCGCGCCTGTAGCCTGGGCCGTGATCCTGGAGGACTCCTCCGCAGCGTTCGCTGATGACCCAGAAACGACACTTTCTGTTGTGATGTAAGATTTGAGCGTGTCGATTTCGCTGTTTTGCGGATATCCAAAGTCGTTGATCTCTGCACGTGAAGATAGTAAGTCCCAGGTGGGATAAGGGATGGGCGTGAAGGGAGCGTACCGTCCAGGAGCTCATACATTAGCACAAAGTTGTTCTTCACAGCCTCCTCGTCTATCTTCCCAAAGTACGACTTGCAGATATTGATGAATCGGTAGCAGAACTCGAACACCAATGCCGCGTTGGCGTTGTTCCTAACGAACGACATGAGTTTGCACCGAAAGAGACGTCCTGGCATTATAACAAACTTGGTGACACCGACGACATAGAGCCCATTGACCCGCACGTGGAAAAAGCTTGTAGACCCAAGAGTGATGATAGGCGAGCGTACATCGCTATTCGATACGACTTGGATACGGAACACGTCCGCTATCGAACGTCTGATCCTCAGTGTGAATGTACGGGGTAATAGAATAGTACGAATCCGACGCACTTGAAGTCCGTGCGGTAGAGTCGTGACAGAAGGACCTGGGGATCGGTTTCGGTTCATCGGTCGCTCGTTCGAGTGGGATGGATGCTGACCTCGCCCTTCTGGTTGAAGATAAAGAAAGCCTGGATTCAAATGAGACCTGCGATGCTCTGGCGCACTGGATTGCTGAATGAGACGCACCGAGATCATCACCAACTAATTCTTGCGAGCACTTGGTGGTGGTTGACTGCGTGCTTCAAGTTCCCGGCTCAAAGCCGATCAATTGTCTTACATAAGTATTGACTGCGAGCTTGATCATGAGTTGTTGCACCATAGCCCGTTGCTTCTGAAGGAGATACTTTTCATTGTAACGGAGATCGAACGGTCACGGAGCCGGGATCAATTTGGGCTCTGCTGCTCAGCCCCAGGAATGATCAAGTAGCACGAAGTTGCAGAGGCAGAAGGATTCAATATAACAGAAGCTGTGCCATAAGAGCTTGTGGGTCCACGGATTCCGGTATCATCTTTCTCGAAACCTTACTCAATCAACAGGCTGGTGGTCTATGCGTCGATGTGATCGGTCGTTTTGATTGCCCACAACGACCCATTCATACAGAGCATAGCATACGATAAGTAGGTACAACATACAAGACTACAGATCAATCAGAGCAACCTCTCTCTCCTGATGGACTGGCGGACTCGTCGGCACCATGCTGGCAGCACCGTACATTGGAAATGCCTGTGGAGCAGATGTCGGTACGATGGGAAAGACGGGCATCGTTTGCTGCTGGGGCATCGGCTGTTGATGCTGCTGAGGCTGAAGTCGTGTCGAGTAGTCGTTAGGTGTCTGATACTGCGGCTGTGCGACAGGAGGTGACTGTGCAGGTGGCGGCGCATACTGAGCTCCGGGAGGGGCCGACGGCTGGTACTGAGCAGAAACAGGCGGAGCAGGAGACTGGGCAACCGGCGCAGGCTGGTATTGCACGGAAGGCGGAGCTGGTGACTGGTATTGGGGCTGATATGAGGCCGGAGGGGGCGACTGTGGTTGCGGCTGATACTGCACAGAAACAGGGGTGGAAGGTACCGACGCATACTGAGCGGAAGATGACGCTGCTGGTGCTGGCGAATACGCCTGGGCTTGCCAACTTGGTGAAGTGTAGTACTGTTGCGGGGGAGCATATTGCTGGGGCTGCTGAGGAGCAGGCGACTGCGCTGGGTGCCATTGGGTCCCATATCCCGGGCTTGTCTGCGCCGGTGGTTGATACGTTTGCCATCTCGGCTGGTAGACCACCTGCTCCGTCAGAAGTTTGTCGTACAGTTTGACCGCCTGCGACAGTTTATCATGCATCTCCGAGAGGACCTCTGAGGCGTTGTCAGCATCAAAATAGTGAGAAATCATTGACAAAGACGCACGCTCTTTCTTGCCCGCATCGTCCATGCTCCTCACCAGCTTGGGGCGCAAGCTGTTTGCCCGATCATACAACTCGCTCACTGCCGGATACCGCGTCATATCTCGGCCTTGGACTTGCTCGACTGTCTGGCTAAACGTCATGATCGCGTCACTTTCCAGCGGTTCCAACTCGTAGGGCCGCTGGTTTTGCGGAGGTTGTGGCTGAGGAGTCGGCGGGTACGATTGCGAAAATCCTTTAGCATAAGAAGGATACTCTGTCCTCGGTGTCTCGGTAATTACAACAGGCGCGCTCGCCCTTGGGGCATTCGACTCCCGCAGACTAGCTTCGATGGCTGCTTTCAGATCGGGATCCTCTTCGTCCTCTGTGAGTCGAGATGCGCGATCCACAATCGGCGGTTCGGAGAAGTATTGGTAGTTTTGCCCCGCAGGCTGGTAGGGTGTGTACCCGTGACGATCTTGCCCGACTTCCTGCAAAGAAAGGGATATTGCTCGTTGCAGATCCGCATCATCCTGCGCCCGACTACGCGCTGAGTGCAAGCTCTGCGAATGACGGTGTCCTCTTGACCGGTGCCGAGTTTCTCGCTGGTCTTTGACGTCGCTGATGATGTCTCAGTCTCGACAGAGAGGCCAAGCTGACGGATCACGCACTTTGCTCCCTTTAAAGTGGGCCAGCAACTGTCGCATACCCTGACCTCCTGCGTGATACCGAACCTGGGCAAAGCTGCTGTTCGGCTGGAACAAGCCTGATCGAAAACCCCTCCACAATTGCGACAATGATGTTTCCGATTGGTGAACGTGAATGCGGTACGACAGCGCAAACAGACCTCCGAGTCAATCCATTCCGGCGCTGTCTGCGTATCCAGCATGGCAGAGTTGGATTCGGTTAGGTCGAGAGGTGGGAATTTGAACCCTGCTTCGGGTTAGATCACGTAGTGGCAACAAGTGACCACAAACCTTCGTGAACCAACGTCTTATATACCGCCCCGACATACTTCAGCTCTCCCTTCCCCTTGCTCTCAAACGCAGTGCTCCAGTTCTGCACAACCCTCAAGATATTCGCCTTCACTTCGGAATTCAACGCTGGCATCTTGAGTATTGACACCAAATTGTCCATGAATTCACGCGAAGCGATTTCTGTCAGGAAGGCATCTCCAGCATTCTTAACACAGACGTCTGTGAGCTGAGATATTGGAGTGCAGTCAGAACCGATGAAGGACGGTGGTTGAATAAATCGCGCACCTCCAATGCCAGATTCTGCACATTCGGATTCTTGTGCCCCAGTCTCCGCTTCAGTGCCCTCACTGCGTCCTTGGCGGGCACTGATTTCGACCGAATCTGGTCGCAAATCTCGAGTTCCAGCGCGATATCGGATGAACCAGCCGGGAGTAACTCGGAGGTTGCTTTGTCTGCATGTGTGGTCAGGACGGATAACAAGAGCAAGAGTGGATCAAGCATAAAGCGCGAAGACACGGGAATGACTTGTCGAGTTCCGCAAGCGGGGAGCGGTAATCATTGGGCATGGCCAAGAGAGAGTAAACTCACCGATAGCTTCGTCCAACTGGGACGTGCCCCACAGCCAGTTGCCTAACAGAGACATCTATGTATGGATATCCTACGGAGCGCGAAGAGAAAGGATGAGAGAGAGAGAATATGAAGACGCGGATAGAATTGTCGAGAAGGAAGGTGCGTGTGTGTCAGTTAGCGGGAGCGCAGTGGACGTCACCGTCACGACTCACGGACGCGCGCTTTGTCAGCGTGTCGGCTTTATCCGGACTGCGTCTCGCCTGGCGCAAGCAGGCGCCCTGACTTGGACACAAATTGAGAATCAGGCGGTCGGCTTCATCGGCAGCCACGAGACTATGAAATTGCATACGAAGTTTCACGGAATGGAAAACGGGATCAACGCGTGTCCTTCGGTGTCCGCAGCGTCTTCACAAGCAGATCGAGGATTCTATTCTGAATCTGATCCAATCAGAACTACTACGGAAGACGAAGACGATCGAATAGGCCCTGCACAGCACGATAGCGTTAAGTACATACATACCGTGCCTGCCCGTGTTGGGTCACTTGGAGTGAGGGCAAACGAAGGGCGAAAACGTTTCCAGGAGAGCCGGAAGTTGACCCGAATCTCAGGAATCCGCCATTGGAGAGGCAGATAAGAGTGAACAACATGCAGAGTGCATGTGCATTGCGACTGTTCGGCCCATCTGTGTTTTTGCATGCCAATATGCCAGTCGTAACTCGGATCCAATCACTTACGAGACCCGGCTGATCGTGCATTGAAACCCTTCGGTGTGAGTCGACGTCACCCGGAGGACCCGGGTATTTATAACCACGGGTGTCCCTATGCGATTTCGTGGAATTTCACAGTGCTTGCGCAGGTCGCTGCCCAAGAGAACTGTCACTTGATCAGCTCAGCGCGATCATCATTTTGTGGCATGTGATTTCCCCACTTTCTTCCCGCATACTTAACAAGTTCCGTCGTGACTCTCGCCGCGTCTCGAATCCCGATATATGCTCCAGTGCCATAACCTCGGCCCCTCACTCCTGAGTTCAGACCACCACATTCCGAGACGAAAAGTGCATTCTCGTATCTTTCCCTCGTAACCAAACACCGGCACACGACTGCCCGGCAACGCTTTCTTCTCTGCACCATGTCTGCTGGCTTTCGCATCTCGCCCGCGCTCTGGGATCGGATCCACCACTTTGCTTCGTTTCCTCAGACTGGGGGTACGTGTTTCAAGGCATTTCTTCATTGCCCGGCACGCCATTCATTCGGCGCCAGTCTCACTTCAGCAAATGGTGCTCTTTGGGCAGAATCCGAGTCAGGGCACGCTGCTCAAGGCCAGCCAATTCTTGTCTGGTGCGCTCATCGGCCTCTTCGGATCTGCGGCATGTGACTGACATCTCGCAGAGGAGCTCCCTGTCCGCTTGGCCCACCGTGTCAAGGAGCTGGACGAGCTCCCCCACAACTTGAGTGAGATGCCCTCTATCAACCGTGTCAAGAACTGGTACGCACAATCGTTTGAGGTAAGTCTTGTCGTATCCCCTTTGGCCCCTTCGACATCGAACACGCGCATAGGAACTCATCAACTTTCCTCCCATTGCAAGCCTACCGCCGGAGATCCGGCAAGCGCTCATGGCACCACCGCGGACAGAGAATGCGCCGTTTCCGGAGTCGACAGAAAATCCAGCGGTTATCAACGGGCGGTATTCCATGGGGAGCATCACCGGCCTCGGGGGGAACGGCGGCCACGGTACATCGGGCACCAACGGCAATGGATTCAACAAATTGAGGATGCGTGTACCAATGGAGAGAAGGTGTGTTACTTGACTTCTCTTCTGCGCATTACCTAATAATGACAGGTACTATGCTAATCCGAAGGGTGTGAATTGGCCACCGGAAGTGTCGGACTATAACACGCGCTTTACAAAGGCGCTGCAAACGATCAAGAGCCGCCACGATCCAACTGTGACGACAGTAGCGCAAGGTGTACTGGAGTGGAAGAAGAGCATGCGAACGAAGCACATCGGACTGGACATCCAGGCTTGGCTGGACCGCTTTTACATGTCCAGAATCGGTATCCGATTCCTAATCGGGCAGCGTTCGTATTCCATGCTCTGAGGAATTGGTGCTGACCGTCAGCCAGACATTGCGCTCAATACGCAAGAATCACACCCAGACTATGTTGGAATCATCTGCACAGAAGCTGTATGTTCTGTCTCGTATCTCCGTCTTTCTCTACTTAAGTCCGCGTCTAGAACGTACATGACATCGTCCAAGAATCAATCGAGAACGCCCGTTTTGTTTGTGAAGAGCACTATGCAATGTTCCGTTCCCCGCCGGTCCAGCTCATATGTCCTCCAAATCTGATATTTCCCTACGTTCCCGGCCATCTCTCGCACATCATCTTCGAGCTTCTCAAAAACTCACTTCGTGCTGTTGTCGAACGCTTCGGAGTCGATGCCGAAGAGAAAGACCGCGATTTCCACTTTCCTCCGATCAAGATCATCGTCGTGGAAGGTAAAGAAGATATCACGATCAAGATCTCGGACGAAGGCGGCGGCATCCCCCGCAGTGCCATTCCGCTCATCTGGACGTACATGTACACCACCATGGAAGGCCAAGCCATCGATCAGGACTTCCATGCGAGTGACTTCAGGGCGCCGATGGCCGGCTTCGGGTACGGTCTGCCGCTTTCCAGGCTGTATGCGCGTTATTTTGGGGGCGATTTGAGGTTGATCGCGATGGACGGCTTCGGAACTGACGTTTACATTCATCTCAACCGTTTATCGAGCAGCAGAGAGCCTCTGCTATAGTTTAGAAATGTGTACATTATCTTGCCCTATATTGCAACCTTAACACAAATGATCAATCGCGTAGCATCCGTTCTAGCTCGGTTAGGGACAGAGCCTTAAGCACCATGAGATGCTGCAACGGAGAAAGACTCGAAGAGGGTCGAGTCGGATGCTGTGCCCAAGCCCTAGGAGGACCAGGAGGCACGATCCACCCCGAGTCATGGGGATCATGCACATGAATGGAAACACGCAGTTGTGACGTCACGTGTCAAAATCTAATCTACTGATACTCACCAACAGCGATGAGCCATCGCCTGGCTTCCTTCAAGGGCCCTTCAACTCCAAACTCTTCCCCTGTGTCTCCTAAAACAACCAAGTCCCCAAAGGCTCGATCTAATCAAAACACAAACTTCCCCCAGCCCTCGCCAGTCCCTGATTCTCCTTCGCGCGCAGTTGAATCTACCTATCATCGCAAGATACGTACAGCTCTGTACGAACTGCGTGCTTTGTCCGAAACTTGGGACGATCTAGCCGTCGTCGACGGGCTGAAAGCCGCACGTGCGCTAGTCGATGGACGGACGGAGCTCGAGTGAGTCTGTGCCGTTGTTGTTCGCGAAGATCCTGGTGCATTTATCTAGTAATGCGCTGACCGCGATTCCCGATGGGCTGCCTCGATCTCGACTCCTTGGACCAAAGATATCACAGATGGAATTGCGTCTGGTCGAACTCAATGTGGTTTTGAAGAAACTGGCGCGTTCTCTTCGAATTTCTTCTGCAACTATTGGAACTTATGCTGGCTTCGTGCAGCGTGCAATCTTTCGGCGCATGTGCGCGACAATCGATGGCCTGGATGCATTGCTAATTGAGGCACATCGAACCAAGGGCGCACAATGGACTACGCAGGAACCCCTCTGGGTGACCTGGTCTATAGACCGCTTCGGTGATAACTGCTCAAGGCATTTTCGTCTTTCTCCGCAAACCACTCATGTTCTTTAGTATCAACATTACCAAACGTTCTTATTCCTTACCATCGAGCACTGCACGCGTACGCGGCCCTCGTCGACACTCTCCGGAATCATGCTCTTCCATTCGACGAAGCGCGCAAAGCGATCGCAGACTGGTCTGAGCAGACGGGATTGAACGATGATGGGTGGACTGGAACATGGGAGGGATTGTGTGCTGCCGAAGTTGGGGGTTGGGACATCTCGTAGTAAGTACACGGGTTTAAGGACACTGTGTGTACATGCACTATTCCCATGATGCCCGCCTAGAAATGACACCTGCGAAGTGATCTATGCTGAGCAGAGACGCTGCATATCAGGGTGGTCCTCCACAAGCATAGTACCTCGACGTACCAGCCTACTCATGTCCTTGACAAGAATTGCCAGACTTTTCGCAAACGACTGGCGGGTAGCGCGGGTTGTTCCGCCACAGTTTTGATGAAGATAGAGGGACTGCTGGCATCATGCCCCTCCTCGGGTGAGGTCCGTCGACGCACGAACTCCACCAATTTGCGCTCACACCAACGCATGAAAGTGGCTTCTTTCTTCCAAACGCCCGTCGTCCAGACGGACAGCGGCCCCGAATCAATGCTACGATGCGCAGTGTCCAAATTTTCCTTCACCGTAGCCCCCCCTCGTTCGTATGCGCAGCGGAACCACATGTGCAGGAAACCAGAACCACGCTCCGATAGTCGGATTCTGTTCGAGAGCACGACGTCTGTGAATATCCGGTCGCCAACTATGACAAGCTGCTCTGGGCGCACGGGATCGCGGAGCGAGGAAAAGTAAGTACGGATGGCTTTGACACAAGAGTAGCCGGGTTTTGGTGTCGCATGGAAAAGAACTGGAACTTGAAGATTCCGCTTGACCGATTCGGCCTAGGTGAGGGCCGTTGAGCCAGTCCCGCGAGAGGATCACCTCATGGACGAACCTCGATTCCCGCAGGGTCTGAGTGTGAACCAGCGGAGTTGCTGACAATTAGCACATTCCCATCTCCGAAAGTCCTCCGGCAGTCTTCCCAGGCTTCCTGCGCGGTCTCAAGATGAAAATTGTATAGCATCTTTCCAGCGAACACACGTACGGTCAATTCTGGTACCAGGTTGTCCTTATGAGGCACAGTCTGCAGGCAGGTCAGCGTTAAATCTAAGGTTCCACAGGTGCCCCACTATGCAGTTGTCTTTGTCGAATACTATGCCTCGGTACCCTGCCTCTTTCAGAGCTGCAAAGTCCAGATGGCGAATATCTTGCTACGTTTATGTCTTTAGACCACAACAACACTAGAGCTTCAGAAAAGTCACCTTTTATGGCTAGATTGGGTAGTATTACTCTGGGATTGAAGAGGATTTGGAAAGGCACTAGCGCGCCCGGTAAATTGAACGGCATCGCGGTTCGCAAGAAATGACAACGTCGGATTTGGTGATCCGAGCTTGTGATCATTCATCCACGTGACCCTGACTTTCTTGCATCTTTGTTAGGTTCTCCGAGTCTGCAAACTTACTGAAAGTATGCTCCAGACCGTTGCACGAGCTTGCAGCGGTATTCGTTTTCGGGCGGCCTCGAGCTTGGGGCATCCGTTTGCAGTGCACCACCTGCCTCTTGTCCATCGACGGCTCTATGCCAGCAAAGAGATCAAATCCACTGCTAGTTTCGTGCCCGGCTCGAAGCAGCCTATTACGGACGAGGCAGCGCGCGCAGAATACTCTAAAGCAGAAGAAGCAATGAAAACAGCAGTCACTTGGTACCGGAAGCAGTGCTCTGCAGCTGAAAGCCGCGTCATGGGACGTGTCACGCCGTCCATGCTGGACTCCGTCAGAGTCAAGCTCCCTGGTGGCGACAAAGACTATCGACTCGACGAGGTTGCAACTATCGGCGTGCGAGATGGGTCCACGTTGATGATCACGCTTTTCGAGGAAGAGGTATGTCCCATCCGTACTGTGGCGTCGACTCGCCCAACCTGACGCTGATAGATCCGGCTCGCGCCTTAGAACCTGAAATTCGTGGAAAGCGGTCTGTACGACTCCAAATTGCCCAACGTCGTTCCCCAAAAGCACGACGCGCGCACGATCAAGATTCCCATACCCAAGTACGTTTGCAATCCATGCAAACGCGCTTGGCTCATCAACGACGCGTCAGACCTACGGTTGAATCCAACGCCGCCCTGATAGCTGCATCCAGTCGCCAGGCCGAAGAAATCAGAGTCCAGATCAGAAAGCTTCATCAGACTAGTCTGAAACGAGGCAAATACAAAAAGCACTCTATCGAGCTGGAAGAAGTGCGCGCCGTCTGGACTACATAGCCTTACTCTGACCTCCTGCAGTTTCAAAAGCTGTCCGACCGATATGTCGCTGAGGTTGAGAAGATCGTGGCAGACCTCAAGAAAGGTACTAGCAGTGGAGGGAAGAGGAAGTAGACTAGGACTACATAGACAAGTCTGCACGTACCTGCTACTACTTGGAATGAGACTGAGCATCAAAGAGAAAACCAAGCAGTGCCCATGATCAATAATATCCGGACGGATCTGTGCGAGCAGTATATGTGTGCAAAAGAGGCATGATGGCATAATGGAACATGGGGAGACACGACATAAGTAGATTTACTCCTTGACGGCACCCTCCTCCACGGCCAAGAACGCAGATCGCTTCTCGGTGATACGAGCAGCACGACGTTCGCGCGCAGCCTAAGAGAAGTGAGAAGACAATCCGAGAATACCGCATCAGGTAACACACCTTGTTTTTGACACGGCGGGCCTCCATCTGGTCGGTAAGGACCTTGGTACGGCTCTTCTCGGCTTTGGCTTTGTGGATGTACTCCATCAACACACGCTTGTTCTTGAAAACGTTACCCTTGGACTTCTGGTACAGAGAGTGGTACCTGGAAGAGAGGCGCAGTTGGTCAATATCTGAAAAAAGCTTGCAGAAAGATCGTTGGACGCACAGGTGCTTGTCGATCTTTCCTGCCTCTCTGTACTTGCGCAGCAACCGCCTGAGCACACGCTGTCTCCGCATCCACAACACCTTCGTCGGCATACGAGCCTCCGCAGTACCCTTCCTCTTACCCGGGCCAGTATGACGACCCTTCCTCTTTGCAGCGAGCAGTGCCCGCGTGCGTGCGCGCGAGTGGATCGTGGTCGGCTTGATAATAATGTCGCCCTCTTTGATCAGCTTCTTGATGTGGGAGCGCGAGTTGGCGCTGGCGATCTCGGACTGCTCCGCGGGGTTCAGCCAAATTTTACGATGACCAACGCCCTTGACGGAGGCGGCGAGCCGTTTTTGAGAGCGGAGATTGACTGATAAAAGACCTCGATCGGTGGAAATCTAGATGAGTGGGAAAGGGCATACCCATCGTTGTCTGTAAGGGAGTCAGTCGGTCACAACGGCCGCAACGCCGGACATTACCTTGAGGACGGTCTGGCGAGCGACGCCAAAAGCAAGTTTGATTACGTGTGACTGGGCAGCTGCACATGACAGTCTGCATGAGTGTAAGGTTAGGGTCAGGATCCTGCCATCCCCATACTTGACAGATTTCGCAAGCGATCTGTCTATAGATATGTATGTATGTGGGCCAACACAAGCCCAACGAAATGGCAACGTTAAAAGGGAAATCCCGGCTTGCCTTGTCTGCGGGAAATTTGTGTCCGATCCACCATATACACTGCGACTCTCTAGAAACGCGCAGTCTTGTGCAATGGATTGCGAGCGAGTTGGCATCTAGCAGCTGAAGATATGGAACTACTGAGTCCTAAAACAATACGGCCGGTGTGTTCTCCGACGTTTCTTACTCTGGCCGGCGAGATGACGGTCCTGGCTTTGACCTTACTCTTGGGATGCTCTGGCTCTGTGATCCTTGTGGGCGTCATGCCTCTATGACGGTCATCGGAGGGCTTCGCACGCATTCTTCTGACAGCTGCTACATACATACCATCATGTGCGATGTGTGACTATTTCACTGATAGGCTAATATACCTTCGCTCACAATCGCCGCTCATTACACTATCTTATGCTCACAGCACAATCTTTTCGGCCCGCGATATCCGATGTACATATACGCTGTGAAGGACCGCTCGTCCCGCTCTGTCCTGTCAGGTGATGCATATAGACCACTTGAAATCTGATTATAATATATGAAAAGCAGACCCGGGCACACTACTCGACAATGTTCAACGCGGTCCTCATAATATGCTCTCCTTTTCGACCGGCACCACCCCGGCTGGTATGCTTCAGTAAACCGATGTAATCTAATTCATGAAGGCCACGCATGAAACGGGCCTGGACAGTCAATTTCCACTGTTCGTCCGGCTCTTTCTTGCTCCTCCTCTTTTTTGGCGACGATCCAGCCAATGCATTTGACCGTTGCGATTCAGCGGTGACCCGGAAGTGGTCGAACCAGTCGTACACATTGACCATCTTGCTTGCTTTGACGTAGCCCTTGAACAGCACGCTCACGTCGATGAATTCGGCGCTGGCTTCTGACTGATCATCGGGGTATTCGTCTTCCGGCAATGATGTGTACGCATAAGGAAACGAAAGCGCAGAGAAAATGGACGGTCGGATTGCAGGATTCAGTAGCTGGAGCAGCTGAGTGAATGGGCATGAGAATCGAACTGCCCCATACGCACATCCGACGGGAACGGTGCTTGGCCAGTGTACCAGACATTCCAAAGTCTCGAGGATTTCTCGAATGGCTGCAAGAGACTATCAAGATATGACTCCATCCAGCCGGCGCTTTCGACAGTCAGATTCTTGCTCTTGCTGCTGCGAAAGTGGATAATCTTCTTGCGAGCAGGCAGGAAATCTGCTAGTGAGGCAGAGGTGCTTGACATGTGATAAAAGTAGGAGTGCCACGAGCCCAGTATGCCATCGAGATCACTTGCACTCAGTTTCCTGCTGCCAAGTCTGAGAACTGGTCTAGAGCACAAATGATTTGACTTCACCGCAAAAACTCTGCTAGTCCAGAAACGGGATTATCATCCAGGCGACGGCTGACTGCACTAGCACTGCGCCACTTGTTGAGCACTTTGTCCCGGCTGCGCTCGTGGTGTCGCAAGAACTGCATGATCAGACCCAGAAGCGTCATGCCCAGTCGAATATCTCGAGCCCCGCGCCAGAAAGAGTCGCGAGTAGCATCGATCAACTGTGAAAGGACCCCCTGCGAGTCCTGTTTCGGGTCGCCATCAGGATCGAGCCGCGCAACCACTTGTTCGATGATTTTCTGCTCAGCTTCTGCCAAGGGTGGTGTGCTAGTCGACAAAAAGGACATTGAATCGATAGCAAAGTGTTTGAGATGAGCGATCTAGGACAAAAATAAGTGCAATGTCTCTTGAGATAGCGACTTAAATTTACCTGGAAGATGCTGGTTAGCACGTCTAACGAGGGATTGTACGTCTTGTAGTAGTTCTCGGCAAACTCGAGTAAACTGGGACCAGGAAGAACGACAAGATCCGTTGGAAAGTGAAAGAACACCTGAAATATTTAGGCCAGGTTCAGAAAGGTAAAGCGCTATCGACCTTGAGGAGAATCTGGTTCATCGTATCGATCCCTGCTGGGCCCGCAAAATGATACGGACGCAAAAGGGTCAGTGTTGATCGCGAAAAGGCTGCTTGAAGATAGGAAGATGGCGACGGAGTTGACATTGAGAGTACGAATGCCATCTTCATGGTCGACGAATGCAAGCTATGCGAGTCAGACCCCTCCAAGGGTGGCAGCGCTTGAGAACGTACCTGCAAATGTAAATCATATCTTGCACGACGTTGGCATCGAACTGCTCAAAGTCGTGGAGCAAAACAACGAGACTCTGAGAATCTTCTTGTGCATCATACCATGCTTGAAGCAGCTCAATGTCATACGGCGCCAATGACGAGGCCGACCGCCTCCTGGGAGCATCTGCTGATACCGTCGTGAAAAAATACCAATTGTGCAAGAAGATAGGCGTGCCTTCATCCCTGTCCACAAATCCCGCGATAAGACTTTTCATGCCACTCATCACAGTGAGGCAGTCGTTCGGATACAAATGGTTCACAAGCGTCAAGTCCAATCGCTCGCTCAGTTGATCAAGAAACACCGAGCCACCGTGTGAATCTAATAACGCGTCAGCAAAGCAGCAGTTAGAGGCGGGATAGATCGGCACACCAGCGATGGTCACAACCGGTATCTCTTTGACCGGCAGCCCAGGCAGGACATCTTCATGGACACCATTTAAGCAATCCACTACGTCTGAAACGACGGATTGATACAGTTCGTTGATCACTTCCTGCTGGAATGAGTGAGGATGTAGGGAAGCCAAGTTAGGCGTTCACCTTCATTCGATCCAGGCAGAGCCGCCATGCGTATTTGTAAGCGGATAGGCGCAGCTGTGGACCGGTGGACAGATCATGCTCAAAGACCGGCGACGGCAAGAGAGCCGGGGTATCCACTACGATTCTGAAATCCGTCAAATGTCCACAATTCGGATTGCAGGCAAGAGAGCGAACCATCTGCTTCCTCCTCATACGGGATGAGGATGACTGTCTGTAGGGACGTTAATAATCTTTTAGAACGCAAGTGGATTTTAGTACCCGCTGAGTGTCATCAAGGTCTGGTACCATCCCCTGTTGGATATTGCCCAACTCAGACGCGTTCCTTTCTTTGACGCGTCGAGTCCTGGTCACAACCCAAATGTGAGTCACACATCACAATGTGACTTCACGTATCTCCTTGTTCACTCCTCCCACTCTCGGCCATGGCCACCGCTTCGCCCTTTGCACGCAGTGCAGCACCTGAGACGACTCCGTTTGGTCGCTCTCAAACCGTGAATTTCCTCTCGATCTGTATCATTCGAAGTCACAAACAAGCCGGTTATAGATAGAAGAGATGTACAGCGTTCCAGAGAGCTTTTTGGAGATCGAAGTGCGCAATCCTCAGACTCATGGTAAGTTGACGATATCCGTGAACCTATGCATATGGGTTGTGTTTCCTACCGTCTCTTACGATGCGTTGCAGGCTTTGGCCGCAAGATGTACACCGACTACGAGATCGTGTGCAAGGTACGAAAGCGGCGCATTGCAACTGAACCGCCCTCACTTCTCTCAATTTCAGACCAACATTCCGGCATTTAAACTCAGGCACTCTCTCGTACGCCGCCGATACTCTGACTTCGAAGCCTTCCGAGATATACTCGAGCGTGAACTAACGCGTGTGAACATCCCTCCACTACCTGGCAAAGTGTTCACCAACCGGTTCTCTGACGAGGTTATTGAGAGCAGGAGAGAGGGTCTCGAGCGGTTCCTGACATTTGTCGCCGGCCACCCGTTACTTCAGGTAGGTATAATCTGGTCCCTGATCTCGCCGTCAGTGCGCTGATTTGACCAGACTGGGAGCAAAGTGCTCTGTGCATTCATGCAAGACCCTGCTTGGGATAAAGCCCAGTGGATCTGATCGGATATCAGCACGCTTCTAGTCAGCCTGCAACTCTCGCAATCTTCGATCCCTTCATTCGCTGCGTTGTCATCTGTACTTTTAATCTATCGTTTTTCGGTCGTGGAATGCCCTACTGTTTGCGCGTACTCGTCCGACTCCAATTGGACGGAGCTTGGACGGGGACTGCCAGAGAGATGAAATGTGTATCCCAAATTCTTGTGCCCAGTCTGTGTAGATGAAGTTGCGCCGATCATCTGGATTTGCGTGCGCGCAATACATGGGTGCACTTGCGCATTGCGGTGAGGCTCGAAACGAGAAGCGACTCATAATCGAAGTTTCGTATGTAGCTCATTCGTACAAACTTACACGTATCCAAACGTGGCAGTCTGTACTGGCCAAACAATGACATCAATTAGCTCTGACCTTGACTTCAACCACCATGCGCTTGGCCGCGCTGACCTCGTCTCTCCTTTTCATTCTTTCACGGAGCACGGGCACTTCGGCAGACCCTGGGACTGGCCTCTACCCTCCTGGTTTGCAGCCGCTGATCGCGAGGGCTAATGTACTTCTGTCGAGCGGGCAGTTCGGCGATGCAGCGAGGGCGTATAGCGAAGCTATAGGTACAGCAAGTTCATTCGGCAGCCGTGCATCATGAAAGTGGCTGAACAGATGAAATGTGCTCACTATTGGTCAGAACAATCTCCCGCCGACTACTTATTATTCTACAAGCGCGGAACCGCGTACCTATCCTCGGGACGGCACGCTGCAGCTCTGGAAGACTTTGGCCACGTCTTGAAGATCACACCCCTGCCTTCCGCGTATCTCATGCAAGCGCGTATTCACACCAAAGACGGCGACTTCGCACTCGCACGTGCGGCATTGGAACAGTACACTGGCGGAGAGAAAGAGATGCAAGAGAAGAGCAATTTGCTCAACGACATCAGCGAGGCTGAGGTAAATGCGAAGCAGGCGAAACAGGAACGCTTGGCCCAACTGTGGAACGCGTGTATAGAGACTTCGAGTCGCACATTGCGCATTGCAACGCACAGCACCACTGTGCGCAGCATCCGTGTGGAGTGTGCTCTTGGTGCAGGAGACGTCGAAGGTGCCGTTGGCGATATGAGTCGCTTATCTGTTCTGCTTCCCGAGTCTCAAACGCAAGAACTACATGCACTGATATTCCGCCTTTCATTCTTCCTCCTTCCTCCATCTCCGCTTGCCGCCAATGCTGTCAAGCAATGTCTGCACTCTGATCCCGAGTCCCGTGTCTGCCTTCCGCTGCACCGAATCTCGAAGAATCTCGAGCGTGGATACAACATGGCTGAAGAGCAGGGTGGAAACGGTGACTGGCGGGGAGCCCTTGCGACCCTCAAAGGCACTGGAAGGAAAGGCGATATCTATCGGAAATTCGAGGAAGCTGCTGCTGAACAGCTGGCTCCCGCTCACCTGAAGCTGTTCTCTCTCGACAAGGGACAAATCCTGCTCGTCAGCTACACCAAGTCGTCTCCCCGGCGTCGTGCTATGCTCCGGAATCTCTGTAAAGGACATACACTGACTGAGCAGCATCGCAAGGGTGAAGAGTGGTGTCGCATGCTGTATTCGATGGACGAGGGTGACAATGATGCTGATGCTTTGCGCGGATTGGGCGAGGCATATGTCGTGAAAGAGGAGTACGAGGAGGGAGTGAGGTATCTGGAACGCGCGTTTGAAGCCACTGGGCGAAGTGATCGTGATGTCAGTGTTCTCGTTCAAGCCTTCCAACATAGCATTGATTCTTTCCTTAGTTTCAAGCTCGCCTCCAAAAAGCACAACGATTGCTCAAGCAAAGCAAGCAGAAAGATTACTACAAGGTTCTAGGGGTCTCCCGAGACGCAGACGCGAGAACAATCAAGAAAGCGTTGTAAGCTTCGAGTTATCTTGGTGGGCACTGCTTGTTCTCACCTTCTATCTAGCCGAACAGCAGCTAAGACGGCGCATCCTGACAAAGGGGGGTCGGAAGAAAAGATGGCTGCGGTCAATGAGGCTTACGAAGTTTTGTCAAATCCTGGTGCGCGGCTACTTATGTCTTGACCGTGCAATGCTCAAGTGGCTGTCAGAATTGCGAGCGCGGTTCGACAATGGTGAAGACCCGAACGACCCTTCTTCAGGAAGCCCATTCCAGCAGGGTGGAAACCCTTTTGCACAGTTCTTCCAGCAATCTAGTGGTGGATTCCCAGGAAGTGGGTTCCCTGGCGGCGGCCAATTCCAGTTCCACTTCGGTCATGGAGGGCATTGATGTATCTGTTGTGTCGGTGTTGTACGTTTGGCGTATGATAGATATCATAATAGGACTATCGTCTCGAATTATAACCTGCAACTTTCTTGGAATCTTGATCTTATGCAAATGATTCAATTGACGATGACTATCTTGGCTTTCAATTCACGATGTCTTTGGAACATGCGTTCAAAGGACGAATATGGGGCAGGAAGGAAGGCTCAAATTTTGCATGCCGGCAGGATGGGTGGATGAAGATGTCGGCATACTTAGGGGTCTGTGGTACGCAGATACTAGCAACTGACGACGACTCAAAAATTGAGACCGTGAGCTCTGCTGCAGAGCCGAGCCAAAATCGACAACCGATGACGAGACTCGAACTCGCAGCCTTCGCCTAGACTTGAACAGCACCCAAATATCATAGGAAAGCGATGCACTACCTTGTGCTACAGCGGCGCGGACCCATCGAGAACGAATTCGGAACCCAGAATTGGCATGTCACCAGGTCATGCGCCAATCCCGCCCAGTGTCACAAGCGCGTGACACCGAGATGAATCCTTTCGAAAGCAACGTGTCGTTGACGATGCAGGGCCAGTTCGCAACCTCGGACACTCACAAATACTCTGTGATTCTGCCAACCTATAACGAACGCAAGAATCTTCCTATAGTCGTCTGGCTCCTAGCGAGGGTGTTCGAACAAAAGTGTGTACTGCATCGGGGTGCACGCCGCGTCGAGATCTGGCTCTGAATTGCGTAGCCAGCTCGCATGGGAGATCATTGTTGTCGACGATGCGAGTCCGGATGGTACCCAGGAGGTTGCTAAACAGCTCGCAAGCGTTTACGGGGAGGATAAAGTGGTGCGCGGTCATGTGGAATGTAAAGTCCTGGAAGTAATGAGTATCCAGGTTCTTAAACCGCGGGCGGGCAAGCTCGGGCTCGGGTAAGACTCTTCTATGGCTTTGTTCGTCCGGTTACCCAGCTCAAACTGTCCCGAGAACTGCGTACATTCATGGTTTAAACTTCTGCTCCGGAGACTTTGTTATAATCATGGACGCCGACTTCTCTCATCACGTTCGTGCAATCGGCACAGTCTTTATGAAATCGTGGACTGACCGACTTCCAGCCCAAATTTATTCCCCAATTCATCGCGTTGCAGAAAGCGCACAACCTCGACATTGTCACGGGCACACGTTACCGCTCGTCATCCAAGCCATATCTTGCCGAGGCACAACCAGGTGGAGTCCACGGGTGGGATCTGAAACGCAAGATGGTCTCCCGAGGTGCTAACTTCCTCGCCGACACCGTGCTGAACCCTGGTGTGAGTGACTTGACGGGTAGTTTCCGGTGAGTAATAAATAGTACGACACCCCACTGTTTCTGGCTGACATGATGTTTCTCTCAGTCTGTACCGCTTGCCGGTACTGAGGCACATCATCGCGGAAACACAGTCCAAGGGCTACGTTTTTCAGATGGAGATGATGGTACGTGCCAAGGCACTGGGCTATACTGTAGGCGAAGTCCCGATCACCTTTGTCGATCGGATATTCGGTGAGAGCAAGTTGGGGGCAGATGAAATCGTCTCGTATGCCAAGGGTGTATGGCAGCTCTTCATTGGCGTATGATTTCCGAGTTTATTACGGCCTAATTTATTGCATTTTGCATATTCTTCTCTGAACGGAATCACGATGCGACGCGAACAAGTCGATATTCGGAGCAGAGTACATTCGGAGATCGTCTTCTAGTATACAAAAGGCTTGGGGACTTTCACCGTCCGTATCTGTGCATGAGAATGACTATCAGAAGTGATCTAGAAACGAGTGGATACTGGGACGCACTTCTGCAACTCCCATTCACGGTTGTCCAAAGGACAGACATTACGCGTCTTGAGCCAACGCGAGATGCAGTGGAAGTGGAATGCGTGCTTCGGGGAAGGCTTAGTTGGGTATACTGACAACAACTAACATCCCGTACGTTGCAGATACCCCAGGCGGCGTTGCACTCTTCAGAGGTCGCAGAGACTTGATTAGCCTGGCAGTCGATGCCTGTTGCGCGGATCAGAGCGCGGACGACGCAAGATCGGTCGTGTGCTTACATAGATCCATAATATGATTCCTGCAGATGGCGCAGTTGTCAACGACGATGTCTACACGATGAGAGTTTAGATAATAATGGCATTCAGTGGCGAAAGGATGTACCCCATGCCCAGAGCGAGACAGCATTCCACTGTGCACCGCACCGGCGACTTGTTAGTGGCATGGAGGGCCGACCAGGAGTGACAACAAACCTTCTTGACTTCGAAACGCTGCTTTCCCTCTTTCTCCTTGCCCTCCTTCTTTCCTTGGGGAGGGTCAACGTCCATGTCAGCCATTGAAGTATACGATGTTTGTGATGGAAGGGACGAAGTGTATGCACTGCGTCCGCTGCCCTAATGGGGAAACTACATGACTCGTCACGGGACTCACTCCGTCAGCTTGACCATCATGATGCAGTGTGAGTTATCCGTAGTGGGTGGTCAAGGTCGCTGGCATCCGAAAAGCGAAATAGACATTGGTGAGGACTGTGGATGCGATGCCCAAAACAAACCGCCCTTTGTCATACACTCGAATGATGAGTCGATGCCATTCCGCCCTTGCACATCGGTCGCAGATCCCTCAGCGTCACTTTGAGTTTAGTTTAGTTTAGTACTGCAAGTATGTATTTCCGTAGGCACAATGTGACATCAACTACACAGTTCAAGTCTCGTCCGGCAGTAAATAGGAAGGAACCGCCTCGAGAATTGTGCGGGCAGACTGTGCAAGACATCCACGTTCCACACTTTCGACCAAACTGTGGTGCCGACTTCAGTCATCATCATGACCTATCATGACGGACACGAAACAGAGCCACGGCAGATTATGTAATGTGGGATATGACGTCAGAACCTGGATCTCCTCAGCGATCAACGTTTCTCCCTCCGCTACCACTATGAGCTTGCTTCAAGGCGTCCTGCGGTCCCAAGTCCCGGACCCCAAATCCCCGGAGCGTCGTTTAAACAATGACTGCTCTACCTCAGACGACTCCGACGACGAACTGGTTAATGTAGTGCGTGCACCAGATTATCAAGTATTCTAGAACTACACACTGACTACCACCCAGGTTTCCCTCCCAGGGACGCCAGCACGCACTCGCCCCCCTTCACCCACTCGAACGGCTAATGGAGCCGCTAGTCGACCGCTACCCGGTCCTCTTCACCTCTCATCGCGACGGGACTTGCTCAAGGCACTCCCAACGGATATCAATCAGCGTATCTTCGGTCAGCTTCCAGTTCGGGATCTGGCGCACTGCGCACTTGTGTCGAAGAAATGGCATAGAAGTCAGACGATTAACTACAGTGCGCACCGTTCCAGGTATCTTTAGGCGAAACTGACTCTCAGTCCAGTCTGGTTCCAGCATTATAGAAAAGAGAACTTCCACGATTCGAGCCTGCCTGCGGGTAAATGGACGAAACGAGAGTCGAAGCAGAGCTGGGTGTGTGTCTCTTCGCTATCTCTCTCCTCCTCTGCTGCGATCTGATCACGCCTAGCGAACAACTTTCCTTCAGACCGCCGGTCGACGCACACCTCCAAATATGTCTACCACCGGAGTTTCCAGCGTCCCCCGATCAGGTTACGTCTCGCCGGAGCGATCTGGAATTCAGACGCCCCGGGAGATCCAAGAGGAGAAATGGCGGATGGAAGCCGAAGTCACTGCGTCCCCAGGCAAATTAGAGATGCGAGAGATGTACAAGGAGCTGAACGGAAGGAAGAGCAAAGGCAAGAGCAAATGGGGGAGTGCTGGGGTGAGAGATAAGGGTGGTTGGAGTGGGGGCCTGGAATATTGAAATGATCCATATCGCTGTCATTATCTCAAAGGTTGTGTACTAGTATCATCTTTATGACCCGAGCTTTCCAAATCGGGACAATCGGCGTAGTGTTTTTTGGCACCGTTTCTGGGACCCCGTGAATAGTTTCCTGAAACATTCTTTTCCTCAAGTCCAGCCCATCACTAACATGTATGTATATACTATATACGCACACATTTATCCTCTTCTTAAAGTCGCCACTTCACTGAGACCTGCACTAATAGGATTGACGAGACACTGTCGTGTCACGTGTGGTACTGACTAGTGTCACGACGTCGGTGACAACGTCACATCATCCCCTGGCAAACACGCGCATATTGAGAAATCGCTCGCTCGTCCTCAAGCACATCCTTCAAGACCGACATCCCTCCGAACTTGTACGTTAAATACGGTGCAATACCATGAGCAAGGAGATCTGATCCATCTGCAGCATTCATCATGGGTCGTATGCACGCACCGGGCAAGGGCATTTGTGCGTTCTACACAATATTCTTCTCGTCCTGGCTCTGAGGTTCCATTCATATTTCAGCGTCCTCTGCACTTCCTTACCGCCGCGCTCCCCCGACATGGCTCAAGACTTCCCCGGAAGAGGTCGTCGAGCACATCGTGAAGCTGGCTCGTAAAGGTCTCACCCCCTCCCAAATCGGTGTCACTCTCCGTGACTCGCACGGCGTCCCTCAAGTGCGATTCTTGACAGGAAACAAGATTCTGCGTATACTCAAGAGCCAGGGTGCGTAAGATCAGCGTAGGACTGGACCATTAAACTGATTCCTTGCCTGTTCCGCAGGTCTTGCTGCATCCATCCCCGAAGACCTGTACTACTTGATTAAAAAGGCTGTCGCCGTACGGAAGCATCTTGACGCTAACCGCAAAGACAAGGACTCCAAGTTCCGTCTCATTCTTATCGAGTCCAGGATCCACCGACTGGCGCGTTACTACAAGACGAAGCAGCAGATCCCGCCCACGTTCAAGTACGACGCGTCCACCGCTAGCACCCTCATTGCTTGAAGATCTGTGCATCACGCATTGCTGGTTGAGTGGAATCGGAGTCTGGTCGAGGTAGTGGGCTGTAGTGAGCTTGAATTATGGGTTGATATACTGTATGCCTCGAAACGCTGATAAAACTACGCACCCATGCCTTCTTTCCTTGAATCTCTCGTTCATTTGCACATAAGGCGATCTTGGCAATGCTCACACTTGCAGTCTTACGGTGGACCCCAAGAATTGATGACAATGAAGTGCTGCAGAATAACGAGCACCTTCCTAAGTTCACCTGTAAAAGCCTGATGACTTTCATAACACCCCTCGTGGGTTGCAACGGTTACAACCCATCTTGAAACGTTTCCGAGATCATGTGATTAACAAGTCTTGATCCACGTCAACGGACACTTTCTCTACTCTCCTTCCCTTCCTTCCACGTTCCATGAAATTAAAGGAAATCCACCGAACCTCGACTTTCGCATGGTCGCCGTCTGCAGAGCTGCCGCTGCTGGCCACGGGGACTGTCGCCGGTGCGCTCGACGAGTCGTTCAGTGACGAGAGCCAGCTCGAGATCTGGGCTCCCAACTTCCTGGACAAGGACGAGTTCGAGCTGGGCGCGGCGGCCCAGCAGGGTCCCAAGGGCATCGTTAAGGATACCGCGCGTTTCAACCGCTTGGCGTGGGGCGCTGTCGATGCGGCGCACACTCGTGGTGTACTTGCCGCTGGCCTGGAAAATGGCGAGCTGGCACTCTGGGATCCCGCGAAAATCGTCGCCCATGCAGAAGAGTGAGTAGATTTCTGTCGTGTCGTGTCTTTGCCCGGTTTTGATGTGTGAATGTCATACGTGTAGCTCTCTCATATTTCGCAACTCGACGCACACGGGGCCTATACGCGGATTGGACTTCAACCCCATACAGGGAAACCTCCTTGCGACCGGTGCTGTCAATGGCGAGGTAATGCCATCTCAGCTATAGTGGATATGGGTATAAATAACGAATGCATGCCAGGTGTATATCTGGGACTTGAACTCCCCCTCCAAGCCATACACCCCGACGCCCGGCGCGCGTTCTACCAAGCTGGATGAAATGACATCCGTTGGGTGGAACAGACAGGTCCAGCATGTTCTGGCTGGCGCCAGCAACTCGGGATACACTGTCGTCTGGGATCTTCGTGGTAAGCGAGAGGTCGTCGCTTTGACCTATGGTGGAACGGGATCTGGAGGTGGAATGAGTGATATCAAATGGCATCCAGACAATGCCACTCGACTTGTCACGTCCTCTGAAGACGACCAGACTGCCATCATCATGATGTGGGATCTTCGCAATGCGCGTGCGCCCGAGAAGGTTTGCATAGTTCGTCCATGATAAAATTCATCTCACCATATATCTCTTCTTTCAGACTCTCAGCGGGCACGAAAAAGGAATTCTCTCCTTGGCCTGGTGTGCTCAAGACGCGGATTTGCTGCTGTCCGGAGGCAAGGACAACCGCACGATTTGCTGGAACCCGCAGACTGGCGAGGCGCTCGGGGAACTTCCGAGGGCCCAGAACTGGACTTTCCAGGTTGATTGGTGTCCACGTAATCCCGATCTATTGGCTGCCGCCCACTTTGACGGCACGATCGGTCTTCACTCTCTTCAAGGCACAAATGAGTCGACTGCAGCGGAAATTGCGGCCCACCAAGCGTCAGGCGCGGACATCTTCGACCTGCAGCCCGGAGGCACCGCCTCAAGCGCAGCTGGAACATTATCGCTCAAGACTCCCCCCAAATGGTTCCGCCGCCCTGCGTCTGCCTCGTTCGGATTTGGTGGCAAGCTTGTGAGCGTGTCGAATCTACCGAATGCGGCTGGGAAGCACCAAAGTGGATCTGTGCATCTCCGGACGGTGCGCATCGAGGACACCATCGTACAGCGAGCTACTGGTTTGCGGGAAGCGATCTCAAAGGATGAGGTCTCTTCGTGGGCCAGTGAGCAAGTGGCGGACAAGGCGCTGTTGAGTCTCTTCAAGACGGACTCGCGGGAAGAGCTGGTCGCATTGCTTGGGTTCGAGAAGGCCGAGATCGAGCGCAAGGTGAGGGAAGCTGTTGAGGCACTTTCCTTGACGACGGATGGCGATCGTACGATGCAAGAGCCAGAGCCAGAGCTAGAAGTGACGGTCCGAGACCCCGTCGTCTCATTCGCCGAAGACGAGGTTGACAGCGAAAAGGCTGCGTCGGAAGTGAGTGCCACGACGAGTGGCGTGAGCTTGAGCGGCACCTCTCAGACTGCTCCTACCGTGAGCGAATCAGGAACGACGACGACTGTGCCAAGCTTGTTCGGTGACGATGGACCCGTTGACGATTCGAACGACTTCTTCAGCAATGTCGTCCCCCACACGAATTATCAGCTAGACTCGTCGGTTGCTGCGACGGTTGGGTCGCGACCGTCTTCTGCCGCGTCTGAGGTTCCGCGAGGATTCAATATTTACCCGGCCTCTTCGTCACCCACGGATCGGCTGATCACACAGGCTCTGGTATTGGGCGATTTCGAGTCTGCGGTGTCGCTGTGCTTGGCTTCGTCGCGCTATGCGGATGCGATATTGCTGGCAGTGAGGGGTGGGCCGGCTCTGCTGCGCCGGACGCAGGATGCATACTTTGCGTCGACTTTGACGCAGCAGGGTGGCAGCGGCCGGGTTCTACAGGCTGTCGTGAATGGCGATCTGGGCGACATCGTGCGGAACGCAGATGTTGCTGAGTGGAAGGAGGTGTTTGTCGTGCTGTGCACGTTTGCCAAGGAGGACTTTGAGAGTCTGGTCGAGGAGCTCGGGGCGAGACTTCAGGCCCGGGGGAAGCAAGTGGCGGATGACGGAGACGAGGTGGAGGGTAAGGTGTGGCGCAAGAACGCGACCCTAGCATATCTGGCTGCCGGAAAGCTCGAGCGGCTTGTCGGGATCTGGAACGAGGAAATGGTCGAGGAAGAGATGAACAGTCTTTCCGGTGCAGGGAGTGTCGCTTCAGTGTATTCCGCCCGGGCTCAGGCGCTGCAGACATTCGTCGAAAAGGTGACCGTTTTCCGCGCTGCGACCAAATATGTCGACTCGGCCGAGGGCAACAAGTTGAATTCTCTCTATGACCGATACTACGAGTATGCATCGGTTCTTGCTGCTCAAGGGCTGGTCGACGAGGCAGTCCGGTTCCTGGAGCTTGCGCCTGCTCAGTATGGGGACGAGTCCGCCAAAGGAGTACGCGAGCGTCTTGTCAAGGCCAGCTCCAAGACTCCTGCTATCCCGTCTGCTCCAGCAACTGTTCGAGCGACGGCAGCTGCTCTTCCCCGGGTGCCATTCTCTCAGCCGGCGTATGGACAACCCGCGGTCCCAAGCTATGGCGCCTCCGCACCGACATCCACCGGGCCGTATGCTCCGGCTGTCACTTCTAATGCATACAGTCAGCCCGTCGCATCGACTGGATATCCTCAGCAGCCTGCGAATTCCGCCGGGTATGCGCCGCCTGCCCCCGCTGGACAATATGCGCCGCCGCCAGTGCCTACTGCACCGGCCACTGGGCCCTACGCCCCGGCCGTGTCATCGAACGTTGCACCGCGAGGAAATGCTTATCCTTCAAACGGATTCGCGAATGGTGGGGCTAACATGGGCGGGCCACCTTCGTTGACAGGACCCCCTTCGATCGGTGGCCCCCCGCCAATGGCCGGGCCGCCCCGTTCAATTCCCATTAAACGGGACGCTGGAGGATGGAACGATGCTCCTAGTATGATGCCCAGCCGCACGACACCAGTGGCAAAGTCCTCCGCTAATGCGATCACCTCACCATTCCCCAACATGCCAGCAAATCCGCCTTCGTCGCCTTTCATGAATCAACAGTTTGCGCCGCCGCCGAGGCCAGGAAGTGTGCAGGGACAGATGGCGCCGCCGCCGCCGAGGGCAGGTCCCCCGCAGGGACGGCCCTCATCAGCGGCGCCTCCACCTCAAAGGGTGATGTCGCCTCCAGGACCAGCCCGATTGCCAACTCCCAGCCAGTATGCAGCCCGGCCTGCTGACGGGTACGGACGCCCGCCTTCAAGCCAGGCGATGTCTATGCCTCCGCCCCCGCCCCCGCCATCGGGTCCGTACGCACCGCCTCCAGGGTCTCAGCCACAGCAGCGGATGCCGCCGCCCGCAATGGGAATGGCCCCGCCTGCTGGAATGGGAATGGCCCCGCCTGCTGGAATGGGAATGACCCCGCCTGCTGGAATGGGAATGGCTCCGCCGCCAGGAATGGCGCCTCCTCCGGCAATGGGCATGGCGCCTCCCAACGGGCCGCCCAGTGGACCGGTCGCGCCAGCTCGAGCTCCGCCAGCTCCGAAGGGACCACCGCCACCTAAGTATCGTACGTTGTTCCCGTTGTTTCTTTTGGCTGTGTGCTAATTTTTTCCACGAAGCCCCTGGTGACAGGAGCCATATTCCGGCCGCAGCGATGCCTGCATTCAATGTGATCTCGCAGCAGTTGGATCAATTGCGCCAGACTGTACCTGTGTGTCATCTATGGGCTCTATCAGTGTTTTTACATTCTGATGAGTACTGTCCAGCCGTCCCAGAAACGACTGGTCGATGACCTTGAAAGGCGGATCAATCCGCTCTTTGACGCACTCAATTGCGAGACATTGTCCCAGCCGGTAGTTGAGCAGTTGCTTGTGCTCACTCAAGGTACGTGACGTGACTTCTAGTATTGCAGTCTTGTGACTGAATAAACGACAGCCATGGAAGCACACGACCGCGCCAATGCGCTGGCAATCCATGTCGATCTGCTGACGCGGGGATCCCAGACGGATGACATTGGGATGTGGATGTCTGGCATTAAACAGCTCATCATGCGTTTGTAGGTGGTGGTGTACTAGAAAACGTATATATGCAATCCCTGGAATTTCGGCTCCCCTGCGTAAATGCTATTTTATTCTTCTGCTCTGATGCGTGGCAAGAGTGAACATCCAAGATATGTAATTGTTCCGTCACACCGTTGACGCATTCACGCGCGTCGAGGTCGCATAAGACGCAGCTCCTGGTCACGTCTAGATAAACATATATGTAAACTAACCGTTTCAAATGGAATGCAGCTGTCTGAGCATGCGTACCATGGTAGGAATTATCAGGAGCAGCTCCCAGGCGTGAACTCACGCGACAACAGCATCATCCCCTCACATGTATACCTCGTCTGCGTCGCCATCTGCATCCGCATCCGCGCCAAAGGCCTCAACCTTTACCACCAATTTCCACGGAATGAGCACCTGCCCGACATACCGCGCATCCGCGTCTCCGTCTGTGTCCGGGCCAACGCGGTATTCGTCTGTGTTCACGAGCAGAACGTTCAATGGCTTGTCCGTGCCCGCGAACGTCCCTAGGAAGATCCGCCCGTCGGTTGTTATTATTCGGACGGGGGTTTGGAGGAGCGGGGTGAGCAGGGATGGGGATGCGGTGGAAGCATTGGGTGACGATAATGACATGGTGGTGGCGTGAAGCGAAATCTTATTACAGCCCTTTCGGAAAAGGTTGACCGGAACAGTTTTTCGCCAACGACTTGTAAAATTTGATGAAATGATATGATGGACCATATATAGACTTAGCTCCGGAACCAGAATCCTCGCATACCCATTTTTCAGCTGTTCATGTCGGAAAACACTAGTTAATTCAACAGATCTCCTCTTTCAGCATATGAGATACCATACACCTACCTTCAAGAGCCACCACATCCGGCTTTTCCGATGACAATACCCTCACAACACATTTGCCTCTAAATTTGCCCGCATCGACACAAACTCCGCTCTGATTTCCGCACGCTTCCTCCAAAGGTAGCGCAGTTCCAGCAGTCAGATCTCTCTTGATTCTAGGTCCTCACTGATACACCAACATGCAATAGAATGTTGTTACCAGTGCAAAAACTGGAAGGTGCAGAATTCCCCTAAGCTTAAGCGGATCGATATCCGGAGCTAAGTCTATATATGGTCCATCATATCATTTCATCAAATTTTACAAGTCGTTAGCGAAAAACTGTTCCGGCCAACCTTTTCCGAAAGGGCTGTAAATGAGATACCATGTGATGATTCCACCGACAGTAGCTCGATCGGGAAGGTGAGCTCTTTCGGACTGTTAGGTCTGAACCACGTCTGAGCTTCAGCCTGTAAGCCACCGACAGGGTACTCGGACATGATGGAGCCTCATTTAGCGACAAGTAATTCCATTAATATCGCGATTGCTAATAATCCTCTACTATAATGACCACGTCGGTGCATTAGAAGCACTCTGGGCGACACAGTCAGTGGAGAGTGGAAACAACAACAAACCAACATACTGCGGTGAACGATGCCGGGGCCGGACTCGTCGTATTCTTGCTTGGAGCACCACAGGTTTTGGAACGTGCTCAGCGACGACAGAATCGATCCACCGATCCACACAGAGTACTTCCGCTCCGGAGGCGCAACGATCTTCACCTTCATGCTGGCCGGGGAAAGCGACGTCAGTTCTTTCTGCATACGGTCGGCGATACCCGGGAACATCGTCGTTCCACCCGACAGCACAACGTTGCCGTACAGATCCCGACGGATGTCGAGATCGCACTTGAAGATCGAGTTGAAGCTAGGATAGAGGTCAGAAACGAGCAGGGATGCTGTCGAGACAAACAACGCACGTCGTCTCGTGGATTCCGGCAGCCTCAAGACCAATGAATGCAGGCTGGAACAGCGCCTCCGGAGCACGGAATCGCTCAGGGCCAATCGTGATCACTTGTCCGTCCGGAAGCTCGTAGCTCTTTTCCAGAGCAGACGACTGCGCCGCAGTCTGCAGCTCCTGCTCAAAGTCGAGCGCAACGTAGCACAACTTCTCCTTGATGTCCCGCACAATTTCACGCTCCGCAGTCGTCGTGAACGGGTATCCGCGCTCAGTCAAGTTCTTGATCAAAAAGTCGGTCAGATCACGCCCAGCAAGATCGAGACGCAGGATCGCGTGCGGGAGCGAGAATCCCTCGTAGATCGGCACCGTGTGCGACACACCGTCACCAGAGTCGAGCACGATACCGGTCGTCCGACCAGACGCGTACAGCGACAACACAGCCTGGATCGACACGTAGAACGCAGGCGCGTTGAATGTCTCGAACATGATCTGCGTCATCTTCTCCCTGTTCGCCTTGGGGTTCAGGGGTGCTTCGGTCAACAGCACAGGGTGCTCCTCCGGCGCGACACGCAGCTCGTTGTAGAAGGTGTGATGCCAGATCTTCTCCATGTCGTCCCAGTTGGTCACAATGCCGTGCTCGATGGGGTACTTGAGCGTCAGGATACCACGCTTAGATTGCGCCTCATCACTGAGGGATGATCGGTCAGTCGTCCACAGTGCTCGGGCACAGCAGGGACGCACCCCACGTAGGAGTCTTTTTGACCCATACCAACCATGACGCCCTGGTGTCTCGGTCGTCCGACAATGGAGCTGCATGGATGTCCGTCATCAGAAATGGCCTGGTATGTAGCCAGTGGGAAGCAACGCACGGGAAAACAGCCCGCGGTGCATCATCGCCTATGAAAGGGTTCTAGTCCCATCCGAAGTTGATTTGATGACTATACCAGCAACTGTAAGAAAGTCAGGGATGTATGCGATGGGACGATTCCAAGAGAGACGCACATCCGGCCTTGCACATGCCCGAACCATTATCGATAACCTGCGCGTGTTCAGTAGAAGAATATTCATGAAGCGATGAGCGTACGAGGGCGGCAACTTCGTCTTCCATGACGTGCGCGTAGAATGTGGTGGGAGGAGGAAAGGATTTGTTGGCGGTGTCGGTGTCACGAATCACGATGTGGCCACACTGCCACTGGCCTGATGTTTCTCCGTGCTCCTATTACTCTCTGACTGGTCCGGGTCGTTCTTTGATAGTCAACTCCTTTTTACCTGATGCCACCTCTAGGACGTACTCTGGGCCAAAGATCCTCCATCGCCTCAAGCCAATGGACACTTAGATCACTCTCAATCAATCTGATCGCCGAAGAATATTGCCATAGTAGGTTTGGCTCTGAGGGGGCGCTGAAGGTTGTAACCAGGATTAAAGCCGGTCCAAATACTCAGGCCAGCAGGTCCTGCAAGGGACCCCATAGATTCTCAGTGCATTGGTCCAGTGCAATAGGATCTGGATGGTTAAGAGCACTCATATTGTGATGTATGAGTGCAGCGATTGCTGGACACGTTGTAGAGGGGATCCGACTGATTGAATCCGTCTACTATGATACCTTGACCCCGTAAGTATTGAGACGAACCCGGCTTCTCGTCAAGCACAGTCCTTGCACGTGACATGTCCATGTGCAATGAACTCCCGGTGAATTTAATCGAATTGTGAGCCCATGTAAAATAGACGCGCGGTCATGATGAGTGAGTGGAGAACTATTTAAAACTACCCCACAGATCACCGAATGCATCATCTGGTTTCTGCTGCTGAGCTGGCGGTGCTGCCGATCCTGGGCTTGCGGCCCATACATTGCCGGTGTCGAATAGCGACGGCTGAACCGGCTGCTGTTGAACGGGCGCGCCCCAAACATTGGGCTGCTGCTGCTGCTGAGAGGGCGCCCATCCAGAAGAAGCACCCCACATTCCAGTTCCGTTCGATCCCATCATACTCTGCGGCTGTGCTTGTGGCTGAATTGGAGCAGCGGCACCCCAGGGACTGGCCTGTTGGAACTGCCCGAACGGTTGGGCGACGTGTGATGATGCAGGTACTGTCGCTGCTGGCGCAGCAGAAAAAAGAGACAAGATATCTTCCTTGGCATTCTTCGCAGGCGGCGGGGACGATGACTGTGAAGCCCCAACCGGCGGGGAGCGGAAATCCAGCGAAAAAAGATCGTCCTGTGGCTTGGATGCGGCGGGAGGGGATGCAGCAGCAGCAGCAGTCTGCTGAGCCGGGGGAGCGTGATTATGTCTCGTCGACAACAGTTGGCGGGCTTGAGGCTGTGATGTCACAGTGGGACTGGAAACACGCGGGGCAGGAGGTCCAGACCAGGGAGTGGCAGTCTGAGGAGAGGCAGCAGCAGGCGCGGGTGTACTTTCGGGGACAGTAGCTGTTGTCGCGTCGCCATCCAACAGTGACGGATCGGGCGGAGGAGGACCCTCGAGGGCCCAGCGACGTGATTCGTACTTGGACCGAATGAAAGATTCCATCTTGCTGTAGCGGGCGAGTGAGCCCATAAGCACTGAAACTAAATATCCGCGGCACGCACTGGTCGGGTGGGATGTGTCCCGGTTTCAAGTGCGCTTCCCAGTAAAGATTGGCGAGCCTATTTCCCCACTTTTGAATGCTCTGTGATAGCACATAAACCTGTGCACTTTTGTACGAATGCGCTAACACACGTACTGCCATCTGCTCGGGCGTCCACACGTCCAGGTCCACAGATTTGACCTTGCTGATATGTGTACCCATCCCCCTATGTATACCAGAGCATCTGATACACAGGAACACCCCAAGGTTCCATGACGCCCATCGCGGGTCTGTCGAAGATTGTATTGAGCCCCGCGAAATCATCGATGAACGAAGCCAGTCACTCGCCGTTGCGTTTGCAGTCAGCACAGACTTTGTTTTCCGCCAGTTTGACTAGCTCGCGAAGCGTTCGTGTGAATCGATCGGTCGTAGCTTTGTCCTGTCTAGACATGGTGGAGAGAACGAAAGTGGAGATCTCTTCGATTGTCGATGTTTGGATCAGAATGGTCGAACATCATCAATTCCGCCTTCAACTCGAATGCCATGGCGTCGGAACTCTCTGCCTTATTGACCGCTTCGAAAAACCTCACCTCCCATCTGTCGAGACCCGAACTCCCCTCCGTTCACCTCTCCCTCGACCAGGTCGAAGCTCAATCCCGGAGGCTTGTATCAAGACAACCTACTAACGCGAATGACACCGACCGCGCGTTCGTTTCTTTGGATCTGTGCTCTGAGGCGTTCCAGTTGAAAACTTATCTGATTATAGGAATTATCTTCTTGCCCAAGCGCATGTTGACGCGTCCGCCCTCAGCACTTCTATCGCACATCTCAATGCTTCCAACACGTTTTCTCCCCTGCAACCATTGCAGGACACGGACGTCGCAGGCTATCTCCGACATGCCCACGAACAAAATCTCATTTCTACCATTGAGGAGGGGCGGAGAGAGACGCAGGAGCAGTTCTATCGCACGTTGGATGAACGCAGTAGGCGCGATTGGGAGGCCAAGAAAAAGCGCGTCTTTGATGAGCTAGGGGGGCGCGTTGGGGGCGATAACCGAATAATGACAGAGCTGAAAAAGAGTTTCCACGGGAAAGGTCTCGCGGTAGGTAGAAACTTCCTTTGTGTGAGCGCCTCTGAAGGCTTCGCAGGCGAGCACGACGGCAACGCCCAGTCTAACATTACAGATGCAGACGAAGATGATGAAATACGATCGTGTTGTTGCGGAGTTTAATACTGCACGGCTACGCGACACATCTTATCCTATTGTCCATGCTTTCCTACGAGCCTCTCTTGATGTCGCATCAGATGTGCGTACCTCTTCAGGGCTGTCTGCGAGAGATTTTGATCACTAACAGCCAAACTCTCTGCAAATGATACAAACTTTCCATGTTCTCGCGAGAATTACAGGCGAACCCCCGGCTATGCCACCCATCGAGCATGCCAGCGCCCATATTCTGAACGCGCCCAAGCTGGAGCGAAAGCACGCGCGAGCGTACTTGGGGGACCCTGAAACGCGTGAGGCAGCAGATCTGCGGCGGCAGATCGCGACAGGTGCAAGGACTGCGTTGGAGGAGCAGTACTGGGACGTGCTCGAGCGCACGTTACAGTCGCGGGCCAACGAAGCGCAGCTCGGCGGTGACCCGAGTGTTGCTAACAAAGTTCGTGCGTTTTTGTTGGTACGGTATTATAGGAAAGGGGAGTGGGAGGATCGAATTGAGGTGGAACTGATTATACTTCTGCTTGATTCTCGCTCATGTCTTCGGCTCAGTTGGTTATGGGACAACCGTTGTGGGCACGACTCTTCTTCCTTGTTCGGTCCGGCCATTACCAGGAGGCACTTGAGCAAGCCATCGAGTTTCTTGATGCGATCGAGAGTCGGGAGCCTGCTTTTGTCACTCACTTCCGGACGTGGATCGAGTCTCCAGAGAGGCGGTGAGTGGTCTCACCTTTCATAAGGTATATGCTTATTTGCTTGGAAGTCTGCCGAAGCCCGCTCGGGATCATGTCCACAACATTTACAGTGGGCATATGATGCACTCGACGACAACGGATCCATTTAAGCTTGCCCTGTATAAACTGATGGGCAAGCTGGAGCCAGGAAGGAGAAGTGTCGCACATGTGACCTCGACGACTGAGGACTGGCTGTGGTTCCAGCTAGCCATGGTATCTAACCCTCTTGATCATTCCGCACCAAACTGAATTCTCGTCCAGGTCGACGAAGACGAGGATGGTGGTCTGCGAGGACTGGCAGACGTTCTCCTCGGCTATGGCGAGCGTCAGTTTGACGGAGGAACCCGCCGTGGCGTTTGGGCCGGTGTGTTGCTCATGTGCGGACAATTCGAGCGAGCAGTCGGAGCACTCTGGGAGCATCAGGATACGGAAGTCGAGGCCGTGCACCTGGCTATTGCTCTCGCGTATCATGGTTTACTTAGACTTCCTCCCCGGTCGGAAACCAGCGATATGACACCTCGTTCGTTGTCTACTTACTTTCGCACAGCAGTATCTGACCAGTCTTCAGTAACCCTATCGCCTGTGAATCCGCCAGCACTCAGTCTGTCCACATTGATCTGGCGGTATGCTCGCCAGTTCGTAAAGATGGATGCTCGCGAAGCATTACAATATGTCTATTGTGTTGGGTTGGCTGCAGACCAGGGTGCTGTGGGAAAGGAGCAGGTCGAAAACGCATGGGAACTGGTCAGGAAGATTATCGTGCTTGGGAATAGTGGGCCAGCGTGGGAGGAACTTGTCGGCGGTTTCCGCCCTGATGGTACCCGATTCGTGAGCCCTGGTTTTTCTTCGTTCGTGGAATAAGCAGTACTCATCGTGTTCTGATTGGTAGAGTGGTGCCATTGAACAAGGCGCATCCCTTCTCCGACTTCGCGATACTAAAGATTTCAATGACCAGATTCTGATCAAAGCTGCGCGCGACGCAGAGGAGAACGACAGGATGCCGGAGGCAGTCAAACTGTATAATCTCGCTGGAGATTACTCAATGGTCGTCGCTTGTCTCGCTCAGGCGCTCGGGAACACGATCGCAATGCCGAGCGCAGATGAGAAGGCGAAGACTGTCGAACGAGTTGCCAAGGAGATCTTGAGACAGTACGAGAGAACCAACAGAGCGGTTGGCCGTGAACGAGATGCCGTTATCAGGCTGCTGAGAGTCAGAGAGGCCATGGAAGCCAAGTTGGAAGGACGACCAGAGAAGGCTCTGGAGGTCTGTACATTCTCCTTTCTTTCGCCGCTGCCGCCGCTGATGGGCTGTCAGATCATGGAAATGACTGAGCTCATTCCTCTGGATGGTGATGTTGCTAAAATCACTCGGCGTGCGGAGGAGTTCAGAGATCTGCACGATTCATTGCAGCGAAATCTTCAAATCTACCTACCTCTCACCATGGATGCCCTTGCGGGCGTGCACCAGAAAACGAAGATGCAATTGGGTCCAGCTGATGCGACTCGTCAAATGGTATGTATGGTTTGTGAGCGACTCAGAATTCTTGCTCAATGTCTGTAGACACTTACTTTGTTGCGCAAAAAATCGCGGTCGTTGATGGTGTTTGCGGGCATCCTCAAGTACAGGATGTCTCCGGATGTGTATTCTTATTTGGCACGCTTGGATGTAGAAATTGCTCTGTAGGTTCAACCAAGAGGTAGTCGCTCTCTTAATCTTGGAATCAGTTGATGATCAGCTAGCCACCCGTTGAAAATCACTTGCCACTTTTGACTAGGCAACTATGAGTATGCCGCAGAGTGCCACTACCGCATGTGCGGCCTCCTGTGTCAGGCAGTTGGTACACTATAGTAGATTTCGATGGATGTCAATGTCGCTTCTCTTGGCTAAGGGAGAAATACTATCTCAACCAGTTCATCCTGCTGAAGCATAGTCTCCCTAAGGCATCCGCTGCGATTCAGCACGCTCGTGCCTCACAGGCTGATCTGGCGTCTGCTTTTTGATGGGGGGTGCTTGTCAATGGGTATTTTTGCCATCACTGTATGCATCACGTGGGCTGCCGGTATCACCAAACAGCGCGTTATTTACACGCGTCGAAAGCCTCTACACACTCATTTGAACACGTTACCAACTCGTCTAATCGCTATTTTATGGCTTTTAAGTAATGCGGATATGTCATTTGTCTATGGATTGGGCTCAGTAGCTTCGCTGCCATTCGGGCGAAGTCACAGTGCGATCAGTCACAGCTCAAATTTCACACTATCTCTGCGTGGCGCGCTGAGCGCCTGCCAGCTTTGCGATCCGGATAAGTAAAAATGTAAGCCAAGAAGGATCCGAGGGTCCATCCGCCACGCTCGACGTGTGAGAGTATGCTGTCGAGACGTCGTCTGGAGGAAACAGGCTCTTCCAGTGGTAGATTCCTCAGTTCTTCAGCCCAGGGCTCGTCGACTTGTATAAATTGGTCGGAATATGTTGTGAGTACACGCCAGGGAGGTTTAGATGTATGAGAAGCTGCCAATGCGTCCATCCTATTCAATAATTCGTAGTTGCAGTGGGCATGTACCATGTGACCGATGGGTCGGAGTTTGAAATACACCTATTGACAAGCCCTGCGCGTCAGAAAGCAGACGTATGATCAAGGATTTGAGGCACGAAGGTTCTTGTGAGTTTCGTCTGCTTCAAGGAGACTACTGAAGCGTAGAAACCTCATTTGTCAGAATTTTGCTGCACAAAATTCATTACATTTTTACCTGACAAAGTCTGGAAGAATCTATCACTGCGGGGGGACTTATTTTTTTTCCGTGGAAAATGCGTGACAATCTAGAAGTTTGATTTTCACCGTTCTGTTTTCAGACAAAAAATATACATTGAGAATAGACGTCGATTTACGGCAAGATCTTGACCACAAATAGATGTCTATTCCTCCGAAAAACAGGACTGTAAATAGAAGATCTTTTTTTTTATCGATTTTCACTGAGAATAGATCTTTTTTCAGTGAAAAAAGATCTTCTTTTTTCAATGCCGAATCTCACGAAGAATAGACATTGAAAACAGAAGATCTTTTTTCATTGAAAAAAGATGCGAGTCGCAACGACTCGTTATGAGTCGGCACAACTCAACGAATAGTCGCAGAGCCGAGTCAATCTGCGAGTCCTCATGCATGCTGCCGACATTATTACGCGATGAAATGCTGAGGGCGCGCTCACAGGTGAATCTACTATGAAAGTAAACCCAAATATAAACACGTTCACACTCCTTGTAATCAGCTTCTCAGTGTGTGAAAGATGCGAGGGCTTCGGGGTGGACAGAGCACCAGTATCACAACTCTCAATAGGCACAGATCCAATAGTCGCGGAAGACGAAGTCAACGACAAGAATATATATATAGCAAATAATGGTGTCTCAACCAATATCTTCTATACAACCAAAACCAACACTAATCCAATCCACAACCAACAATATCACAAGTCAGAACTTAATACAAAGTATTAAGATCCCTTGTAGCGACAGCGTCCAAATGGTGATGCAAAGCCCAAATATCGAGTTGATGCACTGCCAACCGATACAGCCAATATACTAAGTTGATGCACTGCCAACTAGTAGAACCAAAATGTCAAGTTGATGCACTGCCAACTAGTAGAACCAAAATGTCAAGTTGATGCACTGCCAACTGAGACAACCAAAGTACTGAGTCGATGCACTGCCAACTAGTAATGCCGCGTCGATGCACTGCTAACTAACAGCCAATATCCAAAACCCGAGCACAACTTGTCAATGCACTGCCAAGCAAGAAGTGTGGAACCAAAGTTCTCAAGTCGACGCACTGCTAACTGACCAAAACAACCCGAGCACAACTAGTCAACGCACTGCCAAGCTAGAGGTGTGGAAACGATCTCAACAAAGCCCAAAGGCAACAACACTAAGTGCCACGACTAAACCAGAAGCGGCAAATCCGACTTTCTGATATCTCAACTCAAACTCAAATCACAGTAGCTACAAGTGCTCAGGGAGCAAATCGTCGCGACCGAGCAGGGGTAACAGAACTTCTTAGGGTGGAATCATGCGACACACAAATTGCACAAAACAATCTGATATGAGAATGATTCACAGTCCGGGGAAAAGCTCCCCAATACAAAGAAACGACACGCTACTTATACTGTCTACGACGATGCTTAGTAAAGTCCTGTACAACTGCAAAGTAGCTACGCTATCTAAGATCGGTTGCTTTTATGGTAATGAAAATGTTGAACAATCAGACAGGTCCTGACTGATCAGGACCCCGCCCCATAGTCCATATGGTACTTTTGATGTGGGTCAACCCACCGCGTCATACTTTTGGAATACGATGTGCTGGATTGGCCAGCTGGTATGTCTTGGCAAGTGAGTCCAATGTGGGTGCCCCAAGAAGCTGTATGGCCCTAGGCACACCAGACGTTCCTCACATGGTTCGGTTCACGGATCTAGCCCATGTCGCTTTTAGTGTGTTTGGGTATGGGCGCAACTCACCATGACACTTGGAAGTGTCACCGCGACGCATCCACAATGTCCTGTGATTGAGTGGATCCTGACATGTGACCAGTCGTTGCCATGGCATGATCTAAGGAAACGTCCAACCCAAAACCGGGAGTTGCCGCGACAAGATCGGTTCAATCTTGTAACGCCAAGTCCTGTCCAGAAGTAGTTGAAATATTGAGAACGTTGTGCATTGCTAAGCCCTTCAGACCAAGTCCCCATCTGCAGAGAATGACCCTTTTGAGGAGTCGCCGCAACAAAGTATCCCTTTTTGGAGAATTGTTGCAGCCCAAGTGTTCATCACTAATAGTCCTGAGCCTGGTGTAGGCTCATAAGACCAATTCCACAGTAGTGGTCTGACTGCCTTGCTATCGTCAACACCATCCACAGTCGTCAACTGGGCAGTAGACCCTTAAGTCCTACTGAGCGCAACACTGTCAACCGCGACACGATACACCAAGTGGTTCAAGAGTAAACTCTGTAAAAGCGCAAAAATACGCCTTTATAGAGCTGGTGCAGAGCGCATCTGGTAGCCAGCCTATCAGTGACTATACCAACACTCATGAGCTGCAAGACCCACTGCCCCTTGCTGTGAGTGCCTGTGTCGTTGATGTGCCTGCACAGCCACATGATCCGCTATCACATAATGTTCAACCACCACTGTCAACACCAACAACCCGCATTTACAACTTGAATCTGAACCGCCGTCTCCACCTGGAGAGATCTCAAGCATCCTACAACGGCCCTCAATTTTTGCCCACCCTCTGTATCATATTTTCCCGAACCGCCCTCTGTTGTATCTCGCACACAATATATTTGTCTTCTACTACTGCTTTCAAACCACAGCGTGAGCAGGCCATACAAGAAATCTATTAGAAGAGTGGGGAGACACGGATTCAACATGGTGTGTATTTACTGCCTTATGTGCAACCTGCATAGACCCTAGGGCATAACGGTGTGCACTGTGCATATATTATTGATTCTTCTGATCCCCTACAGACCACAGCAATTGCAGCAAAGCGCAAGGATGCCTTCACAGTCCCTCTTTCACAAACAATTTTCCCGGATTACTGGCTGGGAGGGTCCTCCAGTGGACATCGCACCCTTGATCACAGCCGACTGATGGCAAGTTGTATGGCTATGTAGTGGTGCAGCTTGTAGTCATTCTGGTATCTACTCGATTGTTGTCCCCGATTCGAAACTCTGCCTGCGCCAAGTCGGACTCCAGCGCTCCCGCAAATCAATAAGCCAACTTTGCATCGTCTGAGGTCTTCCATCCGACTGGTGTGTCATTGGTAAGACCTATGTTTCGGCGCATCATAGAGAGAAAACCGATTGCTTGGTCCAGAAAGCATCCCCGCATTCAACAAACACGGATGTCAGCGCAGCCTGGAACATTGTATACCTTGTTGATGCAGAAATCCATGACGAATGATTCAAAACCATACATAAGAAACAGAGCTCATACAAATGTAGTGAAAGGAAACGTCCAAGAATACAACACTGCATCTAGACGTCCTCAAGCAACCAACTCTCCACAGGGGGCGCAGGGGCAGCGTCTTTGACTGGCAGCTCCAACTCAGTGGATGGTTCCTTGGCTGCGTGCGGGGATGGCCTTCCGGTGCCGTTTCCTGCTGCCGCTTGCTTGGTCAGTGAGAGACATTGGCACCACCATCAACCACAGACAGATTGCAAGAGTGATCGGGTCCTTCTTGTTGACCTGTAACATCATCATTCAGCATGTGCCCTGCGATAGGAAGACAGTGAGCCTTACCGGGTATTCATTCGCACCCATCTCCAACGCAAGTCGTCCGTTCAAATAGCTTGGTGGACCCATCTCTCCACAGAAAGAACATACTCAAGCTCATTGTTGTTCTCTTTCTCGTTGATGCTACTCCCTTCCTCAGAATCCTCCTCTTCCCTGACTGTTGAAGTGTGGAAAGGATGTCTTGCTTGGTTCAGACAAAAGAGTGATACTTAGCTATGTGACCATCAGTACATAGCCCTAAATCAATGTGACAGACTGGGCTTTTCGCCTTCCATCTGTGCCCCTAGCCTTCTGCGGCTCCCATCTGTGTTTTCTGAGTTCAACACTGACGTGCCCAGTCGACCGCACAGCAGCCGCAACCGGCCCGCTCCTCACCATCTTTTTGCTCGAGACTAGGTACCGTGCGCACAGCATCCAGATATTGTTCCACCACTCCATCATATCCTCATGACTTCTCAAGCGGAAGCCCCATGCAAGATCTCCACC